GCGGGCAGGCCTGGCTGGGCACAAGAAGACGGAGCACGTAGTCCTAAGATCGCGATTCGCAACAGTGCATCGGTCTTTACAAGGCAGACGGAGAGCACACCGCCCTCAACAAAGTATGATTAGCTGAGACAGTTGCGGGACAGACATGGAATATGCCTCATGACCATTCGGCAGTCTCCTCTTCTTTGGTGTATGAAAGATGCGAGAGAGCAAAAGAGGGCATCCAGGATCGTCCAAACGCAGCACCCAGAACCACGGGAATGGCGCCCATCACCGCTGCAGTGCAGTCTGCGGCCCCTGATCATCGAAAAAATTCCGCATGCCTATCGGCCGGTCTCTTTGGTGCTAGGGAAAATCGCGCCCGATCCCAGCTGTCATGGGAGCACTTGGAACATGAGAATTGCCCGTGGTCGGGTCTTCTGTGAGTGAGTCTGTGGCAGAGGACGGACGCTGCTGCAGCTGCGGTTCTCACCATCGGAGGTTTGTAGTGACGATCGTCCATTTTCCTAGTCTGCCAAGACGCGGGTCTTGCAGCATTCTGCGCACTGTGCACTCTGGCCCACTGGGGGCCCATGGAGCCGCGTGCATGTGCGCGTGCGCACGGTGGAGCTATCAATCAAAATCCCTGGCCTGTCCTCGAAATAACTTCGATGGGAAATGGAACGGGCCTCCAGTCTCGTCGAAAATCGCTCGGTGCCATCCGAGCTGGGATTCGAGACGTATCCACTGCTCAGTGCTTGGTACGTTGAATCTACGTACGCTTGTATGCAGTCACTCTAGTCTAGTAGCTCGTAGCGAGAGCGTGAGACTATCGACCTGCTACTGGCCAGCCACTGGCAGCCAGCGACGACACTGATTCTTCACCCATGGGGAATTGGACCATGTCAGAGTCACGCCATTCGTCTTGACTCTTGACTAGTGTGAGTCAAGCAGAGTGGGACAACTGACACGCGCGATGGAGCAGAAGCTGAACGCGCTTTGTCAGACGCGATGGTACAGGCGTGGGGGTTAGTAGTAGAAAGCGGGCCGCGAGATGACCACATCGCGATTGCTGATCGTGCAATTTGAAGCACGCTGCCTATCATCAAATCACAAGAACTCTTGTCTTTGAGGACCTGTTGATCACTAGAAATGGATCTCAAAACGTCGATCATGGAAAAAGTTCTGCCGGGCGCCTGTTGGTAGCACCATTGGAGGTGATTGTTGTAGTGTATTTCCAACCTAAGATCGACAAACGAACAGCTCTCAAAGAATCACATGACGAAGATGGCATAACAGCCCAGAACAAATGTATCATATATGAATTTTACTGCACTCAGAAAAGGGAGATTTATTCAATCCCTTGAAATGACCTAGAACGAACCTATTCACGACAAAAATGCTTTCACAACGGCGTGCTGCCAGGTAGGGGAGTAGTATAGGGTAGCTAGGGGCTCAACCCACCCTCAGATACACGCGCCTACGATGCCTTCGAAGGATAAAAGTCATTGAACTATTGTAAAAACACCTTGAATCGTGCAACTGAAGCATATTTAGAAGAAAATGCTATTGCAATAGAATGTACATCACATGGTGGTGTACAAAGCTTCTGCCCATATAGTGTCCGGTAACTTCTAGTTATGATGCACGGCAGTGGGCGGAACAGGGAGTCCAGGAGGACGCTGAACCATACATATGTAATGGGCGACAATATACGCGAATACTATACATGTGGTAGTTTATATCGAGTATACGGAGGCAATGACTTCCCTTGATACATGTGCGAATCGGCCTCAGAGACAGATGAAACCACATTCGTGAGCAAGTCAATGCACAATGTTAGCCGGTGAGATCTGACAAAGGCTGCTTGTGATAACATGAAGATAGTAACTGTCAATGAAGTTGCGTTCGGCAAAAGGTTGGCTACTCACCGGGATCTAGGACTAATTCACATCAGCACTTCTAATGCATCATGAAAATGTTAATCACTCTCTTGAGCTATGGCTCAGCTTGATGACGACGGCGACATTGAAATTGCCTATCAATATGACAATACGACGAGAACCGCTCAAAGAAACCTTCACCTCCTCCTTCTCAGATGCACCTTTCTGTACCTCACCACCTCGGTGCCTCCCTCGTCAAACGTCCTCTCCGCCACCACCTTGTAGCCTCCGATTCGGGGGAGCACCTTGGTCCACCCAACCCAGTACACAACACCTAGCAGCAGAACGCCGCATCCAACCACCGGGAAGATGTAGTAGGGATACCCGTCGGCCGTCCAGGATCCCTGTGGCGGGAGGAAAGGCACCAGGACGAGGAAAATGTTGGACAGCAGCCACAAAATCGAGATGGGCAGGTGCGTGTGCCAGGGTGAGGACCAGTTCTCCGTCTTGCTCCATTGGAGGTAGATGAGGCCGGCCCCCACGAAGCCGTTGATCCAGGAGCCCGGGTACGTGTACAGGTTGACCACAAAGGAGTAAGCCGGGCCGGCAGGGGGAGCGACCAGCACGATGACGGTGATGAGCCAGTGCAGGAAGAGGGCGGGGGCCGGCGAGTTGAAGGGCTTGTTGGAGGCCCAGAAGCGGGAGAAGGGGAGCATGCCCTCCTTGGCGAGCTCTTGATTCAGACGAGAGTGCGCAAACGACACGGCCAGAACGTTGCCCATGTTGCTGAGACAGACGAGCACGGGCAGCGCCCTGCGTCCGGCGACGTCGCCAAACATGTTCTGGAAAAACACGCCCGCCACGAGGAGGTCCGACTTGGCGAGCTGCGTCTTGGGGATGGCGGCAAAGTAAGCCACGTTGGCGAGGACATAAAGAATGGTGACGCCGCCGACGGCGAGGGGAGCCGCGATGGCGAGCGTCTTGCGCGGGTTCTTGAGCTCGGAGACGACGTAGTTGGCGTTCTCCCAGCCCTTGTAGCTGTACACGACGTTGAGGATGGCGTTGGAGTAGGTCGACGCGCCGCCACCGCCGTAGCCGTCCCCATCCTCGATGCGAAAGCCATTGTCAAAGTTGTGCGGGTTGGGCACGCGCCGGTGGCCCGCCAGAGCCGCGAAGCCGGAGAAGACGATGATCAGCAGCGTGATGACCTTGAAGATGCCTAGCACGTTGAACAGGCGGACACCCCATTTCGGGAGGACCGTGTGCAGCACGACGGCGAACGTAACGCAGGCGATGCCAATGGCGCGTGCCGGCCAGCCGTCGTACGACTCCCAGCCGGAAGCGAAGAGGACGTAGCGCCCGAAGGCGAGGGCATTGCCCGTCGAGAAGCCGAGTAGGAGCATCTGTGCCGCCAGAACGCAGGTCATGAGGTACTTTGGCTTCTTGTACGCGCGCTCGAGGTAGTTCTTCTCACCGCCGGAGATGGGGATGGCGAGTCCGAATTCGAGGAAGACACTGATGCCGCAGAAGGTGAGGATGCCGCCCACGATCCAGAGAATGAAGGACACGCCCACCGAGCCGGTGGCGGCGAAGATGCCGGACGGCGTTGAGAAGACTGGCCGATGTTAGCACCCAAGTCTTTATGTTGCTGACGTGCACTCTCGAACTGAGAGGAGAGACGTACTGCCCGTGCCAATCATCTTGTTCAGGATGAGAAAGACAGCACCCGTGACCCCAATCTTGCGATCCTCACTGTAGGCATATGTCTGCGCGTCGACAAAGCTGCCGTTGTCGCCAGAGTTGTCACTGTCAGCAGCGTGTGATGGCAGGTTGGCGTTGATATCCACGGCATTCCCAGCCTTGACAGGCTCCGCGCTATGTTCAGCATCGTTCCGCGAGGTGAACCAGGGCATTGCGCAGACTGGGGAGGCCTCTGGGGCAGGTCGAGGCTTCGGCAGTTGAAAGAAGCGTAATTAGTATCGGTAGCAACTGTGCGCGTGGCGACGATCGATGGGGGACTGGAATAAACAAAACACTGCCAGGACAGCACAGCGAAAGAGAGAGGGACAGATGTCGCACGCATGTGTATGTGTGATGAGCTGCAAGTTTAAATACCCCCCCAAAGGCTACCTACAGTAGCATTCTGGCCACCACGCGACACGACATGAGGGACGAGTGAGCGGTTGCGATTTCGACAGGGACGTTGACGTGATCGCCGAAAGTGGTTGGGCCAGGGACCGATGCCGACCACGAGGGGAACTTTGTTTGCCTGCGCATGGAGGGAGTCGGGTCTGTTCAGTGCGTTGGCTCTTGATCCTGGCGGGCAGACGTGCGCTGTCATTGGGTCGCGCGACGTAGAGTCTGTCCGGCAATGACTTTCTCGATGTCTTCTCCCGGAGAAGCTTTTACAGTGGAGATGCGGGCTGGCGATGTGTCTGCCCTGGATGCAAAGAGTGCGCCGTACAAGTCCAGTCTATTCAAGGCCAGCTTGTTTGATCACGCAGGCGTTTGTACCCATTGGCTCATCAACGTCCCATGTATGCCATCACAAGCGAATCCTCAGCATGGCGTGACTGCCTCTGTGCGTAGAGATGCCAAGACAAACCCCCCTCTGGCAGGGAACGTTGCCTGGCTGCTGGGGTCCATGAAAAGCTTGGCCTTTTCTTGTCGAAGCGAGATCCGCATGGGCAAGGCCAGGATGGGAAGGTCGAGTCGCCCCAGCTTCTTCCTGGGTTTGTTCGTGGAAAATTTTCTAGCGATGAAGCGGCAGTCAGTCAGTCATCTCTCCCACGCAAGGCATCGTCTATTGATGTTTAAGCTGACATCTCACTTGCGACAATTGAGTGATGTATACATTTGCATGTGATCGAGACAACTCGCCCTCCGCATATGGCGCCATCATGGCCGCAGAGCATGCCATTGACTCATTGAGCAAAGGAGGCCAATGAACCATCACGTTTGTCCTCGGTGAAGAATCATCACTGACTCTTCCAATTCGACCTGTTATGGCGGCGCTCGACTCTTATATATTCTCAATATTGGTATCTTCAAAGGCACGTTGTGCACGCGTTTAAATACATGTACTTTACACAACATCCACCTGGGTTACCAGAGGTTCTGGACTGGTTCACCAACCCCTTACTCCTCCTCCCCACCAGTAGGAGGACCAGCGTAGTTGTTGTATCCCCAGATAGCGTACCAGATGCCGGAGATCGCAGCAGCGCCGATGAACACGGCGAAGGCGTAGTTGAGCGTGTCGGCCGTGACGGGGATCGACGTGGGCATACAGAAGAGAGGCAGAGCCAAGAGTGTCCAGGCTGCAACAGGTTAGAAATGACATCTTGGCCAGGGGGGGAGAGAAGGAAAAACGTACCGAGAGAGACAATGTTAGTAAAGTAGCCCAGTGGGCCGAGGAAGAAGTTGCCGTTCCTGACCTGCTTGCGGCCAGTGAAGAGGTTGATGGCAATGGGGCAGGCATAGGCAGCAGTCAAGCAGATGACACCGACACCGGAGAAGGCATTGAACGCAAGGGTCGAGCCAAAGTAGATGAGACCGAGGGCCAGCTGGACGATCATGCTGAGCATCATGGCGTTCAGGGGCACGTCGAGCTTCTTGTTGACCTTCATCCACAACTTGGCGCCGGGGATAGCGCCGTCACGGGCAAAGGCCCACACGCAACGCGAGGTGGCCGTCGTGCACGCGATGCTGCACATGAGGCACAGGACGATGAGGGGGAAGAGGAGACCAAAGGCACCACCGGCCGAGCCGACGGCCGACTTGAAGATGGTGGGCACGGGCTGGGCGGACTCGAGGTTGATGAGCATCTGGATGTCCGGGAGAACAAAGACGATGGGGATGAGGAAGAGGAGGCCGCCGAGGGTGTTGATGACAATGGTCGCCACCATGGCCTTGGGCACCTGGGTGGAGGGGTTCCTGACCTCCTCGCACATGCTGATGATCATGCCGGTCGACGAGGTGGCGTAGCCGGCGTGCAGCAGGCCGACGAAGAAGGACCAGCCATTTGGCCAGCCGGACGAGTTGTCCCAGTGGGTGAAGACGTAATTGGCGCTGTGGCGGCCCTCTTTGGCCAGGACGAGGATGCAGATGACCATGGCAATCACACCGGCAAAGGTCCAGAAGATGGCAGCCGTGTCGAGCAAGGGCAACCACTTGTTCCCGAGGGCCGAGATGGCATTGCACACGAGCGTGATGGCGAGGAAGAGCAGCCAGATCTGCCAGGTCGTGCCGGGAAACACATCGCTGGCGCCGGGCGAGGACTCAAAGACGTTGATGCAGGCGACGGTGAAGGTCGTGGCACCGAATGTCACGGACAGGGTGATGGTAATGTTACCAACCAGGTACAGCCAGCCGCAGATCCAACTCGCGACGCGTTGCCAGCGAGCGGGTGCGAGCATAAAGGACTGGTAGTACACGCCTATATCACGAGTATCATTAACATGTGTTCATCAACAACGAGGGCGACGAGAACATTCGCGTGGGGTAGGGGGCCGACGGGTCGCGCGCATCAGAACATGGATACGGCAGACAGCGCAGCGCAAAGCGAGCAGGGGAGCAAACGGGGTCACAGTACCTCCAGCAGTAGGGTATACACTTGTGATTTCACCAAGAGAGGCAGCCACGCAGAGGATAATGGCAGAGACGAGGATCCAGCCCCAGATGATGGTGACGGGGCCACCGTTGACCAATGGGTAGTAGAGCGTCGTGGACAGACCCCACGGGATCGAGGCGAGCACGAACGACATGAAGGCCACCTGGAGAGTCGAGCGCGAACGGGTCAGCTCGGGCTTGTAGCCCAGACCCTCGAGCATGCCGTCGGCGCCCTCAGCCTTGGACTGGCGACGCGCAGGCGGGGCTTCGCCGCCATAGTTCTGCTGCTCATGCTTGGCATCCATGTGCGGCGGTGGGCTGGAGGAGCTGCTCTCCATGTTGTCGGTGTGGCCTGGTCGAGATGGCGATAGTAGTCTGGTCACGCGACGTTGTGGTTGAGCGCGTGCGTTGCTGGCAAGCCCGTGCGTAGGTAGAGTATCAAGTGCCGGCGGGCAGCAACACGTGCAGGCCGTAGATCACCGGGATCAAGCTGGGTGGACTGGTCTGGGTATGGGCGCCGTGCAAGTCGTCAGCAACAGGCGTCAGTCAACCAAAGGGCGGAAAGGTCGACAAGGAGGAGTTGATGATGAGAGACAAGGACGGAGGGAATTCGGGAAGGAGGAATGGACGGATGGCGCAGGTAGATAAGAGGCAATCCGCATTGGGGCCCTGGGGGAAGGACCGAAGGACATGGAGCGCAAGAGTTTGACGGCTGGGATCCGGTGCCGTCGAGTCGACGAACGGGTGGGTCTAACCCAAAGAGGCTTGATGCGTGAATGGCCTCACTTCACCATCAGCACGTAGGCCAAGGAGGTTGCTCGGCATGATTGTGAAAAAAATCTAGTCGGCAGTAATCAACCGAGCGAGTCAGTGCAAGACTGGGGCAGATGCCTCCCAGGGCTCGAATGGGGGAGCTGTGCGCGTGTAGATGGCTCAGGTCGGGGCGGGGCCCACGCTGCAGACCCAGCCGTTGCAAGACGCTAACTGTAATGATGGCCAAGCCCGAAACCTTGGCTCTGCCGCGTCCAGTCGTCTCCCTCAAATTCTCTGTTGCCTAGCGGGTCCATCACGTCAGTGCGTGCATAGACGCAGCGAAAACTGCCAGAAGCAGATTCGATACTGCGGACTGGCCGATGGGGGGCCTCCCAGCTGCCATTGGCTGCCATCGGCTGCCATCAAGATCCGCCGGGCAAGGCCGAGCCTCCGAGCCTGTGAGGGGTGGGGCATATCGGCCGGATTCAGACGTGATTGGCTGAACTCAGATGGATTTGACACTCGATGCACTGGCCACGTGACTTTAGGTGCGCGCTAGAACAATCGGTAGAACTTTACCTGATTGATTGGTGCTCGAGACCCTGGAATGGTGGGCAGGAGAACGAGAAGACGGAGGACTGGACTGGACAGCATAAGGTGATAATGCATACCCTGAACCATGGGTGATGGGGAGTAGTACGTAGTAAACCAACACACGCGACTGTTAGCATCATCAGACATGCAGTCATCAGAGTGAGTCAAGTGCAGCTGAAGAGGACCAAGAATCAAACAAATCAACCACGGCCCCCGTTGTAGTCCGCCCCTCCAGCCTTGCGCAGCCTCGTCACGATATCCTTCTCGTCCAGCTCGCTCTTGTCGTTGGCGGGGATGGCGATGCTGTGGTGCGACAGCACCCTCTTGACCTCGCCGCTCTCGATGCTCACGCGTGCCTTGCGCATCACCTTTGTCCCCTCGCCGATCCAGACGACGACGGCGAACTTGACCCGCGTGCTCTCTTTGTCGTTGGCGTACTCGACGCGCACGTAGCCGTACTGGACCTGGCTGTCGTCCAGCGCCGCCTTCATCTCCTCCAGGCCGCCGCTGCCCGTGCCGCTGAGCTCGAGCTTGTTGCCGGACGCGGCCGCGTACGAGATGAGCAGCCAATTGGTCTCGTCCTTGTCGGAGCGCACAGCATCGTATGCCGCCGCAATCTCGGGCGCGTCAAGGCCGGACATGTTGGTCGTGGATGGCGGCAGGACTCGGTCGGTCAGTCGGGGGCCTGTGCGCTGTCGAGTCGTGGTACTAACGCACGTAATACGTGAAATTGTCGTGGAGTGTTTGCCGAAGGCTTAATTTCGCGAGTGTGGTAGGACGGACGGCACGTCTCGTAATTGAGGGGTTTGTTTGGACTTTGGAGGGCCCCCGAGGGGTCCAGCAGCCTGCCAAGAAGACATCCACATTACTATCCCTATCAATTCAGGGGTAAAAACCGACTGCCCTAGGTATGGGGCCACGGCGATCAAGCCAGACCTGGGCCCCTAGCCAGTGAGCGCCCTTTGAAGCTTACCAGGACTGCACAGACCGCCGCTGGGCGGCATGAATTTTTTTCTTTCATCAATGGGAAACTCAAAGATTGGCAGAGAGCAGGCGCTTGACGCGGCATGTGACGCTGTCGTGAGAGTCAGCCTCGGAACTGCGGCGTAATAGCTCGAGTCCGCTCGCTGCACACGCAATGACTTCAGCTAACAAAAAGTAGGTGAATGAGGTCTGCCGCCTGCGGCGGTTGAGCTGTGAAGTTGGTAGACATGTTCCCTTGATAAGGCTGCCCTATGCCGCACCAGTGACACCAGTGACCATCAAACCAGGCGACCCCAAACTTACAAAAGAAACCGAAAAAATGCCGGCCACTGATCAGCAATCATCATCTCCGAAGCTGTCACTGCCGGTGGCTTGTTCAGGTGCTCTCTCAACAGATAACAAAGCCGAAAGTCGGCCGATCCGATCCGACCTCGTGTGGAGCTCTCACGATGGCACTCCGCCGCGCGTGACAGGAACGTCACAACTCGCCTCAATGGAGCTGTTGCGAGAGCTCACAGAGGCAAGAGTCTGGCTATTATACTCTCCACAACAACTATAACAGCATAACCATCATCGTTGATCGCGCAAACCCTCGTACAGCACCACCATGCTTCCTCTTCTAGGCCTCCTTGGCCTCGCTGCGCCAGCGACAGCAAGCTACGCCTTCTACGTCGGCAAGAACCTCACGGAATCGGGACATGTCCTCCTCGGAGGCACCGGCGAGGAAGTGTCGTCGCATTGGCTACAGCTCTTCCCAGCCCAGGACCATCCCTCCAATGCCACCATCACCGTCGGCGTGACCCAAGATGCATCCTATCCCGGTAAGCTCATCACCATCCCGCAGGTGAACCACACGTGGCGATACATGAGCATGGAGTACTCTGATTTCGAGGGGTTCCCGGCGCCACTGACCAACGGTGGCCTGAATGAAAAGGGCGTAGCCGTGCGGGACGTTTGGGCCAGCAACCGCGATGAGTTGACCGAGATGACACCCAACCCCCAGACCGGCGTGCAGTACAGCGATCTGGCGAGAATTGTCATGGAGCGTGCGTCGACCGCACGCGAGGGCGTCGAGATCATTGGTGACCTGATCAAGAAGCATGGCTTCGCCACGTACGGTGGCAACTCCCACCTGATCGCCGACAAGGTCGAAGGCTGGGTCGTCTGGGAGTTTGCTGGGGGCGAGAAGCTCTGGGCCGCCGAGCAGCTGGGTCCTGACGTTGTCAGGGTCTCGTATCCGGGCTACATTGAGGAGTTCCCCGTCGACTTTGCCGGTTCGCGTGACTACATGGGCTCCGAGAACCTCGTGGACTTTGCCGTCGCGCAAGGCTGGTGGGACCCCGATGGCGACGAGCCCTTCAATGTGTTCAAGGCCTATGGCGTACAGTGTGACAGCTACCACGCGCGCACCGGCGGGTTCAAGTACATGTCGCAGGCCGCGCTCGAGAACGCGACGCTTGCCATGGTGCCCGTGACCGAAAAGGATCTCATGAAACGCGTACGTGACCCTCGCATCTGTGATGACCAGCCCGGGTACGGCCAGGTGATCCGTGTCTACGAGCCCGAGGACCCTGATCTGTACCTGATTTGGAATGCCGCCACCGGCTCCGTCGCCGCGCCCTTTGTGCCGTGGTATCTGGGTGTTGAGGATGTGCCTCCTGAATTCGGCCAGCACCGCTACCTGACCACAGGTGCCTCGAGCACCTTTCTCAAGACCGACTATCAGCTCCAGGAGGCTTAAGTCTTTGCCGGTCGCGTCTTCAAGCGCGTGCTGTACTATATGTGTTCTGCGCCCAAGCGCTTCCTCCCCCTCGTCACCGACATGTACACCTCCTTTGAGGAGGAGTCTGCCGCAGCCGCTACTACGTGGGTCGAGACGGCGGCAAAGATGCTGCTGGAGGCCGGAGACCGCGACGCTGCCCGCAAGATGCTGACCTTCTTCTCCCACACGCGTGCCTACAAGTCCCTGGAGATTGGCAAGACTCTCACTGATGCCTTGGACGGGTATATCAAGCTGTCTGGCGTGTGGCAGACACCCAAGGGCGATTTGATCAACGAAATGGGGAGCAACGAGAGGATGAATTGCTTGACAGGGATCAACCCAGACAAGCCGGCGGACCAACAGTGACCTTTGATACCCACATAAGCTACCGTACGTGCTTTGAAAGCATCCTATGAATCAACAAGAGTACAGTGATCCCGCACCAAAGTCCAGCACTTCCGCATGCCAGTTCCCATCGACTCATTCTCGATATTGTCGCTCCACCGACTGGGCTGCTTGTTCTCATCGGCTAGGGGTCCCGCCTCGTCTGTGTCAACCTTGAACAGATGCACATGCATTGTAAGCTTGAGATGTGAAAACAGCCAGGGTACACTGCCTAGCTCGCTGACATGTGTGAGCTTGCTGTCGTTCGTGTCCAGAAGTGACAACACGTGGTTCTGCGCAAGGGCTTTGCGCTGCTTCGAGGTCGAGCCCTCGCCTGCGTCCAGGATTTTGGAGGGAAACTCCCAGAGCCCGGCCAAGAGTCCTTTCTCGGGGCGCCGATGGATGAGGAAATTATTGTCACGTGTCTGAATCGCGCAGACGAGCGTCTCCTCCTCGCGAACTGCCTTCTTGACGACCTTGAGCGGGAACTTCTTGGCGTGGTTCACGATTGTCTCCAGCTCCGCAGCTTTGGTCTTTGCTGCTTCGGCCGCCTTGGCTGGCGCTTCTTTGGTCGGAGGCTTGCTGAAAAAGGACGATAATGTGGCCTGCTTTTTGCTCGGCTTGGCTGAAACGGTGGGTGTTACTTCAGTCGCATCAGATTCGTCCTGCACGTTCTCAAAGGGTTCGCAGAGGGTACACGCATCCTCAATGTCAGGAGTTGGCACCGACGGCGTCTTGCTACTCTTGCGACCAGGAAGCTCTTGACCCTCGAGATACGCCCGACAGGTGGAAGTTATAGGGCACGCTGCGCAATTGGGCTTTGGAGCGCATATCGTGCTTCCCAGCTCCATCAGGGCCTGACCCCACCGCCCAGGCTTGTCGCTCCTCGGAATCGTGCTGGGGTCGTCGACTGTACCATCGCCCTGGGCAACGTTCTTCACGAGTGCGTCTGCGGCAGCCCAGAGGGTGTCAATGACCCGCTTGTCCGTTTTGACATTGCCCAGAATACCCAGTTGGCGACTGAGTACGCGCAGCACATTGCCATCGACCATTGGCTCGGGGATGCCAAAGACAATGCAAGTGATGGCACCCGCAGTGTACCGTCCCACGCCCGGCACCTCCGCTTCCAATTTCTTGGCATCAGCAGGCAGCAAACCTCCAAACTCCTTGTGACTGACGACGTGCTTTGCCGCCTCGTGGATCCTGGTGGCCCGGCTGTAGTAGCCCAGACCTCTCCACGCGGCCAGCACGTCGTCCGCGTCGGCTGCGGCGAGATCCTGGATCGTAGGCCACTTATCCATCCATCGGTTCCAGTAATCAATGACGACCGCCACGCGTGTCTGCTGGAGCATGATCTCACTGATCCATACTTGATATGCTCGACGCTCGAGTTGCTTTCGGAGCTCGTCCTCGTCGGATATCGTGCTTGGATCGAGCCATGTCTTGCGCCATGGCATGGCACGAGCAGTGCTAATGCTGTCGAACCAGTCCAGGAGCGCATTCTGGCCTGCCTTGCCGATTGATCCATCGAGGAGAAGGGATCTGTGGTAGACGGTGCTGTGCTCCCGATTAGGCATCGCACATATTGGTTCTGGTGGTTCCTGTGCGGCCTTCACGCTGAACAGTTTCTTGTGAAGACGAGCGGCCTCTTCTTTCGTGCTGCTGCCCGTTTTGCGCCGTTTGGTGGGTAATTCGTCGGGAAAGTCATCGTCAGGTGCTGAGGGCGCGTATGGTACATCATCATCGTTGTCGCTTCCAGACGCGTTTCCCGTTCTCTGTGACTGACGGACAGTCCTTTTGACGGTGGGCCTCGAGGAACCGTCTTTTCCTCCGGCGATATTGGCGACTACGCGCACAGCGGATCTTTTCGCAGGCATAATGGTCAATGGCCCGTGTACAAGTAATGGGGGAAACTTGAACCCTAGTAGGAGCAGGAAAAGGGCATCGCGTGGTTGTCGCGTAAAGTCGTGACGAGGAAATGAGCGGGATTCGGGATTCACCAGTGACACTCGGTAGTTGCATCATAGCACAGACATCAATGAGTTAAACATTTCATAATACAACGTGCTTTTGTTAATGCATTCATCAAAAGTGCATGCTCTCCAAAACCGCAAGGACCTGAGTTCGTTCCAATCTTGATATCATAAGGGCCAGCCCTGTCAATGGTTGCCTGCTGTCCGATGTCCCCGTCCAGTCCAGTCCAGTCCTTTAGACACCACACTTTCGCAGACGAGTCAGGAAATGCTCATCTTTCAGTTCCTCGAGCTTGATGCCAAACAGGCTAGCGTACAAAGGCGCAAGTAGATTCTGTGAGCAGGGTCGGAAGTCGCCGCTCGCCTTGCACCTGTTTGCATAATCGAACGCGTTCAGTGCTTTGTGCACTGCTTCCTCAAAGGCCATGCCCTCCAGCTTCAGCGGCGCCAGCATCCAGTTGATATCCAGGGGGACTGCGCGAGAGGAGGAGGTGGACGCAGTGCGCAAGTCAAACGTGGCATCGACAGTGGCATGCCTGATCCACTGCGCCTTCACCTCCCTGAAGTACGGCGCACTGATGTACGTAGGGTGGAGGACTTCGTCAAGGCGCTCCTTTGCGGCAGAGTCCGTGGAATAGTTGATCATGTCGTGTAGCAGAACGCGAATCTTGTAGCCAACATTCGGATCAGCGCTGATGGCTGTCGTCGTTGGTGGGGTGGGTGTTGGCGGTGGTGTCAGTAGGCTCCCTCGGCCAGTGATGCTTCTGCCTGTAGCTCCAGGCGTTGTATGGGGAGTCGACTCGGCCATGTGGCCGTGGAATGGGCTTGTCATGATGTAATAAAACCGTTGGATAAGCGAACGTGGTCGAGACTGCCCTCGCGTGGCGAACGCTGGTGAGCAGAAGCAGAGGGGGCAGCGGGAGGCACTGAGAGGGACAGTTTTATATAAGGTGCAAACCGTCTTGAGCACATGATTCTAACGCGTAAGCAGTTTACCTTAGGCTCTGACGTCGAGGAGGCAATGTAGTAGGAACGGTGTCAAAGCCGTCAAACACTAATAAGGCGTGCGAACCTTGAAAGAGTTTCGCCCAGTGGTGCCTTGCGTGCTCAACAAGGCCCCTTCCCGCCGGCACATGTCGATGTTCGATCCGTGCATCCCCGAGCAGGCAGTAGATTGCTTCTTGCCATGTGAATTGATCACGAAGAAGTGGTGGTCATGATGGGCTGCCGATAATGGAACATGGATGAATGTGCTCATCGCCCAAGTAGGGTTGCAAAGTAACATACATGTAGCCCACAATTGACTTCAAAGAGTCTATTGCGGAAAGTTGAGTGATGACTACAAAGGGGCAGGTGCGAAATCAACATCTCGATACGTTGTTCTTACGTGTGCCTTGAGCTGGAGTCGACATATGAGGCACTGTCGACCGGCACTAGACTTAAGCTTATTCCTAGCCCTGAGGTCGACCAGAAGTTTAATTCAATGGCTGTTTACTTAAGCACTTGAGTTTCAAAGCCAACCTCGGATTGGTGCCAGATCCCCCAACGAAGTTGCTAGCGTAGGTATACCAAGGATAGCTGAATGTTTGTGAGATGAGGATGGGTGGTGGGCATTGGAAATCCAGTGTTTTCTGAAGCATTCGCGGCCATGGGATTCTGCAGTCTTCGAGTCGAATAGTTGGCGAGATACATATACGGTGGTTACTTAGTAGCTAACTGTAAGGTATGTCATTATCAAGGGACGACAGCGCGGGGCCTGCTACATGTAGGCTGAGCGTTGGCGGACGTTGACCCAAGAGAGCGACAAACAGACGATCAATGGAAGGTTGTCGATAGACAATCTCTACATGAATCAACCATCACAAACACCCAAATCTCGTGGCTTATGAGTTGTCACAGCCCTCCCTTGGCATCCATTGAGGCTGGGTTGGCTTCTTTCCCCTGGGCGCCACCTACAGCGATGTATTCGCAACACTACCAAGTACAGACTCTTTTGCCTGAAATAAAACCCCCAAGGAACTCTCAGGGAATTAAACATAGGCCCATTCTCCTTCTCAGGGGCGATTGGCACACAGAGAGGAGAAGGGGTTCGAGCGACTTGCACGATGCACACATGATTACTACCTCACTAGCCGACCCATCTCTATTCAAAAGAAATAAAGAAGAGAATCTAGACCCTGACGCAAGCTAGTATTGGACCCCAGTGATGCTGCTTGATGGCCTCCCAGGGTCGAGGTCACGCGCTCTCCTCCGAGTTTAGCACCCAACGCCTCAGGAATGATATGGTTGTGCCAACAGAAACCTCTGCTACACAAGCTGAGAGATGCGAGAAGTATCCAGACCCGAATTTGGGGTTTCCGGCTCCTGTGAACTGATCTTGTTCGGCCCTCCGAGAATTCACAAGGCGACATAGACTCTGCAGAGTTTGGGGTCAGCGCTAGCTATAACACATCCGTGCTTCCTGACAATAACTAGGGATTGACTTCTTGTCTTTGTAATAAGCCTCAAGAAGCTTCTTTCACCCTTTTACGCCCTGCCGTCCTCATCCATCCCACCATCACGTCCTCCGAGAAGCACCAAGTTGGACGACAATGCAGCGCGGACGATCGTCATGAGACATCCCTCTAATGGAGCAACGTGTGGTATCTACCGAAGTTGCCGGCCATCGCAGCAAGACGTGGCCCCGATACGTACTCCATGCATCCAAGCTTGTCTAATGGGGCTGGGAGGGCGATCCTTACTCAACCTAGTTGCGGAAGCACCGGGATGGTGCACCTTAATAAGGGGGCCCATGTTCCCCTTTCGATGTCGATTGTCGCATGGTCAAGCTGGCCCCTCACGAGGCAATCAATTCATATTAACCGATCATGAGTAAGGCGCAGTCGCCGCAGAGGGAACGTGAACAGTAGACAGCGATGTTTCATCGCCCCGGGATGCGGTCCGGTACTCGGAACCCCGGCACGGAGGGTCATCCTCCATATTGTATGCATCAAACATCGTGAAACAAGGGACACGTATATAATGACTGCTGTCTTACCAAGCCAACATCGAGTTTCATAGCCGATACGATCGACCACAAGACTGCCCACAATGAAGTCTCTTTCCATCCTCGCAACGGCGACACTCACATCCGCTGCGGTCCTCTGGGACGGCCGCCTCAACGATCTCGAGTCGGCAGAGGACCTGAACAAATGGTCTTGGGCCACTCCCGTGGGACCATACCAGTATTACATCCACGGCAATGGTCCGGTGACCGAATATGTCGAGTTCAGCCCCGAGCACAAGAACCCCAACGACACCGCCTCAGCCCAGGGCGTCAAGATCACACTGACGGACACGGCGTACTGGAATGGCCAGAACATGCGTCGCACGGAGCTCATCCCTGAGACAGACGCCGCAATCGCTTCTGGCAAAGTCTGGTACCACTTCAGCATCTCGCGATCCGCCACCAACCGACCAAGCCAAGCGAGGGAGCACCAGATTGCCTTCTTCGAGAACCACTTCACCGAGCTCAAGTATGGCGGTTCCGGGACCGCGGCCGACTCTCTCCGCTGGCAGGTCAGCGGCCAGGACAAGTGGGCCATTGCTTTTGGCGACGATGTCTGGCACAACATTGCGTACGAGATTGACTTTGCCGGGGGAAGCGTCGGTCTTTGGCACTCGACAGGCGCGGAACCCCTGCAGGAGGTCGTCGCTCCCATGTCGGTGGGTGCGAGCAGCAATGGCGCCGACTGGCACGTTGGTGTTCTTGAGCTCCCCAACGGGAACGCTGATGCAGATGAGGACCTCTTCTTCTCGGGCGTGTACATTGAGAACGGCGCAATCACGACAGATGTATCGGGACCTTAGAAAAGGAGGTGCTTGGGATTCAAAGGGGGGGGTATATACAAACATAGTCGCAAATACTTTCAGACATATTCCTTGACCTGCTCCTCGAGCCACTCCCAGAACTTGCGCGCTGTGCCTTTGCCGCCCTCGCTCTCATCCTTGGCGTTTTCCTGCAGGCTCTTGGAGATGGTACCCTGACGTCCAAAGGGGATGACCCAGTCGCGGTTCTTGACTTCGGGGGCGAACGCGGCGTAGAGCTCTGTGTATGCGCCATTGACGACGGGGTAGCTGAAGAGCCAGTGGAGGTTCTGTCCGAGGAGGCCTGCGGTCCGACCCAGGTCGCTCTTCAGGTTGCCTGGGTTCATGCTGACACTGATAATGCCGTCGTCTCCGAATCTCCTGCCGTACTCCATGCCCTGGAAGTAATTGCCGGCCTTGCTCACGCCGTACTGGTAAGCATTGGGTCTCCAAGTGTGGTAGTCGAGGTTGGTGAGGTCAACACCACACGCGGGCGCAAACGCCTCGGCTGCAGAGGAGGCCACCCACATCACCCGCGTGCTGCCAGCAGGTGACGTTTTGGCGGCGGCTTGCAGCAGCGGTGTGAGTTTCTTGGTGAAGAGAAAGGGGCCGACGCAGTTTGTGCCCAGCTGCATCTCGTAGCCTTGCTTCGTCTTGGTCCCGTTGCCAGGCATCATGACGCCGGCATTGTTGAAGAGGTAGTCCAGCTTGGTCTCCTGGGCGAGGAACTGGTCGGCCGCCTTGGACACGGCCGGCAAGTCGCCCAGGTCGAGGCTCAGGAATGTCAGCTTGCCCTTGGATGAGGGCTGCGACGTCTTGATGTCCTCAATGGCGGATTGAGCCTTGGACTCGGTCCGGCAGGCGACGTAGACGGACGCATTCTTGGAGTAGAGAATACGAGCCACTTCCTTGCCCACACCAGTGTTGGAGCCGGTCACGATACAGACCTGACAGAGTGTTAGCCGCGTTGACTTGGCGTTCGAGAGAGATGGGTGAGGAGAGAGCTTGCTTGCCTTATCAGTGAGATCTGGCACGTTGGCCTCTGTGAACTTGGCCTTTGGCGGGAAGGCCTGACTGAGGACATTGAAGTTGAGCATGCTGGCGATCTCGAATTTTGGTTATGCTATAGAATCACTGAGAGGTGAAGACAGGGAGACAGCGTTGAGACCTTGGTTTTTCTCAATGGCCGATGGATGAGGTGCACGTCATGAGTCCAGTCCCTTGACGTTGATTCACCTGGAGTTGCGGAGCCTTTGCCAGGGGTGCCTTAGGTTGGCTCGCTCTCTCACTTCGATTTGCCGAGGCCGGGGATTGATAGTGCGGGCAGCGTCTAGCCCAAGCTAGAGCCATTTGGGTGGCCATCATGCGAGCCGGTGACTGGAACATGCCTTGACGCGCACCCACGATTGTTGCCAAATTCTGAGATAGGTTCATTGTTGGAAGAGTGAAAAGACTGGCTTTTAGGCATGTAGGTTGGAATCTTTTAGCGCTGACAGATCAATGTAGTACCATAACCGCATGCGTCAATCGGGCCCCAGCCCTGTGCCTCAGAAGTGCGTTCGGATCTTCGACTGTCAGCAGCCCCCGTTTGCCCATCACATCCGACAGTGCAAAAGAGCAGGGAGAACCCCATGTGTCGATTGAATAAGCTGAGAATACCTCTGTTTGTCGTCCAAGACTGTCAGATGGACAGACCCATAGCTGTCGTTTCCGACAGAGCACAGGGCCGCTAGCCCTGGGTCGCGTACAGTGTCGCGGCCGGTGATGACCTCCCGTTTATTGACCACATAATACTTCTCTTCTTCGCGCCTCGAGAAGCCTTGCTTAATAAGTAGCAAACGAGCTGCGAGGGTGCCCACTTCGAACGGGTTCGCGATACCAAGCATGTGATTGATGATAGTGATTGTTGCGCTGCTGATGTCCCTTCTGTCCTCTCCCTAGCCGTCACACCTGCAATGCAGCATAATTGTGCAATCCAACGCAGACCTGTATATTAATGTTTCCCTATCACCCCGATGAGCCATGTATATCAAAATTACGGGCAGATGGACTTTCATCAAGCACCAGGGAACTGTGAATTGGCAAGGGAAGTCATGTGGCTGATGCCTCTCGCTCACCAGCCACATCCGCTCCGTCATCGCTTGCGCAAGCCACATTTTTGCGCAACGTTGATTCACTCCACTTTTAACCGCCCTGCACCATCACCACCCATCCCGCACACGACCCAAACAAACCACCATCAACGTCATTTTACGCCGCAGCTGGCAATTGACCGACCAGCATTGTGCCAGAGGTTACTCTCCAAGGACATTCCGGCGCCAGTGCACCAGTGCGAATCTCTACTCGCCATCCTCTGCCGCCCTCGCAACGAGTAGGAGCTCGCGCTGATCACTCTCCCGCTGGGCAATGCTTTGACCGGTCCGGCAGCCGCTCTCGCTTCCATCGCATCACTTGGGCAACTTGAGCTGGGTAGATTCTGCCTTGACGACCACGCGGGGCGTCGCGATTCTTGGCTTCATGCCATCCGGCGGTCCGTCAAGATGAGCGCTCCATGTTGGTCTCTGCTAGTGTCGCAACTGCACGATTTGGGTTTCTGACCAGCGCACAGTGTCCACTGAAGAAAACGAACGCTACACCAGTATCATCGACGATATACTCGCCAAAGCCGATCTTGAGACAATCTCTAGGAAGAAAATCCGCCAGGGCCTACAGGATGCGCTCGGTGGGCTCGACCTCAGCGAGCAGAAGGTTCGCCGCCAACGCCTATCGTGCGTTCCGCCTTGACTCACTAAACCGACTTTAGGATGCCATCAAAGCCCTGATTGAAGCGCGATTCGACGCTGTCTCCAACGTTACTCCCGAACCTGCTCCCTCCCCCAAGAAGCGCTCCAATGGCGCGACATCCGAATCACCTGCATCGCCTGAGCCCCCGCGGAAAAAGGCCAAGCGGTCCGAGTCTGCAGAGGACGCGGACGCCCGCCTAGCCGCACAACTGCAGGAGCAGGAGAATAGCCTCGCGCGCGGGAGGTCGACTCGTGGTGGCACGGATAAGAAGACCAAGCCGAAAAAGGCTGCGGCCAGGAAGAAGAAGAGCTCCAACAAGATCAGCACCAACGACGACAGCGAGATCGAGGGCTCTGATGGCGAGCCCAAGAAGAAGCGCAAGGCTGGAGGCGGCTTTCAAAAGCCCTTCAACCTGAGCCCTGCGCTTGCGGACATTGTCGGCGAAAGCCAAGTAAGTCTTTTTTTCCTTGACCAGTCTCCAGGCGAGACCCATTCGTACTCACAATCGACAGCTCGCTCGCCCAGCTGTGGTCAAAGGCCTCTGGGCTCATATCAAGAGCAACGATTTGCAGGACCCCAACGACAAGCGGTCAATCGTATGCGATGCCAAGCTCTACGCGGTCTTCAAGCAGGCCAAGGTCAACATGTTCAGCATGAACAAGGAGCTCGGCAAGCATTTGTACCCCGTTGAGGAGCCGCCTGCCCAGGCGTAGGCTCTACCCAAGTACGCGCCGCAGACGCTCACTCTGGTAGCTGCGCGCATCATTTAATTAATCTGTTTGTGAACTAAGCCACGAGGCGCAACGGGCATTTGGGGTTTTCATATCAGTGTTACTCTGCTTCTGCCTTGCTGCTGTTGCAGATCAAGGGTTGGAACCAGAAGATCTCTCGGACAAGGCACGACTTGGAAACGCAGAAAGACGGTTGGCACTGGAGAGGCGTCGAGTGAGGATTTACTAGCATTTCAAGGTATTGAATTTCTCAAAGCGGGAATATAATTGATCGTGAAAATGTTATAGGTGATGTGCATCATATTGTGGTCCGATGAGTTTGTGTCTCTGCATGTTTCATCTGCACCATTGTCAACACCACAGCTTACTCTACAGTCAAATACTAACAGAGCATTGATTAATGTGTATTCCGTTTGCTTAATTTCAATACGAATGAGTCGAAGAACATCATCGTACTGACTTAACGTCATCACACGGGGAGCTGTGTAGGGTAAGCCGAGCTGAGTCATCCGGAGTAGACTCGGATGCAGTGCAGTGGCCGAGCTCTGTCCCCTGGAATGCCGTCAGCCCCCCACGCGGTTGGAGCCCCTCTAGCCTGGATGACCTGCCCTGGTGACGGCGACCAGCTGGAGGCGATAATTTTCAAAAAAGACCTGAACCACCCCGTCCCTTCTACGACCACCACTTACTCGTGGAGAGCGGACGACTTCAGCAAAGCCAACTGAATACCTCAGCGAGTCCCAGCGTGTCAAAGAGACACTTGCAACCCGATTGTCCCAACTACGCCCGCGATGGAAGCATCATCGACCGGGGCGAACGGTTCAGCAGCCCAAGCCCCGAACCCATCTACAGGCTCAAAGCAAGGCAGAGGAGGTCGTGGCCGAGGTGGACGGTCAAGAGGGCGAGGAGGAGGAGGTCCGAATCGTCGACAGCAACCTGCCCCCGAAGCACAAGAGCAACCTGCCAATCCCAGTGCACAGGCGCTCGCGGCCGTAGCGAGGCCCAAAGTTGCTGTCCAAGAAGACAATGTACCAGACGACGCCGAACTATGCTTCATCTGTGCGAATGTCGTCTCGCACCATTCCATTGCGCCATGTAATCATACAACCTGCCACATCTGTGGCTTGAGGATGAGAGCGCTGTACAAGGACAAGAATTGCGCACACTGTCGAGTATGTCCGGCCCGACAACCTTTGCTCTGAGCATATTGCTTACTATCACAGACACCCGCGCCATTCGTCATCTTCGCTCAAGACGCCACAAAACGCTTCGAGGAGTTCACCGATGCAGATATGAGCACAGTCGACGAGAACATTGGTATCAAGTACGCCAACGAGGACATTGTCGGCGATACCGTTCTCCTGCTTCGATACAACTGCCCCGACCCCGACTGCGACTTTGCAGGGCTAGGCTGGCCAGATCTCCATCGCCATGTGCGCTCCGCCCACCGGAAGCGCATGTGCGACCTGTGCACCAGGAACAAGCGGGTCTTCACCCACGAGCATGAACTCTTCGCGGACAAGGAGTTGGAGAAGCACATGCGCCGTGGCGACGATAAGCCTGGTGCTGCTGACCAGACTGGCTTCAAAGGCCATCCATTGTGCGGATTCTGCGGAGAACGGTTCTACGACGACGACAAATTATATGAGCACTGCCGGATGAAGCATGAGCGCTGCTTCCTCTGCGATAGGCGAGACGCACGACACCCCCACTACTATCAGGACTACAACGCGTTGGAGGCGCATTTCAAAAAGGATCACTACCTTTGTGCGGACCGCGAGTGCCAGGAGAAAAAGTTTGTCGTATTTGATACCGAAATGGACCTTCAAGCGCATCAACTGGCGGAGCATGGAGGAAAAGCCAGTGGACGTGAGGCACGGACGGTTGATATCTCTGGATTCGACATTCGAAGCTCTTTCCAGCCCGAAAGGCGAGGCGGACGTGAAGGTGGAAGGGAACGAGGACGTGGCCGCGAGGGTAGAGGCAGGGGAAGGGACCAGAATGCCGACGTTGCGCCAGCGACAACACCCCAGGCCCTCAGGAGAGACGAGATTGCCTTCCAGAGGCAAATGGCCATTCATTCGGCCCAGTCCGTCTCGAATCGTACTTTTGGTGGACAACTGTCAGCAGGAGGCCCTGCGTCGTCGACCACTCCATCGGGGTCCAGGGGCAACAGTCAGTCCACCACGCCTCGACCACAGGCTACCAACATCGATCCCATGGACACCCATACGCCCATTGACCCAGCAAATATGACGTCTGCGGACAGAGCTCGCCTCGTTCGCCATGGCGCTGTCATCGAACGTGCCGCGAACCTTTTGGGCAATGACGCGCAAAAGATGGCCACGTTTCGCGACTCGGTCTCGTCCTACCGAAAGAACAAGCTCACAGCCCCTCAGCTGGTCGACGCGTTCTTCGGGCTGTTTGCCGACACAGCGTCGAGTGCACTCGGTACTCTTGTCAAGGAGGTCGCGGACCTCTTTGAGGACTCGAGCAAGTCCAGTGCCCTCAAGGCGGCCTGGCAGGACTGGAGGGCCATCAACGAGGATTACCCAAGCCTGCCTGGGTTGAGTGGCATGCACGGCGCAACCGGCTGGGCGAACGCTGCGAGCGCCAACCCGTCCCAGCCAGGGGGCGCGCCGGCACAGAAACACTCCAACAGAGTGCTCAAGCTCAAAAACAGCACGCGCCTCGGCGGTCCTTCGCCCGTGCCGGGCGTCTCCCCACCAGGGTGGACTCCTCGCCACAGCTCCTCCAAGCCGGCTGCTTCGTCGTCGTCGTCCTCGGCATTCCCCTCCCTCCCATCAGCTGGACCGTCCAGGGCGAGTGCCTCGTCATCATGGACCCCGGCAGGCAGTGTATCATCGCAGCCAGCAGCACGAGCAGCCCCCGAATCCACGACCTTGCCGCGTCGACCAGCGCCCCGAGCTGCCGCTGGCGGGGACAACTTCCCGGCGTTGCCAGCCGCGCCGAAGCCGACGACGACTATCTGGGGCTACGGCACGGGACGAGGCATACGACGCGAAACACCGGGAGAGACAGGTTTCTCATGGACCGGCGGGAGTGGCTCAGCTTCGCCGGCCACTGAGGAGGCACCCGAGAACACAGGTGGGAAAAAGGGCAAGAAAGGCAAGAAAGTTCTCGTCCAATGGGGATGAGTATGAAAATAAAAGGTAGTGGCTGAAAACAAGAACAAATGTGAAAGTGGCGTGGAGCGGCAAGCATGCATGCGATGTCTTACATACTAGTTTAGTATTGTAGCCATACAGCAGCGATACACCATCGCAGCTCCAAAGTACCACCTGTTGTGAGAACGGTTCAGGAACACGAACAAAACAGCTTCAGTGAGGGCAATCATATGAGCCCAATACCAAAATGTATTACAATCCCGCCGGCATGTAGTAGTCCACAAAGCGGTCCGAGTCCTGCCAGCCTACCTCTAAAATTACGTTCCAACAAACGAGTATCAACGAAGGAAACCTCATGGTCCAGAAAGCAAGATAACCAGCCGGCAGCGCACCGACCGACTTCTTCAAAGAGTCCGACATGTCCTCGTAATGGTTCCTCTTGTTGCGCAAGGCACGAAGCAGATCAAGCATGCGAGTTCCTGCATACTTGCGCTGTTTGCCGAGAGAGTCGACGAACGCTTGAGGAAGGATGCGAAGGAAATCGCCTCGGATGACCTCTGCAGCGTGACTTTCCAACTCCTGCAACGGGTATGAAGGAGGATCGCGACATTCCTTCTCAAAGTGATCCGACACATCGCACAAGAACGCGAGCTTCTTCTTCGCCGACCAGAAGAAGGGGTGCGACAGAATGCTCAACGCTGCAGGGCGCTGTTTCGGATCTTCGTGCAGCATGGAAGTTATCAGGTCTTTGGCTTCCCACGCAAAATCACCCAATGATTCTAACGGCGAGAGGTCGTAATTGCCGCGTCGGATGTTGACCTCTCGCATGTACCGGTCGCCGCAGTCGTACGGATGTTGCCCGTTGGTGAGGACATAGAAGAAGATCAGGCCCAGGGCAAATACGTCAATTGCTCGTGTTGCCCTTCGACCACTCATCAACTTCGCGTCGTCGCCGACCAATATCGACCCGGATCCGCTCTGCGTGTCGAGGCCGCTCGTTTGGCTGTGGAAGTTACGAGCACCAGCCGATGCTGCGGCGGCAAGCTTGTCATCGTCGTATAGCAACTCGGGAGCTCGCCATCCGGTAGTTCCCGCCGCTCTACCGTGCGTCGTACCAAAGGATGATTGATCAAGATCGAGTTTCTTGCACAAGCCAAAGTCGGCCACCAACATGCGAGGTTTTCCGGTCTTACCGAGGCAAGCCATGACATTTTGTGGCTTCAGATCGCGATGAACAATGCGCAAGGAGTGCAAGTGCGCAATGCCATTGGTGATCTGATACAGGATCCCCGGGAGATCCATGCGACCTGCTTCAGCCAGTTCGCGGTGCATCTGCGGCTTCTCAACGATATCGGCGAGTGAAGCGTCACACAGTTCCAGAGCGATGTAAATGAAACCCTCATGCTCTTGTTGGTTGAAATAGCGGATCACTACCGGGCGTTGTTAGACAGCTTTCTCGCACATTGAGCATAATTTCTTACCATTGGGGTGATCATCTGATTCCTTCAGCAGCTTCGTTTCTTGCTGCGCGATCTCGTAGAAGGTGAGGAGCAGCCGCTTGACGGCTACCTTTCGACCGTCGTATTCTCCCGAGTGCACAGTAGTGCCATTCGTGCCGTTACCGAGCACCTTGTTCTGGTGCACAAGCAGACCCGGAAGTCGTAAGACTGTCCCGTCATCGACATCTTCCATCTCGCCCGTTCGGACCGTGGTAATGTCTGGACGCATGGTGACGCCGTTCGCACGCACATCAGTGTCGGTCGGCTTGAGGTTTGAGCTATCTAGTTTGCCTCTGCCCTTTTTGTGCTTAACGCCTCCACGGCGGCCTCGGCGTGCCTTCTTCTTCTCTGGCGACGCTTCATCAGATGACCCTTGTCGTGCAGCCTCGGGATCGACTACGACCGCCTCAGGCGACCCATTCGCTTCAGACTGAGTGACGACAACCCCGGACGTTGTGTCGGCTGGTGCCGCCCCAGTCTCCGCTGACTTCACGACTGCGCCATCTTCTTGGCCGATGGACGCCTTAGTCAAGGCTTCTTTCTGGCCATCCTGATTTTGGGCTTTCAGAGGTGCCAAGTCTGTTACAGGACCAAGCTTCGGGTGTACCTTGGATCCCGCGAACGAATACATGTTGGTGATAAGCTCGCGCCGTTCCGAGTCACTCATACGGCGAAATTTGTTGCCGTAGTACATGAAAGCCCCGGTTACGATCAGGATGAGAAAAGGGTTCCTCAACAGATCCATAACGCTTTCAAGGGCACTCTGTGGAAGTAATTTGACCTTGTCCACGAGGCCGACATCTTGCTTGTCGCTCGATACGACGACAGGCAGCCAGTCCTCTTCGGCCAGATCAGGATCATATCCATTCATGGGCCCAGCAGGCAGTGTGGCGGGAATCTTTCCTCCGCTTGGCATTGGGGAGTCGAGGAAGTGCGTCCCGACCAAGACTTGCGCTTCTTCACCTGACCCCGGGCCATGCTCCCAGACGTCGCGATGCGAGACCTTGGCAAGGGGGGCATCAATAATGAGGGGATAAGACCGTCCTGACATTGCATACCAGTCTCCCGTTGTCGTATGGTTGAGAAAGATGCTGTTGCTTCTGATGCGTGCGACCTCGGTGCTCTTGGAGGGCATAGTCGGCTGTGGAAGCACAACTAGCTCCGGATGGCTGTCCCGAGGTGCGTCCCAGGGGCGGCATACGTCGAACACGCGGGCCACGGGCGAGGACAACTGCTGGCTAAACTTGGGCGAAGCTGGCTGGCCAGGATCGTAATCGAAAGCATAGACCTTGCCATCATGCTGACTGGTGATATAGCGGCTGTCAAGGGAGGTTTGGTAATTGGTGTATAAGTCGGCGTCGTAGTTGTTGGGTACCCACTCCGCGTATTTGAGGGTGGCAATCGGCTTACCATCGCGACGCTGGATGCCGACAGTATATTCAGTACGTCCCAGCGTGATGGTGCCTGTTGAGCTACATTCGACAGAGTCGGCATTGTACAAATAGTCTGGACGCAGACAGCTCTCGGCCTCGTTGACGTGAGAGCCGCCTGACCCAAACCACTTGAGCACACGACCTGTAGCAGCGTCGAGTGTGATTAGAGTTGTCTTCTTGTCGCCAGTATAGACGACTGCCGGGTTCTCGTCGGCGAATGGAGCCAGCTCCTCGACGAGGCGCTTCATGGTAAAGCTTGTGCGCACCAGACCAACCCCTGGCTCGGGTATCCAGACATAGATCAGGCCATCACGAGCTGGTTCTACAGCCCAGAGGTAGTGATCAATCGGACTGTAATCATCGTCGAGAACGGACACATTGGAGCGGAAGTGCTTTGTCTCGATCATGGGCTGGTCGACCTCGAGGCGCCAGTGTTCTTTGCCGTCTGTGCGGCCAGTGGCATAAAGATCTCCCTCGACGGTCGCCAGAAGAACAAAGTCTTCTACTTCCCAATCTTCCAGGCTCCGCGCAATCTGCGGCGAGGAGAGTCCAGTAGCTAGCGTGCTGCTGGATCGGAATTTACCTGGTAGGCTTGGTGCTCGGACGGGCTGTGCCGGAGCCAAAGTAGCGAGGGCGCTCGCATCGTAAAGATTTTTATTGTTAGATTTCTTGTTTTTGATGTTGTTGATGTTATTCTTATCGTCGAGACTCCTCTTGGCGCGAGCGGATCGTTCGCTGTTTTCGAGAATGTCGGGTTGACGATTGTTGGCATACTGCAGATGCTTCTTCTGACTGGCTGAAGGCTGGGTCTTCCTCCCCTGATTCTGGCTGACTTGAGGCGTGTCATCAACAGCGCCATCATAGCCAATGTCTTGAACGACGTATTTAGGGTCTCGTTCATTAACGCGTTGCTTATTGTCGATTTCGTGATCGTCCGGTTGCTGAATGATAGCACGTTGTTGCTGCTGCTGCTGCTGCTGAGCAGCAGCAGCGGATGCGGAAGCGAGCTGAACCCATGATACGAACAATATAGCGACAACTAGGACTAGTCTGCGTTGGCCCGAGGATCGAGACCCTCGGTCTCGCGTTGAAGACCGTCGGGGCATATCGTGGTGTTGCTTAATTGACTTGGCTCATGACGTGTTAAGGTGCAAGACGAGCACCGCAGCACCACGCCTCGAGTCGGTTGGTATAGGTAGATAGCGCGTGGTATGCGCTGGAGAGTAATGCGTTGGATCGTTCGTATTGATGAATCGGATTCGTATGCTGCTTGCAACGAATATAGTTGAGAGTCGCAGGGTGTAGGGAGAGTCAAGGAGGTCGACTGGAGACGAGGATCTGATTAGGCCATACGTCTGGGCATCGTATTCCTAGCGTTCTCAAGGGCTGGCTTGATTCTTTAGTGTAGTGCAAGCTTTGCGCAGGTTGAATCCAGTTGTGGGATGGACGAAACGCATCGATCTAGCAGGAATTGCCCGTCTGGCGAAAGCAGTGGTATGACGATGCAGGGATGGGCGGGGGGCCTGAGGGAGCGCTGTGATGGAGCCTTGGAGGTGCCTGGTAAGGTTGTACGCCATCGCTGCCCGGGCCGCCATTGCGGAGTAATTAATTACTTACACAACTTTGTACGCGCGAATGGCCCTTGAGGACATTGACTTCTATCCATAATTCGATTTCTATATTTATTTGAACGTGCCCAGCTCACTGCCATGTTAGCATGCTATACAAATTCTTCATCTAACTCTTGATATACCTTCTCTTGTTGCGCGTTTCGTGTAAGCAGGCTGTGTGCCCTGTTACAAATCCGGGACAGCAGCCCCTTGCAGAGCGCACAACCTGGCACACTTTCACGTGCCAATTCTGTAAAAAAAAACAGGGCCTCTGCCACAACAATCGAAGGTTGCTTGGCTGAGAGAATACACTTTCCATGGCGCTTGAATGATCATGATGTCCGGAAACACGGGGAAAATAACCTCTTTCCCGTCGGACGAGAGTGGTCAGACTCGGGAGCCGTCGCAGCCACAGTACCGTATGGTAACCTCACTTTTGCTGCGCACGCCAGGCGCCATTTATAGGAATCGCCGTAAATTCATTACCATGGGAGCTGTAAAGCGTACAACGAAAGACGCACTCCGAGACCAGATGCAGAAACCGATAACCATATACGCAGCCCTTTTTAAAACCATGCTTAACCAACCACAACCTCCTCGGTCTCCTCCAGTACATCCTCCACAATCTCCTCCACCACCTGCTCTTGGTCGGCCACTTGCAGCGTCTTGGTCTTGGCCTCCAACAAGTGTGTGTGAGGGTCCTTGGGTAGACCAGCGCGCTCCCTCTCCTCGGCCAGTTCTGCCTCCATGTTCTCGCGCCACTCGTACCACTCGTTGAGCAAGTGCCTGCGCGCCTCGACCACAGCAAGATCCGCAGAGGCACCGCGATCGGCATCTTCCTGATCAAATGTGCGGCTGTATTCGCGGAGGTTCTTGCGGATCTGTTTTTGCTCTTCCTTGGTGAGAAGAGTAGCGGGGCGGGGGCGCCATGAAAACTGCTTAAATTTGTCAACAGGCTCTTCGCGGAGAGCCTCGCCCCTGAAGTCGTAGATGTGGTAACCATTTTCCATCTGCCCATGGTTAGTAATGCACTTTCGTCTGGTTATGGTTGGTGTAACTTACAGTGTGTTTCCACACAGACGCCCAAGTCGCGACGAAGCGACCCGAGGGGTCCCATTCGACATCGGTCACGCCGTAGTGATCCGCCGTGTTCATCAGCTGGAGGTTGGCAGTCAGATCCTTGTCTGACTCGGGCTTTTCACCCTCAAAGTCAAGGTCAAAGAAGTCCAAGTCGGAGCTTTGCTGGTTGTGGACCGTGGCAATCACAACGAAACGCCCACGAGGTGCCCAGTAGATAGCATTGCTGTTCTTCTTGTCCAGTGTCCGGAGATGCTTGAAGTTACCGGTCGTTGTTCCTTTGGTCTTCTCGGGGCAGAAGAACGACACAGCAGTCTTTGGCGCGACAGCCGTAGGCCCGACAGGCTCGGTCGTAGAAATAATGGCGAAACGGGCACCGCGGGGCTCCCAGGCAAAGTTGATGACAGTGTCTTTGATGGTGTCGACAACCTCGACGGGGACACCCTTCTCCTTCACACGGAAGATCTCCAATGTGGTAGCCTGCGACTTCTTGGACTTGGAGTGACGGTCCACCTTGACGCACAGGTATGCTGCCTCGGATTGCCAATGCAGCTTCGCATCGCTCACACTGAAAAGGTTGAGTGACCGCACAATTTCCTTGGAAGGAATGCTCATCAAGCCGACCTTGGCTGGGTTGCTACCAATTTCAGGGGTCCAGAAACAAATGAGCTGCTCGTATTCCTTGACACCATCGCGCTGCACTGTGGCCGGGGCCCAATCAAAGTCCACAACGCCGTCGATCTTGACAGTGGTCTTGTCGAGGAGGTTCATCCGGGGAAGTTCGTAGACGGAGATAGATTGGCCGGGGTTGAGACGCGCAACGTACTTGTCGTCAGCGGACCACTTGAAAGCGGGCCACTGCAGCTTTGGGGGAGGGCGGCCCTCCTCGGGCTTGGCCAGATCCAAGTTGGCGAACGAGCGCAGAGGAGTACCGGTGGTGATTTCCCAGATAACGTAGTTCTTACCATCGTCGTCAATGGAAAGCGCAGGGTGTCCCTCGTCAGGAATGGAAATGGGGCGGTTGGACCAAGTAACCATGTACTTCTCGCCAGGCGAGAAGGCCACCATGTTGACGTAGGGGTGGGCAAAGCGAGCCTGGCGAGACCAGGACTGGCCACCCCACAGCTGCACACCCTGAGCGTGAACAGAGGTCAGGTAGGTACCCTTTGGCGACCACTGCACGAAGGTCTCGGTCCAGTGGGGACGCTCGACCACGCCCTCGGGCTGATCCTTCTCATTGTTCCAGAAAACTCCGACATTGTCGCCACGGAACAAGACAAACTGGTCACGGCCACGGCCTGAAGGATCCTTGAGCCACCATTTGAGATGTTCCTTCTGAGTGAATTCGTCGATCTTGGGGGGTTGGTAGGTCTCGTCGATGCGGCCCTCGCGTCCGTATCGCTCAATGTCAGTCATTTTGTTGACACGCAGTGTGTGCTTCTTGTCGAGAGGAACCATGTCAAGCTGGCGCGTGGCGGCGGCAGCCTCGGCGGCCGAGGAGTACTCGACGAAAGCAAAGCTGAGGAAGGTCAGTTCATCCCCGTGCAGCTCTATTCAATGGGTCCAGCGTACCTCAGAGACTTGCCATCTTCACCCATGGGCATGTAGATCAAATCCTCCCGGGTCGTCCCCACAGTGTTCAGTTTGCGCAACAAGAACTTAACCAACTTTGGCTTCTGGTCTTCTGTAACCTTGGGCAGGCCATCAATGACCACGAATGTGTCGTAGCCATGCTCCAACTGAACCTCGAAGCGCTCGCGCAGATCCGACACGTCGATCTCGTCCTCGTTGTAATCGTCATCGTCGAGGTCGGCCTCGCGAAGGTGCTCGAAGGTCGGCGCCATGATTGCGGTGTTGTTGTGTGCCTGTGCGGCAAGGAGGGGTGGTCGTGTTGTCGGACTTGTAGAAAAAAATACGTTTGCCCCGCTGATAGCTGCAGATGGGTTTCCTATTTGCTGATCCCTTTGAGAGGCGTCGTAGAATGTTGCAGTCGAATTTTGATCGAGGGCTGCGTAAAGATGCCGAACAGTGAGTCTGCCGTCTCGATACTTCGATGAGCTGGGCAAAACTTTCGGGGCGCGCAGTCAAAATCGTGCGAGGGGCCTACAACCTCAAGGTGGGGGCTTGATTATGGTGGTGATGCTCTGCCTGGCGCAACAAATTTGGTGCTGGTTTGGCTGCCTGGGCCTGAATGTGTGCGGCGGATCATTGAGACGCCGGCTCCGTTCGCTCCTGTCTCGCGCGTCTCAGCGGGGCAAGTCACGTGTGGTCTTTGGTGGGGGAGCTTTGGGCCCCTGACGGTTAGAGGACCTCAAGCAGAAAGTTGAAGGAGGGGTGCTTGGCGCTTGTGTCGGTGGAAGGTGCTGGTCCTAGGTGAGCTCCAGAAAAAAAGGCAACCTCAGCAGAGGCCGTCAACGTGTGTACTCCTACTCCAACACCCGTCGTCATTCAAGTATTACTCGAGGTCTAACTTGGCAAAATGGTATGAGCTGCGCATCTGAAATGCAATCTTTGTTCTTCTGTCTAACGACGAATAGTCCTTTCAACCAACGCAGATTTTCGAGGAGGGCACCACCGAGGAGAAAGGCGAGAATGCGCGTCTCGCAGCCTTTGTCGGTGCCATCGCCGTTGGCGATCTGGTGAAGAGTACACTCGGCCCCAAGGGCATGGACAAGATCCTGCAATCTGCGTGAGTACCTCCCTGCCGCTAAGGGCACTTGCTAGACATGGGGCGCTGACTGTCGGTCTGTGGTAGATCTACAGGAGAAATGATGGTCACAAACGACGGTGCCACCATTCTCAAATCCATCGCTCTCGACAACGCCGCTGCCAAAGTTCTCGTCAACATTTCAAAAGTGCAGGACGATGAAGTGGGCGACGGCACAACATCAGTTGCGGTGCTGGCCGCAGAGCTCCTTAGGGAGGCAGAGAAGCTGGTGGACAAGAAAGTTCACCCCCAGACGATCATTGAGGGCTACCGAATTGCCAGCCAGGCTGCGTTGAAGGCGCTCGAGGGAACTGCGGTGGACCACAGCAAGAGCCCCGAGGCTTTCCGCAAAGACTTGCTTTCCATCGCTCGCACGACCCTGTCCTCGAAGGTTCTGTCACAAGATCGCGAGCACTTCGCCCGACTGGCTTGCGACGCTGTACTCCGTCTCAAGCAGTCTTCGGACTTGAGCCACATCCAGATTATCAAGAAGGCCGGTGGAAAGCTCAGCGATTCGTACCTCGACGAAGGCTTCATCCTCGACAAGAAGATTGGAGTCAACCAGCCCAAGCGGCTCGAGAAAGCCAAGATTCTGGTGGCAAACACTTCAATGGACACTGACAAGGTCAAGATTTTCGGCGCGCGCGTCAAGGTCGGATCGACAAACAAGCTCGCGGAGCTCGAAAAGGCGGAGAAGGAGAAGATGAAGGCCAAGGTGGAGAAGATCAAGGCGCACGGGATCAACTGCTTCATCAACCGTCAGCTCATCTACAACTGGCCCGAGCAGTTGTTTACTGATGCTGGCATCATGTCGATCGAGCACGCGGATTTCGACGGCATCGAGCGTTTGGCATTGGTGACCGGAGGTGAGATCGCCTCCACCTTTGACCACCCTGATCAGGTCAAGCTGGGCCAATGTGACACTATCGAGGAAGTCATCATCGGAGAAGATACTCTGATCAAGTTCTCGGGCGTGGCAGCTGGTGAAGCCTGCACTATTGTGCTACGTGGTGCGACAGATCAGCTCCTAGACGAGGCCGAACGCAGTCTGCACGATGCTCTGGCCGTCCTTTCACAGACAGTCCTGGAGCCACGGACAACTTTGGGTGGTGGATGCGCGGAAATGGTCATGGCCAAGGCAGTAGAGGGTGCGGCCACCCGCGTCGAGGGCAAGCGCCAGCTCGCAGTATCCAGCTTTGCTATCGCTCTGCGACAGCTGCCCACCATTTTGGCCGACAATGCTGGTTTGGACTCGGGTGATCTGGTGGCTCGCCTGCGCAAGGCTATCTATGACGGTCTGACGACTTACGGCCTGGACCTGACGACTCCCGGGGGTGGCATCACAGATATGCGCGACCTTGGCGTTATCGAGAGCTACAAGTTGAAGAGGGCCGTTGTGTCATCAGCAAGTGAAGCGGCAGAGGTAAGCTCTTACTGACCGACACCAAGTCGACAACCAGCTAACTGTTCTAGCTACTCCTGCGTGTGGACGACATCATCAGGGCCGCTCCACGTGCTCGCGAGCGTATGTAAATGGATATATGTGGCGTTCAAAAGGGAACTGTCAATTAGCTAGACGTGGATATCATGACCGGTAATGACTGCATAGATGGCGGCCGGTTGAGGACACAATACCATTTCGCTCCACCGCGAGCTGCCTGATGAACAAAATTGACGCCACATCTTTACGAGTGAGCTCAGCACATCTGGTGAAGATGTATAACTAAGACATGTCGATGATGTGCAGCTCCTCCTTGTTTGCTGGCCAGTGTTACAAACAATGTCACTGCACTCACTTCGCCTCACCTCACTTCACCTTCACCCTTCGGCCTTCGCCTGAACCTGCTCAGTTCTCATGTACCTTGGCTTGAGCGTGACTTCCACGTTGCTGATTCCTTTCACTGTTTCTTCCAGTCTTCCCTTTATTTCTTGACACGTTTCACCCATCTCGCGTCTTGGTCGATCGCCTTCTAACTATGACTTCCACCACCAAACATGACACTGGCGTCCAAGGCACCTTTCCATGGTATAAATTTGGGGAATCAGTAGCGGCCGCGGTCGGCACGATCTGCCCGCCCGATGGAAGTACTCAGTCTGACACGAACGAAGAGTACTACTCTGTTTCAGCTGGGGATGTGAGCGACTCCAGCGATCAGTCCATCGACGTGGACAGAGCCATTACAACGCAGCTTGAGAGCGAGAGCCAACAGTTCGTACAGACTCCGCAGAGCTCGACACTACCCAACCACGCATTCGACATTGGCTTCAAGGCCATTGACAAGATCACCACGAAAACAACCCTTGACAGATCATCACCGCCCAAGACACCTCTTGCGGGCTTTCACCCTGGCAAGAAACGGCTCACACCGGTGACACCTCCTCGGCAAACCATGAACAGAAGTCCTGACAGCATTCGTTCGAATCCTTATGACATTGAATGCACCAGTGACTCCGACATGGACTCTGGACCCATCCCTCTAAACTTCCTCGACGTACCAAAAAGAGACGGATTCAAGACACCGATTCTGACCAAGACCGAGGAAAGGCGATCCGCGCGCATGGCTGGTTCAGGAGAAGACTCCCCGATGGCACGCAAATCGCGGAAAAGAGTACACCAGGCTCAGCCAATACGGCACAGCGAGGAGGCTCAAAATTCCAGCAAACCTATCAATGGTAAATCTGACAGGCTGATGACACCGGACCCTACTCCCAACCGACCAGCCCAAGGCGAAGGCACCGCGTTGCGTGGCCCATGGCAGCAAGATGGTCAGCAGTCATCATCTTCCTCAGATGAGTCCAATGGAAGCCCTGTCTGGAAAATAGGCACGCACCCATCACTGCCAGCAACCCCGGGCTCTGCTGTGAGCGTAGCTGGTGATCGCATGGCTGTGCGATACTCACCGTATCCCAAGTCGAGGCTCAAGGACTTCCTCAAGAGTTCTCTCCGGGTGAGCCGAGCCGTTAGCGGTCGCAATCGTGCTTCTCCCCTGACTAGCGACACAAGGAGTCTTGATACCGTTGAGAGAGAACCACATACAACCAAGAGCGAGACATACATGGACAGTGATACTCGCCGTCACAATCAGCATGAAAACGCGATGGGATTCGGTCTCATCTCTCCTCAGAAGTTTATAGCGGAGTCTGTGCCTGATTCATCTTCATATCCTTTTGCTGAGGATAGGAAGTTGAAGCACATCACTGGTGTGCCCATTATTCCGGAAGACGCCGGCCATGAGCCCTCAGCCGGAGAGTCTTTGATTGAGGCGCAAGGGGGACGCAAGACAATGAGCTCCTCTCTCAATGATGCCGCCGAAGCCAAGTCTGTTGAAAAGAGAGATATGCGCGCCATGCCTACCTTTTATACCTTGCAACCCTCGTATGGACAATGTAAGCCGTGGCTAATGGACAAGCCTGGCCCCTACTTACCACACCATCGAGACACACTCACCAACCTCAGGAGTATACTCAAGGGGAGCGAGCTTTGGAAAAGACAGAAGAGCTTCCTGGCAAGCGAACAGGCAGGAACCCATCAACTTGGCGAGAACAAGGATGTCCCCGTAGACCGAATCCCAAAGCGCCGAAGACGCGCTTGCCAAGGTTGTCGAGAGGGCTTTCTGCTATGACATGCCGAACAAGACACGACATATGCAGGCGAGGCTACGAAATTGACGACGGCTAAGAGCCTCGCAGCATGGCACACGGTTGTTCGACGTCGCCGTTCGCAGGACAACAGCGCAATGGGCGGCAGAAGTTTTACCATGCTATCATAGAAGCGTGTGGGGAAACACCAGAGACAGACGTTCACTACGTGTAAGAGGTTGCGAGAGGTTTCGATGGACTTCGTGATTGAGATGATTTGGCGTCGATTTTGTGTCCTGAGTACGTGGATGAACTGGCGGGTCTGGAAATCGGCATTCGGGATGCCAATTGAGAGCTTTATTGCCGTGGCGTTTAGGACTGAGTGATGAGTGAAAAGATTACGGTGTAAGTCGGCCAGCACCGTACATGTATGTAAGGGAGGTTTTACAGGTACGGTGTTGTGCGGAACATTCGCAGATAAACCAATACAGTACGTAGGTTGCGAGGAGTATCACTCCGTAGAGCTGCTGGCATTTATCCATTCGTCCACTATCGATGTTTAAGAAATCAACGCGCAGCAAAGCTGGATAAGCTCGCATCGCCTCGCAACGCAGACTTGGCTGTGGCTGCAGGAACCGGGGGAAGCGGGAGGCACGGGCCCATAAATAATAAAACCCGTGTTGTTCTTCCCCAAGTTTCTCTCCGCAGGCAACTGGCGCACAGTGACATTCCTGCTATCAGCCGCCCATCGCGACAGGGGCTTAGAGAGCGCCAATCTGCCTCCTTTTCCAGAAGAGACAAGCGCGCCATCGCACACAAACATCATCATCATGATCCTTCTTTCACAATTAGTCCCACTACCTCATTCTCCTCTGCTCACACACTCGCTTGATCTATGCATTCTCTTCTTCTAGCAAACTTATACACCTAAGCTTTTTGTTCAGCCCATTATCGCTACCCTCACGCTCGTTTGTCCCTTCAATCCAACCTTGCTATCACAAGCCACCTCAGCGTTCAACTTCCTGCAACTGGAACGCCCCACTACTCGTCTGTCAGCCAGGCCTCGTTTCAGAGTGAAGGCAGCTGGACGGCTACACAACATCTTAATACCGTCGACCGAGCTGTCGTCGCACTTGTACAATACCATGCAGTCATGATTTCTACTGCCGACTTCGATACTGCCCCTCTTGCCCCAAGCTCGCCTCCCGGCATGACCACATCGAAATCTTCAAAGTCTTCCTCGTTTCAATCCTCCGTTCATAGCGACGATGCGAGCGTGTTGGATGACGTGGGCCACTTCGAAGACATTGGTCTCGACGATGACAGTGCCACCCTGAAATCCACGCGCCAACCAGGCATGGACAGAATCACCTCACCGACCACAGCCACATCGACAACTGCCAGGTCCCTTGTCACGAGTAAACGAACACCCGCGCCCCGATCGTCCTCACAGTCGAATCTCCGATCTACGCTCCAAACGTCAAACCCAAGAAGCACGAGCTTGACGGTACTCACCGATTCCATCCATCCAACATCGCCCCGGCGGCGCTCGAGCAACAGTAACTTCTCATCCAGATCCCAACCCGGTTCCGGGCGACGAAGAAGTCCCAGCCCTCAAATCTCCTCAAACCCTAGAGACCCGACATTTCTGCCCAGGCCTCGTAGAGGAAGCTGGCAGTCGAATCAACGAAAATCCCTTGCCGAACTCGAGCACGAATGCGATGAGGACGAGGACGATGATATTCCGGATGGCCTCGTTCTTGATAACGTCCCAATTTCGCCTCGGCCGCAGCACGAAAGGCCGCCTAGTAGGCAGCCTTCCTTATCTCCATCGCCTGATCGAGGACAGCAGCCCAAGGAGCGCGTACGGAGCGTGGGCAATGGCACGCCGGCCGTCGCCCAGGCACAAGGCTCACTGAAGTCGCCCAAATGGAAAGAAGAGGCGGCACAGGTAGACAGGTCGCCCAACCGTCCAGCCCAGACCCGCGCGCACTCGTGGAACGCTGCTTTGGCCCATCTGAATGCGGAAGCAAAGGCATTGACAGAAAAGCTGGAAGAGCATGCTGATGAGGAGGAGGAGCGTGCGCGCAGACCATCTGCATCAGGCCGTCCGAACACATGGAATTCGATGCAGCGCTCGCACCAATATGCCTATGACAAGAAAGAACGTGTCAAGTCGACCCCCGAGCTCCCACCGCTACGGCGTACCAACGTCATGATCGACCCTCTGCCTGTGTCCAAGGAGAAGGAAGCAGTGCTCAGCAGGACTAGGCCGTCATGGCTGCCACCCAAAGACCCGGCGGAGGAGCGCCGCCACATTCGAGAGTACCAGAAGATGATGGCTGCAAGTGCCAAGGCTGATGAGCGCCGCGAAGCTGCGCGCCGGTCACGAACCGAGGCCCGGGAAACAACGCTGGATGGCGCCATGCATGCTTGGGAACACGAGGTCATTCCCAACTGGAACCAGGCGATTCGCGAACGGAGAACCAGAGATATGTGGTGGAAAGGCGTGCCACCGCGCAGCCGCGGCATCATTTGGTTGCAAGCCATCGGCAACGATCTCGGCTTGACTGAGGCTTCCTTTGAGGCAGCATTGCAGCGAGCACACGAGCTTGAGTCCAGGGTCAAACAGGACAAAGGCAGCGCAGAAGATCATCGCAAGGCACAATGGTTCACCCAGATCCGACAGGACGCTGCCCACGACACTTGGCAAGGTCTCCACATCTTCGATGTTGAAGGACCCTTGCACGGCAGTCTAGTGGACGTCTTGATGGCATATGCAATGTACCGCAACGACGTTGGTTATGTGCATGGTTGTAATGTGAGTTTCCCCAAACCGTAATCACGATAGCATCTGCTGACTTCTCCAGACTGTCGCTGCTTTACTTTTGCTCAACTTGACGAGCCCCGCAGCTGTCTTTGTCGCCCTCGCCAACATTCTCAACAGACCACTACCTCTCTCGTTCTGTACCTCCGACTATGGAGCGCAGTCGTCGGCGTACAATTACGTGCTCCAGGGTCTGAGTCAGAAGTCGCCGACGTTGCACGAACATCTTGTGAAGGTGATCGAGGACGCTGACCCTGGAATCTACCTGCAACAAGTGTTCGCAAGTATCTTCACTGCGCAATTGTCAGTTGACACCGCAGCGCGACTTTGGGACATATATGTTTTCGAAGGTGACAGTCTTCTTGTCCGCGCAGCGGTTGCTATCCTGCTCGAGAACGAAATGACTCTTCTGGGGGTGCGGACTGGAACCGAGGTGAAATCAACAATTTCGAAATCTCTGAACCCAGAGCTGAAGGACGAGCCGCCTGCTTTGTCTGCTCCTGGGGCGGAAGAAAAGTTCATTGCCGCTGTGAAGGCAGCCGGCCGGACATGAAGAATATTTTTGAAAACACTTGGACACTCGCCAATGACAAAGAGGAGGATGCACGGTCATTGATGGATCGATTGATAATGTTTTTGTACATGGACATGTTGCGAGGATAGCGTTGATGATGTCGCCCGCTCGCTGAGCCTGGACGGCAGGCGAGGCATGCCGCGCAGACTTGCATTGATCTTGGAATGCGAGCGATATGACTTGATCATTTTAGGCAAAGGACCAGTAAATACTTACATATGAAATATATCACGACGGACATGTTAGGAACTTCTGATCAGGACAGTGACCAAATCGTACATCACGTGATAGAGACTAACAAGGAAGAGTGTGGGTGGGACCGCGCGACTTGATGAACGGTGAAAATTGGCCACCACCACCGGGACGCGGTCTGACAAAAACAAGCACTCACCATCGTCCTCACAATTGTCGCCGCCGTGACGCGCCTGCTCCTAGCGACCCGGGCGAACAGGTACAGGACGCGACAAAAGGGGACGACATCATGGTTTCTGGCTACAAGCACGGCGACACGCCCAAAAGGGCCATGGTACGCGGTACCATCTCGTATCTCGAGTCGCAAGGCCTGCCCGTGAACAAGTCGGCCATCTTTAGACACTTTGAGCTCTCGCGCTCCCAAGGCTATGCCGCGTTAAGCATCCCTGCTTCGAAAAGGAACAATCCAGAATGGGAAGAGACGCGCGGGCGCCCGAACAAGATCAGCGAAGCGGACCAGCACAAGATGGAGCAGATTCTCTGGGACGAACGGTATGAAGAGGTCAACCTCAACTGGAACGGCCTCGCCAAGGAGGCCGGGTTAGAAACCGACTGCAATGCTCGCACGCTCCATCGCACCATGGGCACCCTCGGCTATCGCCGCTGTCTAGGATGCAGCCGCTCTTGGGTTCACAAAAAGACGCGGGAGAAGCGGGTGGAGTATGCGGAGCGTATGCTCGAGGTCTACCCACAACCACACAACTGGCGTTTCATTCGCTTCAGTGGCGAGCTTCATTTTGGTTTCGGCCTCGATGGCAAGATGAGGCTTCTGCCACGCCCTGGCGAGAAGTACTGTGAGGGATGCAAAGATCAGCCACCGGCTGATTGGGGCCGCGACATTAGGAGAGTGCACTGCTGGGCAGCGATTGGGTATGGATTCAAAAGCGAGTTGGTCTTCTATGATGACCAGACCAATCCCAACCACACGGGTGTCATGTCCATGGCAGACTACACGGGCAAAGTCCTCGACCGTGTCGTTAAGCCATGGCTCGACCTCAGCGGCACGAACCAGTTCATTCTTGAGGAGGACATTGAAGCTTTTGCCCACGGCGGCGCGAGCAAGTCCAACATGGCCCAAGAGTGGAAGGCCGCGCATGAACTGAAGTGTTACTTTAACTGCCTCGACAGCCCAGACCTCAATCCCCTTGACACACAATGGCCACCTCACAAGCAGTGGACTGTTGAACCCCTCACGGACTGGAGCGACGCGAAGCTGAGACAGGCGGCACGGGACGCTTGGGCGAGCCTTGATCAGGAGAGGGTGAACATGTGGGTGGACTTTATGCCGCAGCGGCTGAGGCAGGTGATCGACAGCCAGGGACGAATGGTGCCTTGGTGAGGGTGTGTGGTGGCGGCGCTGTAATGGTTTCTCGGGCGGTGGGTTTGTCTGGTTGGGCGTTACTTATGCCACCGTGGAGTTTGGACTTGTCATTTTCATGGAGCGCTTCGACATTGCCTGGGATATGCAATTTCTGGTGGGATTTGGGGAGTTTTACGCGGGTGTCAGTTTGAAGTCCTCATAGGGAGATGCATTGCGGAGTGTTGGACGAATGGGCCTACTATGGAGATGGTTGGGCCTATCTCGGGCCTGTGGCAAGGTTATGCTTCTACGCCTAGTTTTCTTCGCGTGATTGAATGCCTTGGGATTCGTTGTTTGGTACGGAGTACTCCGTAGTGACATTCTCTTTCATAGTAACTTGACCTATCTTCAGCGGGAACGAGAGACATTGTGAGGGCAAATAAGTTGATGAAGTTGAAATACAAGGTAGTTTGTTTGAGGCCATTGCCTGAACGAGAACCGCCCACCAACAAAACAAGCTTATCAAAATATTGTGGACCACACGCAAAGCCTGTTAATATCTAGATCTATTCTCGGGACCAAATGAACCACAGACCGAATAATGATAATTAGACGCTCGTCGCGACAACGATCACAGGGCTGTTGCAGGGTAGGTGTCTCGGTAAGTTGTAACCGCAGGACGATCTGATCCGACTTACTGGCAGTCCTATTGGTGGGGACGCGAGGAATCGCGGGGCGAAATCAGGGGTTTGTGGGAATCCCTTGGCATACCATTCTTGAAGATCCTTGTCTGTTAGCACCAATGTGATAAGGCTAGCCGCTACTGGCTAAATAAATGGCAGCGCTTCACGACCCTGCACGTGGGGCAAGCATAGACGCCCAACAAACATCCCCAACAACGTCGAGCGCCCGCGAAAAGTCGGATCATGGCGAAGGCAACTCGTGTTTACATGATGATAGAAGTGTATGTTTCAAAATGAGGCAGGGAAGCACGATGCCATTGCAAGAAGGCTCATTGAAATATCATATGATAATTTGCGAGTCAGTAGAGGAGGGCTCTGCGAGTGGCCACCACAACGAGTCGTGATGCCACTATCAGTTTTTAGTGTCAAACGTGGCAAATACTTGACTTTGCAGCCTTTCTAGCGCCAAGGCGCTGCCAACAGCGACTGGAGCTCAGCGTTCCCGCGTACGGCCGTAAACTGGCGGCGTTGTGGTGTGTACACTGTAACTGGACCACCGCAATGCCAGGCTTGCCAGCCGAGCAAAAAACACATGTGAAGATGATGCTCTGTCTCGGTAGCTCAGTACAAGGACGAGTGATAGCCGGAAGAGTATATGCCTTCCTAAACCTGAAAAGACCAGTGGTAAGACACTGGTCTGCCTGCGCCTCTCTAGTGTACCGACATGATCCGATCATGCCCTCAAGCTAGGCCCAGAACCGCGTGCAACAAGAGCGGTCAACCCGTCATGGCCAGCTTCGCGGCATCACATGTCGACGGAGCAATGGAGGAGGCGAGTGCCTCTCGGCTGAAAGCGAGACAAGCATTCGATATGTGCATGAGCTGACGGAGTAGGAAGAGAATTACTCGCCCTGTGACTTGAAGCGTCTTATCTGATGGTACACACGGACCCCACTTGACTCAAGCACGAATTGTAGCGCCAAATCAAAATCAGAAGCATTTCAAACTCCAGTTGCCTCCAGTCTTGTGTGAGTGATCCAGCACTTGGAATTGCAACCAGTGGCTGTGAGGGCTAGACCTAACGATGCTTCCTGTAATTACACGTTCAGACCACTGAGAGCAGCACTGGCACATGTCAGAACCAAAGTTCGTGGAATTAATTAACAAAGGTAACTGCGGATGCACAAGCGGGAGTGCCTGCCCGCCTGCCTCAGGTGGTGGATCACACTTTCCTCATTCTCAACCATTGAGAGAGCTTGACGACATCGAGCCTGCCAATCTCTCCAACTGTATTTCAGGAGGGAGCTGTTTGACCCCGCCAATCAGGGCCCTTTATTCCGTTAGCGCCATCCAGAACAGTCGACACCCCACCTGCAGTCCCTGAGAAACCCCAACAAAAAGTTGCCAAGCGGAACCTCATACTTCTGGAAGAGCCGCACAAACACACGCGCCCCTCGGCCGTCAACGGCGGTTCACCGACTCAAGTTCCAGATTTGCCGTCTGTTGTGCTGGGATGGCTGGCTGGCTGGCACAAAGTGGCGTTCTGCTACAGCATGATCGGCTTGCACAGATTTTCCCGACCCAGTCTCTCCTCTAATTAATTACCGGTACAGTCCTTAGACAAAACAAGCTCATCCTTCCTGGCTAACTGGCTAGAGTTTCTTCTTTCTCTTCCCCTTCACACCCATCCCGCCTCTTGTCTGCCCCTACACTGTTCACCAAAGGGCCAAGTTGCTCATCGTCAAGCTCATCATGGCGTCCGCTTCTACTTCCACTGGTGCTGCGAAGCCCAGCAACCCAGTGCTTCGCCGTACCGTCACATCGACCACCGTGAACGACTCGGAGTCATCTGCGGCTGTCAGTCCTTCAGACTCTCCCCGCCATTCGGCCTCTTCGACGTCTCTCTCCTCCATGTCCTCCGTGGACATGGGTGCGTCCAAGGCTGATGAATATGCCAATCTCGTGGACCTGAACGGCAACTCTTTCACGCCCCCCGACTACACCATCAAGGATATCCGCGATGCTATCCCTAAGCATTGCTTCGAGCGTTCTGCCATTCGCGGGTGGTCGTACATCCTGCGCGACATGGCCTGCCTGGCGACGACCTTCTACCTTTTCAACACATTCAACACCCCCGAGTACGTCCCCAATGTGGCCGCTCGCGCTCTCCTCTGGGCTCTGTACACCATTCCTCAGGGTCTGTTCGGCACTGGCCTGTGGGTCATTGCTCACGAATGTGGCCACGGTGCGTTCTCCGCCTCCAAGAGGATCAACGATGCTACTGGCTGGCTGTTGCACTCTGCTCTGTTTGTGCCCTACTTCAGCTGGCAGATCTCGCACAGCAAGCATCACAAGGCCACCGGTCACATGGAGCGTGACATGGTCTTTGTCCCACGCACGCGTGAGCAGTACGCAAACAAAGTTGGCCACCTCATCCACGAGCTGTCGGAGCTCACCGAGGAGACGCCCATTTACACTCTGTCCATGCTCATTGGGCAGCAGCTGATCGGCTGGCCTCACTACCTCATCACAAACGTCACGGGCCACAACTTCCACGAGCGCCAGCGTGAGGGTCGCGGTAAGGGCAAGAAGAACGGGTTGGGCGGAGGCGTCAACCACTTCGACCCAAGCAGCCCTCTCTACGAGCAGAAGGATGCGAAGCTCATTGTTCTCTCGGATATTGGCATCGCCTTGAACGCCGCTGTCCAGATCTACCTCGGCAACACTTTCGGCTGGGCCAACATGGCTGTGTGGTTCTGGGTGCCTTGGCTCTGGGTCAACCACTGGCTGGGTAAGTTCCCATCGGGCATTCAAATTGTGAACTGACAGAGCTAACATTGCAAATAGTTGCCATCACCTTCCTCCAGCACACCGACGCCACCCTTCCCCACTACACCGCCGAGGAGTGGAACTACGTTCGTGGGGCTGCTGCCACCATCGACCGAGACATGGGCTTTGTTGGACGCCATCTCCTCCACGGCATCGCCGAGACGCATGTCCTGCACCACTACATTAGCAGCATCCCCTTCTACAACGCAGATGAGGCATCGGACGCCATCAGGCCGGTCATGGGCAAACACTACCGCGCTGATACCGAGGGTGCTCTGCTGGGTTTCATCAAGGCCATGTACAAGAGCGCCCGTACCTGTCAGTGGGTTGAGCCCAGTGCTGATGCGCAGGGTGCCGGCAAGGGTATCCTCTTCTTCCGCAACCGCAACGGTCGGGGAACTCCTCCCAGCAAAATGCAGGCGCAGTAGAGCGAGTCGAAAAATAAAGCGTCAATTGGCATAGATTTGGAGGCCTTGTTTATTTTTGCACTACAACTAGGGGAGTTTGCCACGTAATTTATGAGACCACGATTAGACAGATAAAGGATAGATCTGAAAGTCACAATCGAGATATTCTTACAAGCTGGCACCTCTTTCTCATCATTTTTCAGGTTGATGGCTTCAGAAGAGCTCTCCATCGACCAGGAGAGGCTTTCGCAGCGCTATCATTGGATCATGTCTCGAGAGACATGAACCTAAACCCTACTGCAAGTATAATCCACAAGAGGCAGATTGTCAGGGACACCGGGGTTCTCTGATTACGAATGACCGTTCTTGTCATGCTCAACGGCGAGAGATGATCGCCACAAACGTGCATGGAGCTCTTCGATCCCAGCACATTCAACAAAGAAGGGCATTTCCCCTGCCTTTTTTATGCTTGCTTGACACGTGGAACCGTGGCCGGAACAGAGATGTCCGGAGGTCTCGGAAGTTACTCTTGCGCACGTCTCTCACAGGCAATGCGTCAGTATATCCGCATTGAGTCGACGAGACTTGCGAATTATTCTGAGACACAGTGAGATCGTGCTCGACTCCTTTGCATTTTGGTACCCTCTATGTAAGTCTACTTGAGACTGGATATAGTGATGCTGCCCAAGCCCTGCATGGCTGCTCTTCAAGCAAGCGGTGAAATGGTGTCGTCCTCTGCGCTTGTGTCTACTCTCGGACCTGACCTTGCCACATCTGCATCTTTGGCACTATGGACTTTGGAGGACAAGCTCTCGTAGAGGGCGGCAAATGGAGATTTGTCTGCGCCTTGCTGCAGCAGCTCCCGAGGGGGCCCAAACTCGACCAGCACACCGGCGTCCAGGACTGCCACTAGATCGAAATCATCAAGAGCGGACTCGAGCTTGTGCACAATGGAAAGGATTGTATGATTGGAGAATCTCTCCTTCATGATCCGTTGTATGAGCTCGTCTGTATGTGCATCGACGCTGGACGAGTGTGTTAGTGACCATTTGGAGCACCTATTGCGGTTCGATGCATAGAATAGGTTGGATACTACTTACCTGCTGGTGGCCTCATCGAGAACGATGATCGGCGAGGGACGCAGCATCGCGCGGGCAATACAGAATAGCTGCCTCTGACCATGGGAGAGATGTAAGTCGTCAATCGGTGCGTCGAGGCCGCCTTTGCTGGCCACGATGTCCCACAATTCGACGAGTTGCAGAGCATCCTCGACGGCTGCGTCCGGTAGTTTCTCAGCCGGATCTGCGTTGAGTCGCACGCTGCTGCCGTCGATGAGGAATGCATCCTGTGGCACACCGACCAAGCGCGTGCGAACTTCTTCCCTTGGGATGGTTGTGATGTCGACATTGTCGACGGTGATCCGGCCGTCGTGGATGTCAATCATGCGGAAGAGGCACGAAACCATTGAGCTTTTACCACTGTTGTGACAGAAAGAAATATCATTAGCACATTTGCACTTTTCTATGACGGGGTACTTTTCTAGGCGGACGTTACCTGCCGGTTCGTCCACAAATGCCAATTTTCTGGCCTGGCTGGATCGCCAATGATATGCCCTTGAGAACGTTCTCTGACGACCTGGAAAGACGATTAGAATTATGCCTCCCATCATAGCCCAAATAGATGCACTTACTTGTAGCCTGCAGATACGTTGTCGAACTCGATGCCCCCCTGTGATGGCCAAGTTGGCGGAGGAACCTCCTTCTCCTGCACCTCGTGCTCCGACTTGGTGTGAGTAGTGAAGGACTTGATCCTGGAGATGGCACCAATGTGAGTCTCAAGATTGGTCCAGAACATCAACAGCAGCTTCAGATTCTGGCTGAACAAGATGACGTTGACGAGCGCAACGCCGATGAGCCCAGGGGGCAAGACACCGCGCAACTGCGTGATCAGAATAACCAGAAGCACGGCGATGCCCGCGACGAACATGTCGAGGACTAAGGTCAACCATCTTTGCACAGCGTAAAGTAGGTAAAATGGCCTTTGGGAACGGTCCAAGAGGTTGTAGAGCTTCTCCTCCAGGGCGCGTCGCCAGCCAAAAGCGCGCAGGGTCGCCAAACCCGTGACGGATTCGGTGAACAATGCATACAGAGGGCTCTTGGCTTCCAGATCCATGAAGCGTAGCTGGCGAGATGTTCGAAGGTAGACATGCTGCACCAGCCAGAGCGCAGCAAAAAGGAACGGGAATGCGATGGCAGTGTAGTACGAGCCAACGGCCACGAGTGCAAGCTGCGCGATGCAAAGAACAAAGGTAGCAAAGGTGTTGAGCGCCGCAATGGGGAGATCCATGTCAATCAGTTGCAAATCCTGGCTGAAGCGGTTGATTGTGACTCCAGCATCCGTGGCAGCGAAGAAGGACATGGGTGCGTTGAGCACCGTCCTCAAGAGATTGGAGTGGAAGTTCTTGCCTGACAATGGGACCATTGTGACGATCATCTGCCAGCAGCTGACGATGAGGAAGATGAGAGCTAGTGCGCCCAGCATGGCATATATTCCAAGATAGTAGCCGAGGCGTTGATGTGGCTCTTCCGCATTCGCTGCCGCCCACCAGTTCAGCCAGATGGTGGGAAAGGACTGGCAGAAGATGAAGGCGCAGATGGCAAAGATGAAGATGAACGTGGGGATCCACCCAATGGCGCGGATGTAGTATGTGTAGATGGCAATATCGCCAGTCCGGCGGCCGGCCTCGTCCTTCTCTTCTTCGAGTTGAGCGAGCTCCAGCTTGGCGGCTGAATCGTCGTCCAGAGGATCAGTTGCGGAGGGATGTGTCCAATCCGCCGATGTAACAAGCAATTGAGAAACGTAACCATCCGAAGTGGATAGCTCTTGGAATGTTCCTTGCTCGCATCCTTTGCCAGTGCCGTCGAGGCAGATGATGTGGTCGGCATAGGGAAGACGCTTGGCTAGGAATTGTTTAGTAAGGGGTAAATGCTCATGAACCAAGACTTACATCGTGAAGAGGCAATGACGACAGTCGTATTCGACCGTCGCAGTAGACCCTTGCCGCCAAGGAGATTATGAAAGACAACGTTCTCGGTGTGAGCGTCCAAGCCGCTGAAAACATCATCGAGGATGATGGTGTCCTTCCGTGCATAAACAGCTCTTGCCAAACTCTATGAAAGATTAGCAAGATGTCTGTGAAGAATCATCGATCGAAAGTGACTCACAATCCTTTGACTCTGGCCTCCACTCAAAACAATACCTTTACTGCCAATGGTGGTCTGATCTCCCTTGGGAAGTTGGCGAAGGTCTTGTGTCAGCGCACATGCCTGTAAAACCTGCTCATACCAGCGCTCATCCACGGGAGAAAAAGCAATGATGCTGGCGCGTACAGTGCCGTTCATGTGCCACGGTGTCTGGTCGCAATACGCAATTTCGGAGCCCGTGACGTGAACGGCGCCGGCCATGAGGGATACTTCCCCCAGTATAGCCTTGAGCAGCGTGGACTTGCCGCTACCGACTGGACCGACGATCATTGTAAACTGAGAGGATGGCACTTCGATGCTGATGTCGGTCAGATTGGGATCCTTGTCCGAATCATAGCCAAAAGCACCATCTTGGATTTTGATGGTCACACCATTTTCCCTTGTGGGTGATCCTTCTGGTGCCTCACCAGACTCATCCACGTTCGTTTCTGAAGCCGATTTCTCATTACTCTGTTTGAATAGAGTAGATTGCGACGAGCTGCTCCCGCTGTTGGAAGTGTCATGAACCAGCCTCTGGTCGCTGCGGACATCGGATTCCAGGAAGGCCTGAATGCGAGAAAAACACCCGATGGATCCAACAAAGGACGACAGAGACGTGACAAACGAGGTCAGGGGCTCTTGAAGAAGCGCAAACAAGGACAGGGATGTGAAGACACGATTCGTGTCCAGAGTACCCCCATCACCCTGATTGCGAGCCAGGAGACTATACGCTGTGAAAGTGAAGATAGGGGCGAGGATGGGGGCAAGGTATGCTGTGACAAGCCGCCTGGTCAGCTACAAGTGTTTCTACAGAAGGGGGAGCACAAACCTAGTCCCATGTTCCAAATCAGAAGTCTTCGAAATTTGCCAGAGATGTGCAGCTCGTCATCTCTCATGGACGAGATCCGCGCTTCGAGGACACTAGTCAAGCCACACATCTTGACCCCTTTCATGGAGCCCAGCATTTGGGACGTCACAGCGATGCGCTTTTCGATGGCTTCGAGCCACATTGCTTGGCGTGCCATGACAAAGCTCACGGCGATGACGGAGCCGACGATTGATACTGAGGAGTCAGCGGAATCCTCCACTTCACAGCTGTTGACTCACCGAGTGCAGTTGCAACGGGTATGAGACAGGCTATACCCAGCTGGCGCTCGAGTAGATAAATGGCAATGCCAATCTCGATGAGGTTCGCCCATATATCGTGAGCGGTACGCCAGCCCATGTCGATTCTTTCGATATCGGCGCTCATCAAGGTGAGAGCTGCGGTAGGGTCTGCGGCGGTGATTGTGAGGTCCGTCGCTTTGTCAAAGAGCATCGAGATGAGCTGACCGCGTGCCATGGAGATGGCCCGAAAAGTCAAGTGTTGGTGCTGGCCCATGGTGATCTATGCACAGTCAGTGGTCTGCAGCACATCCAAACATCTGACAGCAGGCTCACGGCAATGCCAAGATACACTAGGAACCACGCGCCAATCAGGCCATATCCTTGATCTTGATCATCCGAATCGCTGTCGCGCTCGGCCCACGCGAGGGTTGCCGATATGAGGAACGGTTGGCAGAAAGTAAAGCCTATGAAGCACAGGCGAGGAAAGACAATGCTCGAAATTGGGCCTTTGAGACTGGTGACAACTTTGAACAACAAGGCGTGTTTCGATCGCGAAGAGGCTTATATGGCTCAGCTCCCGGTTAACTAAGATTGGAGTTTCATCAGACTCACCGGTCGACCAGCGTTGTTGCAGCTTGGAGTGAAGGAGCGTCGACTTGAGATGCTTATCGAGATGAAACAAGTCATTGATTCCCAGAGCATTGGAGTAGCCTGCGCGGAACAATGGCAGTTGCCACGAGAAGAGCCATTGTGACAGTATACCGCTGGTAGATTCAGGTGTCAAGTTCTGGTATGCCGGGAGCAAGATGTGTCGCTTCTCAATGGCTTCGAGAGAAAATGCTACCAACTTGAAAACGACTGATACCAGTGATGCTATAGCAACTGAACGGTTATATGGCTGCAGCCATAGTGTTCGTGTGCGGGTAGCATCAAACAGGGCCGAGAAGAGGAGAAACAGGTTGATAATACTTGAGGGACGATATGAGTAGAGATGCTCAACATATGATAATACCAAAAGAGATAAAGAGCTGACAAACGACAATGCTGCTGCTGGCAGAGAGGCCCTAGTTGGCACCGCAGACGCCCGGGTCCAAAGCACGAGAGCAGCAACGTGAGAGGCACTGAGTAGGACATATGAGAGCTAGCAGAGTTAGAGAGGTCAAAGAGGCATTACAGTTCTCTCTGAATGAGTCGATCAAAGAAGGTGCAACTTACAACTTTCAAATATCGTAGATAGTCGGCTTTAACTTTGACGGTGCCTTTACTCAGCAGGTAAAAAACCCGACAAGGGGCTGCTAATAGTAACAAAGAGGCAATGGGAATAGTGAGCACGACATCCTCAAAGAAAAGCGTCAAGTCAAAGCCACCTCTGCAATCGCTTGCGTGAGGCCCAAGCGAATTGTCGATGCTGATGCAGTCTGAAGAGGCCATGGCTGGCTGTGCTCTGTCTAGACTGAGTGTTGGTCTGTCTCTGCAAACAAGGGATGTCTCATGGCCATCTGTACCGAGAAGGAAAATTTACAACGACGAGGGTCCGGTCCAGAGTAAGCGTGCTGCCACGACATGAAGTGACACGACACGTCTGCAGCCCCAATGCCACTTGATGGGTCAATGACAGCACAAGTACTCAACTGTCAGTTACGAATGGGCATCCGGCAGAACTGGACGTTTCCTTCTCGCAGTGGCGACCAAACAACAACTCTTCTTCGGACCAGATTGCCCGACCAGTCCGATAGTCTGTTTGATCAACTTGTCAGCCGTGCATATGGCTGAGACCTGCCTTGGCCCCGCAGGATGCCACCAGTCGCCATTGAGGCCGCAGGAAGCCAGGCGAGGATGGCACAGTTGCGGTCAGGGGTGGGGGAGGATCCAAGCTGAACTGTGCAATGATGTAGGTACGAGGCAGCACAGAACATTGAATGCAGACGCTCGGAAGTAGTCTATGCCGACGCATTCACCCGAACGGTGACGATGTGGCTGAGGGAACATTGGCCCGCAAGAGAAAAGAAACACAAACAATGTACGTATCCTGCACGCGCATGGCAAGCCGGGGGCGGTCCGCGGAAAGGAATAAGGTGCCGTGCACGCTCTTGGTTGGCCTGCGCGCGGTGGATCGTAATTCTATGCGCGGTGACCTGTCGCTTTTTCTGGCCACCACTATCTGGAAATAGGCATCTTCCCCTCCCCCCGGCAGTTCGGAGAGTTGATTCGTGTGACTCTAGCCTGGAGGATCGACGCTTGATAGTGCTGACTGCAGACGAGGCTGACAACGGCAGATTTGATTCATGATGCCGACCATCGAATCTGAAGCACGCGCGAACAACAACCCCGGAACATTGAAGGCTCATCAACTACATGTACCCCGTAGGCCAGTGTATATCCATTGCTACCCTGCCATGCAGACAAGACGCACGTCGAAGCTGAACATGCTGCGCTTTTTGGAGCATGCACTGCGAGTGCGTGCCCTCATTGTTGCGCCGTCGGACGGGCAAAGTGTGCCTGGGGGATCCTGCAACACGCTCGGCACGAAAGGTTCCTGTCTCTGGATCCCAGGTCCTTCTGGAAACTATTGATTCACGTCGTGCATGGTCACGTAATAATGACTGAGCGATCGGCCCCTTTACGGCTTCGGAGCGAAACCGTGCTGCATTTGCCATCTCAATACGGAGACTGTGCTACTCAATGATTGATTTGTGTGCACGTACAAGTCCTCGATCATGTTCATAGGCCGTGTCCTGCCGGGCCCCCCCTTGTAACCTCAGCCGCTCCGACGCACGATATGCAGATGATCAGATAATTTCCGACCAGTCGATCTGTGGGTGCGTGCTTGCTAATTCTCAGGCAAGGCGCGTTATTGGACCATGTCAGACATGAGAGGCAACCAACGACGCGAACATCAGCGAACATGAGAGAAGAGAACTTAAGCAAGGCTGGAAACACATTACGGCAGATCTTGCCGGAGCTAAGACGGAAGGCTTTTACAAGCTTTCAGTAGGGCACCACTCCGCATGGAGATCGAGGGGCTGGCTTCAGAGTGCGTATCTCGAATCAGTGGCGCGCGCCAAGGGCCAAGTCGGTCAACAGAAAAGGTTTTGGGTAGCCCTGCCGGTCGAACAGCCGTCTCCCCGGCCCTCCGCTCCCACTAGTTGGCGGCCCGATCCCTCTCTCTCCTTGGCAAGAGCTTGGCCAACCGCTTGCAAGTTGCAACTCGCAGGACGCAGGACGCCGGGGCCTGGCTTGGCGCAAGCGCGCAACAGGACAACTGTCCGGGGTACACGTACATATTCACGCTGTTGCCCCTAGAGTCCTTGACCGGTCAACCTGAAAATTTCTAGCCTGCAGATCATCGACTGATCTGGCATATTTGCCTACACTAGGCGTCTTGTGGCTTAATATTTGGCTTGTCAAAGCAGATGCGTTGCGCCTTGATCGACGACATCACTACGTGTACATACGCCTGGTTTGTATCCCGTGAAAGTGCGAGACCCGCCGCAAAAAGCAATGTCATCCGTAACTTGGTGCTGTCCAAGAATACCGTATAACGTCGGCTTAGCGGCAAGAAGCAGGCCGATGGGTACACTCACCTTCTTTGTTCGTTGAGTGGCCGGCTGAGCTACCAGTTAAGGACCTTGCAGTTTCTCGGCGTGCATGGAACTTGGACGACACCGGCGCGGTCGCTTGTGACGGGGCGAGGTAGGGACACGGACTACCTGAGAAGAGATTTGAGCAGCATCTTGCTTATTGCAGGATCCACGGAAACTGGAACGCAAAGGACATACACAGGTCCTCGATGCTGACATTGCCTTGCCTGAGCGGCGCTCATGGTCAGTATAATACGAACATGCGTGGACAGTTTAGTCAAAATATTGGGCGGATTCCATTGTGCCCGCGTAACCTATCTGACCGTGCATGCATCAATTCCAGTTACACATCGATACATTTTCAGCTCCGTCATAGTTACATTGCGTCTACACAACTATCTTGGAAACACGTCGGACAAGGAGCAATGTGACATCTAAGGGATTGGGGAACTGTATGGCAGGTACATGTAATTGGGTCGTGAGTGTTTCCTGACTTGGACGCCACCCTGTCTAGCAGGCTGAGGGCTCATGTACATGTACCGAGAAAGAAGGAATTAATACCGCGAAGCGAAGGGCACCGTTCATGGAAAGACATTTCAGCCGCCCCTCATTTCTGCATTCGTTCCGGAAGCCTTGCTTTTATCCCCAGAGACGCCCAAATAGGACATTTCACGGACGAGACCGCCAGCTGCGAGCCCGCCAGGGGTAGGCCATCTGCAGGCATGATGAGATATTGACAAAACATGAGCGCCATGGAGGATCGGAAAATATTTTCTAGGCCAGCCACCTGCGTCGTGACAACACACCACGATCGCTCATCTGGTTTGTTGGCCAAGCGAGGTTTGAACTGGGGCACCGAGAGCTTCCCTAGGGGGTCTTCAGCACTGCGCTCTTTGCCCATTGGAAATTGACAGAAAGACTATCTATCTCATCCATACGCTGATGCTTTCCACATTGGTTTAACTGGGACCTGGGCTTTTACCATTGCCAGCCAGAGCTAGACGTTCACTCACGTTCAGTCTCCAGATATCTAATCTCGCATCATCTGTCTCATTTCTGCAGACAGGTTCCCAGCATATTGGAACTCAGAATGGCCTCCAACAGTCGCCGAACAGATGTCTCCCAGGTGTCTGGGTTGAAAGAACTGGAGTCATGCGTGTTTCCTGCGTTCGACGTCGGCGAGAACAATCGCCCAAACTACCTTGCAATCAAAAGCAATCTCGCCAACACTGGACTACAAAGCCATCCTGACGTCAATGCTGCTCTTTGCACCGCCTGGGGCGTCTTGATCAGTTGTTTTACAGGCCTCGACACGGTCTGCTTTGGATACAACAATCAAATATCTGAAAACAATGTCGATCCATCTGGCCTCCCCCTTTCGGAGAGACAAGTCCTACAGCTCCACGTGGGCGGCGATCAACAGGTGCATAGGGTCTTTTCTGAGTGTAACCCAACGACAGTATCGTCGACAAGCATCACCGACAAGCTCAACACTGCGCTTGTGCTTCGACGTTTCAAGTTGGAATCTCACGCAACCAGGCACGACGACGACACAGACTCGGCTCTTGACCCCAATCCCTTCCCTGAATTCAAGATCATCATCACCGTGGACCCCCTGAAACTCACGACGGAGCTCTCCTGGGTTGGATCTTTCATGACCATTGATCAGGCGCGCAATATCAACAGCACTTTTGAGAAGTTGTTCTCTGAGCTGAGTGCCGCGTCAGGCGATGACACTCTCTCGCGTCTCGACTGCTTCAGTCAGCCTAACCTGCAACAAGTTCTAGCATGGAACAGCAGCCCATTGAGTAACGTCCAGAAGTGCATTCATCATGTCATCTCCGAACAAGCGATCTCGAGGCCTGATGCCGAGGCCATATGTGCTTGGGACGGCACCTTGTCCTACCGCGAACTATCAACTCTATCGGATCGTCTCGCATTATCACTGCAGGCTGCCGGTGTGGCGCTGGAGTCGTTCGTGCCGATCTGCTTCGACAAGTCTAAATGGACTGTCGTTGCCATGCTCGCAGTGCTCAAGTCTGGAGGTATCTTTGTGCCGCTTGACCCCACGCACCCTGTCCCCCGACTGCAGGCACTGGCACACAAAGTCGGGGGCCAAACACTGTTGTGTTCGAGACATCATCTGGAGAAGCTGGCGACAGTTGCTCCTACACTGATACCAGTGGATGACCAGCTTTTCTCTGAATTGGGAGACCATGTTTCGGGAGAGCACAATGACAGCACCGTGTCCTACACGAACGGCGCGTACATGATTTTCACGAGCGGAACCACTGGCGAGCCCAAGGGAGCTCTGATCCAGCATGGCGCCCTCTTGTCCAGTGCCATGGCACACGGGCCTGCCATGATGATGGACCACAACACACGATCATTGCAGTTCGCGGCTTCTACTTTCGATGTGAGCATCACCGAGATCCTTTCATGCCTCATACTTGGCGGATGCGTTTGCATCCCAAGTGAAGAGGCGCGCTTGAACGCCATTGAAGAGGCAATTACCCAACTCCAAGCGAATTGGGCACTTCTTACCCCGACCTTTGTTAAATTCATCAACCCTGACAATGTGCCATCACTGAAGACGCTGGTCACGGGAGGTGAGGCAATGACGCAGGCCATCATCCGCTCATGGTCACACATCAACCTTATCAACTGCTATGGCCCTGCTGAGACGTCCGTTGTATCACACGTCCACCGGGGCATGCGTGAAGGCAAGAACCCCCTGAACATTGGCCATCAGGTGGGAATTCATTGCTGGATCGTGGACAGATATAATCACAACCGATTGATGCCTGTGGGTGCTGTCGGTGAGTTGGTTATAGAAAGTCATACGCTGGCACGGGAATACTACAAGGAGCCCGAGAAGACTGCGGATGCCTTTATCTTGGATCCAGAATGGGCCAAAGGTCTGCCTGCGGTGCCCAAGCCGCGTCGGATGTACAAGACGGGTGACCTTGTGAAGTACAACCATGATGGGACATTCCATATTGCTGGTCGCAAGGACACCCAGATCAAGTTCCATGGTCAGCGCATTGAACTGGGCGAGATTGAGCATCACCTCAACGTGAGCCCCAGCATCAAGCATGGCATGATCGTGTTGCCTCAAGAGGGATTTTGCAAAGACAGGCTCCTGGCAATAGTGCAGCTGAGTGACGCACTGAACCAGGACCTTGTACCCAAAGGTCGCCCATATCAGCTCATCGAAGGCGAGATTGAGGAGTCTGCCAGGGACAAGGTTGACGAGGCAAAGCAACTCCTCATCGAACGACTACCGCCTTACATGATCCCCTCCATGTGGCTCCCAGTTGAGTTTATTCCCCGTCTGCAATCAGGTAAGCTCGACCGCAAGCAGACTGCGCAATGGGTCAACAACATGAGCGAAGCGCTCTACCGCCAGCTGAATCCGGATGTTACCACACGTGGCGCCCTGGACGACATGACCTTTGCGAGCGACTCTGAAAAGGAGCTCCATAGAATATGGAGTCATGTTTTGAACCTTAAAGCAGAGCAACTCGGCCTAAAGCAATCCTTCCTCAGTGTCGGAGGCGATTCCATCTCCGCCATGCAGGTCATGAGCGAGTGCAGAAAGGTCGGCATCAGCCTCACCGTGCGCCATATCATCGCGTCCAAGTCAATAGCCGAACTGGCTTCGCATATCAAGGATATTGAGACACCAATGCTTCATAGGGAGGTGCTCGAGCAAGCCTTTGACCTATCTCCCATCCAGAAACTATATTTCTCACGGCCTAACTTCGACCAAGGCCATTATAACCAGAGTTTCCTACTTCGCACCAGTCGACGCATCCTGACGTCTGAGCTGCGCGCAGCCATCGAAATCGTCATTCAAAGACATTCCATGCTGCGCGCACGATTCAATAGAGACGGCGCAGGCAGCTGGCAACAGCGTATCACCAACGACGTAGCGTCATCCTACCGTCTGCGGACATTCACACTTGCATCACGGGATGATGTTGACGCTTCGCTGGTCGAAAGTCAAACATGTCTTGATGCAGAAAATGGGCCATTGTTTGCTGCAGACCTGATGGACGTCAACGGCGACGACGAGTTGCTTTTCGTCGTGGCACACCACCTTGTCATTGATCTCGTCTCATGGAGGGTCATTCTTCAGGAACTGGAAGAGATCCTTACCCATCCTGGATCAGTCTCGACTACTGAGAGACCCTTGCATTTCCAAGTCTGGTGCAAGTTACAGTCAGACCATGCATCTTCGTTAACACCTGCGCAGGTACTCCCCGTGCAGGGGATACCTGATGGGAATGCTGAGTATTGGGGCATGGTAGATGAGCCCAATGTGTACGGACAAATGACCCGAGAGGCATTTGAGATTGACCAGTCCTTGACCTCACTACTCTTGTCAAAGTGCCACGAGGCTCTTGGAACAGAGGTACCCGATGTCCTACTGGCAGCCATGATCTTTTCATTCGGACAGACATTCACGGACCGGCCCGTGCCGGCCATCTTTACGGAAGGCCACGGAAGAGAAGTGTGGGATTCGTCCATTGACTTGTCTGATGTAGTCGGGTGGTTCACCACAATTTATCCCGTCTTTGCCGGCTCGAGCCCTCACACAAGCCTTGTAGACGCAGCAAAGGCAGTCAAAGATGGACGCCGCAAAGTGCCATCAAGCGGAAGGCCCTACTTCGCGAGCCGATGGCTCACCAAAGACGGCTGCGATGTCTTCTCACGGCACTGGCCGTTGGAGATCACCTTCAATTACTTGGGACAGTACCAGCAGCTGGAACGCGAAGGCGCCCTCTTCACGCCTGCGAAAGACATTGCTGGAGAGGTGCGAGGTGCGACTGAGGGTGCTGATGTAGGGCCTCAAACATCATGCATCTCCCTCTTTGAGGTATCGGCTGTTATCCTCAAGGGATGCCTACGATTCTCATTTGTCTTCAACCAGAACATGAAGCACCAGGACAGCATCAGACGCTGGATCTCAACTTGTCAGCACAAACTCAGTGACATGATCCAAGAACTAAGCGAAAGGCCGCGGGAAGCCACACTGAGTGACTTTCCGTTACTCGACCTGACATACAACCGCCTGGATGTCTTGGTACATGAGAAACTCCACGTAGCAGGCATCACAGCATTGGACGAGGTGGAAGATGCCTACCCGTGCTCCCCAATGCAGTCGGGTCTCCTGGTTAGCACTGCGAGAAATGGCGCCTTTTACGCTGCTTACACCCTGCACGAAGTGAAGAACAGGGACAATTCGCCAGTGGATGTCCACAAACTCGCGGCTGCTTGGTCTCATCTGGTGCAGTACCACCCCATTTTGCGAACGGTGTTCATTGAGAGTGTCAGCCAGCAAGACTCTTTGTACGATCAGGTTGTTCTCAGGCAGACTAAAGCAGCGGCCTTACAGTCAAAAGCCGATTCGGAAAAGGAGGCCAAAGTCTTGTTGGGCTCCCCTCCTCAGCACCAAAGCGACACTGACCGACCTTTGCATCGCTTTGAGATCTGCCAGACAAGGGACGGCAGGGTCTTTTGCAGGTTGGATATCAGCCACATCATCATGGACGGGACATCCATGTCTATCATCTTCCGAGACCTTTCCAAAGCGTACGATGGAAAGCTCCGAGCTAGGGAACCGCCTCTCTACCGAAATTACATCGCGTACTTGGCGACTCAACCAAAGGAGGCCGGTTTAGCTTACTGGGCCAACTACCTGTCGGGCATTGAGCCCTGCCACTTCCCGGTGCTCGACGATGCCATCATCGCACCGTCGAAGGAGCTGAGATATGTGAGAGTGAAGTTTGACAAACCAACGGAGCTCCAGGAACTATGCGACAAAATGGGTGTCACCATTGTCAACGCCATCTACGCCGCGTGGGCACTGACACTTCGCCTGTACACTGCTTCGGAAGAAGTGTGCTTTGGCTACCTCACATCATCCCGAGACCTACCGATCGATGGAATCCGCGACGTTGTTGGGCCCGTCATTAACATGGTCGCCTGCCGCTTGAACATACACGCCGCTTCAAATCTCGCGGAGGTCATGACCACCGTACAGAGGGACTATCTAGATAGTCTTGCATTCCGTCACATCTCTCTCTCCGAGGTGCAGCATGCGTTGAAGCTCTCCAACACGCCCCTGTTCAACACAGCCTTGTCTTACCGCAAGCTCCCCCGTGCCGACGAGAATCCAGCAAATATTACGTTTCAAGAATGTCGACCAACATACGACCCAGATGAGTATAATGTTTCCATTAACATCGAAGCCGACGAGAAGGAAATGGCTGTCGATCTCATGTACTGGACAGACACACTTTCAGATGGTCAAGCACAGAATGTAGCGAGTACTTTCACCCAGGTGCTCACCAACATTCTGCGGAACTGCACAACACCACTGAGCCAGCTCGACCACCTCGGTCATTGGCATCGTGAACAACTTGGTGTCTGGAACCAGTCAATGCCTGCACCCATTGAGCGCAGTCTTCACGAGATTGTACATCAACAAACCCTGCGTCGTCCAAATGCTCCAGCTGTCGCTTCTTGGGATCTGGACCTCACGTACGCAGAGCTTGATGATGTCTCCACCAGATTGGCCCTACATATCGCATCTCTAGGGGTGCAGCCAGAGACCTTCGTTCTCCTCTGTTTCGACAAGTCGGCACTCGCTATTGTCGCCATGATGGCGGTGTTGAAAGCCGGTGGAGTTTGTGTTCCCCTGGATCCGGCCCACCCAGATGCTGCGATCCAGCTTCGTGCCGAGGACACGAGAGCACCGTTGGCTTTGGTGTCTCCTTCCCAGGCGCAAAGGTTCAAGAGCCTCGTGGGACAAACCGTGGCTCTTGAGAACGACTTGCTTCAATGTCTCAGCAAATCCGAAGACGTGGCGCTGCCTCATGTCGAACCCTCCAATGCCTGCTTCGTCATATATACTTCGGGCAGCACAGGCCGACCAAAAGGCGTGATCCTGGAGCATCGCGGCATAGCCACCAATGCTGCATACAGCGGGCCATTGCTTGGCTACGAGGAGGACTCGCGCGTCTTGCAGTTCGCTTCATATACCTTTGACAACAGCCTCGCAGAGATATTCACCACCTTGACTCGAGGAGGCTGCGTTTGTGTGCCTTCAGATCATGAGCGACTCAATGACCTGACCGGGGTTATCAACAGGTTACAGGTCACATTTGCTGACATCACCCCCACAGTAGCTTGCTTCCTTCAACCCAGCGAAGTGCCCACGCTGCAAACTTTGGCGCTGGGGGGAGAAGCTGTCACTGCAAAGTGTGTCGAAATTTGGAGGGACTTTGTGAGACTGACGTGTTGCTATGGCCCATCAGAGTGCTCAGTCAACTCAACGTACTCTGGTGACATCGCAACGCCGGGCAAAGCCACCAACATTGGTCGTGCAGTAGGATGCGTTGTCTGGGTTGTTGATGCGGACGACCACAACTGCCTGCTACCTGCCGGTTGCACAGGAGAACTCTTGATTGATGGCCCGATTGTGTCCCGTGGATATCTGAATCTCCCCGAGAAGACAGAGCAGAACTTCATCAGCCCTCCGTCATGGTCACAGGGAGTTTTCAACTGTACCGACACCAACAGGCGCCTATACAAGACGGGTGACCTGGTGCGCTATGATTCAGATGGCACGCTCATGTATCTTGGGCGCAAAGACAACCAAGTGAAACTCAACGGACAGCGCATTGAACTCGGCGAGATTGAAGCCAACATTGAGCAGCTACTCCCGGCGGGAACCCAGACAGCAGTGGAACTCGTTGTTCTAGAAGGCAAAAAGTCTCTGGCGTGCTTTCTTTGTGCCGAAGCAGATGGACACGTGCCCAGTTGTGAAGACGAGAGCAACATTCTGTCTGTCAACGAGAGGTTCAGAGCACAAGCCAAGGACCTGGAGATCAAACTGTCACAGAAACTCCCGAGCTACATGGTGCCTTCAATGTGGCTCCCCGTGTCACAAATGCCTCTCACAGCATCTGGCAAATTGAACCGCCGCGGCCTGCGTTCGCAAGCCTCGGAGGTGTCTGCGACACTGATAAGCTCATACAAACTGGCTACAAGGAGCGGCCGTGCCCCCGCCAGCGAGTTTGAAATCAAGTTGGCTGAGCTCTGGGCCAAGGTCTTGGCAATCGAAGCTTCATCCATAGGAGTGGAGGACAATTTCTTCAAGCTTGGAGGAGACTCGCTTGGCGCTATGCGCCTGGTGACCCTTGCTAGGAAGCATGATATCAGTCTGACAGTCGGAAGCATCTTCCAGAAAGCCACCTTGTTCCAGATGGCGGAGACAGCCCGGCGAGTGTCTATGTCTCCAGCGTCCGTTATTCATCCGTTCAGTCTCGCGCCAAGGGGCACGTCGGTCGACGCGCTCAAACAGGATCTGTCGGCGATAGCGATGATCCAGCCGGAACAGATCACAGACGTCTATCCATGTACACCAATCCAGGAAGGCTTGATGGCTCTCTCAAACAGGGAGCCCGGTGCTTACGTTGCCCAGCTTGTCTACCGTTTGCCAGAAAACCTGGACGCTGATAGATTCATGAGAGCTTGGAATGCTACTGCAAAGGCTGAGCCATCGTTACGAACACGCATAGTCCATACAGAGGCGAATGGATTTCTCCAAGTTGTTGTCGACGAGGCAATCCACTGGCAGTCCATCGCTAGCCTTGCTTGCCTAGGAGAGTCCGACCGCCGGTTGCCTCAACACAACGGCGCTGCGCTGGCTAGCTACGCCTTGGTCGGCTCGGACCCACGCACCCCCTATTTTGTCTGGACTATTCATCACGCTTTGTATGATGGCTGGTGCTTACCCATCATTCTCGACAAGGTTCGCAGATGTTACGAAGCCCCAGCAACTCTCACTCAGCTGAGCGGGCCTTCATACACCAGATTCATTCAGTATGTCACTGGACTCAACCAAAAAGAGACTGATCAGTTTTGGAAATCTCAGCTATCGGACATCTCAACCCAGCATTTCCCAAGATTGCCAAGTCCGGATTATCAACCGAGCGCAAGTAGCCTCATTGTCCACACCACTCCACTAGGGAAACAAGGTGGATCTGAATTCACTATCCCAACGAGGATCCGCGCGGCTTGGGCGATGACCATCGCGGCGTATTCAGGGGCAGGCGATGTCGTGTTCTGGGAAACCATGACGGGCCGCGACGCACCCGTGGTTGGCATTGAAGATATGATTGGAGCGACTTTGACGACCGTGCCTACAAGAATAATGGTCGATCTCTCGTTAACGGTGGAGGAGTTCCTCTCCAAAACACAAGGCAAGTCAGCTGCTACTATGCCTCATCAGTATGCAGGGATCCAGCGCATCAAGCATCTCAACGACGACGCAGCTATAGCGTGCGAGGCACAGAATTTGATTGCCTTCAATCACGGCAAACGTGGCTCGCAGGACTCATTCTGGGACGAGAAAACGAACGAGATGGCTGGTACCAACTTCTACACGTATCCTCTCATGCTCTCCTGCCACATTGCGGAGACGGACCTCGAGACAGTGGTTCACTTTGATGTCAACGTGATTCCTGAATGGCAGATGCACCGCATAATGGATCACTTTGGCTTCATGCTGGAATCCTTGAACTCCTCAGAGCTTTGCGATGGGACTTTGGGCAAGATTGGACTTTTGAGCGTCCACGATATGGAGACCCTTCGCGACTGGAATCGCACACTGCCAGCCCGCATCGAAGATACGGTGCACGCCTTGATCAAACGACAAGGAGATAAACATGGTCCAGAGAAGCTTGCAATCTGCGCATGGGATGGCGATCTTACCCACGGGGTTATGCAGACACTTGCCGCCCGTCTAGCTTCACAGCTGCGTGAGCTTGGTGTGTCTCCGGGGACAATAGTCCCGTTCTGCCTGGAAAAGTCATTCCTAGTCCCCGTCTCCATGCTGGCTGTTCTTCAATGCGGTGCAGCGTTCGTCCCTCTGGACCCTTCTCACCCGGATACTCGCATCAATGGCATTTTGGAAGATGTGGATGCAGGGGTTATTTTATGTTCTCCAGCTCACAGGGAGAGGTTTGCTCGACTCGATCGGCAGCCTCTGGTTGTGTCTCGAGAATTTCTGGAGGGCCTCACTCGTGTTGAACAACATGCGGATGTGTCCGTCTCAGCTACGAGCACTGCCTATATCATCTTCACATCAGGCACAACAGGCAAACCCAAAGGTACTATTGTGAGTCACGGGGCATTTTGCACTGGTGCACTGGCTCATGGGTCAGCCATGGGTATGGACGAGTCTTCGCGCGTCCTGCAATTTGCGTCGCATACTTTCGATGCAAGTATCATGGAGATTCTCACAACCTTAATACACGGCGGAACCGTCTGTGTGCCGAGCGAGGACGAACGACTGAACGATCTTACCGGAGCCATCAATCGTATGGGGGTGAACTGGACGCTGTTGACACCTTCAGTCGCCCAACTCATGATGCCGTCGCAGGTACCCCAGCTCAAGACCTTGGTCCTTGGAGGAGAGGCAATGACTGCCGCTCACATCAACACCTGGGCCTCAGCCAATGTGCGTCTGATGAATGCATACGGCCCGAGCGAGACGGCTGTCGTAGCCACAGTGAACCCAGAAGTTACATTGGCATCGGGCCCGTCGAATATTGGCCACGCGGTGGGTGGCCTTTGTTGGGTTGTTGATCCAGCAGACCACAACCTACTGGTTCCCATAGGGGCTACCGGTGAGCTCGTGGTAGAAGGCCTAATTGTGGCTGAAGGTTATCTCAACAACACTCGCAAGACCGAAGAAGCCTTCATCACGAATCCCACCTGGTGCGACCAATTCCCTGCCAACGACAGGAAGGCGGATCGCAGGATGTACAAGACCGGTGACTTGGTCAAGCTCGCGCAAGACGGCACAATCGTTTTCCAAGGCCGCAAGGACAATCAAGTCAAGATCAACGGACAAAGGCTTGAACTCTCCGAAGTGGAACATCATCTCGGCACGGACGTTGCAGTTCAATATGGGCTGGCGATACTCCCGGCTTCGGGGCGCTGCCAGAAGCGGCTCACTGCTGTCATGACGCTCAAGTCGGTCGCAGACGCCAAGTCCAATACCTCTAGCAACGATATTCGGCTCGCTGAGAAGGCCACGACAGCCTCATTTCTCTCGGGAATACGCGAACGGGTTGCTAGTCACCTCGCTGCTTACATGGTTCCCTCGAGATGGATTGTTATCGATCATTTCCCTCTCCAATCCTCCGGCAAGCTTGACCGTCGTCGTGTCATTGACTGGGTTGAAGCTCTGGACGACCATGTCTATCAAGGAATCTTGGACATTGAAGAGAATGCGGCCGGTCTTGACAGAGAGCCCACAGACCTCGAGAACAAGCTCAGGGCTGCCTGGGCCAGAGTTCTTAATCTCGATGTTCTCAAGGTCCCCTTCAACCAGTCTTTCCTCCATTTGGGCGGCGACTCTATCTCCTCAATGCAGCTAATGAGTGTTTGCGGGGCATCCAATATTGCGCTCACAGTCGCGAATATCATGCAAAGCAATTCCGTTGTTGATCTTGCCACGCGTGCAACAACTGTCCAGGAAGTCGTGTTTGAGTTCGAAAAGGAAGAGGAAGACTTCGCGTTGTCGCCTATTCAGAAGGTTTATTTTGATTGCATGGGTGTTGAGTCTACACACTTCAACCAGAGCATCATTGTCACCACCTCTCAACCGGTCTCTGCGGATCAATTGTCAGCTGCATTAGAGACACTGGTTCAGAACCACAGCATGCTCCGAGCCCGGTTTTCAATGAAAGACGGTGTCTGGTCACAAAGAATTACGCCCGAGGTAAGCGGATCATTCAAGGTTTCCTCACACGCGCTTGTTCTTACGGAGCATCTTCATGGACTCACGGAGCAAAGTCAAAAGTCACTGGACATTCAAGCAGGACCTCTTGTTGCTGCCGGTCTATTTGAAATGGCAGACTCTGACGCCCGGCTTCTGTTCATTGCTGCGCATCACTTGGTTGTCGACGTTGTCTCATGGCAAATCATACTCGACGACCTCGAACAATTACTTTCAACTGATCGACCTCAACTTGTCCGATCACTGCCTTTCCAGACCTGGAACAACCTGCAGTTACAGGAAGCGCAGAGCATGAGCCCGGAACAAGTCTTTCACAGTATCCCGGTACCACCTCGCAACATCTCTTACTGGGGCGTGGAAGGTGTCAGAAACTCCCACCAAGACGCAGTCATTGAGAAAGTCGAGATTGACACACAGCACTCTCTCCTCCTCCTTGGCGCATGCCATGAGGCCCTGAAGACCGAAGTCGTTGATGTGATGTTGGCTTCCCTGCTGCTTTCCTTTGCGCAGACGTTCAAAGACCGTCAACATGCTCCCTCGATCTACAATGAAGGGCACGGCAGAGAACCGTGGAATGACAAGCTTGATGTATCACGCACGGTCGGATGGTTCACAACGCTCTGTCCTGTTTATCTGCCAGAATACCTGCCTGCAGATGCTGACATTGTGGACGTTGTGAAGTGGATTAAAGACTTCCGCCGGAAGACGCCAGGCAAAGGGCAGCCTTTTTTCGCTCACAGCATCTTGTCTGACAAAGAACAAGGTGCATTTGCTCAGTGGCCCCTGGAAATTGCTTTCAACTACCTGGGGCAAATTCACCAGGGCCACCGAGCAGACTCCATCTTCAAGACCTTGGAAGGGGGGATGATGGACGCCATCAACTCTCAAACAGACATTGGCGGCGAAGTGCCACGTCTGGCCTTGATTGAGATCACAGCATCTGTTACTTCCGGCACCCTCTCATTTGAGTTCTCCTTCAATCGTCGAATGCGCAGACAAGACAGAATTCGCACCTGGATCGCCAATTTTGGAGAGACCTTACAGCAAGCCGCGGAGACTCTGTGCAGAGCAGAGCCTGATCCGACAATGTCAGACTTCCCTCTGCTTCCTTTGGCTTTCAATGGGATTGAACTCATAAAGTCGAGGCTTTCGCAAGTGGGGGTTGCTTCGCTGGAAGACGTCGAGGATGCCTACCCGTGTTCCCCAGTGCAAGAAGGCATTCTAATCACACAGCTCAAGAACCCAGAGCACTACGCCTATTCCATTACATTCGAAGTCAAAAACACTTATCCTGGCCAGTCTATTGATGTGCAGCGTCTCACGAACGCTTGGCAAAAGGTTGTCGAGCGGCATTCGACGCTTCGAACCGTCTTCGTGGGCAGTCTCACCCAGGACGAAGGCATGCATCAAGTCGTATTGAGACATTGGCCCGCGAACGTCGCTTCATATCACTGTACCGACATGGAAACATTCCAACAATTGAGGTCACAGCATGCTCTTGGCCTGACCCAAAACCAGCCTCCGCATCGACTGAGAATATGCCAGATGCCAGGGGAAAAGGTCATCTGCGTCTTGGAGATGAGCCATGCTATTTGCGACGGGACTTCTATGCCGATCCTATTCCGCGATTTGGCCCTTGCCTACGACGAGAACCTGCCTCTGACTCGATTGTCCGTCTACAGAGACTACATCTCTTACTCGCAAGGTGTATTGCGTGAAGAGGCTGCGGCTTACTGGAAGCAGTATTTGGGGGGTATAGAACCCTGCCATTTCCCAACAAGCAAAGAGGCCCAGCCGCGAAGTCGGGCTCTCCGATCTTACAATCAAAAGCTATCGTGCGCCAGCAAGCTGAGCGACTTCTGCAACGAGTCTGGCATCACTCTGTCCAACATCCTGCAACTCGCCTGGGCACTTGTTCTACAGGCCTACACTGGTCTTGACAATGTTTGCTTCGGTTATCTAGTATCTGGAAGAGAAATACCCGTTGAAAGAATTGGCGATTCAATTGGCGTGTTTATCAACATGCTGGTGTTCAGGGTACATCTCGATCCAGCTGCTGCCCTTGGCGACATCATGCAAGCTGTTCAGAGAGATCTTCTCCAGTCGATGCAGCATAAAGAGGCGTCCCTTGCCGACATGCAGCACAGCATCGCAAATGGGCCTTTGTTCAACACTGCCTACTCATTCCAGCGGAGATCCGTTTCAAAAGACATGGCCGCCGGGTCTCTCTCGTTCGATGTTCGTGATGCCGCAGACCCGAGCGAGTACGACATCACTGTCAACGTCGAAGTATGGGACTCGGACACCGAGCTTCAGCTTTGCTACTGGTCTGACAAAATATCGGATAATCAAATCAGTAATGTGGCTTCCACATTTGACCAGATTCTAACCTCTATGGTTTCCTCGAGCCGAGATACGAAGATTGGCACGCTTGACATCACCAGCGTCCAATGCGTACAGCAAATACAGACATGGAATCACAAAGAACCAGAGTACACAGACCGCTGCATCCACCATGTATTCGAAGAGAATGCTCAAACACAGCCCGAGAATACACCAGCAGTCGACGCTTGGGACGCTACCTTCACCTACCAAGAATTGGATCGCATCTCGACCCGTCTCGCGGCATATCTAGTGTCCCAAGGTGTCGTGCCGAGTACCTATGTCCCTCTGTGCTTTGAGAAATCGGCTTGGACTGTGGTAGCCATGCTTGCTGTGCTCAAAGCCGGTGGCGCATTTGTCCCCCTTGATCCAGCTCACCCGGCTGAGCGCACGAGCTTTCTCGTGCGTAGTATCGAGGGCCGTTTCGTTCTCTGCTCCGAGTCTTTGGCCCCAAAGCTCGAGCATCTGGGCGTGCCTGTTCACCATGTCAGCTCAGAAAGCATCTCACAGCTGCCTGACCATCTTTCGCGGTCGTCGGGCCATGAACAGCGCGCAGGTCCCATGGATCCAGCCTATATCATCTTCACATCCGGTACCACGGGGCTCCCTAAAGGCACAATTATCGAGCATGGGGCCTTTACAACTGGTGGTATAGCTCATGCAAAGGCGATCCAGATGACTTCTACCAGCAGGGTATTGCAGTTCGCCTCCCACACGTTTGATGCCAGCATCATGGAGATCCTGACTACCCTATTGGTGGGTGGTTGCATATGCATTCCCAACGACCAAGATCGCTTGAACGACCTGAGCGCTGTCATCGAAAAATTCAAGGTCAATTGGACACTTTTGACTCCTTCCGTTGCCAATGTTCTACGACCGGGCACCGTTCCGTCCCTCAAAACTCTCGTCACAGGTGGTGAGGCGATGTCGCAAGATCACATTACCAAATGGGGCAGCACTGCCACGTTGGTGAATGCTTATGGTCCGAGTGAAACTTCAGTGATTGCAACAACAAGCACCAAGGTCGATGAGAATGGGAACGTCCTCAATTTGGACCCGGCAACGATCGGGTATGCTGTTGGCAGCCGCTGTTGGGTAGTGGACGCGCGCAACTATCACCGTCTCATGCCGCTTGGCAGCATTGGAGAGCTCATTGTCGAAGGCTCAATCGTTGCCAAAGGGTATTTGAATAACGAAACCAAGTCGCGAGACGCATTCATAGACCACCCGACATGGAGGAAGAATCTTCAGCTTTCTGGGCATCGACACGACCGCATGTACAGGACCGGAGACCTTGTTGCCTACAATTGTGACGGTTCATTCCGATACATCGCCCGCAAAGACACTCAGATCAAGCTCAACGGGCAACGTATCGAGTTGGGTGAAATTGAGCATCACGTCAAGGTCAATTTACCTGCCAGCTCACAGTCCACTGTGGAACTGGTCGTTCCTCAGAGCACAATATCTACAAAGGCTCTTGCGGTCTTTTTCACTCATGACGGTGAAGCAGACAGCAGGGACTTATTGTTGCCAATGTCACCTTCACTAATACCGATCTGTCAGTCGTTGAAAGCAGCCCTTGCGAAGGCTCTGCCTTCGTACATGGTGCCGACAATCTACATCCCTGTCACAAAGATGCCATGGACCTCAGCAGGCAAGCTCGATCGACAAAGTCTCAAGTCTCTAGTGGGATCTATCCCAACTCAAGCTCTTGGACTGTACAAGCTGGCGGGCATTAAACAAGCCTCAAAGCCATTGACGGTTGCCCAACAAAAACTGCGCAATGCGTGGCAAAAGGTCCTGCAGATGGATGCTGATGCCATCAATCGAGAAGATAACTTCTTCAAATTGGGTGGAGACTCTGTTGGCGCTATGAAGCTTGTCGCAGCAGCCAAGATGGAGGACGTTGTTCTTACTGTCATGAATGTTTTCAAGCACCCGACCCTGTCTGACATGGCGGACTTCTGCTTGGAGCCTACAAAATCCATCACAGACAGAGTGCCACGAATGGCTTTACTCGGGGATGACCAAAACCGGCCAGCACTCCTCTCTGAGCTGGCACAGCGTTGCGGAGTGCCCGAAGCCCGGATTCAAGATGTTTACCCATGCAGTTCTCTCCAAGAAGGTCTCATGACCTCTTCGCTTCAGCAGCCTGGGGCTTACGTTGCCGAGAACGTTTTCCAATTACCAATTGGAGTCGATCTTGATCGGTTCAAACTTGCTGTGCAAAAGACAACCAACCACGTGGAGATCCTAAGGTCCCGTATCGTCTTTTCCAATAACTCGACTTCCTACCAAGTCGTCCTTGAACCTTATGACATTGAGTGGAGGATCTACGACAATGTTCACCATGCCACCGGGGCGAGTGCTACTGTGCCAGGTACTAATGGCGGTCAATTAGCTCTTTACGCCATCGCATGTGAGCCTGAGACTTCCGACGTTTACTTCGTATGGACAGTTCACCATGCGCTCTACGATGCGTGGAGCATGCCCGCGATTCTGGACCTCATCTCGCAGTTTTACCACAATGCTAGCGATCTTGAGCATTCGAGCGAAAGGCCACCTTTTGTCAACTTTATCAAGTATCTGTCCGATATTGACACGTGCGCCTCGGATGCATATTGGACAGCCAAGCTCGCCGGCGCCTCTCCTTCGCACTTCCCAGTCGTCTCCAGTCTGACAACCGAAAATGGAGGTCAGAGCTCGCAGTTCCAGCACGTCGTTCCCTATGACATGAATGGCGTGAAGCTCGACGTCACCCTGTCCACGGTTGTACGGGCAGCATGGGCATTGGTGCTGGGTTCCCAGACTGGATCAGACGACGTCGTCTTTGGCGAGACGCTCTCCGGTCGCGATATCGCCCTCCAAGAGGTCGGCGACATTCTAGGTCCCACCTTGACCACTATACCACAACGTATCAGCCTCGACAGTGGTCTCACCGTAAGGCAGCTTCTGAGATCGGTGCACCAGAAGTCGATAGAGGTGATACCATACCAGCATGCCGGGTTGCGGAACATCAAGCGTCTCGATGAGACAACGGCAATCGCTTGCGACTTTGCCAATCTCCTCGTGATTCAGGTTGAAGAGCCACAGCAGACATCGGGAGACCAACTAATGGCCTTGGAGGAGGTCCAAGGTGATGGACAGAAGAGCTTCTTCACCTACCCCCTGGTTGTGGAGTGTTACCTCGGGACTCACGAGCTACGACTGACAACACACCACAACGAGGACGTCCTATCCCCCTGGCAGGTGCAACGCATCTCACATCAATTCGGCGCTTTGCTACAGCAGTTACTCAGCGAACCAGAGGATTCGACTAGGAAACTCCAGGATCTCGACTTCTGTGGGCAAGAAGATGTGAAGATAATCAAAGAGTGGAACAAGCCATTGCCACTGAGCGTTGAAGAAAGCATTGCTACTCTGTTCAGGAATGTCGCGGCCGCACAACCTCACTCAACAGCCATCGACGCCTGGGATGGACTACTTTCCTACGAGGAGCTCAATCGTCATGCCTCAAACTTGGCCAGAATTTTGGTTCAAAAAGGCGTCAAGGCTGAGGTACTTGTTCCCTGTTGCATGGACAAGTCCCTGTGGTCGTCCGTGGGCATGCTGGCAGTCATCCTCGCCGGCGGCGCAATTGTCCCTTTGGATCCGATGCATCCTCCAGCGCGCCATGCGGAAATTGTCAAAGACTGCGAGGCCGCGGTAGTGCTTTGCTCTCCAGCACACAAAAGTCGCTTCTCGAACATTGTGGAACAATTGGTCATCGTTGACGACACCTTGTTCACAAAAATGTCGACCCAGAGTCAGCCCATGAACGACACCTTGCGTCTGGCTTCTAGTCGAGACGCTGCTTTTGTCATTTACACTTCTGGAAGCACCGGAAAGCCAAAAGGCGTTGTGATCGATCACCGGTCTTTCTGCACAAGTTCCAAGGCCTACATGAGGCGAATGCGAATTACACCAGCATCGCGTGTCTTCCACTTCACTTCGTACGCTTTCGACATTGCCATGGGTGAAACCTTTGGCGCTCTGATCATGGGTGCATGCCTCTGCGTCCCCAGCGAAGAGATGCGGACAAGTGATCTCCCAGGGGCTATGAATTCGCTGAGAGCGGATTGGGCATTCTTGACGCCCTCTGTCGCGAACATCCAGGACCCTTCGCAATTCACCACGCTGAAGACGCTTGTATGCGGCGGCGAAGCTTTGACGCCCGAGACAATCGACAAATGGGCAGATAAGGTTGAGCTAATGAATGGGTACGGTCCCGCTGAATGTACTGTCTTCTGTGTGGCCAACGCACATGTTTCTCAGGAGAGAGATCACACTCAGATTGGACAGTATATGGAAGGTGGGCGTACGTGGGTCGTGGACCCGATGGATCACAATCATTTGGTACCTGTTGGATGTGTTGGAGAGCTACTGATTGACGGCCCAATCGTTAGTCGAGGGTATCTCAACCAGGAGGCCAAGACAGCAGAGGCGTTTGTCATGAGCCCGGCATGGGCTTCGCTTTTCACCCAAGACGACATGCGTCTATACAAGACCGGTGACTTGGTCAAGTACCGATCAGACGGGACTTTGAGTTTTGTCGGTCGCAAAGACCATCAAGTCAAACTTCACGGCCAGAGGATGGAGCTTGGAGAGATTGAGGCCCATCTCGAAACCGATTCACGCATTCGACACGCCCTGGTCGCACTGCCAAAATTCGGTATATGCAAGGGCCGCCTGGTCGCTGTCGTCTCTCTTCGCGACGTCGTCTCAGAAGAATCTTCGATCGGCACCATGGACCTTGTGCAGCTCTCTGCACCACAGGTACAGAGGGCGAGGTCTAAAGTGCTGGCTATCCAGGAAAAGATCTCAGGGGCTCTCCCGTCGTACATGGTTCCGACTGAGTGGCTCGTGGTGGAGTCGCTGCCGCTATTAGTGTCTGGCAAGTTGGATAGACACGGCGTGCAGACATGGTTGACTTCGATGGACATGAAGACTTATTTGACCGCTCTCAGTAAGGACGCGGAGGGAATATCTTCACGCCCTGCAACACCAGAGGAGAACCTCTTGCGACGATTTGTCGCGCTCACGCTCAATCTTGTGGAGGAGGACACGCCGTTGGATCGATCGTTCATCGGTCTAGGCGGTGATTCCATCACGGCAATGCAAATCATGACACGATGTCGGGACAGTGGTCTTCGGTTGACACTGCAAGACATTATCAGGAGCAAGTCGTTGAGGGCTCTAGCGGGGACCTCCCACCTCAAGGGGGATACCGACTTCAGGCAACAGACAGAATTCCATGAGAGCCTTGACAAACCGTTCCCTCTGTCACCTATCCAGCGACTGTTCTTCGACAACAGTTTAGACAAATCTCAAGGCGATCGCTTCAATCAAAGTCAGCTCCTCCGAGTGACGGAGACTATTGATAGCCAAGTATTCAAGACGGCCGTCTACACTCTCGTAGAGAGACACTCCATGCTCCGCGCAAGGTTCAACAAGGACAGAGACGAGAACTGGTCACAAATAATCTCTGGCGATGTCGACGCCTCTCACAGGGCACGGGTGCACCACATCACCCAGGACTCTAACATGAGTCTCCTAATTGCCCAAAGTCAAACCTCGATCAGCATCAACGGACCCCTCTTCATCGCTGACCTTTTCGAGAAACCGGACAACGACCAGGTAATCTCGCTCGTTGGCCACCACCTTGCCGTGGATGTTGTTTCTTGGAACATTATTTTGAGTGATCTCGAGAGGCTGTTGAGCCAGTCGCACAGTTCCCTGACGAACACGAAGCCAATGCCATTCCAGTCGTGGAACGCAGCTCAGATCGCACACTCTGAAGAGGTTGAGGCTCAGAGCAAGCCAATGCTCCCCTTCGACTTACAGCCTGTCGATTTGAGCTTCTGGGGTATGGACCATAGCCTGAATCTATACGGACACACCAACGAGGTTTCCTTTGTCGCCTCCAGCGAAGCTATCTCCGCCATTACCTCCGGCGAGATGCAGTCGCCTCTTGGAACAGATTCATTGGATGTGCTTATATCGGCATTGTTGCAATCCTTTGCTTTGACATTCCCTGAGCGCAACTTGCCCACTGTGTTCAACGAAGGACATGGCAGGGAACCTTGGAACGACTCCCTCGACATCTCCCAGACCGTCGGATGGTTCACAGTCCTCAATCCAGTGCAAATCTCGCTTGACCACCCCGAAGACACAGTCGACATCCTTCGCAGGGTCAAGGATACGAGGCGGAACGTACCGAACAACGGCCGTCCTTACTTTGCCCATCGCTATTTGACAGAGTCGGGCCGGGAGTACTATCAAAAACACCAGCCAATGGAGGTGATTGTCAATTTTCTCGGCCGTGTTCATAAAGGTCGCCAGGAAGCGGTTTCCTTGTTGGAATCGTACGAGTATGAGAAAACCAAGGAGGAGGCTGAGATGATTTCTGACGTCGCCCCTGACACACATCGTTTGGCCTTATTTGAGATATCCATCTCGCAACAGGAAGACGGCGTCCACTTCAACTTCCTGTACAACAAGCACATGCACCATCAAGACCGCATCGCAACGTGGATTTCAAAGTGCCGCAAGGCCCTGCTAGATACGGCAGACCAGCTTGTGATTGCCCCGAGGACTCTGACCCTCAGCGATCTCCCACTGTTGCCTTTGAACTACGAGGACCTGCACAAGCTCGACACCAATGTCTTACCAGCTGCCAATCTAACGGGCCTTGAAGAGGTGGATGACATATTCCCATGTTCGCCGATGCAGACGGGCATGCTCCTGGGTCAGGTGCAGGATCCAGGACGCTACCTATTCCACACAGTCCTGGAAGTCACGAACAGCAAAGGTATTGTCGATGCTCAGAGGCTCTCGTCAGCCTGTGCGCAGGTCATAGCGCGCCACCCATCTCTCAGGACTGTATTTGTCAATAGTGTCTATCGTGGTGGCACATTCGACCAGGTAATCCTGCGGCCACAAGCGCCCAGGATTGAGGTCATCAAGTGCAAGGAGATCCAGGTGATGGCCAAGCTCAACTCCAGATCCCTGGAAAAGACAAACACTGGGCTCGGTCCAAGATTGCCGTATCAGATCACGATTTGCAGCACACCGCAAGGCAGGGTGTTCATGAAGTTGGAGATGAACCATGCGATCACCGATGGCGCCTCAACTGCCCTCATCATGCAGGACATTGGCAAAGCATACGCTGGTACCTTGCCATCTTCTGAAGCGGCAAATTACAAGAGATACATCGAACACATCTCCAAGTTGAACCTCGACAACAGCCTGAGCTTTTGGATCACCTATCTTTCAGGGGCGTCGACAACCAACTTCCCGCTACTGAATCAACACCGTGCCCTCGACCGCAACCTGAATTCGGTCGCTGTCGACTTCAGTCGTTACTCCCAGCTCAGCTCATTGGGTACAGAAAGTGGCGTGACGCTACCGAGCATCATCCTGGCTGCATGGGGCCTTATCCTTCGCAGCTACACAAATTCGGAAGACGTGTGCTTCGGGTATCTGGCATCAGGTCGCGATGCACCCATCGAGGGCATCGATGAGATTGTTGGCCCCCTGATCAACATGCTTGTTTTCCGTTTCCAGATTGTGCCTGGTATGCTTCTCAAGAGCCTTTTCCACGACGCCCAGGAAGACTACCTTGCGAGTTTGCCGCACCAGCATGTGTCTTTGGCCCACGTTAATCACGCCCTCGGTCGCAAGAACACGCAATTGTTCAACACTGCGGTATCTATCCAGAGTTCAGGGCCGTCCTCAAGCTCCGATGATGAACCCTTGGTCTGCGAATCGGTTGAGGCGCACGATCCAAGTGAATTCGCGGTTACTGTCAATGTGAACACCACTCGAGGCGATGAGGGCATTTTGCTTCGATACTGGACCGATGTCCTTTCTGAAAATGATGGCGAAACTCTAGCGTCCACTTTCGCCGCCCTCCTAGATGACTTTGTGGACCATTGCGATGAGGCTTTATCACACTTGCGTCTGTTTGAAGGAACAGTGCTGGCCACGCAAACTCCACGCACGCCAAACACAGTGAAATCATGGTCAAGCCAAGAGAAGGACCAGAGCCCTCACGCTGCGACGACGAGTATACCCACGAGCGAGTCGTCGTTCACCACAAACCCCATGAACAACTCCATGCACAAGAAGCTCGAGTCCTCATCGCAGGTACGAGCCCTGCTGGCAGACAAGCTCATGTGGGTGTGGACAGAAACCCTGGGACTGGAAGCTTCGGCAATCCTGTCTGACAGCAGCTTCTTCGAGCTCGGCGGTGACTCCATTATTGCAATGTCCATGGTCGCCAACGCCAGGGAGACAACCCTGCCTATCAGTGTGGCAGATATCTTCAAGCACCCAACATTTAGCGAAATGCTCGATCATGTGGTGGCCAACTGCGCTGCAGAGTATGCGACATCGTCCAGCGACGGTGAAACCTGCTTCTCCAAGAAGGACTCTGTACAGAGCAGAGCGGAGCAGTACGAACCCTTCTGCCTGCTCCCATGCGACGATGTCGAGGCCTTCATCAAAGAAACCATCTGCCCTGCAACACGGGTATCCCGAGCTAGCATTACCGACGTCCTCCCCGCAACAGACTTTCAGGCTCAATCCATCGCAGGTCACCAACTGGACTCGCGATGGATGCTCAACCACTTCTACCTTGACGGAGACGGGCCACTTGACATTGAACTCCTGCGCGAGAGTATCATGAACGTGGTGGCAACATTTGACATTCTTCGCACCGTATTCGTCCAGCAGCACGGGTGCACGTGGCAGGTTGTCCTGCGCCACGTCTCGCCAGAGGTGAAGGTCCACGACGTCGCTGATATCGACGACTTCACCTCAGAGCTGGAGGCCAAACACCAAGCAACGGTCCCCGACGTCGCAAAACCTGTCATTCGCCTCACCGTGGCGCGTCACACGTCAACTAGTCGCCACAGGATGTTCCTCCGAATCTCTCACGCACAGTACGATGGCGTTTGCTTCCCGGCCATCTTGGACGCGTTGAAGGCTTCGTATGAAGGAATGCCAATCGTACCTTCACCTTCGTACGCACACTATGTGCATGGCGCCCTGGGAAGAATCACGAACGAGCATTACAGCTACTGGACCAAGCTACTCAAGGGGTCAAAAATGTCAGCTGTGGTACCCCGGGAGCGGTCCTCGCTCAAGGCTTTTGCGACTAGGGTGTTGAGACGGACTGCGAACGTTCAGTCTCTCGCATCCCTCAACATCACAACCGCCACTATCATCAAAGCAGCATGGGCCGTGACCATGGCGAGAATAACAGGGACAGCTGACATTGTGTTTGGCCACCTCATCAGTGGCCGTAACGTCGACAATGTCCAAGAAATCCAGGGCATTGTCGGCCCTTGTTTGAACATGGTCCCCGTGCGGGTCGAGATCGGTCCTTCAGACACGGCGATGCAACTATTGCTGAAGATCCAGAATCAGCAAGTCGAGAACATGCCATTCGAGTCCCTCGGATTCCGTGAGACTATTGAAAAATGCACAGAGTGGGAGAACACTGCTGGCCTCGGAGGGTTTGCAACCATGGTGCAGCATCAGAGCATGTCTCAAACGCGTCGTCTCTCAATCGGAGGTAGTGAGTATGATGTTGGCGCTCTGGCGTCCCAGCAAGATACAACCGACTTCAGTGTCGTCACGACGCCTCTAGGGGATGACCGAGTCGAAGTTTGTCTGATTTGTGCAGATGATGGCGCCCTCAGCGAAGAGTTGTCCAGCACGACTTTCGAGATCCTTTGCGAAGAGATTGAGGGCATGGCGCGAGACCCCAACCGGATGGTGAAGGTCTGATAGGTTTGTGGTATTTTAGATTTTCATTTTTCTTATATGTTAGCTCAATGGTTATTCATTTGTTCTTCTCACATGCATGTGCTTCAGACGCACCCCATTCAGTGTATGCCGCTTTCACTTCCAAAGACCCTTCTACGGTCAAAAGGCGAGACCGAGTACCTCGCCTTCGCTGCAGCTGCAGGTCCCAGCGCTTTGGTGAAGCCTAGATCGGGACAAGGCTAAGGAAGGCCGATGTGGAAAGGCTGGTAAGAGGGAACGATTCATATCCCGACAAGGCGATCGAAAACTGCAGCTTGTATTCCCGCTAACGATATGAACCATGTATGTATTCAACGATAAACAAAAAGCGCGCGCGCATGCTCCAACTCTGCTTAACAAGGGCAAGGGAAAACACAGCAGTTGATAGGAATAGGGCAGGGAATCTACCGCGCGGTTAGTGGATGCGACGCGTCCAGCTGACTGAAAGAGGGACGTACAATGAAGCAAAAGCGGCCACGGCACCAGCCACCACAATCCTCGCCGCCACGGAGGTTCATCTCGGGCTCATCCGTGTGAGGGTGAGCTTGTTGGGGGTCTGCCATAGTACACAATGTCAATCCAGGGGGTTCACAGTCGTTGCAAAGGCGGCAGTTGGGACTGACCCATAGCTTGCTGCGAGCTTGGCTGCGTCATCTGGATAGGCTCCTGAGCCTGGGGGTTGGCAGCCTCGAGCTGGCGATCGGTGGTGGGTGCCATGATATCTGTTTCTGTGGGATGAATGAAGCAATCAATGTGACAGCGCAAGGTCAGCAGATGAGGAACAGAAAAGAATAATGTTGCGCCTGAACTGTGAGATTTGATGATGTCGACTGAGGGTGAGCACGGGAATCAATCAAGCTGAAAGCTGAGCTGGAATGACGCATGAGAACGTGGCTGTGCAGGTGTGGCGCGGGTGTGGCGCAGCTGGAGCGCTGTGGACAGAGCCGGCATATAGTTTTTCCGGCTGCTGGCTCGCCCACCCCAGTTAACATCAATTGTGACCTCACTCAGATCAGATCAAGCGTCGACAATCTAAATCACTGAAAATCATGAGATTGATACGAACTGCATACGCTTTCTATGCCGCATTGCTCGCGCACGACCAAGGCTGATTCCCCTTCTCCTGGGCAATGGCCTCAATGGACGCCCACAACCCCAGGACGCACAGCAGTGCACCGACGACGACCAACACAATGTTGCCAACAAAACGGGCAACCTGACCCCACCCCTTGTTAAAGTAGTTGCCGTGGTGCATCCACAGCCAGAAGATGCCGGGCAACCCGTAGGAGAACCAGCTCACAAACAGGGCCGCGACAAGGCCGAGCAGGCTGTTGAAGACGGGAATCGACTGTGAGACGACCGTCGCAATGAGCCAGATGCTAAAGGTGATGGCCAGCCAGGAGACGGTGGACACCCAGGTGCGCCTGATCTCATGCTTGGTGCCACGGAAGATGCGGGTGAAGACGTATTCGGCGGCCACGTGACCATAAATGACGCCAGCAATGACAATGGTCGGGATGGCGACACCCCAGATGGCCTTGCGCATGACGTCCGAGCCGGCGGCGGAGAGCGCGGGTGATGGGACGTCGGGCCCAACGTAGTAGTAGATGACAATGGCTGCGATCAGGTAGAGCGACGTGTCGACAATCTGGAGCAGGGCAAGCGCCTTGGGCCAGTCGGTAGGCTTCTTGAATTCGCCATAGACGCTGAAGAAGCAAGAATGGCTTGCTAAAAGTTTGTCAGCAGCTGGTTCTCTGGACGATTGGCATCTGTCCTGACTCACAGAAAGCAACCGCAATGTTGGTCACAGCCAGCATGGCTGGTGGCAGACCAAGCGAGCGCGCAATGTCAATGTGGCCATTGCCAATGGGACGCGTGCGCGAGACATCACCCACGGTCATCAAAGTCGCAATGACGATGGAAAGGCAGGCTGGAAAGCGTTAGCGGCGTGGTTCTTACACCCGAGCGACAGCTAACTCACATGCAATCGACATGTAGCTGGCATAGCTCAATGTTCGCGGGAAGTTGAGGAACCAGAAAATCCCCAGACCGACAAAGGCCCAGATAACGGTGCAGGCACCACTGTCGGTCAATGTGTTCATACATATGGTCCATGTCAGAATGTGGCTTCCGGCGACCAGCACTTGGAAGATCATCTGCGCCCAGCCGAAGAATTCCTGGAGCACCTTGGCCGCCAGGGGACCGAGCGAGTGACTAATGACCTCAACCGCATCGCCGAAATTCTCCACGTCCATATGCGCCTTGCGGAACTCGCCGAGCACGACGCACGAGTATGTCGACAGGACACTCATGAGCACGATCAGCGCGATGCCGGGGGCCAGACCGACGCTGGCCAGCACCGAGGGCAGGGATAGAATGCCGAGGGAGACGGTTTCTGCAATGAGAATGATGCCGCCCTGCCACCATTCGAGGGTCTTGAAGTCGATCAGAGCGGCTTGCTCTGAATTTGCTGTCTGGTTGCCGGCATCTTCTTGGTCGTCTTCAGGCGTGCTCACGGTGCCCGAGTCGGACCCCGTGGTCTTCTTGTTGTTTTCGAGATCGGCAGCATCGTTTGCCTGGTTGCTGTTGATGTTGCTGTCCGGTGCGGCGGCAGTGTTCTCAGCCATGTTGATGATGTTTGAGGGAGCGACGAATGTGTTTTGAAGGGGTGCGTCCGAGATGGGCCGGGGAAGGCAGTCCTTTTTATCAGACAAGGTTTCTGCGGCTTCGGAGTGATGACACAGAGAGTTCCACCAGCGCCAGTGTTTTGCAAGTCGAGGGCAGGCCCGTCGGATCCAGAGTCGATCCCCCACGGGGTAATGTGATGAAGCGGGCGGCAGCGAGGCAGGCAAAAGGGGTTATTGGCGACTATGCAAGGTCCCTTGTCGAGAGGAGGCCGCGCAGGAGAAACGTAATAAAGGGTGAAATTGACGAGAATCCTACGAGATGGAAACTCGCGAGTGCCTTTGCAAAAGAAGCTTCAAACACGCTTTGACGTAAAAAATTGGGTTGTTGTAGTCAACAAGTCCACTCCGCGGGTCCACTAGGGTGCGCGCCTCAAGTCCTGTCCTTGAGCTTTGACACCGACTGACGTCCGGGCTATCCACCCTTAATAGAGGCCTCTATAAGTCTTCAGCCACTGCGAGTCGCCGCATTGTCATGCTGGTGAGTGAAAGTGGTGATGGACCCTGACTAATGTCGTGTTGTTGCGGGTACGTCGTTCCGTCGGAGATTCCAGAAAACACGGCGCGCCACCTGGCCAATCCGCATAAACTTGTGTGATGTGTCAGAGACAGCGAGTCCCTGAGATCGCCTTTGCCGATGTGGCTGTCCCGTTTGGGTTGCTGTTTGTCACGTCAGAGGTTGGTGCCGTGACGCCTAGTCTAATAGTGCGCGGCTGTGTCCCGGCGCACGCGTCCGCTATGGATTCTTTTTTGCGTTGGACGCCGCGTCGCGCTAACAAACCGAGATAAAATTCTGCCTCTGACAGACGGCCGACTTCGGAAATCGGCTAGTTGGCGCCGATGGAGACGATGCAGACTCGGCCAGGGCGACGTGATGAGTCGAGTCATCCGCCGGTGAGCGCGGGCGAATTGATTGTTCATGTCGTGAGAGTTGGGAATGTGCAGCCTGACGCGAAGGATCGCTAGTTTTCGCGTGCACATGCCTTCATGACCATGAGCGCGAGCAGAGCCTGTTGCGGTGTCTGCGGTCTTTGCCTTTGCGCTGCGTTTTCGCGTCCCGCTGCTGCCGCCGATTCTCAATCGCCAGGTTGTTCCAGCGAAGCCGGTCAACGAGAGAGCGCATCGCTGCCTTCAGGCTTCATCATCCACGCAAGCTGCCCGACGCTTCGATTGCTGGTGCGTACATCGCAACATGCGCTATTTGGACAAGTCGTCGAGTCGTGATGGCCTCTGCGTCTGGCGGTGACCATTCATCGATGGATAGAGTGATCAGACGTTGATTGCGACAGTTGTATGCTGAGTGCGCACGAAAGAGACGTAGAAAGAGTGTAGTTGGGGAGGAAAGGAGTGAGTAGAAGCAAATGCCGCGTCCTTATCAGGGTTCTGGGTGCCAAGTAGATGCCCCGGCTTGGCGGTGATGATCCACGCAGATACTCTCACGGAGAGCTTCGATCATTGGATTGGCCATTCAAGGACGAAGATGCAAACCAGTCGAGAAATGAGGAGCTTCTGTCTCTGCTCTTCGGCGGTGGCTTCTTCTAACTTAACGTGTAGGGAGCTGTGCGCAACTACATGTAATCGTGGCAACCCCACACGAAGGGCGTACGCCTTGCCGGTCAATCCAGCTTCTTTCGCGGATACAATCCCGAAGTATCCTTCTCTTCGCTTCATCCACTCCTCAGCCATCGTACCATCATGGCTAGCATCATGAAAGACCCAGGCGAGCGTTCGCTAGACACCCTCCTCTCCACTTTGAACACAGTACTGCATCCTCAGACATATGTGTTCGCGACATTGCGCGACGAGACTAAATTGCCTCCTCTTTCGGAGATCCAATCCATGATCCGAGAGCAGGAGGGCATCACCGTCATCACGACACAGGACTACGCAACTGCCAATGGTCTCGACCACTTCTTCCCTTGCAAGATGATCACGCTCAACGTCACATCCAGCCTCGAAGCTGTGGGATTCATGGCCGTCATCGCCACGCGGCTGGCGTCGAAAAACATGGGAGTGAACCCGGTGAGCGGCTTCTATCACGATCACTTGTATGTCCCTGTCGGGAGGGAGGACGAGGCGGTGGAAGAACTGGCAAAGCTGGCGGAAGAGAAGCGGCAACAGTAGAGAGGATGGAAAACGAGACAGGAAGACGACATTGCAACATTGGGTATCTATTTCGACTGGCTGGAGTCACGTTTAAATCGTTTCACACTAGCGAGGCCTTGTGCAGATGGTGAGCAATCTGATACTCCTCAACGCTCGATCCCTCATAGCTCCTCCTCCTTGATGACCTTCTTCTTGCGACCCAGGCCCACCATCTGGCCCATCTCCTGCCAGAACCCAGTCGGCGGGTCCAGATCCATGGCCTTGGCCTCGTATGCGTCGATGATGGGGCGGTCCCAGACGAGATCGCACTCCTCAGGCTTGACAAACTTGGTCTTCTTAATGAGCTTCCAGCCGATGAACATAAGGGGCGCGAGGAGTTGCATGGTGTAGTTGGCGAAGAAGTTCTTGGTGGACCAGGGCGTGAAGGCGGTGTAGCCGTAGGTGTACAGCACGATGACTTGCAAAACGAGCGCGACCCAGGCACCGTAAGGCTGGAGGTAGCCGTAGTATGGCCTCGTCTTGCGGTCCACGCCCTGCAACTTGCATGCGCGGTAGTAGAAGAGGAAGGTGATGGACATGACGATGTAGTCCACGACGCCGCCGCCTGTGATGAGCGAGAGCAGGATGCTCAGGGCCTCGGCGGAGCCGCTGTTGACTTGCAGGAAGGAGAGCAGAGGGAACAACATGGTGAAGGCGAAGCAGTAGATGGGCACTCCCTGGGCGGTGCACTTGCGGAAGAAGGCCGGGGCACGACCCTCGAGGGCGAGGCTGTATAGCGAGCGGGTCGCGCAGTACGTGTACGTGTTTCCGGCTGAGTAGATGGTAGTGAAGAGCAAGGCATTCACCACGTGAGGTAGCACGTCGATGCCCATGTTCTCCATGGCCATCACGTACGGCGAGGCACCGGCCGTCTGACCACCGCCGCCGTTGATATGGATGTCGACGAGGGCCCTGTCGTTGGACGGCAGCACAATTCCAGTCGCGAGAGCACCACCGATAAAGAAGAGGCCAAAACGGACATAGACGGTCTTAAACGCGGTCTTGATGTAGATGCTGGGGTGCTTGGCCTCGGCAGCCACCATGGAGATGTAGTCAGGACCGACGATCACAAACGCAGCAGTCGCGAGGGCACCCATGAAGCCTTCGAAGCGACCTTGGTCCCCCGATGTGTGGTATTCCAAGAACGCTGCCGGGCTGTTCCAGTGGCTGAACCCGTAGGCGTGTCCTGACGGGTTTCCGCCCACCATGGTCACGAACGTGAAGCCGAAGAGCATAAAGATGAGAATCACCTTGCCGCCGGAGAGCCAGAATTCGGCTTCACCAAAGACGCCCACGGCGACCACATTGAGTAGACTGTACGCATCACCATCAAAGCTTAGCACAAATGTCATCACAACGGCAGGGAGAGAGGGGGGGAGGGATCGTATCAAAACGCCAGTCGCACATGGATCTCTCGCAGAAACGGGGGGCAAGGTCCAGCTCGGTCGTCTCCGGATCGTGTCTTACCCATATGAGATGATAATGGCGGCACAGATGCCAGCCGTCGGACCGGGCTCCGTCACCTTTTCGTTCCAAAAGGATAGTACAAGGTTGAGAGCCACGACCTCGAACGGTATGAGGAGCGCCTCGTACAGGAAGAAGTTCCAGCCGACCATAAAGCCAAGGGCGTCGTCGACCCAGTTGCCGGCTAGGCGGATAAAGCCGCCCGAGACGGGCATATACGTTGTCATTTCAGCAATCGAGTTATTGACCAGGGCCACGACGGACGCATAGAGGATGTAGCAGACGAGCAGGCTACCGGGACCGCCCTTGGCGAGCCCAGCGCCGATGCTGATGAAGAGACCGGTTCCAATGGTGCCACCGATGGCGATGAGTTGGATCTGGCGGTTGTTGAGACGACGCTGGAGACCGTCCGAGTTGTCGGCGTCAAACTGGCCGGAGTACTTTGCGTCATTGCTGTCGCGACTGGTGGCAGCAGGCGCTGCTGCCTTCTCGTCCCCCTTTCTGGAGAACATTTTTTGTGTGGACGAATGCAAGACTGAAAGTCCAGGCTGTCGCAGGTCGTGGATGCCTCGGAGTAGTATACGGTGTCAAGTGATCAACCAGTTAAGGTTCAAAATGGTTGGGAGACTAGGTTGAGGTAGATAGAGAGGCGGTTGGGGACAGTTTATGGTTTCGAAGGCGCCTGTCCTCCGCGTTTGCCTTTGAGCCAGCTGTTAGGTAAGAGAAAACCTTTTCTCATGTTGACCTGCGGAGGGCTCCGCGAGGTAAAGACGGTGCTTCCTGTCGATGGGTTCGCGTCAAGGTCCACACCGTCGTCACCATCTTGACACTGTACGTAAAGTGTTGTTTTGAACACGACGGTTGGCGAGGTGTGGACCGGAGACTCCACGATTGTACAGGAGCCTTTTGCTGTCGTCGTAGATCCTTGTTGCCTTTATGTTCGGCGACAGGTCGCTTGTTCTCGCCAGCATCTTGTCGAGCCCCGAGTCAACCTCGTCGACGACGACGCTCATATCCCAACCTGCGAGTCGCCTGTGATCGCAAAAGCCGAGAACCGGTCAAGCCACCCGTCCCGGTGCTACAATCATCATATGTCTCGACACTAATGATTAGCGCTGCTTAGGCTTTCATATTTCCGAACTGGCGTCTGGGGCGTGTGGGCGGGACGCGCTCCGTCATCCTTACATTTCCATGGCTCTGCCTGCGCGTATGACATGATGCTAATGATTCCACGAAGCCACGGCGGTCTCATGCCGATTGGCTGCTTGCTCCTTTTTTGTTTGCGGTCTCGAGTGGGCTGTGCGTGGAAGAAGAATTTTCATCGGTCTATGGGGCCGAACACGGTGAAATCGTCTTGGAATCCGGCCCGCAACGGTGGCGAGTTCCGATCAAAAGATTGGAGCGGATCGACGGCAACATCACGTTACAATGACTCACAAGAAGCTTGCGACACGTGATATTTCTCAATACTCGCCGTCTGCTGGTGAGCCTGTATCAGGACATGGATTCCGCCTCGCTGTGGTGCTGCGAGTGCTGCCAGGAGACGAGCGCAATTACAGGAATTGTGTATCGCAAATCATACAAATGAACGACACAGACGAGGAATAATAACTGAACTTTGAGGCTTTATTAACATGCCCAGAGCGACCAGGGTTCATTCTGGCGCAGCTCGAATCACGAGGTTGCAAATGCCCTTTTAGGCAATTCCAAGCCTGAACCGCCTAATTAAGTTATTAGTATTTCCTCTTATTGCTAAAAGTCTGGGCGCCCAGGCCTGATGGATAGAGAGTATCCGTACTTAAGCTTGATTCTAAGGTTGGTGTGGAATCGTATTTTGTTTAGACTACCCTAAGGCCTGGGTCAACGACGCCACCCAGTATAGTTTGAACTGTTCAATGAGTACATGTATTCCGAAGTCATTGAGAATGCATTTCAGTAACAGCAACTTTGCCCCTCTAGAAGCATTCGACAGGAATCATGTCCTTAAGAGGCACCGGCACAGCATGGAACAAATAACAATGTCAAGGGCAACAATACTATGCGTTAGCCTCAAAGATTGCCTTCTCACAATCAGACATGGACGAGGTTCTGCGAACAAGGTAAACAGAAACATAGCAGTGGCAACCGTTTCAATTGCACCATCATGAAATAGCCTGACCATCACTTTTGCAATTCGTCGCTGGCATCCCCAACTACCAGTTTTAAGCTGACACCGACGTCATCGCCCGTATTCCGTCTCCCGACGCCGATTCGGCATCCGGCAGCGTGTCTTGCCCCCACGCTCCGACTGACCATGCAACCTTGAACCGTAGCCTCACTGAGTCCTGACCACAACCAAGGATATTGGGGGCGGTTCGATCACAGCCTAGAGGAAGCGGAAGGACCTCTGATCAATTGCTGCGCTGGGCGGCTGGTGGATGGTCCTCGACTCCTCCTCGGTCAAGGTCGTCAGAGTTCAGAGGTCTGTCTGCCTTTGTGCGCCCGCTGGATTGGTAAGAAGGAACAATGCCCACGACTATTATATCAAGGTCAATGGTCTCCTCCCGATTTTGGGAGATTCTAGACTTCCAATATCGTATAAGTTTAATATTAATGCACTGTGATTTGGCTGGCCCAATCACCCTAATCCAGCTATACATACTTTAACTAGACACCAGACACTTCAGCCAGAATGGAATCGCCTCAATTGAATTCGCATCAGACAGACTCCCCCAAGATGGGCTCACCCACGGTCGACTCGGCATATGCGGGCTCGCCAAGCCTAGACTCACCTATTGTATCGGAGCCCAAACACACCCAGCCTTGCGATAGGTACCAGTGGACCAAGTCGGCCACTGGTCTGTATGAGCGCGTTATCGACGAGATTGAGCGTTTCTACACCTCCTTTTGCCGGCGCACCGAAGACCCAGATCACGCAGCTTTTGCCATCACAGGATGCGTCACCATCGAGACCCCCTCCCAGAACAAGCAAGACACGTCTGCCAACCTCGAATATGCCATTCGCAATGCTTGGTTGACTCTGCGGAACGAATGCCCAGCACTCGCATCGTGGATCCAGCATGATGCAATCAGTGACACCTGGAAACGGTTCTACACACCTCTGCATACCGTGAATACCCAAAAAGATGAGGATGACTGGCTGTCAACGTCCTTTCAAGTGGTCGATACACCACTCAGTGAGGCAGAGTGGCTCGACCTTGACCCCAAGCTACACAGATCCAGCCAGCTCTTCTATATCAGGTCTTCTTCGTCCACTAGCAACAAGAGTAACCACCACCGAGCGACCATCTTCTTCAGAGCCCCTCACGACATTGTCGATGGCCACGGTGTCTCGAAACTGCTGGATCGCTTGATAGAGTTGGCAGCGGATCAGTATCAAAGACCACGCAAGCCCCAGCTCGACTGGTCCCACGAAGCTTCCCGGCTCGCAGCGCCCATGCGCGCCATCGCGAATCTGCCCGCGAGACCTTCTGACGCGCAAATGGCCCGCTTCCGCGAAAAGATGCAAAACAGCGCGGCAGCCGCCACAGGGGCGCCGCCGCTTGGGCTGCTACCAAGCGCGAGGGAGGGTACAACGAGTAAGAAGGAGCGCGCGAGCCTCCATCTGTCTCCAGAGGCCACCACAGTGCTCCTCGAATACTGCAAAGACAGAGGCTGGACGGTAACGCATGCCATCAGTGCTGCCGCTACGCTTGCACTGAAACATATTCAGAAGACCACTGGGGAGTCTAGGAATATGAGGTTTTACTTGCAATCCATGATGAGCACTAGATATCTATGCGAGGGGAGAGGCAGCTCGATCCAAGAGGCAGCCTCGAACAACCACATGGTCGCCATCCAGGGGCTGGGAGTCGATGTCACCGTTGGTTCCGCCGAGACCAGCGATGACTTTGACCGCATCGCTTCAACCATGAAGGAGTATTACAAAGAGGAACGCCCGCTGAGCGATGAGGGCCCTGAGGTCAGTGATTTGGGCCTTGCCCCTATCCTGTGGTCGGCGGTAACGCCTCAATCTCCTCCCGGCACGGTCAACGCAGACAGCCACACTAACAATGCGAGTGTTGGCATCTCGTCGCTGGGAGACATGGCTTCGGTGGTGAAACCAGAACGAGCGCCTTTCACTCTGCAAGACGTCTGGGTCACGGGGGAATGTTCAGGCTCAGCTGTGCCGCTAATGGTCGGGGGATGGGGCGGCAGGCTTGAGATTGCCACAATATTTGACCGGGCGTACCATGAGAGGGACAGGATTGAGAGCTTTCTCGCTGATATACTGAGTATTGTGCAGAAACAAGCGTGCGTCAGCACAGATGAGTAGGAATGTGGAGGGCGCCGCAACCATGTCCGATTGAGACTTGTCTTTTGTTTGCGATGACCGATACGGTTTGCTGTATTGGGATTCATATATTTTTATAACGTATTATTGTATTCAATCGTTATTTGCGCCATTGATATTGCCCTGCCGCAGATCCGATCCGCCTGCCAAATCGAGTCACCACGGCGATGGATCGCCACGTGTAAGTCGAGTGATCGACAGAGTCTTTGCCGCTGCACAGCTCGCCAAAATGCGGCTGAGGTCTCAAGCTCCAATATGAGGTGTTATCGCTTCATTCACCAAACACACACGCATGATTAGCGCTGGCTGTTGCAGCTTCACCCGCGCCAACTGCCGTCAACGCCAAGTCGCAGCTGTGAGATGACATTTAGTCTCCGGCTCGGCATCGTCACGGAGTAGCAGTGATGGCAGCCACCGATGTCATGTTGGGCACTCTCATGGCCCTCCAGCCAAAGTTTGTGAGTATTGTGCCATCCAAGGCAGCTCGTGGCTTCAATGGATGTATGGGTAAGGCGTTCGTCCCTGCATAGTACGCCGCCATCCGCCGGTAGTCTGTCGATCATCTTCCGAGATCGACCAGGTCCTCAAAGGTCCGTCTCTAGTCAGACAAGCCGCCATCGTCACGAGCGGAGTCCTTTCATCCCGTCCTCGGCTGCCCCCCAGAGTTGGGGAGTCGAAAAGTATAAGAAGGCTCCTTGGACACGTCGAGGACCAGACTCTCCCAGCAACTTGAATCCAACACAGCTACAGCTCTTGAACAACAACTCCCAATCTTACCATCATGAAGTCCTTCATCACTGCCGCAACCATCACTGGCTTTGCCGCCCTCGCCCATGCCGCCGTCCCTGGCTTTGATGTTTCCGCCTACCAAGAGAACATTGATTTCTCCAAGGCCTATTCTGATGGCGACCGCTTCGTGATCATCAAGGTGTGTCATCTACACTTTGCTGTCCTATATCTCCGCTGACAAATTGACCCCGTGTTAGGCCACTGAAGGCACAACGTTCAAGAGCAGCCAGTTCAGCTCGCAGTACATTGGTGCCACCGACGCTGGTCTGATTCGCGGCGCATACCACTTTGCTCAACCTGCCTCCTCCTCAGGAGCTGCACAGGCCGAGTACTTTGCCGCCAACGGCGGTGGATGGTCAGGCGACGGCATCACGCTGCCCGGTGCCCTCGACATTGAGTACAACCCCAACGGCGCTACGTGCTACGGACTCTCGGCCGCTGCCATGGTGGACTGGATCGAAGACTTTGTGACCACCTACGAATCGCAGACAGGACGGTGGCCGCTCATCTACACGACTCTCGGTGAGTGGCGTCGCCATACTCTTCATCTTGCTTGCTTGCTCACAGAATCACAGACTGGTGGACCACATGCACGGGCAACTCGCCCAACTTTGCCGACCGCTGCCCGCTCTGGCTCGCTCGCTATGCCAGCTCGGTGGGCGATACGCCCGCTGGCTGGGACTATGCCACCATCTGGCAGTACAATGCCAACTACCCCCAGGGAGGTGACTCGGACACGTTCAATGGTGATGAGTCGCGTCTTGTTGCCCTGGCGACGGGCGAAGCATAAGAATTTCGTGATGCGGTGTGTAGATATTTGCAGGTCGATATTATAACCATTTTCTCCCTCCCACAAGTTGTCACCTTGCTGTTGGCCGTGGTTCACCGAAACTTGACTGTAATCATTGAGCTTTTCATCAATAAGAGCACCCGTAATCAGGAGCTGTGGAAAACTTGGCCGTCTCTGCTCTCAGGTGCTGTGAGGCCGTCGTTCGGAGGGATAAGTGCGTGCCCGAGCAACCGCTTCCGCTTTCTGTGGCTGCTTTCATGCTCAAGGCAGGTGGTACTTGTATCCAAGCTGAACCGGGCAAGTCTCCGACGGCAGTGTCTCTGTTTTTCTTTTTTTCCTTTTTTTGCCACGGCAATGGAGCTGACCGTGAGAGGTTGGTTTGTGATCTTTTGGCCTTGACGACATCACTGACAAGATCAAGGACTCTAGGCAATACTCCTGAGTATTTCGCGAATGCCGTACATCTGCTGGCCAAGAGGCTGGTGATGGACCTCAAGCCTCTTATCACATCGTCATATGCGCTCATAGAGCGAGCCAAGCCATCTGAGGCCCAGCGCCAGGAAGGCCATCCAAATTTTGATTCTCACGCAGAAATGAGAGATGGGTAGGCGATGGTTTGAATCCCATTGCAAAAACCCATGATCGTACCCACTTGAACCTGCGTTTGCCAAGTAGCCACCCTGCATGAAGAAGCGTGAGGGGTTCACGTTCTTCGGGGCATTGCCCACGTGCAAGATCGTACTCCATTACCAGACCCCAGCGCACATGCCAGTCGCAGAGTCCAAGCTCGATTGACACATAGCACCGTGGCCATGTCTTTAGACACTCATGTGAGTAGGCATGCCCTGGGTGAGCACCCCCCAGCTCACTCGTGTCGCAGCCTGTCATATTTGGCGCCGGGACCGCCTGGTACAAAAGCCCGGACGATGACGGCACTACAATTCACCAGCCGACTGTCGACGCCATCAAAGCCGCAATTGATGTTGGGTATCGGACACTGGATGGAGCCCAAGGTATGTGCGTAGGCGGCCAAGAGAACAAGCGCTGCTGACTGTCCCGCGCAGCCTACGGTACAGAGAGGGAACTCGGCATCGCGATGGTTGAGTCCGGGATCCCGCGAGCATCGTTTCGATTGAGTACCAAGGCGAAAAGTACGTCCAACGTTGAGAAAGCCTTGGAGGAGAGTATTGTGAACCTCCAGACGGACTTTGTTGACCTGTAAGTGCTTCGATCCGGCTGGATGGCCACACGTAGCTGATATCGTGCTCCAGATATCTCATCCATTCTCCATTCCCGGCCTCAACAGACGTCGAGCTCCAGGATGCCTGGCGCGAAATGGAGCGCTGCAAGCAGCGAGGCCTGGCCAGGGACATTGGTGTGTCAAATTTCTCCATCAAGAACATGTCGACAATCTTGGAGGTCGCCACGATCAAGCCGTCGGTCAATCAGATCGAGATGCATCCGCGCTTGTATCAGCCCGAGCTTTATGATTTCCTGAGACGGGAGAACATTGCTATCCAAGGGTTCTCCTCGCTGGCGCCATTGAGAGCCGAGTCGGGCAATGAGACGCGTGTGCTCACCACCCAATTGGCAGCCAAGTATAATGTCGACGAGATGGCCATCTTGATGCGCTGGGTAATTGATCAAGGGGCGGCGGTGGTGACGACAAGCTCGAAGAGGGAGCGAATGGCGACCACTTTTTCGCAAGTTCGGTCATTCAAATTGACGGATGAGGAGGTGGCACAGCTGACGGCCACAGGGAAGGGCAGATGGTTCCGCGGCTTTTTTGCCGATGAGTTCAAGGTGGCAGAGGCCAACTCTTGAGGTTGTTTGCTGGTACGAGGGGTAGGCGTGAAGTTTTTCATCATCTCTTGTTGAAGTTAACATTGCCGTTTGTTAGGCACTGGAGACCGCTTTGTTCGCTTGTTACCGTGCTGTGATTGTCAGTTATAGCTCGCCCTGGGTCTTGCGCTATCACCCACTGCGGTCTTTCGGACGCGTTCTTGTTGCTGCCAGGGAAATGGCAACCATGGCATCATGAGCTGCAATTGTAGCGAGGACGGTTGCCGTCGCATTTGGTCTGTTGTTGTATCGTTGAGCAAGTTTGGCCGTTACGTGTATCCGACGCGTTGGGCGCGCTCCTTGACGTATCTTCTTGTGACGACGCGCCAGGCAAACCCGCCAGACGCGCTTTATGCTCGTCGGCCGGTCCTATTGTCGTCCTGATCCATCATATCATGGTGGGTGAGGTACATCTCAGAGCCTTGATGGAAAGGTACGCGTGGCTGAACGCGTGAAAAGCAGGGCGTATCCGGCCGTTAAGTTTGTCTTGTGGCACTGTCATCAGAACATGAAGTGTTTGCGGAAAAGCCAACTACAGCTCCAGCTGCGGTGGCAAACTTGTGGCTGGCCGGTGCGTTCAAACACAAACATGATATTGATTGATTTAAAACATGATCCTCAATGCAGACCGGAGCGTTCAGTCCTATCTTATCTCGTCTCCCGTGACAAGCACCTTACCCTATACCTGTCCGCATCTTGATTCAACGACTCACAGGTACCAGACGAATGTTGTCCAGTAGCTAATCCAATAGATAATCCTTAATCCCCTTGTCGTCTTTTGTGAAGCCCTGCTACTGTTGAATCCGGAGCCCTCGTCATTGTAACGTTGATGTCTCGACAAAGGTATATGCTGACGATTTGCGCCCCATGTTCGCACGTTGCTCGACATTTTCTTTTACAATCGGCCAATCGAACGCCAGTAAATTACATCCCGCACTTCAGTTATGCTATGCTCTCTGTGCTCGTTCTCTGTAGCCAACAAACATGACTCCGTGAGGGGCGTTGTGGTGTGCATCGGACGCCGGGCTAAGTCGCGGCTTCAATCTGCCCGAGCGACCGACGCCTCAGTCACTCAGTCATGCGTGTTGGAGCATTTTGTGCGGGCCCCAGAAAGTACAGCCGAGCAACAAGATTCATATGCGAAATATACTTCTGTACATGACTTGGATTCCAACAAAAGCACTCAACTCGCATCCATCACACGCGGAGATCACCATGGCACCTCACGCAGACATGGCGTCCGACGACATTGTAACTACACCAAGGACTACAGGGCTCGACGCTACAGAGCAGACAAATATGCGAAAAGAATCTGCAGTCCCCCAGAGTGTGGATGTACGACAACAGCTGGGGGCTCTGTTCGAAGAAAACATCGCTGCCAAGATCCTTCGCACTGCTACCGAAGGACTGGTCAACAACGTGGGTGAGCTGACGCTGATGAGGCAAGAAAAAGACTGAGCAAGTATGCAGAATCCTCCCACAGCGTATCCTGAGTATGTGCTACAGACTGGCCCTGAGGCTGGCAAGTATATTCTCAGGGAAGCTGACTTTTGGACATGCGGCTTCTTTCCAGGCAGCATCTACTCCTTGATTGAGCGAGCCGTCAAGTTTCCACATGCTTTCGCAAGCCAGGCAAAGGGGCAACTGCTCGAGACACTCGGCAAGCTTGGGGAAGCTTGGGCAGAGCCCATCCATGCCATGGCGCAGAGGACCGACACACACGACATGTCATTCATGATCCAACCAAGCATGCGGGTACGTTGGGAGGTTTTGCACGATCAAAGAGCACTCGAGACGATCCTCACCGCAGCGGCGTCTTTGTACACCAGGAACAACACCAGAGTGGGCGCCATCAGGTCATGGGATGTCCTGGATCAGAACGGCGTCAGCATCACCAGCGCAACCGATGATTTCTTGGTAATCATTGACTCCATGTGCAATCTGGATCTCTTGTACTACGCTGCCAGCCACACTGGCCATGCGGAAATGCGAAGGGCAGCCACAGCCCACGCCAAGACACTGATGCGGACACACATGCGTCCAGAGAAGGCGACAAACAGCAACAAGAAGATGCTCAGCACCATTCACGTGGTCAACTTTGACCCCAAGACTGGTGACATCAAAGAGCGCCGCACCGGTCAGGGGTTCCACGCCACATCTACTTGGGCGCGAGGCCAAGCGTGGGGCATCTTGGGGTACGCCCAAACGTTCATGTGGACTGCGGATGTTGAGTTCCTCGAGACATCAATGGCCCTTGCTGAGTATTTCATTCACCGACTCGAAAGTTCCCCGTCCTGCGTTGAGATGGCCGTTCCAGGAGAGCTTCGTACGAGAGGTCGCTACGTACCACTGTGGGACTTTGACGCACCCATTTTGGATGAGGCAAACCCCCTGAGAGATTCGTCCGCAGGAGTCATTGCCGCCAATGGTATGCTCATCCTCTCGCAGGCTTTGGCGGGGCTGGGCAGGAGTCAGGAGAGTACTCGGTTCCGTCAGATGGCCTTCGCGATCGTGGCTGACACCCTCGACTTCTCTCTCTCTCGGGATAAGATGGAGGTGGCCTTGGGCAAGGAGGGAGTGATTGCTCGCGACCGCACAGAGGGACGCCGGTTTGACGCGATTCTGATGAACGCGACGGCCAACTACAATGCCAAGGATCACAAGAGATACTGGGATCACGGGCTATGCTACGGTGACTACTACTTGATTGAGTTTGGGAACAGGCTTTTGAAGATGGGTTTTGTGTGAGCATTAGGTATTCTGCATGATTATGCCCATTAACTCTCAGAAATGATTACACACCCATACCACCGTCTCCTGGAGTCACCCACGGTAGCGAATTGTTTCCAGGTGCCGCAAAAATCATATCGTCGAGGCTGATGACCCTGTCCATACTCATAAAGTCCTCATCCATCAGCAGATGGGAGATGGCTGACAGATTGTCCGGATGAATGCCGTCAGTTGCTAAGCTATTTGCGGGCATGTTGCCCAAGTGCAATTGTCCAGATTGCTCGTGAGTTTCACATCTCGAATCGGGCAGACTATGGTTCACATTGTCGCTGGACATGTTGGTCCTTGTTCCGGACTGGCCGCCGTCAGGGAAGAAGGGGCTAGATGGAGTTCCCCGGGCCAGGCCACTGGAGTACCCCAGAACATCAATGGTCAAGCTAGGGTCCTCCGTGCACTGTTTGCGCATGAGACGTAGCTGTTCGGCGTATTTTCCAGCCAAGGAGCTGGTAGCACGGTGAACCAAAATTGGACCAGCCCATCTTCGTGCCATCTCGTCGAGGGCATCGACCAGATCCCGGAACTCGAGCGGAAGCTCGGAATTATAGTGCCGCCAGTGGACTGATATTTTTAGCTGGCAGTCAATAGACAGACCCAGGGACGACTTACCCAAGAGTACACGAGCACTTATGTAAACGCAAAAGGCGTACTGGTCGGCGACCGGATAATGTGACGGGGTATACTTCAGGTACTTCTGCGTGATGGTGGCTGTTTCGATGGCAGCAACCTGGCACGTTTCAGCACTACAGAAGCTGGGCAGCTTGAACGTGTCAGACCACTTCGGGTCTGGATAGGCAATTCTCTGGTGCAGGAGAATCATAGACGTGTTGTGTGTGACATGGGCCAGTGTCAAATTAGGATCCATGTTTATCATGGTTGGTTGCCTAGAGATATTCGAGTCGCGCCATCGCTGGGGGAGGAACATCTTCCAGCTTGACGCTGTTAGTCTCCGAAACTTCATGCTTCCATAATTGGACTCACTGAACGAGGCGCAGATCTAGCTCTTTGAACCGCGTCAACCAATCACTGACCTGTTGTCGATTCGAAAAGTCAATGTTCTGTTGCAGAAAGTACGTCGTGATGCGACTCAGTGACTCGGTTGCCTCTATGCGATAGGCAAAGGCACCGACGGTAGTCATGTCAGGGTCATTTATCTTCGCATGTGAGGCCGTCGCTGCAGGCGTCGACGCTGTGTTATCCTGCCCCTTGTCAGGGCTGGGATAATTCCCGGGTAGAAACGCTATCGAGTTGCCGATCTTGGCCACGCTCCGGTCCCATATGCCAAAGTAGGGGGTTGTCACGCCCTCCTCTTTATGCCACGTGCCTCCGTCGGCGGGTAGCCGTCTTTGCACGTCATCCGAGGTGAGACTCGTGTTCCAGCCAGTTGTGACTGAGCAGAAGCGGTCTAGACAGAAGATAGTCCAGAAGACCCTCCGTCTCTGCTCTTCCTCGGTCCAATTCTTTGGCCTTTTCACCGTTGGCAACGGCTTGAGCAAGGATGTCTTGGCATGACTGTCGTCCTCTACACTGAGTTGCAAATATTCGACAGTTCTGGTGAGTGATCCTATCACGGACCAAGCTCGCGAGGCTTCCCCATTGCCAATCTGCAAAGTCAGTTAAAGAGTGCTCGACGTAGAACTGGGCAACCCACATCTTCAAAGGCCACAATAATCAAGGCCTGAAGATTCTCCACCGACAATCCATCCATGCAAGTCAAAAGGACCAAGCGCCTCGAGCGAGCGCATATTCGCTCGACCTCTGTTGCAGAAAGTCTCAGATTGGGGCTCTCGACAAACCGCAGTGCCGCAATCACCATCGCATGCAGCACAACAACAAGCTGCGGAAGCTCATCATGGTTCTGGACGCGTTGTCTGAAATTTGTTTCGTGCAGAATTGGTATCCAGGGCTGGACGCGGTCAAAGTATATACTAATGACTTCTTCCAGAAGGGTCGCATCCGGCAGGCTTGAGACACTGCTGTCCAGGTTCTCGTCCAGGGAGAAGGATACATCAACGTTCGGGTTGCCGCAACTGTCTACTCTCCGTCTTTTCTTTGCAAGGGGCGCATGGCACGTACGGGGTGAGATTTCCGAATTGCGCTCGAAGTTGTTGCGACTGGATCCATTGGTCCCAGTGGGGGAAGCTGCTGTGTGATAACGCGAGGTGTTGGCCAATCCAGGCATTGAGTCCCATCGCCGCGTTGCGTTGAGCTTCTGCAGCTCAGTGGCTAGCATGGACAAAACTCCTAACACATTTGGCGTCCCATTCTCAGGTGTCTCGGTGGGCGCTGGATCGGAGCAGGTTGAATTAGATTGCCGTTCGAGCAAAGCCTGTTCAAGAACTTCTGTTGCCGAGCGTCAGCTGCGATGAGTTTACAACGAGTTGATCCGTGTCCTCATACCAACACGCCGACTCAGACTGCCTACCGCTCCGGCTTTGATACCGGGCTTGTTTTTCTTCAGGTCATACACGCAAGGGGAAGCTGCTCGTGATTGTTGTCAGTCTACATGGGCGCGAATGGGATGCGACTTGCACACCTAGCCTGACACAGTGAGAACATGTCGGCTGTTCTCGAGAGCATTTCAGCTTCCGCCGACGGCACCCCTGGCATGAGGGTATCTCGTTCTCCGCTGCGGCCTCTGTCATGCTGACTGTCTCTGGCATTGGAACCAGGTTGCAGCTTGTCGATTGGAGAGTTCGGGAGCGGGCAGCGTTCCAAGTACCGGCCGCAGACTGATGCGATGAAGAGCCAACTGAGGGGTCTGCAGATATTATGCGCTGCAAATCGACTGCCGCCATTTCGGGTCAACTATCCCCGTGATGGGGAAAGTGGTGAATCCGGGGAAGACTTGGACAATGCACATGGGTGGGTGTTGATGTTGGGGTTGACTGGAGTTTGCGGGGTTGGGGCTCTAGGGGGCCTGGCCCTGGTTCACACTGAGCGTCTTTGAATGAGCTCTGTCGTCAAGTGCTCAAAGAGGTGAAAATTCATGTGTTAGGGCTCGGCCGGGGAATTGTTGATCGCCTCTTGAATCTAGAGATTTGAGGTTCCGTCGTGGACCTATCGTCCATCCAGTCAGCCAAATGACACCCCAGGACATCGTGCTCCGGACATCCTCACTCGCGCGATTAAGCATTTAGCATACAGCGGGTACCTTTGCCCCGATGCCCGGCTGTGGAGCTTCCCATTGCCGGTCCAGTGCCACTCCAACTTCCTGTAATTCACACCAGAGGTTTCTTATATAATGTCGGCAAAGGCCGTGGGATCTGGATACCTCTCCACTGGACATCGAAAACGAGTCTAGTCCGTTCTCTGTCCCTCATACAATGGCTGAGCCGAGACCAACCGAAGTGGCCCCAGTACTAGCTGCGACCACGAACTCGCACAACGACGTCCCTGAAGTCAAGGAACCCGAAGCATCAACTGTTGCTGAGCCCACAACGAGCAACGATGAAGCCATCCTTGGGGAGCGCGAGCTCAAAGAAGCGCCAACTCGCAGCGTCTGGCTAGCATGGCTCTACATGTTCGACTGGTACCCTTCTCATTACCCAAAGGAGGAGCGCAAGTTCTTGCGCAAGCTCGACGCCTTTATGATGACCTTTACCTCCATCGCGTTCTTCCTCAAGTGGCTTGACCAGTCCAACGTCAACAGCGCCTACGTGTCGGGGATGCGAGAGGAGCTGGGCCTCTACGGCAACGAGTACTCCAAATTCCCCATGTTTTACAACATTGGATACGTCATCTGTCAGGTTCCGGCCATGCTGGTGTTCTCTCGGCCTCAGTTCACCAGATGGTTCTTGCCAAGCTGCGAGGTCCTCTGGAGTCTCTTGACATTTGCACAGTCGCAGTTGAACACCGCGGGACAGATCTACGGCACACGATTTTTGCTCGGTGTTTTGGAGACGCCGGTGGCATCGGGTTGTCTCTTCATTTTGTCGTCGTGGTACAAGCCCGAGGAGTTGTTCAAGCGAGCGGGCTTGTGGTACGTGTAAGTATCGGGTTCCGCCATTCAAAAGTAATCGCGCTGACATTGAAGATCCAACAACATTGGCGTCATGTTCGGTGGGTATCTGCAGTCTGCGGCATATACCAATCTCAATGGCGTTGGTGGCATGTCTGGTTGGCGATGGCTTTTCATTATTGGTGAGTAGTCTGCGCGTGCAATATTGCACAAGACCTGACACTTTTAACAGATGGTTCCATCTCCCTGCCGCTCTCCATCCTTGGCTTCTTCATCTTCCCCGGGATGCCGATGAGTGGCAAAATCTGGTGGATGAAGGAAGAGGAGCACGCCCTCGCGCAGCTCCGCCTGAGGGAAGTCGGCGTCGAAGCTCCCAAGAAGATCACAAAAGCCCTGTTGAAGCGCATCTTCCTTCGCTGGCACTGGTACCTCGGTGTACTCGCCTATATCTTGTTTCTTTCAGGTGCCTACCCACATGGCCAGATGGCAATTTGGCTCAAGGACCTGGGTGACAAATATGGCACGTACACCGTTCCCCAGATTAACGAAATCCCAACTGCCGCGCAGGGCGTCTCTGTGATCTCGACAATCATCGCCACAAATCTATGCATGGTGTATCCCACTTGGATTATCTACACCATTATCATGAGCCTTTTCATGTTTGCAAATATTTGCATGATGGTGTGGGATATTCCTCATGACCTAAAATGTGAGCATTCCCACGACTCGAGATGCTCTTCTCCGCGGCCCTCTTCATTGGATGCTAACAATATAAAACAGTCACAGCATTCATGCTCTTTGGCTGCTCTGCCGCCGTTACGCCAATCCTAGCACCGACAGTCAACTGGTGGCTCAAAGACTCTGCCGAAGCTCGTGCCTTCTTCAGCGGGAGCATGATTGTGAGACTAAAAGACCCCCGTTGAGACAGACTCTGGCTGACCTCTCCAGACCCTTGGATTTGCCGTGAACAGCTTCTACCCATTGGTGACGTTTCCGGTTGTCGAAGCACCGCGGTGGAAGAAGGGTTACATTGTCAACTTTTTCTTCATCTTAGGTGCTTGGGGTTTCTTGACGGCGGGATATTTTCTGCACCAAAGGGCCGAGAAGAAGCAAAAGCTGAGGGAAGCTGAGCTGGCGCTTGATGAAGACAATGTGAAAGGCGAAAGTGTCAAGCATGTGGCATGAGAAGCGCAGGAAGCGTATTTGATCCCAGGGTGTATTAATGGTCTTGCTTGACCACAGCCTAAACAACAGCTTGAGAAATGCAGAAGTATGCACAGAGATCTCAAATTTGGTGCAGATCTCGTCTCCAAAGTATTGCGGCTGTTGTCTAGTGATGAATGATTAATGACGTCGAGAAACACAATCTTCAGCTACGGGATTGACGCGTAAATACTGTTCGATATAACATCACCTCGTCACTATACGCCCGTTATCTCTCTTAAATTCAATTTATGAGTACTTGTCACTGGCTAGTCGCAAACCTTGCAGTCGAGACTGTGTCTCAATATCATGCTCTGATATTGCGCTCGGTCTCAGAAGATTCTAGTCTCGCCTGGTCGATATATTAGCTACATGTACACATCGGTCTCGTCACGCATTGATGCGTCCATTGCTGCAACTTTCGATCATCATAAACTACGGATACAGATATGTGTGGTACGGCATTATAAATATCAGAAGGCCCAATGGTCGCTCACCATGGCTCGAGATGCCAACTCCTTGCTCCCCCACAGTGCATAAGTGCAGTGAGACAACGGCACGCATTTACTAGATGGAACAGATCGCTAACAATGTTAGGCAAGTGACAAGTCCACAACCATGGTGATTGGCGCTTGGGCCATTGCTCCGAAGGCCGATTAGCTGGTGATAACTTGTCCATGTAGCATCTCAACTCTGGGCAATGGATGATACCCCTTGAGGCTCCATATGGCGCAAGCGTAATTGAACTGGCGACGAATATCAACGACTCGCTCCAACGAGCCATGTGATTCACGATGCGTGTAATTCCCACGTCGAGGTGCGTCGTCCAACCCCGCCCAAGGTCAAGTGCACGAATCTGAAGTGAAAGTGAGGAACCAGCGCGTCAATGGAAGACACGCCGCATAATCGCGCAAATCGCGTCCGATGAGTCGCGTCTGATGAGTCGCGTCTGATGAGTCGCGTCCGATGAGTCGCGTCCGATGAGTCGAGTTACAGTCTAGAGGACGTGTCCGAAAGATATCTTCCGTACATCTAGTAGTCCGCTGTCGTCGACCCGCCTTTCGTATGAGTGTATACCGTTATTTCTATTATAATTGTCAGTCGATGAAGCATTCAGCATTCTTTAATATCATTCCATATTCTTATTCTCCCGTCTTTCGCTTTCCCGCTGGCCGTCATGCCGCTCAAACGAACTGGGCAGGTGTCGTCCAGTCGTCCCACGAAACGACTCCAGGCCGCTGCCGTTGCGAAGGGGCAGACCACGTTGTAGGGCTTCTGTGGTCAACCGAAAGCAGCAGACACAGACGACTCGACGGTCAGTTCATTCTTGTTCCTTCGGTCCGCTCAGATACTAATAGGACAGGCCACTCTATCCCAGCTGAAGATCGTCAATACGAACGACGACCAGGCGGAGGAGGAGGAATCGAATTACTTCGACGTGTCAGACCAAGAGCTCCTGGGGTTGGAAATTGCTCGTTCGACTACTGAAGAAGCTCGGCCCGAGGACCAACAGCCCGGCGAGCCCACCGACAAGACGCCCGTAGACGACGAGACAGACGAACCAAACCAGGACGACGAGTATGAGGGTTTCGAACTCGACATTGACGATATTGCGTTTCTCGACGAGGCCACAGCTAGCCATCCCTTCGAGATTGCCCTTGAGGCACTGGCCGTCCCAGACCCCCGAGAGTCGTGGACGGACGAAAAAGGCGTTCTGAGAGTCGGTCGACAACCCCTTGCTAAGCAGAAACATGTCGTGTCGGCACCACAAGCAATCGTAGCCCAGCACATCCGTTATGCGGTCCGATACAACTACCATTGGCGAGACGATGCGTTTGAGCACTTGTCGCCGGACGCGATTACCGAGCAAGAGGCGAGACTGAAGGAAATCTTGGTCGGCTCGCTGGAGGAAACTAGAAGCGGGTTCGTAGCGCGTACTTGCGACTACCTCGGCGTACCGCTTCGAATGGCCTCGGGGCCTCGTTCGCTGTCTATCGAGGCTGTACAGCCGGTCGTCGTCGTGAACGGTCGGGTGGGATACCATTTCGCGCCTAACGTGGCCCTGATTTCCTCATTTTTAAACTTCGCCAAGCAGAACCACCCGATTGTCGTCCTTCCGAGTATCGCGGCGTGGCTGCGAGCAACAGAGGAGCCAAACTTCCAAACGGCAAAAAGCAAAATGACATGGGCGTATAATGCAGTGTGCAATGCGTCAATGATGTATAAGGTAGTCGACCTCGGGGGCCCACACACCGCCAGAATTCAACGCTGGGAGAATCGGTCAACGGAGGAGCGACTTGAGTGTTTGGACATGCTTCGGACTGGTCGCCGTACCAGAATGATAGCAGATGCCCTCGCAACTCCATCAAAGGGACTTGATTTGCTTGCTTTCCGCCGGCCGTCAGGCGCGCGGAGAAACATGACGAACCTAGAAAAAAGCTTCAGCCGACAATTTGCCCAGGTTGCCGTGGAAATAGCCAAGAAACACGGGCTGACGAGGGAAGAATATACAGAGCTCCTCACAATTCCGTCCCCGTTGCCTGTAGAGCGGATCTTCTACCCGTTCCATATCTTGTCGCGAGCGCATGCAGTCGCCGTAGGCTGGGGTTGGCTTGAGCTTCTGCGATACGCCGAAGCTATAGTAAATACAATGCAGAGAGCATGTAACCGACAAGCAGAAGACGCCGGCCTCGGCGAGGAGGACCTGACAAGCGAGACGTTATGCTACTGGTTAGTCGCCTATTGCAGCCAGCGGATTACCAAAGTCAAGACAGAACGGCCGACGGCTAGCATAGAGGAGATTGCCTTTTTCTCCCTGGATAGATGGAGTATGCCGATTCTCCCATGGACAAACCATGTCTTTTCCGCTTCACTATGCAAAGGCCTAGATCACGGCCTGGCGATGCTGCTTGGTTTCGAGAAGCGGGCGCCGAACGAGTCGTTCGACCCTCTAAGACACATCGACATCGCGAAACGGACGGTCGAGGTCGATGCGCGCTTCACTAATATGGCAATGCATAATTACAACGTGAGCGACTGGCCGTCTCAGCTTGAACTCCTTCGAGACATGCCGATTTCCCATCCATTCTGGAAACCAGTCGACGACATTGGCGAAGCTTGGACCGGCGTGGTAAGCTCTGACGCTAAACCACTGCCACCAAAAATCGAATTCGAATGCCCGCTGCTTGAAATAGATCAGTGGGAGACTGTTGACGAAGAGAACCTACCGGATTCGACAAGGACAAGCTGCTTCGATAGCTATGGACAATCATTCAGCAATGTTGGACTCCTAGTAGCTCATTGTCGGTCGGCTCATCGAAAAGACGGCTTGATTCTTCCCGCGCGGACCGAGACAACGAACCAGGAATCAGACGCCGAGTACTGGAAATTGACGCTTTCCAAGAATCATAAGTGCTCGCAATGTCCAAAGGCGTACCAGAAGAAGGAACAACTCCGCGCGCACATTCGGTTCGCCCACTTAAAAGTACGACGTTTCCCCTGTCCGACATGCCGAAGAGGCTTTGTTCACCGGGGCGGCCTGCAGGCCCATATCAGCGCCGTCCATCGGAAAGAAAGGCCGTGTCCATGCCCTGTGCCGAAATGCGGCGTCCGCGCCGTGAACGTCCACATGCTACAAGTCCACCAGCGAAACGTCCACGACCGCGTGAAGCTATTCCCGTGCGACGAGGCGGGTTGTGGAAAGTCGTTCTCGATGAAAGCCGATCTAAAGGTGCATATCGAAAGGATGCATCGGCAGACGGTTGCGTGTACGTGGCCGGGCTGTCAAGCCGTCGTGTCGAGCAAGTCTGCTTTAATAAAGCATCTGAATATCGCGCACAATCCCACCGGGGCAAAGCACGTATGCTCCGTTTGCGGCGCGAACAAGAAAAGCGTGGCGCATCTCCGCCAGCACATGGCGATCCATTCAACGGATCGACCTTTCAAGTGTGACTGGTTGAAGCCAGGAGAAGCCGAGCCTTGTCAGAAAGACTACAAGTGCTTGGAGGATTTGCGACACCACCAACGGAAGAAGAAGCATGGCCGATACGCGGCGTAAAGACATTGGGAAGGGCGTCCGTGACACATCGCTATACGTTATTTGCTGGGGATCCGTTGTTTTATCTTTCTTCTTGCGAAAAGGCGCTTCTGGGACTTGTTCGTTATTATTCATCGTTTTGGGGTTTCGTTTTTGCTTGTCTACTCTGCTGTTGCATGATTTCGGAAGTGCGCTCGCTGGTTCTTTGTAGTGGGTTCGAAGTCTTCGGGAGGAGGAAACTAATTGCGATAGTATGAATCGTTATTTGGAATGTGCGATAGTCGGAGTTTCTCGCTTTCGGTCGCATTAATGACTACCACAATCGTACCTACGAGGTACCAAATGTCTCTTTCGTACAGAACTCCTCGTTGCCAAATACTGTGCGCAAAAGAATGTTGTGGGTGTTGTGTGATAGATTGGGTTGAAAAGAGTTTGCAAGAGTGCGTCAAGTACGTGATAATAATTTTGAGCTCATGACGATAACGTGGCGCGTCTAAGTATTATTCGGCTCCGAAGTTAACGCGTTTCAAAACAACATCACGTTTGCTGCCAACAATGTTCAGCAAGTTACATATTAACAACCGTCACATTTGGTGCTTGGACACATCATCCGAAGCCAGTGCAGACTAGTAATGAACTACTGTGACCATGTTGATTAAAGCACACAATAATACCGTCCCTAGCGCGTCTAGTCCCTCGTCCTTGACCATCTGTCACCTGTCGAGACCACGCCCCCTTTCTTTCAGACCTGCCTCGCAGAGTGACAATCTTCTTGTTCTAGCCTATGATACCTTCGTGACTTGCTCAAATTGAGGCAAAGACGATGACCTAGTCATCAAGGCCCGCAGCGGACTCTGCTTCACTGATCGCCTCACACTTCCTCTTCCAATAGGCGCCCTCTTCCTTAGCCTTCGTGGTCTCAAGTCTCTGGTTTCTCAATACCTCCCGTAGTTCCTCGATATGAGATCGAAGAGGCCTCGTGGTGGGATCGTCAAACATGGACTTCGCGTCCTTGTGGGCAGCCACGATGGCCTCGTGTCTCCTAGTCGAGATGGTCGATCGTGTTTCGAGATCCGTTATCCGCCCCTCTAGCGTCTTCTTGTCTTTTTCGGTTTGTGCTTGATAAGCAGACAGGAAGGCATGCAGAACCCAAAGTATCTGGTTTGGCTTTGTCGTCAAAGTCCGAGCCAATTGTTGCCATTCTGTGTCGGCATCCAGCACCATCGTCATCTGCTTTCCCTTTTCTCTCAGCTGGTAAAGCTCATGGATAAACCACAACAGGGGGTTCTCGTTGTCATTGGGCAGTGATGTTGTTGTCCCGGAGATGGGACAATGGTCGCCATTCGTCGCGAGTCTTGCCTGAATCCGTTCTTGAAGCTTCATCAGCTCAACGCAGAGCCCATGAGTCTCCGTGCGAGGGTCGTTGTCGATCAAAGCGACCGGTTGTTTGCGATGAGGGTCGCCTTCTAAGACTGTGCTCATGGGTTCTGTGACCAAATCCAGGGCTTCCACGTTGTCGTCCTCGGTTATGTGGCCGCTCGTGACTCTCAACAGCGGCGCAACATGGGTGTTCCAATGATCATAAAGGGAGAAAAAAGGATGATGAGGAATTCCTTCTGCATCTGACATCAGGTATGAGATGTCGTCCAAGTGACCACCATCGAGACCAACGATCCCATCTCCAGCCCAGTTGTGCTTTGTATAGTCAACGGTCTCGTTGAACCTTGCGGCCAGTTGCCACAGGTCGTCGACCACGTCCCTCATCTTTTCACCGCGGCCAGATAGGTTGTCTGTTGCAGAAGAGGCGGGATCGCGGCTTTGTGGCTCCTCGCATGGGGAATCGAGCGCTTCTGTGGCTGTTCTGGAAATGCTGTCGTTGGTGTGTTCGAATTCTGTTGCCCTGGCAGTGATGGTGGAATTAGCATTGAAACTTCCTGCCTCGGTCTGAGAAGTCCAGGAAGCAGGGCCGGCTTCTGTTTCTGCTCGTTCAACCTTCGGCTGCGGAGAGCTCCCGGGACGTTGACTGTTGCTGGAACGAGGCTCCATGGCTACGAAGCGGAGACAATTTCTCGGTATTCTTGAAAAACAAAGGTCTGAGTTCACTCAGGGTACAATTCCCGAATTAAGAAATTTCTGCAACATTTGGTCACGTTTTCCTTTTCACCTCAGCCGCGTCTCACTCTTAATCGTCCGAAGTCAAGGTGACGCGTTGTGAGCGACTAGACACAGCCAGGCAGGCAGTCTGGTTTTTTTCTTAGGTACCTTATTTCATCAAACTCTGCACACAGAACCCATATCTCTTGGTTGATCATTTCCAATTGCTGGCTTCGAGACTCTCACCATTGTCTTTGGACGTCTTTGTTTTGAAGATTATCCCGCATTGCGTCTATTCCAGCAACCCTCTGCTTTACCTGTGAGCAGCTTTCACCGCATGATGCCACGAACTCCAAACAGAAGTTCACGCTCCGGCGCAAAGGCTAGCATCCCTCGGGCTTCCAAGCGCAAGGCTTTGCCTTTCAACCCTACAATCCCAAAGTCTCCGTCTCGCGGCACTTCGCCCATGGAAATTGCTCTTTCGGGACTGCCGCAGGCTCCTGTCGCGCGACGCACGTCTGACGTTGAAAGCAACACGGTGGACGGTTGTGGCCATGCAGCAAGTATGATGCTGCTGGTTTCCAATGACCCAAACTCACGATTCGGCAAGGAATATCAACGAATCGCGAACAATGACAGCGAGCTAGCGACGCCGCATCCGAAATTGTCCGTGAGCCAGCCAAAGAGACAATACACCCGCCGCGAAGCAGAGGAGTCGTACACACAAATCAGCCAAATAATTGAAACAGGTGTTGAATCGACAGAGGAAGAGGTGACGCAGGTCTTAGAGTGTCTCGAGCCAATCGCGACGGTGGTGCTTCCTGGAGAGAAAAAGTTGGACATCTCTCGTTGGCTGCGCCACAACATCCGTCAGCATGGCGAGCGGCTCTCTGTTCTCAACGAAGAATTTGACGAATGCGATCCACGGGACCTCACAGTCGTGGACTATCCCGCTCGTGACCAAACATCAGTGGAGGCTATCAACAACCCAGTGGTTTTCATCGCTGAGCAGTTGAACGATAGTTGCAGAGACGAAGGCAAGGTACAGAAGGCAATCCATTTGACTTTCCTACTGGCAGACGTGCAGGCCGACTCCTTTCAGGACCTCGCCCACGAGCGCGACTATTGGCGCGCCGAAGCTCAGAGTGTTCGACGTCAATTGGCTGAAAAGAACAGAGAACTCCTCCACGCAAAGTCCACGGTGCCTACCGATATCGAATCCCCACTCGACCTGGCATTGAAGTTGACGGAGTCTTTGACGAGAGAGCAGGCTGAGAACGATAAAAGCCGCCTTTCTTCCAGAACGAGAGGCCCAGGCGACGAAGTTGCACGAACGAATCATGGGACCATCTTCGGATCTAGTGAAGATGGTGATAATAGGGGTAAGTTCGCAGACCGATTGTTGTGACCCAAACTAACTGTCGGATAGCAACACAATATCAGCAACACGAACAAGCAATTCAACGACCCGCCAGCATCCATGACAGCGATGAAGGAGACGAAGCCAATGATTCAGACGGACTATACGAGCCATCAACGAGTTCCGGCTGTATGACACGTCGGGGCGACGATGCCCACGGCAAACGAAGGAGAGCTCTTGGCGCCGTGAGATGGAGCAAGCGTCTCCGCCGAAGCGTTCGATGAAGTCTCGCCATGTCGACAGCCGTACAGGTCCAAGATGTGGACGAATTATGGATGAATGGCCCGAGAACAGTGTGCGAGGCGTACTTTGCCTGCGATTGTTTGATTATGAAGAAGAGAAGTTTGCTGCGATGCGACAGGCAGAAAATAGTGAGAACAACCTGTTCGTACAAGAGCCTGAGGGGCCTTGATCAAATGCTTGCCTGCTCAACAGAGTGCTCACCATTGATGTACTACGTAGGTAGGCAGTAGAAAAAGGTGACAGACTGCATAGATGGAGAGGAATGGCACATTGCTCCGAGGCCCGATGCACACTAGTGGATCACTGTGACATACTGATGCCCGCTCCAACGTTCTTGACCAACTGTCAACTGTCGTGACCGCGCCGCTTTATTTAGCAATTTACTCTCAACACAGCAGATAACCATGCCTCGACTTGCAGGCTTCTCCGACAACCCTTTCCAGAGCCGATCAGATGTGATAAAAGCCACGATCGCTCTTCTCCGTCCACTGATTCCCTATTTTTCGCAGGGCAAAGGTCGAATTGCAGTTCCAAGCGCGACGGCAGCGCACTTTGACGAGCGCCCAGCACAGCTGGAGGGCTTCGCCCGGCCTCTTTGGGCTGTTGGAGCTCTACTACTAGCCCTTGACCATGGGGTCCAGGATGGTCTAAAAGCTGAGATCACAGAGCTGGTACAGCCATGGATCGATGGTTTCATCTCCGGAACTGATCCAGAGCATGCCGACTATTGGGGCGTCATGAACGACATTGACCAGCGCATGGTGGAAGCAGAGATAATCTCTTTCGCACTGCTTGCGGCGCCAGAGCAAATCCTTGGGAAAATGACAGACAAGCAGAGGGAAAATGTTGCGGCCTGGCTCCGCTCACTTCACAATCTCCCCATGCCCGAGAACAATTGGCGTTGGTTTCGCGTCTTTGCCAATCTCGCCCTCGTCAAAGTCTTGGGGGAGCCCCTTGGCAATGTCCAAGCGGAGATCTCCGCAGACATGGACATTCTCGACTCGTTCTATCGGGTTGATGGGTGGTCAGCGGACGGGCCCTGGCAAAGCCGTGAACAGGCTCAGAGCGAGCTGGACGTGGCTGAGCGCACAGGAAGAAGGGATACCGTCGGCATCGGCCGACAAGCGGACTATTACTCGGGAAGCTTTGCGATACAGTTTAGTCAATTGCTTTTCGTCCGGTTCGCGAGTGATATTGACCCAGCGCGGGCTGCACAGTATCGTAGCAGAGCTCGCGACTTTGGCTCAGAGTTCTGGCGCTATTTTGATGCTTCAGGTATGTTTGTCCCCCTAGTGTGACAAGAAGAAATGCTCACAGAGAAAACAGGCGCTGCGATACCCTTTGGGCGATCATTGACTTATCGCTTCGCCTGCGGTGGCTTCTTTGCAGCTTTGGCCTTTGCTGATGCCACTGAACCCATGTCGCACGTCTTGTCACCAGGTGTGGTGAAAGGCCTCCTGTTGCGACACATGAGATGGTGGGCTTGGCACTCGGACAACATTTTTTACCCGGATGGCACTTTAAATATTGGCTGGCTGTATCCGTGAGTATTTACGCCGAGCTGTGCACATGAAACACGCCAACTGACTTACCCAGGAACATGTATATGGCAGAGGACTACAACTCGCCGCAGTCGCCATATTGGTGCCTCAAGACGTTGATAGCAGTTGGATTGCCTGATGACCATCCATTCTGGACTTCTGATGAAGAGCGTTACCCCTCCTTCTCTCCACCAGCGGCCTTGATACGAGCCCCTGAACAAATTGTGTGTAACCACCCTCATGGAAACCATCATTTCATGTTGACCCCGGGCCAATGGGTTGCTTGGCCCATGAAATCCAATCAGGCCAAATATTGCAAATTTGCATACTCTTCATCGTTTGCGTTTTCCGTACCCACAGGTCCTCTGATCCAACAGATTGCGCCGGATAACACCCTGGCACTCAGCAGGGATGGGCGGGAGTCGTGGGCGGTGAAATGGAAGTGTGAAGAGGTTTCCTTCCGAGAAGTGGTCCTCGGAGGAGGGGAATTGTGTTCTGGGGTCTTGTCGGCGACCGTGAAATGGTATCCGTGGGGTGATCGAGCAGTGTCGGTGGAAACGACACTCATCCCTCCAACGGACAGCTGGCCTGACTGGCACATTCGGGTGCATCGCGTCTATGTCAAGGAGGGGCTCAAAACACTCCATCTTTCTGAGGGTGGATTTGCAATCTCAGGCCGCAGACTGTCTGACGGGCGCAATCTTCCTGTTTTGGACGACGTGCCGGAAGATGCGAAGATGGGCTTGGAAGGGCTAAAGGAAGGTGAAGGTGAGGCTCTCATCATGTCCGAGGCGGGTGCCAGTGGTCTGGTCAGCTCGCTGAAGGGCGCTGTCGCCCCGTCTGAGTCCAGAGTCTCGGTCTTCAAGCCGGACTCGAACACCAACATCGCTTGTCAGCGTACCCTGATGCCGCTGACGGAGTATGGCTTCTCTGGGGGCCTGAACGCAGGTACGGAAGTATGCATTGCGCAGTGCGTGTTTGCCGTTTCTACACGTGCAAATGGACGCCAGCTTCCGCCAAAAACGCCATTGCGATCTCGTTGGCTCCAACGTCCTCGCCTGGTTTTTCACGACACGGGAGCCTTGGCAATGGTCAAATGTGTGCGTTAAGAAATAAACCAGGCGTCCATCATTAGAATAACGATGTCCCTCTGTCTGGGACCATGTGGTCAATGCGAAATCACTTGTCCCAGAGCTTTTGCTCTGGGTTGGTCCTTTTCATAAGATGTCTCTGCGTTTCGATTTCCAACTGCGATGAGCATCGTCACCTTAAAACAGACACTTTTCGAGATGCTTGTGATGACTCGGATCGTTTCAGCACACGTAATGGGGGGGACACAGACGCCCGGGAGTCAGTACCTTAGCTTGAGGGAAAAAATTTCTTGCGATGTCGAGACAACATGGAGGCCTTCAAGCTCACGCCTGGCAAATTTTTCTGCTCATGTACGCATGGCGTCGATGGTTCCAAAATGGCGAAGCTCAGTCACATTGGTGCCTGTTCATCGTCAAGGAAATCAACTGGCGCGCGCGTCACGGGCTGTCACGATCATCGCGTCGCTGACAATCTTCCACTCGAGCTTCACTCATGCCAACATGAATTGATTGCGACACGAATCTAGTTGGCCCGCGGTTGATTAAGCTCTCTTGATCGAGCATGAGAGTATGCGCCCAAGCTCGACCACAACAAAGAGGCGGTTTGCTGAAGTAGGAGAATGCATAAGGTAAAAAAAGCATGCGAACCATCTCGCGCCGACGTCCCGCGTGCGGTCTTCATTCTTATGTCCGCCCCGATTTCGTCTTCGTCCTCACCCCTCGTCACGTCCCTCGCTTTCGCTATCGCTTGGTCCATTATCGTCTGCGTCCATGACGCCGCCCTCGTTATCACCAGCATCTCGAGCTAGTGCAAGCGCGTGTCCATGCGAGACATTCCATTCCCTCGGAAACATGTCGGTTTCCTCTGTGTACTCAGGCGACAGCATTTTACCGTGTTCAGATTCAGAATGCGCGAAACCACCGCCTTGTAGATCGCCTTGAACGGGGGCATTCAAAATTGTTTTGATTGGCGCACTTTGTCTTAGTACGAGCCGTCAGAATCTACTGACGGATACTGGCCCTTCAGTGCATATACCATCTGGATGCCACCTAGGTCCTCGAGTGGCTTTCTGTCAACGATATGCGATCTGGCCGGGGATTCTTCAGACTGGATGTTGGTGCTGAAAGGTGAGTAGTCGATGCTTTCGTGACTCGTCTCTTCAAGCCTTCTATAAGCTTCCAAGCTTGCGGGTCCGAGCGTCGGTCTGAATGTCGTTCGCCCAAGGTGGTACGTTGAGGATCTTGGGGAGACTCGCCACCGCCGAAGATGGATCCTTTGGTCTGGGAGCCTGTGTTAAGTGATACTCCTCAATTTTCCTCGTGGTTGAGCAAGGCGTCCTGTCCGAGAGGGGCTCGCGAGCCGCTACGGCGACACTTCGTGGCCGAACCGGAGGCAGATCCTGACTTCCGCTTGTTACTTTTCGGTTGCAACAACTGTGAGAATCGAGCGCGGTTGGAAGGTGGGCTCTTCTTTTAAAGGGAGTCGAGGTTCTTCGAGATGCGTCGTTCTTTGGCATATCTGTTCTTCTGAATTGCGAGGCGATGAGACTCGGAGTCGTCACTGCGGAGGCCGGGACGCGTTAGTCGAGAGAGGTGTCAGGTGGTGCCGCATAAGCCCTTCTGGGTCAGTCTCAGCCGTGAGTTCTTCTAGATATTCAAAGGATTCGTCGGGGTTCGGTCGACGGGGCGGAACAACATATGCTTGACTTTGGTTAGAATGTGTATGTCAAGTTTCTATGCACGACTTACCACTTGGATCAGGAGACTCGTTGCTTTGAAAACGACGATTCCCTTCGTCCCTTGGCAGTTCACTGTCTCTGCAGCCATCTTCTGCTTGCCTACTTCTTGCTGCTTCCTGAGGGGTTGTCGGCCGACGCTGAGAGCACCAGGGTGCAGTATGGAAACTTCTATGGTGAGAGAAGGCGACTGGAGACTGTAAGGCAACAGGACAGTCCTGCATTTGTGTTAGAAAAAGCGAGTCGACCGGCTAGTTGTAAGACTCTCACCTTGAAGAGACATAGGATTGGATGTTGTGCGAAAGTAATTGAGCATGGCTGAGCAGTTGCTTTCAGAGAGGCACCCAGAGAAGAACATGAGCTCGAAAACCTCCCCTGTGTGAAAAATATGCTGATGCGAAGGAAAGAAAGAAGAGCGCGATCGTATGAAGATCATTGCTTTTGGCGTTGGCAGCGGTGTGCAGGCCAATTGTGTGGACATGATTAGCAAGGCAAGCATGTCTGACAAACAGCACAGACCAGGGACCAGGGACCAGGAACGAAAGCTGTCGCAGTTTTGTGTGGTCTGGTGGCTTCATGTTGTAATGTATCGTGTAAGGGTTAGATATGGACATGAAAAGATGCTTGTGGAGTGTATATGCCCAGTCATGGACAGTATAGGGATTAGAAATCAGTTTAGCGTGCGCCGCCCTTGGATGTGTCACCTATGGTGTTCTGTGCACGTGCTGACTGAATTCGGACGATAAGAGGTGAGGACTTTACCATGGTGGTGAGGACAATGGTCTGTTTGGCAATATTTGGTCGTGCACGGTGGTCTATGGAATCTGGACCAACAACTGTCGTACACCATTCTATTACTACCTACCTCTACGACTCTGAAAACTCAAAAACCTTGCCTGATTCGGCGTCAACGTCGAACACCTGTCCTAGACTATAGAAGAGAGCATCGTGGTCGTGCGGATAGCCATGCTGTAAGCAAGAGCCATGAAGCTGCATCATATACCGCGGCTGTCTTGCCAGAACCTTCGCTCAGAGGGCAAAGTACACAATTTCGAACGCGGATGAACACCTAGAGTGAGGCAGTGCAGTTGATGAGGTTGCACAGAGGTCGAGATGGCCCACCAGGCACCAATGTCTGAGTCACACAGCTATTCGCGGAACTCACTAACTACTTACCTGAGCTACACTTCCATATGCCACTTGATTTTGCCTCGCTGACAACGATCTACGTCGTCACTGCGCTGCTCATTGCAGTAATTTGCCATTAATGACGACCTGATTTCCGCGTAGAATGCATCGAGAACCTCAGAAGTGGCCCAGGCCAAGCGCCTTGTTCGGGCTGGTGCGTGTTCACATGCGGTACGTTGGTCATCCCATTTTAACGGTGAATGCTCTTGAATCCACTTGGCTTGTTCACCAGCGCGGCATGTGACTTGCCGTGAGTTCAACGCGCTTTTAGTGGATAGGTGGGGCGCTCTTGTGACTCATTTGTGGTACGCCCAAGATATCTCATATGTTTGCGTATGCCCGTCACTGTGTTGTAACTTGTAAGCGAGAGGCTCATTAGTCCGGATTCAGGGGGTAGCGCAGCCAGATATACCTACCCTACACTCTGAGTGAGAAATTACCAACGGCGCTTTGCTTTCTCATATAAATGCTCCTGGGTAGCTGAATGCTTGAAAGAATAGTAATTTCGAAGACATACTGCCTTTGTGCTTCTTTGTCTATTCCACAGGACACTGAGGGTAATGTGTCGCACCATGCGGTTGTTACGGGGGTTGAAAAAATTAGGTGCCTTCGCAAGCAGTGAGATGTTCAGGGCAGACAAAGCTCTATCATTTCCGAAGTGAGTGTGGTCGGTCATAACTTGGATGATGTTGAATAATGTATCACAAGTTGACGAACTCAAAAGAGACCAAATCAATGAACGATGCAACATAAGTAAGGTAGGTTTTATGCATAAGGTACCTACCTACCTACATGCCAGTGATGCACGCGACAACAGCGGAGTTCACGTGTATCGTGCATCAACCCAACACCGCCCACCTCATATGTTAGTCTGCCAGCAAGACCCTGCTGCGCAAAGCGATGCTGATCTGTATCGAATTGCGCAAGTTCGAGACCTGCAAGAAGCTTCTGAAACCCATTCACTCGACGCTGCGCGCCTCGAGTCTCTCGACACGCGCCTGGACGCGCTTGGAGCGTGTTGCGAAACGTCAAGCTCCCCTCGATATCGTTGACTGGCTTCTGATATGGCCATCGGTCCAAGAAAAAGGTGAAATTCACCAACGCAGGCGAAGAGAATGCGCCGATGAATGAGAATGAACTGCGTATGGCAACAACCGCGCATGCTGACAAACGGCCCCCGACGAAGGCAAACACGAGCTACCGCAGTGCAATTGCAAGCGTCTGACTTGACAACCCAAGGCGAATTTGCACCTGTAATTGGTACCAATAGGACATCAATTGTTCCGATCAAACGCTAATTGCACCACCTAGCTTTTTGGCCGCACGCAATTGCCACAACTTCAAGACGGCAGCAACTGCCACGTCGCCCACACGCCCGTCCAAATGCACGACCGCCGCATGCTGCCCTGTCCCCTTTGTGTAGTGGAATCCCTTGGCCTCTCCCCAATACGCCAAAGCCTGCCCTCGCTTGTTATCGCCAGCGACAAGCTTCAGCGCCTTCTTCGACTCAAAGCCCAGCGCGTGGCTGGCCTCCCTCTTGTCCGTTTCGACCCACTTGTGCACCTGACCATCGACTTGGAACGACATTGATACGAGATCGCGAGTGTTGAGGCGGTCTGTCTGACCACCCTGCCACCTGGCGTCTGCCTTTGTGCCCGACATTCCCGTGCTCTCAACCTCCACGAGTGGCTGCGACGGGCCTGGGCCTGTCGAAAAAACACTGAGCTTGTCCGTTGTGAACCCGAGGTGGATGGTGGCATAATACTCCTGCCCAATATTGAACATGAGATTGCCGCGGCTGTCTATGGTCAGGTTGACAGTGAGCCTGGACGGGAATACGTTTGGTGAGCGACTTGGCGCCGGGCGGCCGTGTTGCTGGTGTCCGTGTGCTTGCTGGTCATGTTGACAAATGCATGCGTGGCTCCGAGGTAGGTCATACGGGTTGCCAGCGGGAGGCTGGTACGTTATAGGTCTATGTGTTTGACGGTTCGGCGGGTACCCGTATGGCTGCCCTGAAGGCAACCTGTATTGCTGACCAGGCAGATGAGCATGCTCCATCGGTGCTTGTTGTTGGTAGCTGGACTCTTCGACTTAGAGCACCTCGAGTTGGTCAGCCCGGGCGTCGGGACTGGCCTCACTTGTTGAGCTAGTGCAAATAAAGCAGTAATGCCGATCCCTGTGGACTTGACTGTAGCGGCAAGCAGTCGGTCAGGACTCCATGTCGTTCGTCATTACCACTGCTTTGTCTCTTTCTCTTTGTCTCTCTTGATCAAGGTTTGTTCTCTCGGCCTAACCACTGTCTTCAACACAAGCCCAGCAAGCGGAAAGCATCCCATTCACTCCACTTGAGCCAATCAATCACAAATTGTCTTCACCCAGATCACACCATTGTCTGATGGACCACTCCCCGGCAAAGGCTTTCTTACAGACACCTGCTCAACCTCACGCCACCTGGTGACCCTTTCTAATCTTCCCGGATTTTACAGTACGTTTGACCTCGTTGGTGTCGTCGTCTCGTTTGCTATTAACCACGCTGGTGGATAGTCAAATAACTATTCGAATTGCTGTTTTTGTCCACCTTCACAACAATCAGTTCAGTTCCATTCGCATCATAGGTCAGAAGGACTTACATACCCCGAAAGTCGCCAGATTCACTGGATATGAAAACGCCATTTCGAGTTTGACGTGTATCGTAACGCGAGCGCTGGGCTAGGCAGCCTGCATCTCCGTTCCCAACTCATGCACTTTCGCGGCCGCATCCAGAGCCATTTGAATGGGGTGGAGCGTCTTTGCCTGTGCATTGTGGCCTAAGCTGATCAGTTGGTCGAGTTGACTTTCAATACCCTGCACCTGGGGGCGCCACCAGCCATGATCTTGAGCGACTTCCAGGAAAGCGTTGGGCTGCATATTTGCCAGAAAGAAGGCTAAGTGAGTCAACTGGTGTGTCTTGTTGGCCCCGTGTTTGCAGCCGTGGTTCAATTGCTCAGCAATGAACTTCACCAGGTCGCTCCGGATGGCATCGAGGCGTTTCTCATCCAGTGGGAAAACGACGAGCTTGGGATGCCTCCATTCCCAGTGTAGAGCTGTACCGTCGAGACCACGTATCATTTGTCAATTGGAAGCCATGATGCACATTCAGTGATGCGCAACTGCTTTTTGGTGAGCAGCAGCAACGTGGGGAGGCCTGGAGATACTCACCACCTGCGCCACGTCTTCCGCAGACGCACGGCCCCGTTCAATGATGTGGCTGGCTCTTTCATACACGCGTAGATTTGGTATTCGCGGAGGTTCGTGGGGGACGACAGCTCGTGGCCCGGTCCCGGGGGCGGCGGGATGGAGATTTGGATGACACTACGACAATTTGGGTCCTGGGATCTGAAAAGAAGGAGTGACGACTGGAGACCATTTGGCCCCGGGCGTGGACAGTGGAGACATGATGTAGCACGAATGACATCTCTTTCATTGGGCAACGCGGTCATGAGTCTGACTCCGCATCAAGCACAGCGCCAACTTGTCCGGCAGCTACTACATCCGCCCGCAACCCTCCGAAGGCTGACACGGCCTGATCAGACTCCTGTGGCCCAAGTGGCCACTTGGACACAATGTCCAGCCCTAAGATCAGCATGGCCAAGTTTCTGTGTAGGTTGCATCCACTACATCCGTCTGGATCCCATCGCTGACTACTCAGAATTTGTCGAAACGAGCCTTACGCATATTTCCACGCTCACGATCAAACATTACGAATCAACAACCGATGATGTGCGATCTTCACCATTCAGTATTCACGATGAGTCTGAGCACAGGTTGGACATTCTGAGTCAAACTGCAGAGTTCTGGAAATACGAGTCAAAACAACCGGAAGGGTCCAAGGCAAAGCATCGATCCGAACCCGTTGGCTATAACAAGCGTTGAGATTGACCTTGAAAGCATCCCAAATGGCCTCATTCGTTTGTTTAGGAGCCTTTCCCTGTCCGACCACTACGCCTGTAGCTTGACCACGCACTTGAATATGTGATCAAGCTTCTGCGACTCTGGCGAGTTTTGCTCAGAAACGCCTCGACCAACTTTGCCAGGCACTTGCAGAACGAAAGAACAAAATGCGAGTGCTGAACCAGGCTGTTTAGTCACGACAGACTTGGCTTCACTTGGCACAAGATGGATACTACGCCGAACGAGGCCTTGCCTGGTATTCAAGGGTGTCACATCGTAGAATTGTTCGTGGCAAGTGATAGAGAGTCTCGTCTTGTCAGACGTGAATGGGTTGGCTTGCCATTGGAATAATTCATGTATAGTCAGAACACGGTGCCTTGAATCAGGTCTGCTACAAGACTATACATTTTAACCAAACTAGTTCTCCGATTGAACTAGATCTTTGATTCGACAGCGGGAATGATTTAAAGCCCAGCGCAAGTCGCTGGCGTCTATGCTCACGATTACCATCACGTTTCCGGTGACATTTGACTTCATCGTCTATGGCCGGACACTGCGCTACCATTGACCGTGTCTTTAGCTTGCCCAGCCTTTCAAATAATGCACTTTGTGTTGAGAGAGATTTGTATCTTCTCTCTCTTCAAACAAAACTGGCATATCCTAGTAGTTTGCCTCTGCCTGTGTTGTTGGTCGTTGATGAGAAAAGGCATGTGGCTATGTACAACAGCTACTGATAGTCGCCATACATTGCCAGGCTGTTCATCACTGTTTAAGTTTCAATGAAATCACTTCCGATGCTCTCATACTCGCTCGCCACTTGTGACAGCAAGTCCGTGGGAACATTGCTCCTACAGTCATTCACCCAGTGTTCCACGACTTTGAAAAAGCGCGATGATTGATGGCGCGTTTTCAATACTTCTTTTATTGCAATTGACTGAGCTGCAGAATCTCCTTAGCCTCCATACCTGCCACATCTCGTCTTGTCGGAAAAAGGACAAGTGCTGCTGAAGCCCACTGTCGCCTGGACGCCACAAAAGGAAATGAAAAGACATCGCGCGACTGATAAAAACTAGGCGAACCGCAGACGGCGAGTAGAAAGTCGAGAATCGTTCAAAAGTCAATAAAAATTCAGCAAGACGATATCAGGTGAGTGGTTGGTATACAACCTCGCCAGACTCGTAAGCAAGCTTGGACGCTTCTTCAAGCGTAAGCATGCCTACAGCTGGGTCCCCCATCAGATTGGGGAGCTCGCGATGCTCCGGAAGCGTGGATAATCTTTTGATAATACGTTCGCGCACCTTCGTGTAGTAGGTGTCGAATGGTGCGGTGTATCCGAAAGGGAGAATGCCGGCATTCCTAGCCATTGTCTTCGCCGCAATGCGGTTCGCCATTAGGCTGACGAACTTCAGGAGCTTATCCGTGCCGGTCAGTTCCAGCGCCTGCTCATACACCTCGTCGTCGTCTACTCGCTCGTCCTGGACCTTGAGGAGATACACCATTCGGATGCCCCAGAACTCTCTCAACGGTACAGAGTCGACGACATGGTGAGACGCGCCGTCCGTGTCCTTCCCAACGTTCTTGCAGAAGGCCGAGTAGTCTCTGCTGTCGTCGCCGCCTATTTTGGCGGTCTGAGCGATTTTGAGGACCTCTTCCTCTTTAGCTGGGTTACCGAAGAGCGATTTGTGCTGCTGGAGATCCGTCGTGCTGGGGACGTTATCCAGCCGGACTCCTCCTTGCTCTTCAGTGTCAACTAGCTCAACTGGTTGATTCGGGACGGAGAACGTGTCGCTACAGTGACGCTTTGCCGACTCTGTCATCTCCGAATCTGGCTTTCGCTTGCCAGAGAAGATGTCGGCGTTGGGTATGGGAACATTGGAGTCCGGGAGAAGCTTTGGCAATGTTGGGTTCGATATTCTCCTAGTCACCGTGTCGAATGTCGCATTTCGGAAGGACAGGCTTTCATTGGAAGGCATCGAGAATGGCGAAGACAGAGGCAACGCACGAGGAGCCTCGCTTCTGGAGCCAAAAGCTCCAAGAATCGTTGTGGGTGTCTGTACGCTACCTATTTCACTCTGATTAGCCTTGATACGATTTTGCGATAGAAGACTTACCCGTTGGAGGAGCACTGGCTCTCGCTCCGAACCCGGCGTCATCGTCACGCGCTCCAGCCAGGCCCGCTTCGACGTCTTTTGCCAATGAAGAAGCGAATAGGCGTTCAATAGTCTGGAGTATCTTGTTGAGCTTGTTGTTGCCGTCATTTTCTATCTTCGTGGCCAAGTCCAATAACGTCTGAGCGTCGGGGGGTATCTGAACCTTCGCCTTGACGAGGCTTTCCTCAGCTTCCGAAAGACGAGTCTCGAGCTCTTTGTTCCGCTTCAACAGACCCTGAGTCTTTTCCTGCCAATCTCTGGTTTCCTTGTAGTGAACCTCCGCCATTAGATAAGTCATGTAGGCAGCTTTTTGAGCCTTCTCCTTGTCCGAGCAGCCGTTGAGAAGCTGCTCTGCGACGAAATCCAATGGCTGAGCGATTGTGGCTGGTGCTAGTAAGGTTTTCTCAACGTATGTGAAAGACGGGAGGGCGTCCTTGTCCTCCCACTCATCAAGCGCTTCGTCCAGGGCAGATAGTCGGTCACCGTGAGGACGCATGTTCTTGCGCAACCAACGGCCTAAGTTCCCTCTTTTTTGAACCGGCAAAACAGCCAGAGTGATGAGCTTGATATATTCCAACACCTGCGTCACCTCGTTGTCCGAACACTCGGCAAACTTTTCAATGACGTTTTGGACCTTGTTATATGCACCCTCTCCTTCACGAAGCGTGTACTGCTTCTGCACGTTCTCTTGACGCTGAAGCGGATGCTTGGGAACTGACCCATCCCGACTTTCCATGCATTGCTGAAACATGTTGGTGAGACGGGCGCCTGGGTCCGTCGTGTGTTTGGCCAGAACTGCGGCAACGAACTCGCGGCAGTCCATCGCAGGAGTCTTTACCACGGCAGCACCCTTGTCTGAAGATCCCTCAGCCGATGAAACATTCTTCAAAGGAGATGGCTTTTTTGCCGACGACTCAGGCACAGTGGCTCTTGTCTGTGTCGGGGTGACCTCCTTTACCGTGCACCGAGGTGTCGACAAGAGCTCTTGCGCGTCAGAGAAATCCAGAGTCGATGTCTTCGTGTAAGATTTGTCAACCCATTCAACATACTGACGTTGCAACTTAGCGTTGAACGGCACAGGGAACCAATTGTCTTCGCAGCCCGCTACTTCAGCCTCAACGGCAGTGGGCATCCATTGTGACCAATTCATCTCTTCGTGGATCTTGACAATGATATTGTCGCCTCTTCCACGGCTGCTGTAAGTATGGCAAACGTCGTAGATTAGAAGCGTCGACGCAAGAGGTACAACCTGTACGCGGTACCGCAGAGAATGGAGAAAGGCCTCTCGGTATGTTCCGCGAAGTTCCTTGAATGGCTGAAAATCCGAAAGGGAGCCTTTTGATGACGCCTAGTCATCAATCGATATGGCGTTCGCCGCTTTCTGGATAATGTCCTTGTATTTCCCAGCGTCCTTAGACAGATTTATGCCGTTTCGGAGCAAAGACCGATGGCAAAGCTTGGTCGCAACAAGATTCCTCCGCTTTGGATCACGGAGTCCTTCCTCGGGGAACTCTGTGACGAGGGCCTTGGCAATGCGGTCAACCGGCTTGCCCGAGATAGTCGTCTCCATCTGGTGAAACGCGGGTGTGAGCGTGAATTGTTGGCGGGCGACTGCCCGATGCGGCGTTCGAATTTGCAGGGCCCTCGTAGCCTCTTCGGAATCTGGATGGATGGTGTTTCGTAGATCTGGTGGCTTGTCGAGCTCTTGCGCGGACTTCTTTCCTGAGTCTGAGCGGTTGTACGGGTTCACGCCATTGAGTAGATCGGGCACCGGATGGGAGGTCTTGCCACTCTGTCGGCGCTGAGTGTCCCCCGATTTAGGAGCCATTGCTACTTCAGGAAAATCGGCGTATGAAGCAACGTATTGGCTAGAGAGACAACGTGAGCACTGGGTAAATGTTCGAAGAACGAGTATCTAGAGACGTGCAGGGACGGCAAAAGAATGAACCTGACGGTTCCGAAGTATGTGAAGAAGTGAAAATTTTTTCACGTAGGGCAATCTGGACTGCTTGCAACGGGTCCGTGGACGGTTCTCCTGGGCTGGACACTTGAGTCTGACTTCAGATGAGATATGGACCGATAAGGACTGAGGATTAGCTCACTTTAGAGCCACGTTCTCTATCGTCGCATTTCCTCCATGTCCCATAACGTATCTTATAATCCTTGAGAACAAACGATCTATTTCTTAGTCACGATACACCGGGTTGCGTATGCTATTTCGGCAGAGAACTACTACGATATCCCCCACAGGGTGAGATATTGACGAGATCCGAAAACCCCTCCCCGGGGGCTCCAATCGCGAAGACTCCGATAAAGAAACCGAAATCAGCGAATACAAGCTCCAAGGACAATCGAAGAGAGCTTGGCGAAGAAGAGCCTCGCTGGCAGCGAGAGTATTTCGGGCCGTCAGTCGCCAAGATCGCGAATGGGGGCCCCCTTGGACTCGTCAGTCCTCAACACGACCTTCACTCTGAACCAGCATGTTCACATAGAGCAACGAATTCCGACGCTATAATCGAGGAAGCCGACTTGCTGGAATATAAGCCCGATGCAATTATGACTGGAGAGACACGCGAATCGGAAGCCGCCGTTGCCCGTAACTCGAGTGCAGCCGCGGAATCAGTTGATTCTCCTCATGGTCAAAAGATGGACAGAGCCCCGTCCATGTCTCCACGGGAACGAGACACCTTCTTTGACTACGAAGAAACGTTCAACGGGATAGTGAATGACCCGACATGGCTGTTAGGGAGCATCTGCGAGGGCGTTGACCAAGCAGAAGATCAAGAGACAGGGGGTGTGGTTGATGATTCACGTCGCCGCCGGTTCGGCAACATGGATTACGGGACTCAAAATACCGCAGGGGTTCCTCATGATTCTCCCTTGACACACCATGCTGAAGATGTCCAGCACACACATGGAGAAGGGGTTGATTGCTGGACGAGCCAGATCGAGGCGTTATTAGGCGCCATAGACGGCCACGCCACAGCTGACGACCAGGAGAAAATATTTTCTTCTATCAGCAATGGAATGATTGCTATTTGGGAAGATGAAAGACATCGGGAACAACTGATGACTTGGATCGACAATAGAGCTTGTGACGGAGCCGATGGACTCGACAAAGAGTTTCAAGATCTCCAACGACGGATTCTAGCAATGATCGCGACGATTGTCGAGCAATGTTCTATTCGTAAGTCAGTAGAGACACTTACATACGGCAGTACTCGTCCGCTTTCTGGCTTGATAACGGGATTGGACGACTTCGCGAACAAAGGAGGGAGAATGTCGGAGACGCAGGCCATCACGAAATCTCGGCAAATGGTCCGCGTTCTTCATATATTGTTCTCGGCATACATAAAACGACAAAAGAAAACGCAAGAGCTGGAAGGGAAAGACGAGGGGACGCAGTTTCATCGTGGCAATGCTACGTCAAAGGATCTTGCAGGTCAGATCGAGCATCTCCGGGAAGCGCTAGGCGATAAAGAGTCCCAAATGAAGCGCATCCAAGACGAACTATCCTACTGGAAGAGAAGATACGAAGAGACATCGAAAGCGGCACAGTCTGAACTTTGGAGAGCATTATTGGTGTTGGTTGAGCAGACAACAGATATAGGATCATTGAAGCGCAGACTGGTCGACGATGGAGTTGACCTCGCTACTACGCACCAAGAAGACTCAACCACAATGCACGGCAGCCTAGACCATCTTCTCGGGGACCTGTCTGGGCCCGACGTGCCAGTTGCAAGCTTATCTACCGAGCGACTTCCAAAGCGAGTCAAGACTCTTGACATCGACTCGGCGAAGCTGTTACGTAAATATGTGTTTCCTGGCAGCTCGCAAGAACTCGCATTTGTCCCAGACGATGTTCCGCGACAAACGAGTCTCTTACACGCCGTCACCGACGCACGCGATCTCGATGGATTCCCAGATGTCCAGATGATACTTCTTCCCAGTGGCCGGGCCGGAAGTCTCCCTCAGTCACTCGCCAGAAAGCGATGTACAGTCCTTGACGCAATCGATAGCGTGAACTTGGTTGAAACTGATATCAATCGGGCGGAGAAATACATCGCCGATGTGGCAAACCAGGCAACCGCTTGGACCGCCATCGATTTCCGAGTGCGTCAGAACAGGTGGAAAAGCTTGTACGCTGCCGTGAGAAAGAGACTCTGCCAGCGCGTGGCATCAAATGCAGAGAAACTCGGGTTGAGTTGGAAATGGACCAAGTCCGATTTCGACACAGCCGACATGCTGTCCGCCGAAGAACTGCGAGTTCTGGCTAGGCGAGGGGATGTGTTGGTGCCGACATGGTGGACTTGAGTTGGAATACATATCATATCGAGCCTTTAGCAGCAGCATTATCGCTCTTGTGCAACAACAATTTTACGTTCTTGGCCTCGAAATGCACCTTTCCAAGACGTTGCCAGAGACCCCGCGGCCGCCTTGACGGTGTAACGGGGGTTGACGGCTCTGAGAAACTGAGCTACAATTTGTGATTGATTTACCATTTCGAGATATCATTGTTTATCAGATTGAGGCTTCGGTCGCCTCGACTTGACGTAGTAAGTGACGACTGGTGCTGCGCGGTGCTTTGTGACAAGATGTCATGCGCGTCCATAGACTCCATGCACCAAACATGCAGCAGCAAACCAGACGCAACATTGCCAACAGAACAGTGCCCTGCATAGTGAGTTGAGCAGCGTCAAGGAAGCATGATCGTGCGAGACAATTTCATATCCGTGCCAGCTTCGTGTCAAAGGGGGAGTGACGACGGGCGAATTGTAGACAACTGGATGGGCTTTTTGATATTCAAACAGCCATGTAATCGCGGGTGGTTTGCCATCTCCACAGCAGTTGCTGTGATCGACGCACTGCCCAGGTACGACAGGACTGATACTGAATGGTAACAGTGACGCACGCATGGTTGGTTTGACATCACGCAAAGGCAGCAACGGGGAATACCCAGATCAGACAAACCGCAGTCTTGCAGGATGTACAGACCTCTGCGTCATTAAAAATCACCTTACGAAGCACCACAACAAACGAGAAACCTCTGCCTTCTGATCTCTGACATATTGAGTCTGCCTTTTATTCACGAATAGAATAGGTTTCTGTCTCCCTCCCCTTTTGATTGAAGTAGCACATTGGTGTGGCCATAGTCGTTTGCGCAGGCACATGTGTTGTGTGAGGTGTTCGCCATGCTCAGATACCGACACCAAGCCACGACAGATACGAGTCGACGGCTGCATCATCGAGACGTCCTTTGGGGGTCCTCATGGCACAAGGGGCAACTCAGTCACGGGACCCAATTCTGCGTCCTGGGGCCACCGACACCAGGATACGAAATTGGGACCAGTGACCGAGCTGCCCCTTTGCACAATGAGGACCCCCAAAGGCCCAGGAGGTCGAGCTTCCGGACACCCAGCGGCACTATATCTTTCTCTCCACCCAGGTATAGAATGGTCTCAGGGACATTCCATGTTCCTCCGTCAGTTGATTCGCCTCCTAGCGACTCCAGCGATTGTGGTATATAAGGGCGAAGCCAAGTCTCCCGACCATCTTCAAGCAATCGACTGACGGTCGTCCTCAATCTTTCCGCGCCGTACCACACGACTTTGTGGCTGCACTGATGGAGAGAATCAGGGTACAATGTGTCTCCGTACAGAGCCGGGAAAATCTGGGACTGGTAGGCGCTCCATTCGACAAAGTGCTCGTCTGTCGTGGTCTCAGAGGTCTCTTGGCTTGTACATGCCGAGGAACTTGGGCAGTTTGGAAGGCGATGACTGCCAGGCCAGGTCAATGGTAGCACAATGTCCATTTGCATCTTGTCCTGACTACGCAGAATGAGCATGTAAGAACCATCGACCAGATGTGACTCCTCGATAGTGCAAACAGTGTCTTTGACAATCTGGTCAGAGAATCGTCCTTCATTGATTCGATCGGGTACGAGGTGCTCGCTGGGGATAATGAACGCACCCTAAGAACTCGTTAGATCCGTGATAAAGTCAGTGCTCTATGGGCTTACCTCAAGCTGCGCCGACTCTTCGCGCTCTCTCCCGAGCTTCTCTTCATCTTCATTGCGGGTTTGCAAAGCCTTGATCGGTTGCATCGAGGACACCTAGTCCTTGATGGAGAGCGCTTTGGCCACTTTTTCGATGATTTTCTTGTACCTTCCACCATCTTCAGGTACGTCGATGCCATTCCGACGGAGGCTCTTGCGTGCGAGGGTCGCCGCAAGCCGATTCAATCGACAGAAATCGCCAAGGCCAGAGTTAGACTCACTACCTCCCAGTCCTAGAATTGTAGCGATACGCTCGACCGGTTTTCCTCTAATGAGGTGGTCGATTCTCTCCTCTTCGAAAGTCAGGCATACTGTCTCCCGTATCACAGCCGGATGTGGACCAATGGAGCGCGGGGCGTGACTCCAATCTGAAGCTATATGGCCAGTCCGGCAGTCGCGTTTCTCCAGTCCATGGGCCAGTCCGGACGCCTCACTGAGCCATTCAATCGATAGTAGCGACAGGCGGGGTGTACAAAGGGCAGGGACGTAATCAACGCAAGCTGATGACTGGAGCTCTTCGCAGATCTCTGGAGTGACGGCAGGCCCAGAGGAATGGCAGAGGGGGGTCGGGTTGCCACGAAGTACGCCATCAGTAGCGCCTGCGTACATGCCTCGTCTTCGGCAATGCGGTAGACACGAGACTGAAAGAGAACAGCCAAGATCTGCATTTTGTGTTAGTATGAACAGACGGCCAGCTAGCTGAGAGATGCTCACATGACCAGACCCGGATTCGATATCAGTGGGACGCCGGATATCCAACTTGGATTGGAGTAGGGAGTTGAATGCGAGGTTCTTGCAGGAATATCCGTGTGATAGGATTCGCGACGCCTCTCGGCCTACGCGATGGCTTTGTTGAGGCACCTCAGAGGCGGACGAGGTGGCGCCGTTGATTGGCGAGAAAGGGATTGAAGGTAGCTGAGTAGTTTCTTGGAGTGCAGTGATATGGAAAGAAGATGATGAGGAAACGAGGACGTCGGTGGGCTTGTATATATAGTGGTGAAGTTGGCTGCGAGTAACTGAACAGAATGTGAGTGAATGGGCCAATGAAGTCACGTGAGCAGGCAAGGAGTGCACCAAGTCACTGTAGGGCGATAAGCCACACACTCCAATCAATCACCAGCCGTGACAACTTCTCAAAGACTCTGTTGGACATTCGAGGTCAATCAGTACAAATGCATCAAAGCAATCATGGATTCAAGAGTAGCAAGTGCTATGTTTGTCGGGTAAGTATTGGACACCATCACGCCCGACTGCCTCTAACAATCCTGCAGAAGGCATCAATCATGCAAGGTCACACATACGAATCCCCTGGAGAAACAGAACCCCAAGGCCATCGCGGCCGTGGTAACCGCGGTACCAAGAGGCTTGCTCAAACAAAGTCGATGCAATCCATCAAGGCTCTACAGACCCAGCGCCGCGGTGCCAAGAGATTTGCTCAAACAGGGTCGACCGAATGCCTTCCGAACTTTATACCAATCAAGGATCTTGGAGGCATCACGTACAGCAGAACCGTGCAGCTGGTGCCGCAGGGAGCGTATTTAAGTACTAGTGGCGCGGACTGCAAACGTCGCCAAGGCGCTGTCAATCAAGGACTGGGCGTCTTCGACCGGAAGTCTTTCGGACTTCATCCCTTTCAAAGAGCTCAGAGGGATCTGCCGCGGAGCGTTATTACACGCCATAAGATACCGCGTCCAAGTTGTCTACGACATCTGCGTGAACTATTTTAATCGAGGAAAAGGCGATAATCTAGTCATCAAGATACACGAGGAGCTACAGTGGTCGCGATGGCTAGCCACTGCTCTCGAGGCCGAACGCGCCGGCTGTCACGACGACTGGTTCGCAGTGCCGTATGACGCTCGACCCTGAACCCGCATTCTAGCCTCGGGTTGCCCCATTCGTGCCTGCATCACACAAAGTGTACACTGCCTCCAGGTGAGGCGATTTTCTCAATGCTAGTGGGGCTTGTCCGGTGTCGCACGCCACCAAATGGCAAATACAAACGGCCACCTGTATGGCCATCATCCCGAGACGCCGATGCAGCCGGTATCGATGACGCTCTCGACAAACTGAGTCGGCTTGTGGCAGCAGCCAGCCGCAAGAGGCAGCCCCCAAAGGGCAAGGACGTGTCGGGACATGTATGTAGAGCAGACTCATCGAACGGATACTAGGACACACTCAATTGAACTTCAGTCCAGCAGAGTTTGGGCTTCTTTGACTGGGGGAACCTCATGCCATGAGCTGGCGACTGAAGGCTGGAGCCAGCCCAGGCGGGTCCCGATGACCCAATGGAAGTTGTGGGGTTGACGATCCCGGGGTCAGCTGCTATGTGGAACTAAGTTTGCAAGTGCTGTCGCTCTCAAAACCTCGGCTCCCCCCCTCACCCGCACACCCCTCTTTGCATGCTCGCGCGTTACTTCTTCAATCCCATTCATTCTCTGCAAACAACAACTACACGTCTATCAACCATACGTCGACAACATGGGCGAAAACATTGAGGAGAAGAAGTGTCCCTTCTCGCGGACCATGAACACTGGAGGCGGTGGCATGCAGGTCCGCGACTGGTGGCCCGATAGCCTCAAGCTCAACATCCTCCGCCAGCATACGTCTGTGACGAACCCTATGGATGAAGATTTCGACTACGTCAAAGCATTCAACAGCATCGACTACCAGGCGTTGAAGGAAGACATCCGCAAGGTCTGCAACACATCGCAGTCATGGTGGCCAGCTGACCATGGCCACTATGGTGGTTTCTTCGTCCGTATGGCTTGGCACGCCGCTGGTACCTACCGCGTCTTTGATGGTCGTGGCGGCGGTGGCCAGGGCCAGGTACGTGGTACATGCGCATTTAATGCAAGTTCAATCTAATCGTCGGTAGCAACGGTTCGCCCCCCTCAACTCGTGGCCCGACAATACCTCTCTCGACAAAGCGCGTCGTCTCCTTTGGCCGGTGAAGCAAAAGTACGGCAATAAGATCTCCTGGGCCGACCTCATCCTCCTGACGGGCAACGTCGCCCAGGAAGATATGGGTTTCAAGACTTTCGGCTTCGCCGCCGGCCGTGCTGATACTTGGGAGGCCGATGAGAGTACCTATTGGGGTGCCGAAGATACGTGGCTCGGCAATGACGTTCGCTACAAGGACGGACAGAAGGGTCTGGCTGCTCATGGCGTGATCTCGGGCGATGAAGGTCCCGATTCCAAGAGTCGCCCCAAGCATGGTCGCCAGCTTGAGGCGCCACTCGGTGCTTCTCAGTAAGTATTGTTTGTCCCTTCTATTTGTTTTCGGTGTGCAGGCGCGCTAGCCTGCGCTTTTGCACCAATTTCCGGTCGGCTTCATTCTGGTCGCCGCACCCACCACATCTGCTCACCTACACCTCCTGTTCATCTACAACCACACAACAACATAGCAAACGTTTAAATAATGGAAATGATGCTGATTTACTGGGCAGCGTAGGCCTTATCTACGTGAACCCCGGTTAGTAATCATTATTATTTAACGTTGAGTGGCTAAACTAACTGTATGCAGAGGGACCCGATGGCAACCCTGATCCTGTTGCTGCTGCTCACGATATTCGTGACACATTTGGCAGGGTAAGTGTCTCAAGACGAGATGGACGTGGAACAAACGTGGCTGACTCATCACCTAGATGGCCATGAACGACTACGAGACCGTGGCCCTGATTGCCGGTGGCCACAGCTTTGGCAAGACCCATGGTGCTGGTCCCTCTGACAATGTGGGCGCCGAGCCTGAAGCTGCCCCTATTGAACAGCAAGGCCTGGGCTGGAAGAGCACTTACAAGAGCGGCAAGGGCCCGGATGCAATCACCAGTGGCCTCGAGGTCACCTGGACCAAGACGCCCAACAAGTGGTCCCACAACTACCTCGAGTACCTGTTCAAGTACGACTGGGAGCTCACCAAGTCCCCCGCAGGTGCTTCTCAGTTCGTTGCCAAGACCGACGACCTCATCATCCCCGATGCCTTCGACCCCAACAAGAAGCACAAGCCTACCATGTTGACGACCGACTTGTCCCTCCGCTTCGACCCCGAGTACGAGAAGATCTCGCGTCACTTCCTCGAGAACCCCGAGGAGTTCGCCGACGCCTACGCCAAGGCGTGGTTCAAGCTTCTCCACCGTGACCTGGGTCCTCGCGACCGCTACATCGGTCCCGAGGTTCCCGAGGAGGTATTCACTTGGCAGGACCCCATCCCCAAGCCCGACTACCCCATTGTCGACGCCAGCGACATTGCCAACCTCAAGCGCGAGATCCTCAACACTGGTATCGCTCCCCACAAGCTGATCTCCGCCGCTTTTGCCTCTGCCTCAACCTTCCGTGGCAGCGACAAGCGTGGTGGTGCCAATGGTGCCCGCATCCGCCTGGCCCCCATGAAGGACTGGAAGGTCAACAACCCTCCTCAGCTGGCCGAGGTCCTCCAGACCCTCGAGGGCGTCCAGCAGAAGTTTGGCAAGAAGGTGTCCATGGCCGATCTCATTGTTATTGGTGGCAGCGCCGCCGTCGAGAAGGCTGCCAAGGAGGGCGGTCACGATGTCGAGGTTCCCGTCACCCCCGGTCGCGGCGATGCCACCCAGGAGCAGACCGACGTCAAGTCCATTGCCCACCTCGAGCCCTTCGCGGACGGCTTCCGCAGCTACGGCCAGTCCACCGACCGCGTCAAGACCGAGCACATGCTCGTCGACCGTGCCCAGCTCCTCACCCTGTCTGCCCCCGAGATGACTGTTCTCCTGGGTGGTCTCCGTGTCCTGGGCGCCAACTACGATGGATCCTCGCACGGTGTCTTCACCAAGCGTCCCGGTGTCCTGACCAACGATTTCTTCGTCAACCTCCTCGACATGAGCACCGAGTGGAAGGCCAACAGCGGTGGCGACACCTTTGAGGGTGTCGACCGCGAGTCCGGCAGCAAGAAGTGGACCGCTAGCCGCACTGACCTCATCTTTGGCTCGCACGCCGAGCTCCGCGCCTACTCCGAGGTCTACGCCTGCGCGGACGGTGCCGGCAAGTTCGTCAAAGACTTTGTCAAGGTGTGGAACAAGATCATGAACCTCGATCGCTTCGACCAGGCAAGGTCCGTCTCATACTCCAAGCCCCGTCTATAATGTGGCTTGCAGCTGATTTGAATTTTCACTTTTAGATTGTAAGAAAAAAGAGGAATCAATTTACAGGATCATGGGTCTCCCTCAGTTTGGACCAACGCGACCCATCCCATCCACCCATGAACGGCACGAAGTTATGTGAGAGACGATATGGCTTGCGAAATGTTGCGGGTGTCCGACTGTGGCTAGGCAGTTTAGGCCTGTCAATTCAATTCAATTGGACCCGAGGCACGTCTTCATTGGTGTGTGGCGCACGGCTGGATGGATGCCGTGGACCTGTGTGTCCTATCAGCCTTGCGAGAATTTGTTCTCGTGGGTCGACAATGACATCGCGCCATTTTAGTTACCGCTTCTGGCAGTTGTTGGCTGATTGTGACAGATCTAGCAGCCAGCATGGGGCTCTGACGACTTCAGCTGGTAAATTTCTGCTCGCGATTGATGAATTGAACCGATAGGCCTCGATACAGTGGAATTTCGGACCCTTTGGCGTGTCCCGCGGCATCCGGGTGGCCAGCCTCGGGAGCTCCCGAACCACATGCGGCGAGTTTGGCGTGTCTCTGTCGTGCCGAGGTCTACAGCTGCATTCCTCTGCCTGGGCGGGAGAGGCATGAACTTGTCCGATGATGGATGGGAGAATAGCCAGGCTTCCGCGTAAAGGACTGCCCTATTTTCTCTAACTCTCTTGAGCGGCCACCCAGTTCCAACGTCAGGTATCTTCATCGCGAGCTCCTGTGGTACAATGAGTGACACGGCAAAATTCCAACCAAGAAAGCTGCTTTCACCATGAGGGTTTGTTTTGGAGTCCCATTAGACTCATAACTGACTACCAGCAAGACTATCCTTCACATTTCTCTCTTCATCGCCAGTATGTAGGGGCGTCACCACGAGTCCTCTCCCAGGCCTTGTCCAGCGATTCGACCACCTCATCCGGCAACGGCCCCTTTTCGCACGCATTAACATTCTGCTCCAGCTGCGAGTATGAGCTGATACCCAAGATCAAGCCATCGTTACCACCTTTCGCGGGTGTCTGCAGCTTGCTGTGGTGGATGCACCACCGAAGCCCAACCTCTATGAGGGGAATGTCATGCTTCTTGGCCACGGGCTCCACAATGGACAGGGCGTCCATGGTCGATTGCTTAAAGTACCTCTCCATGTACATCTTGCCCATGGCCGAAGCTTTGTCACTGAAGCGACCCTCTGCCGGCTTGTCGAGGCTGGTGTACTTGCCCGAGAAGAGTCCAGCAGCCAATGGGTTGTAGATAACGAGCGAGATGCCAAATTTGCGTAGACATGGCTCAAGCTCCGACTCGAGAGCGCGGGCTGTCCTGTCAGCATGCGTGACAGCAGGTTTTGGAAGAAAGAAAACTCACTAATGGCGTTGTACATGCCCTGATACACGGTGGGCTTCACAAAACCCCTCCTCTCGCAAATGCCGACAATCTCAGCCACCTCCCACGAGGCATAGTTGCTCAAACCCAGTCTCTTGAACTTGCCAGCCTTGTACATCTGGTCCACAGCTTCGAGCGTCTTCTCAAAGCTGGTGGCCCGATCAGGCGCGTGCAGATAGAAAATGTCGCTGCCGTCGACGCCCAGTTTCGCCAGACTCACGTCCCACGCGGGGACGAGCTTGTCGGGGGCGTGGTCACCGGGTGTCACAGGCATGATCTTGGAGGCGATGCTGAAGCCTCGCTCCTTGAAGCCGGCGTCCTTGGTCCATCCCTCCTGCTTCCCGCCGACGTACACGGCCGCCGTGTCGAGCTCCTTGTATCCCTTGGCCGACAGGTAGTCCAGGCATTTCTTGTACTCCTCGAGGTCGGTGATACGGGCGCCCTTGTCGGCGTCGGGACCAATGGTCATGGTCCCGAGGATGAGGCGTGGCTGAGGAGACATTTTCACTGCGTCTTATTGTTTGATGAGGAGCTGACAGTTCTGCGATGAGACGGTTTATATGAAATATCAATCCATTCGCAACACCTCATGAATACCCCGGCCTTCTGTCCGATCGCCGGGTCGCCCTCCGACGGTCGGAGTGGAGACGAAGCGGGGTTCGGAGAGCCGTCTCTCGGATGTCCTCCATGTGTGTGCACATTCAGTCACAGAGGTGCTGGCTGGCAGACCAACAAAGTCCGATCCCTCTTTACATCACCATGGCAGCTCCAAAATTGGTTAACGCAAGGACGCAGAATGTTGGATTGACATCAAATGAATACTCGAGTTCTACTAGAATCCACCGTTGGGATGGATCAGGACCTTGGTGTACCCATCAATCCTCTTGTCAAACTTCTCATAGGCGACCTCTGCGTCCTCAATGCCAATCTCATGGGACACGACAAAGCTCGGCTTGGCTCTGCCAGAGATAATGAGGTCGCGCAGCTGCCTGTTATACGCTTTGACGTTGCACTGTCCTGTCTTGAGGGATAAACCCTTCTCAAACAATTTGCCAAAGCTCAGACTGATCATCCCCTTGGACGCGCTCTCGTCAGGGGCTCCAGGGTCACTGTGGACATTAGCCGCCTGTCCAGATCAGAGAATACGCGCACTCACCTGGGAACATAGAGTCCTGGAATACCCAGACCACCGCAGGCGCGCGTGACCTTGATCATGTTCTCCAACACAATGTTCGGCTGCTCCTTGTCCCCGCTGGTGGTGACGGCCTGGTATCCAACGGCGTCGACAGATCGATCGACCATGCCGTCGTTGGCCTTGATGATCTGGTCCACGGCATCGCCCTTGGAGAAGTCGATGGCCGTGCAGCCAATCTTCTCGGCCGCTTGCAACCTCTCGGGCACTCTGTCGACCACGTACACGCGGGACGCGCCTCGGAGGACGGCGCTGTAGGCAGCCATGAGACCTACGGGCCCTGCGCCAAAGACGGCGATGCTTTCTCCCGCCTGGAACCCGGAGATCTCAACGCCATGCCATCCTGTGGGGATTAGGTGATGTCCTGTCATCAGATGAGACTCTTACCGGTGGGAAATATGTCTGCACACGTCAGTCCCGGGTGCATGGATGGTGAAAGACAATGCACTCACCCGCCAGCAGGATAAAGTCCGCCTCGTGCTCTTTGCCGGCGGGAAGCTTCAGAGCATTAAAGTCCGCATAGGGAACGCGGATGTACTGAGCCTGGCCTGGGGAGTGTCAGCCGAATAAAAAGCAGCAAGCTCCCACGTCCCCTCGTGGAGTACCTCCTCGATAAGGGCCCATGGCGACGTATCCTATGATATTTGGTCAGTGTCGCTCGACTGTACCGCGCGTACTAGCCGTACCGTATGCTCCTCCGGCAAATCCAGGATTGACGCCTGTACAAAAGGCAGTCTTGCCGCTCTCGCAATTGCGGCATCGGCCGTCAGCAACGTTGAATGGCATGACGACTCGGTCACCCTTGTTCAGCAGGGTTACGCCCTCTCCGAGTTCCTCGACTATGCCCATGTTCTCGTGACCTGAATGATGAGCATGGCTTTCTCAAGATCGGGATTGCCAACACACCAAAAGTGATGCCGGCTTCAGCAGCCGTGCGGCCCTCATACATGCTGGAAACTACGTGAGCAACAGACGCAGATGCGATATTGGTATCTCACTGCAAATCAGAACCACATATGGCAGCCTGGACACGTCAGCAAGTGCACTGCGGCTCATCACGACATTTGACTCACAGTCGTCACCTTGACAATGACATCGTCGGGGTGCTCCAACTTAGGTCTCTCCACGTCCTCCACCTTGACCTGGAAGGGTCCCTGGTAGTTAACAGCTCGCATGCTCGACATTGTGCGTGTTGGGGTTGTTCAATTCAGTGATTAGATGGTGTAAGACAGCAAGGCCTATCGAGCAATGGAAAGTGATGTTCAGCATTTGCAAGGACATATATATACACAGGCTTCTTGTGTCGTCATGTGCGGGGAACCATACATGTATGATACGTCTTGCGATCAATCCAGTCGGGGAACCGGCTCAGGTCGATATGATGATGATGGTTGTGGGGAATTCCAAGTGCGGGTGACAACTCCTCTCCGGAATTCCGGGGAAATGCCTGGTCTAGAACGCATCCGTTGCTGTATATATTGATTTCCACTTTAGTGTGCTTTCACGGCTATTAAACTGCTCAGTAAGCATTGTATACCTAGCAACACGAACCAGCATGGCTGTCATCTTGAGTCGTCCGAAGGTCCCGCGTTTGGTACTAAGTGACTCGCGGCGGTTCGCGACGCTGTATTCGGTTCCTCCTCTCGACTAGATCGGCGTGCTTGTCAGAGAAGGATGTGGACGGACTGATACCAAAGGGCTCCCGTATGAGGTTACTAAACATAGGTGGTCTCTCAACTCAATCCAAGGACACTCCAGAGTTGGCTTCAACGACTTGGCCTGCCCAATAGGTGCTCTTGCCCTGCAGCCGCGTCCTGCTCAGCTCGAAGTAAGCGGAATGTCGAGCTTATTATGACAATAGTCATCGTGTATTTCTAGCCCCTCCGTTGATACAGCTCCATGTACAAATGGCCATATAAGAAGTAGACTGTAGGAGACGCCCGATGTACGAGTCAAGAAATTTCGACAAGCTTTCAATTAGGTGATTGAGAGTGTGGCCCTAGTCATTTATACAACACGCCTGAGCGTAATTGGCCTCGTGACTCTCTCCTAGATAGACTGATTGTCATCAAACCCTCAACTTTCAGAATGCTTGGCTTGGCTAGAAGCGGTGTTCCTGGCTCGGTTAGCTGATTAAAGTGTGCTCGGCGATGTAGTGAAGAATCTGCCATATCTGTCTTTGATAATGCCAGCAACAGCCCGGAGACTCGTTAATTAGCCACCACAGACAGGTTTGAATGAGGTGGCCTGAAGCGTGATATTAAACAATTTCACGATATTGAATTGGGAGGGGATAAAACTGATGTGTTCGTGCAGGTCTGTAATGTGCTATGCATCTTTCAAATGTACACGCTGCGCTCATCACAATTAAAAACCTTTGACAGGAAAGAACAGAATCATTAGTATACGGTCCCTGGATGTGCTGCCTGATGCATTTGTCGAATTCAATTGGAAGGCAGCATTGCAAAAGCTCTTGATCACGATGTGTCCATAGGGTAGGTAAGCCAACGGGGTACAAGCTGTGTAGAGCAGCGCTACGGATAGTGAGACGAGGAAGGTGCCAGCCAGCCCGAGGCGTCGTACGCCAATGAAGAGGCTGCAATCTTCCATGATAGCTTCATTTGATTGGTCCACTGGCACTAAAATGATTTCACGTTGTTCAATGATTTCAATCTCTTATATTATTGGTGTGCTAAAAATCGTTCTTTCCCACGTAATGGTGGCCCAGCTATAATCTCCTCAACACCCCTCTGTCCCATTCAGCGGCAATGGATAGGGACAGTGAGAAAAATATTGTCATGCTAATAGCATTGGAATTAGATGACAAGGCTTCCGGCTATTTAGTCCACCATGCTTTCATCGTCGGTGATGGCTAAGCCACGCTCGACTTGTATCAGGCAAACATCCAGCCCAAAACTATGAGACATCTCTGATAGCCAGGAAAGACGGCACGCTCTTGACAATATGGCGATATTATATTCATTTTCTTCCGCGACTAGAATCATGATATCAACCCATATCCCAAAGGGAGATGGCTTCTGGCCCACATGTCGGCCTCGTCGATTGTTCACTCACCACCAATTGCACCATCGCCCCTCTCCATGGCGCGCGAGCAAGCCGACCAAAAAGCCATCCTCCAGACCTCTCTTGCTCTTGCCCTCGTGGCTCTTCGTGATGATTTTGTTTGATGCTGGGTTTGTCAAGCCAGTGTTTCTTTTCTTTTCTCGGCGGACTCGACCCTCCCCTTCTGCTCCTGCAGGGGGTCCAAGTTGACCCACAGCCTGGATCCGCTGCGCTGATCGATGGCGAAAGAACTCCCGTCGTCGTCTGGCGGGATGGCGGGACCTTCGTTGACGTCGTCAAATCTTCAACACACTCGACCTCGACACCCCGCACGGCCCTTCTAGGCCCAGAATGTCACCCCGACCTATCAAGCGTGTCGCTGTCGTGGGCGCCGGCCCCTCTGGTGCGATAGCCATTGACGCCCTGGCCAGGGAGCAGGCTTTTGACATTATCCGCGTCTTTGAGCGGCGTGAGGCTGCGGGAGGATGCTGGTGAGTCCATGTGGCTGTCTAGAAGTTGAGGACAACCTGGATTGACGCTCGCCAGGATTGGCGACCATGGACGGCCACCGCCGACAGAGACAGACCTGGCCACGTTGGGAGACCGCACGGCAGACAAGCCCATCCAGATTCCATCACATCTCCCTGCGTTTGCGCCAAGGACCCAGCAGGATCGCTATACAGAGTCGTCCATCTATCCTTATCTAGAGACCAATGTCGACGAATTGACGATGCGGTTCACCGAGGAGCCATTCCCGGATGAAAAGAGCGAGCGCTCCATTGATCTCTATGGGCCGGACACACCATTCCGACACTGGAAAGTGGTTCGGGATTATGTGCAGTCACTCGTGCAGCGTCGTGGTTATGAGGATTACGTCTCGTACAATACGACGGTGGAGCGCGCCGAGAAGATTGGCCATGAGTGGAAGGTGACTTTACGCAAGGGCGGCCAGGAACGAGATTATTTCTGGGTGGAATGGTTCGATGCAGTGGTGGTGGCCTCCGGTCACTACGCCGTGCCATACATCCCGACGATACCAGGCCTCGAGGACACAGAGAGGAGCCGACCTGGCACAGTCGTCCACAGCAAGCACTTTCGAGGGCGAGACATGTACGAGAACAAGGTGAGTCAGCGCACCTCAGTGACGCAGCCATGCTGACCTTTGACTCGAAGCGCGTCGTTATTGTGGGAGTCTCCGTCTCCGCAGCTGATATTGCCTTTGACCTGACGACAGTAGCCAAGAGTCCAGTCCATGCTGTTGTCATAGGCCATACAGCCAACGCCTACTTTGGAGACGTAGCATTCGATCATCCGCGGATCCAGCGTCATCACTCAATCACACGAGTCGACGGGAAGACGGTGTATTTCAGTGACGATACGTCTATCACCGACGTTGATCACATCATCTTCGGAACGGGGTACACCTGGACCTTACCATTCCTGCCGCAGGTGCCCATCCGCAAAAACCGCGTACCAGATCTGTACCAGCATGTTGTGTGGCGACACGACCCAACTCTGCTGTTTGTCGGTGCCGTCAATGCCGGGCTCACCTTTAAGATCTTTGAGTGGCAAGCTGTCTACGCCGCGAGACTCCTGAGTGGGCGCGGCAAGCTACCACCCGTCAGTGAACAAGCCAAGTGGGAGGAAGACCGCATCAAGGCACGAGGCGACGGCCCAAAGTTCGCTGTGATCCATCCCGATTTTGAGGCGTACTTTAATCAACTGAGGGAGCTTGCTGGGGACGGCGATGGCGTGGGCAGGAAGCTGCCGCCTTTCGATCGAAGGTGGTTCAGGCAGTTTATGGAAACCCATGAAAGCAGGAAACGCATGTGGCGTCGCATCATCGCCGCAGAGCGGCGAGAGCTAGAGGAGAGCAAAGCTTCCAGTAACACGAAAGCACGTCTGTAGTATAGGAGTTGCTCGAGGCACTGGTAGGCTTACCAATAGGGGCTCTCGGGGCGATATATAGAAAGATGGCGGGACATTGAGACCGACGCAAGCGACCAAAAGTATGCCTGTTCAAAGTAAACCGGCTTTTCCGAAGAATAAAGAACTCCCCTTATTATTCCATAGTCTGAGCGTCGTCATTCCTTGCGGTCAATATGTCGCAGAGAGACCAGGGTATGGTTATCTGGAGAGCCCTCGAGCAGACATCGAGACTCGCTGTGGCGTCAAGACTATCGAAGGATGTGGCAGAAACCTTGCTGGAAGCCTGGAGATGGGGAGTAATTCGTCTTACCTGAGCATTAGACATTTGGAAATAATCCACTCGCTGATGCTTGGCTGGCCAGTGACATGTTTGAAGCAAGGAGGTTGAGCCTGTCTTCCGATAAATTCGCGAGCTTCCCGTGACAACCGCGTCGTGAATATCTTGGACAACATGGAGAGTGTCCGAGAGAGGATCAGGACACCGGCTTTCCCCGTGATTCATGAGGCCTCCTCCAACATTTCCCCACGTATTCCCCTCAGTGTATTATCATGGCAGTTCATGTAGGGGTGGGCTCGTTGCCGCTTTCAGCCATAGTTCGCACCCATGACGAACCAAGCCTATAGATCTAGAGGTCAGTATCGGGGCTTATGCGAGCTGCACTGTAAGAGTCAAGTCCTTGAGGTCGAACTGAGAGTAGCGTACAAGACCGGAACAATTCGGATAGTCTTTGGACTGTATATTCCCTGTCTTGTATGGATGCATGGCGTACGTGTAGTTTCATCGCAACACGTGCGTTCTGGAATGCGACAGTGCTCGACAGGGTAGCATCTGGACTAGCCCACATCTCGCGCAGTGTCCTGCTATGGTTTCCAAGAGTGAGTGTAGGACTATGAGGCTGTCCTAAGAACTTCGTTGATAGTTCGTAAGGAGCAGCTGAACAGCTCGTAGTCTATCCGTATAGACTCGCGCTTTATGTCACCCAACAGTACCTAGTATACTGCACGTTGTATCCGTAGACTCTTGTTGTTTCTGTCCTGACACGCGTCCAACCTTGCAACACCCATGAATGCTGCCCCCACAAACCCGTGGAGCGCTTTGCGGACGAGGCACACGTTGGGCGTAGCCCAGCCTCTCAGCCTCTGCCGCTGGGCGGGCTTGCTTGGCGCATGGACGTACATGAGCGAATTGCAGTAGAATGCTTCTGGCGCTGAACTAGCGTTCCATGGCCGATAAGGCGTGTCTGAGCTCTGGCGTCACATCTTGCGACTGACTGTGCTCACGCGTGCGGCGGCCAGTCCGCATGCGGATCTTCCAGCTCCAGGATTCACGACAATAAACCTTAACCCCGGATCGTCTGGTTCCCCGGCCTTAGAAATCGGGGAAGCCGAACGTGGAATTGTCGTGGAACACAAGATCTATCCGGGGCATTCTCGTATCAAGTGCACGTCCGGAGTAGCATTCTTCCCTCAAGGCTCCAACTCGGGGACCAGTTCTGCGGCCGCATGAGGTTGTGGATCTGGGCCAAAAGAGACGATGAAGTATTGGGGGTCCATGTGTAGCACGCAGCCATTCATGATTGCGTATTGAAAGCCAAGTCTCCGCGCGGAGGGAGCCAAGTTGTTAGGGTTCGGAAAATGACCGACTTGCTCCATTTCTTCTTCCACGGAACCGGGTTGTGGTAGGGATCTCGAGGGCTTCCAGAAGCGCCAAGGCCTGAGCGAACGGCAATTTAATGCCGTCTCGGCGGCATGCAAGATCGGCGCCGGGCCTTAGTGCGCCATAGACCGCTGCGGCTCATTCGTCGCTCCTCTCTTTGTCCTCCTGGTGTCTCAACGTCCACTGCCAAAAGCGTGGAGGCGGCGGCATGCTGATTTGGAGAAGTGAGGAGATGGCCACGCTTTAATTGGGTAAAATGCTGAATATCTGGGGGGGATATTCAATCGGGCGGCAACAAAAGTGCCGCCCTCGACTTGTTGGTTTCGCATGAAGAGAGACATGGGAGAGACTGACTCGCCTCTCGCTAGGCTACCAACGACCAACCCCCCAGCCAGGCTCTGGACAGAGAGAGCACAGCAAGGAAACACGGTCGATTCTCCGCTTGTGGACGACTCTGCAAGGCTAGAGAATGAAAGCCCACAATTGTAGCCACCTCGGTGAACTTCCAGTCTCCAGACGGGCATCTCGAGGTTCACGACGTACGTGCGGGATTTGAGAAGCCCTGCCAGTGGATCTGGAATGTCGTTGGGATGGGATTCTCCTCAGTCGCACCCCGCGTGCCCCATCACGTCTGGATACTACAGTGTTCCTTCGTTGGCTTAGTGACCAATTGTCTCGGACGTAGATGGGCGGGTGGGCGATTAAAAACCGGGTCATCAAGACACCTCCGCCTGGGGGACCAAGGTTTACTGAGTGTGTGAGGCAATCTCACCAATGCTATTCTATGGGTCCGGGGTCATGCCCCTCGAGAAAGAGGGTTAGCTGGATGCTCGTGTGCAGAGCTCACGCAGGACGCGCGGGGGAAGATATAAGACACTGACCTTCCCCCATAACTCTGGTGTCGTGTTCCTCACGAGCAAGTCTGACAGGAGCCTCTCACGACACTCCTTGCCAGGCTCATCCTCGACATCTCGACAACTACCACACTCGCCACACAATACCTTCATCATGGCTGGTGGTGCGGCTATCAACATCCTCAAGTTCAACACGGGCGGCCTGCCCAAGGAGACGCTGAACTGGAGGCTCTGGTTCGCTGTCTTTGCTTTCGGTCTCCTTGGAGCCGCGCGTGGTGTTGACGAGGGTCTCATCACTGGTGTCTTCAACTCGACGGCATTCAAGAAGCAGGTGGGCATCAACGACCTCGATGGTTCCGCCCTCGCCAGTGTCAAGGGCAATGTCTCCTCCATGGTCCAGCTGGGCAGCGTCCTCGGTGCTCTCTTGTAAGTTGCTTCACGTCTTCTCCTGCGCGCCCCGGCCGCCGCTAACATCACCAGTGCCTTCGTCGTCTGCGATCGCTGGGGCCGTATCTGGGCCACCCGTCAACTCTGCGCTCTGTGGCTCATTGGTATCTCCATCATGATGGCCAACTCGGGCAGCATGGCCGCCGTCTACGTCGGTCGCTTCATCGCCGGTGTTGGCATCGGCGAGACCGTCGTCGTCGGCCCCGTCTATCTCTCCGAAATTTCGCCTGCCCCTATCCGTGGTCTCTGTACCTGCGCCTTCACCGGCTCCGTCTACCTCGGTATCCTCGTCGCCTACGTGGCCAACTACGCCACCCACAAGACCATGGACGATACCTTCACCAGCTGGGCGCTGCCCACCTCTGTCCACCTCATGTTCGCCGGCATCATCCTGATCCTCAGCTTCTTCCAGCTCGAGTCCCCCCGTCACTTCATCCGCACTGGACAGCGCGAGAAGGCTCTCGCTACGCTTTGCAAGCTGCGTGGCCTTCCTGCCGACCACCCCTACCTCCTCGACGAGATCACTGCCATTGACGTCTCCTTCCAGGAGGAGAAGGAGGCTACCCTGGGCTTGGGGTGGAAGGGCGTCGCCAAGGAGATCTTCACGGTCAAGCGCAACTCGTACCGCCTGTTTCTAACCAACCTCGCTCAGATCATGGCCTGCTGGTCCGGAGGCAGCTCCATCACTGTCTACGCCCCTGATCTGTTCAACCTGGTCGACATCACCGGCGAGGAGCAGTCGCTCTTCTCCACCGTCATCTTTGGTGTCGTCAAGTTTGTCTCCGCCGTCGTCTGCGCCTTGTTCCTGGTCGATCTTGCCGGCCGCAAGCGCTCGCTCATCACGGGTATCATCCTCCAGACCATTGCCATGTTCTACATTGCCATCTTCCTCAACTTGGTCCCCATCGCCAACAACCCCGGCTTTGAGCCCTCGCCCTCCCAGAACAAGGCCTCCCAGGGTGCCATTGCCATGATCTACATCTCCGGTGCTGGCTGGGCCCTGGGCTGGAACAGTGGTCAGTACCTCCTGTCCTCGGAGCTGTTCCCCCTTCGCATCCGTGCCATCTGCAGCTCCATCACCATGTGCATGCACTTCCTGTGCCAGTACGCCACCAACCGTGCCCTGCCCAACATGCTTCTCGAGGACCACGGTCTCACCCCCCATGGCACCTTTTACTTCTTCGGCATCATGTCCATCATCGGTGGTGTCTGGGTCTGGCTCTGCGTCCCCGAGGCCGCTGGCCGCTCGCTTGAGAGCATCGACAAGCTCTTCGACCTTCCCTGGTACAAGATTGGTCTCCATGGCAAGGCATACGCCGAGGCACGGGACCGCGAGCAGGAGCAGCAGTTCGTGAACGAGAAGAAGGAGGCTGAAGTCCACTACATGGAGGATAAGGCTCATGCTTAGGTGCAGAAGGGTGGAAGTGAAACGAAAGACATGAATACCATTATGAGTTTGAGTCTAATATACTTTATCAAGAATGCAGAGTCTGGCTAAGTTTAAGTTGCTTGAACTTCAATTGTGTCGCTAATCCATGCACGGCGATTCGCACCATCACCAGACGACTACCCTACACCATTCATCGCACTCGACACTTGAGTTTCACATGGTCATTGACGACGTCCACATAAGTCTATAACTATTAAGGTATTCCAACTAAGTTACGTCCTAGTTGCCCATGACAACTATGTCAATCTCTAAGCAAGGTCTCATGGTTTACATGTTTAATTGTTCAACGAATTGTCGCGACCGACACTGTCACGTGAGACCATGCATTCAACCCGACAGGCCACTACGGACACTTTAGGCAAGGTACATATTTCCAGCGGGGAGTGACTGGACTGTCTGCACATTGTGTTGCCTAGTCTGATTGGCCGGTTCGTATAAATTGCTTACGCCAAGGCTTATACCTCGTCACGACTCACAGCTTCACTTAGGCTCTCAGCCCTGCCAGGCGCGTGTCATCGAGCGGTATGATACTGCAGCTTGAGCGCATGTTCACCCCCCTGCCTTGGAGAATCAATCTATATCTCTGGACTGACAGCGCGCGCACCCTCTGCAACATACTCACGTCTGCTCATTCGTGGCCTCGTACATGCGTGCCTTCCAGAGACTACATGTAGAGCCGTCCCAATGTCGAGCGAGTCCCAGGTCCAACTTGTCAATGGCCGCTACTTGGATGATGGCGTGACCACGGGAGCGTCCAAAGTTCCCAAGAGGAAAAGAACGTATCATCACAAGGTGCGCACCGGGTGCCTTACTTGCAAGTGAGTCCATAGCCAGACCCTTGCGGCCCTGTGCTGTTTGCGTCGCTGAACTTCAACAGGATCCGGCGTGTTCGATGTGACGAGGAGAAGCCGGCGTGCAAGAGATGTACGTCAACGGGACGCACCTGCGACGGGTACCTGAACACCAAGCCCGTGCTGGTGGCGCGGGATTCTTCGAATGACTTGTCTGCCAAGAGGCGCGTCTCTCCGGATCTGCAATATGCAACTAGCGCAACCTACGCCGGAAGGGGACCGGGCATGGCACCCGAAAGTGTCGGTGGAGATGCCCGGCTCTTGTTACCCAAGCTCGATCCATCTGAGCTTCGAAGTTATCGATACTATGTTGAGGTTGTGGGCCCCTCGGTACGTTCCATGGCCACTACTCTCGTGTGAGTGTGTGTGTATGTGGGCACGACACGCTGACCATGCTAGCTATCGGGCTTCTTCGACGCAGACTTCTGGCTCGTCGAGGTGCTGAGGGTCTGCCACTCGGACGCTTCCATCTGGCATGCGATAGTCAGTCTCGGCGCAACCTACGAGTGCCAGCGAGATCCCAAGGCCCTTTCCAGTCTTTCTCGGTTTGCTCTTCAACAGTTCAACTCAGCAATCCACTGTCTAATGGAGCCAAATTCGCCTCGGCATGCAGACAGGGGTAGGGCATTGACCGTGAGCACCATCTTTGCAGGCATCTCGAGCATACAAGGGCAGCACAAACAAGCAGCTATGCATGTCGAGGGAGGCTGCAAGATGTTGCAGGAACTGGAAGGCGACGAACTGAACCCCGTCACAAAGAACAATCAAAACTTGAAGAAGACATTGACAGAGCTGGAGTCGCTACCTATTGCCATTGCACCCATGCGGAATATCCTCATGAAGATCGACTTGATGCACAAGGCTCTGCAGCATGGTGGAGTTGCCGGCGTTATGCCAACCTCGCAGGTCATGAAGAACAGCATTTTCCGTGTTTGGCGGTCGTACGAAGCCCCACAACCCTCGAAAGGAGTGCATTCAACCCTCACACCAGAAGATATCATCATGGCCAGCCGCGCTGGCGAGTCGCTAATGAACGGGCTGGTGTTCGCCATGCAACAGCAGGTTGAAGATATGGCCCAGTTGATGCTCGGACAAGGGGACAGGCGTAATGAAATCCACCGCATCAACGTCAGCCAAAGGCCTCATGCCCGGGCGTATAAAGAGCTGAAGAAGGCATTGGCGGTGTTCGAGCACGAGCTGAACAAAGAACACTGTGGCTCGGCACGAGCATCGAGGACGGCCTTGCGCAATGGCACGACACCACTCAAAATGTTTCTGGCTATATGTCGCATGATATTCTTGACTGATCCCGAGGAGCCCGATCCAGTCAAGCGAGCCATGAACTATCCCAACCTGTGTCACGAGATCATCGCCGATGCCGAGACGGTGTGGTCCATGGACGACACCTATATCGACATGGGCGGCCGGAGCATTCCACTGACCCCCAAGTCCACGATTCTCGATGCTCTGTTCATGGTCGCTATCGGAGGTTCTTCGATCCGTGTGCGTCGCCGGGCTGCCGCTCGGATGCGGTCCATGCACACCAAGCCGGAAGGGCTTTTCCACACGGTCATGGCAGCGAACCTGGCAGACTTGGTCACGACCCGGGAGATCGCAGCCTATCAGACATGGCTTCGCCAGCAAAGGCTCAAACAGTCAGAGGCAAGTGAAGATGGGTCTGGTGCTAGTGACCAAGAACCTCCCGACATTGGGGAGATTGACGAGGACACTTCTGTTCCGCCGCCACATCGTCTTCGCAACATGTCCATGGATTTCCCCGGGACAAAGAAGGCGCGTGTTAGACTACAGACATGGAGAGAGTATGCTGCTGGCGAACCCGGGGTATTCCTTATGATGGACTGGTGATTCGAATGCTGTGCAAGATAGTGATGGACGGGATATCGGAGGCAAATACCTCACATTCTTTACAGGTATACTTGCAACTAGCCATAGAAACGATCTCCACTTCATTGTTGTGGCGTACCTTGCAAGTCTGTTGGAGCCCACTTATAAGAAGATTCTTCTTTTTGAGGGCAGACATGCGACATCAAGAGGCTACCAAAGCAACAGTTCGGTGCGTATATAGTGCTGCTCTCAAGGATGGGGCAAATCAGCCATGCCATATAAGGCTAACGATTCAGTCGGCCGGAAAGTCAAGGCTGGCGCTTTTGTTGCCTTTGCGGGTGGTATAAGCTGTGTTGACGTTGACAAGGCCTGTTCTACTATAGGCAGCGATTAAACTGTGGACAACTCCTGTTCAATTGTGATGTCAAGTTTTGTATTTCATTTACCGCGCTAAATCCCTATGTGTTTACTATCAGAGTGGCATATACGCCGTGTGCTCATAATCGATATTTTCTTGGATCGACTCGATGCGCTCCGTGCACGTCCCGAATATACGATCCCAGAGCCTGGTTTGCTTGCCATAGTTGTGGCTCTTTCTCCAGCCCTTTCGGTGGTGAAGGTCGTGGTCTTCCACCACGATTTCGCAGTCGAACATCTCGAGCAGCCAGTTCATGGTGGACGGCGGCGAAAGATGGACGCGAAGGCCGCTGTGGCCCCAGACCTCGGTGAAAGCGACAAACTGGTGACAAACCCACCACTCGTAGAAGCCCAGCCGGAGACCGATGGCCCACATGGTCATACAGGTTGCAAATGGCACGCCTACCATGTCGAAAAATTCCTGCTCGTGATCTGCGCTGGGATAGGTCAGTACGCGCGACGATGCTGCCGTCCGTAGAGGATGCACTTACTAGGCGGACAGGAGAGCATTGGGATGCTTCGTCAGATGATGCTTTCTGTGGAACTTCCACAAAGACGAGACATCGTGCATCGCGCGGTGATACCAGTAGAACCAAAAGTCCAGGAGAATAGAGTAGAGCCCGATTTGGATGCTCAGTCTTGCCCACCACTGCCAGTCGCTGATGACATCCGCTGGGGACACCAAAGGATTGTAGGAGAGGAATGCCGCGAGGGCCATGCGCGATCCCGTCGTCTTGTAGAGTGAGGCAGCAATCTTGCCAACGCCCACGTCCGGCACGCCATCTCGCTCATGCTGGTCACCGTCGAGATATCCCCACGTGTGTCCAAGTCGTCGGAGTACGTGGATCTGGCGAATGATAATGGCGTTGAAAGCCGTGAAGTACAGTTGGAATGTCGCAAAGGTCCCCAGGTACTCGTAGCCCGTTGCTCTGAGCCATAGCTGATGGAGGACCATGGGCGCGAAAGAATCTTTACATGTCAGCCTCCATGTCGTTCTCGATGATACAGAAGCAGCACTCACAACACATGACCCAGATGATCTGCGACGATTGCGGTAGATGAGGTATTTTTTCCGTCTTCTGATGCACTGGGGTTGGCTCGTCGAGATTCGTGGGGTACACATTGAGTGTGTCGATGAGGCGGTGATGGAAGCCCCAGGTAGACTTGTCTGCCGTCCTCCACGTCGACTTCATGGAGTCCTGCGGTGCCTGTTTGGAAGCCATCTCTGCAAGTGTGCTTTGCGTAGGCGTAGAGTCCGTGCAAGAGAATCCGAGAACTGTCACGGGGAGTTGAGGTTTTGTCAACCAACTATATACCCCGGCATTAACATTTCAAGAGGAGGCGGACACTGCATGTGCGATGTCCCGCCGGCGATGATTGGCGCCACTGTGTCTTGACCATAGAGAATGCCTATTAATTCGCCCGTCGACCTTGCGAGCTGCGTCACTTCACATGCTGAATGCTCGTGGAAGATCCCCCGATTTCCCGATCGGGACAGACTTTGCGACCTGCCTGGCCACACCCCGCAAGCTGGAACGGGCCCATAGTGAAAGCTTGCACAAGTCTGGAAGATGTTTGCGATGTGTTTCGAGGACTTGTTGAGGCTTCAACAAATGATTGGAACCGACTAGTGGTCTTTTTTTAAGGTAATCGTTGGCGATCGACCTTTAGGGTTGAGTGTCAGTGCGAAATGCCGAGGTACAATGCTGTTGATGACGATGAATGCAACAGCTGCTCCGTTGAAGCCGTCGGAGATTGAGGAGATCTATTCGTCCGCGATCTAATCAACTAACCTTGGGACATCGGAAGCAGCTGTTCGCGACGAGCGCATAGCCCCTCCTACGCAGGTCGCGTGGCTAGCAGCTCCTCAAATTGTGCCCAATTCAGTGAGTCAACACCCAAGGACGAGATTCCTGCACCCCCGAGGCTTGGATAGGGTCCAGGGGCTGCGGGATTGAGTGTCTCATCAATGTCCATGCCAAAGTCAAAGGATTGCAGATCGAGCTCCTCCTCCATCTGGTAAAATGAGAAGCCAACACCTGTGTAGGGCTTGTGTGCGTTTTGATCGATACCTTGCCAAGTGTCTTTCGTTACCTCGGCATCCCAGACATACTGCGAGAGGTGCATAATGTCTTCGAGCCGTTGTAGCGCGGTCTTGTTCCCACCTTGGGCCAGGTAACTTAGCAGTTGGCCTGCCTCTCCAAGTTCAGTCGCAGGGTGCGCCGTGTTGTCGACAAATCCATTCATAACGAGAATAAAGGCCGACCAGAAGGCAGCATCAAGGTCAAAGAAGCCGAAGCGAGCTAACTGGCCTTGTCGCTCCAAAGCTGCTAATATGCGAATGCTCCGGGTTGCCGCCTTTGTGCAGGATTCGCTCAATGCTTGCACTTCAGGCATGAGTTGTCCTTCTGGAATAACTTCAACTTTCGCCTTGATTCTCTGCAGATATACCGGGCGTATACAAAGCACGACAGCTTGGAATAGGATCAGATACAGAGTGGCTGATGTCCTTGACAGTTCCAATTCACTGCTTTCGAAATCCAACGCATATTTTTGGGGGATGGACTTTTCAATGTCGTGCAAACTCTGGAGAATGCTCTGGATCTTAGGTACGAGCTCAGATTCGGACACAGCCGTATTACTGTACAGTGCTGTGATGGTCAGAGTGCTTGCAGCTAATGTCGATACATGGTTCACTTACATCCCATGATCTCCCCAGTGGTGTGGGCCAGACGCACATTGACGTTGAGAGCCTGTGAAGAGCGGAAGCCCGGAGCAGTCGTGGGAAGCTCCAGTGAGATCTGCCGCGAGTCGACTGCTGGCGGGAGACCAAGATTGGCGGACAGTCGTCTGTCCAGCATGTATGCTGTCCACCACACTCGTGTACGGTGTGCCCTTTCAGAAGGGAGACATTGTTGCTCGCTTGGTTTCAGGGAGCACCCTAGAGCTAGCGCGAGTCGTACTGCTGTTCCAGACTAGGAAATGAGACGCGAGCAACGTCTGAAAGGGAGTGGCAACTTACAAAGAGGTACGCATCACGTCTCCTGTTGCACCACTTGAGATACGCTGTGGCCAGACACAAGATCTCCACCGCGAGGACGCCACATCGCCCCAGGCGATGCACTGCTGGAATTCTTCGCATGGCTTCGGAGAAGTACGGTGCGCCAGGCATGTCCCCTTGCGAAGCCGTGTCCTGATCCATCAGCTTGCCCATGGCGATCACTAACAGATACTGTGTGTACCACAATGACGACTCCTGGATCTTGCGTGATTCGGCACTTTGAAAAAATAGCCCCAGAGAGTCAGAGAACGCTCGGGGGTCCATGAAATGCTGTATGGTTCCGTGGTAGGACAAGAAAAGGTCCAGTAGGCGTCGAGATTCCTCCTCGTCCGGGACGATCGCGAGCGGCGTCGTCTCCACCACAAGATCAATGTCGGGGAACCACCCTGCAGTTTCTTGGCTGCTAAAAGCTTCGCGGTTCTGGCCAGCGTTTTGATGAAAATCGTGGTCCCTCTTCGAGTGGAAGAGTGATCGTACGCGCGACTCGAATGCTGGACCAGAGGCTTGCTCAATCGGAGTTCCAGCGCCCGAGGGCTTTATTGGACTTGGCTGGGAGGTAGGTTGCGATGGCGCTTGGGATGTCGGGCAAACAGAGGGTTGGTTTGATACTGGAGTATCATCCTTGATGCTGTCATCAGACCCTGCGGCAGCTTGTCTGCGTCAGTATTCTGTGCAGCATTCGCTCTATGTGGCGCACCTCTGGACAGTTCGCCGCTTTCCAGCTGCTTGATCCGCTGCTCATATCGCTTGACGGTCTCTACGAGCCCCTTGACATAGCTATACCTCATTAGTCACGGGCCAGAGGGTCGTAAACAGTATGTACGCACGCTTCGGAGTACAGTTTTCTCTCAATGCTGGTGAAGCTGCATGTGACTTTCTGTCTCAAGCACGTTCGACATGGGTTGTCCCCAGAGCACTTCACTTTTTTTTGCCTACATCGCTCGCAACTTGAGTCATTAGCTGGGAACACTGCCAGTCGCGTTGAGTAAGGCCAAGGCTGCTTACGCATTTGAAGATCGTGACCCTGGCCCTTGAGTAGCGTCACGTGCACTGGCCATCGCATGGAATTGAATGAGGCACGTGTAGTCCTTTGCGAAGCTATCCACCGATGCTCAGGCCACATGCGACGTGAAAGAGCTTGGTGCACCATGCGCCATGTGGCGATGAAGGTGCTGAGTTTGCCTCGTTAGCAATCGCCCGTCTCCACTTTTTAATCCTACATACCCGGTGGCGCAGATAGCTGGATCCTACGTGAACGTTCACATTGGCAACAGAACCAGGGAAAAATCACTGCGAGTGAGACTCTCACTAGCTTCTAAATTTAAGAAATCTTTCATGTTTTTAAGTCAGCTTGAATTGTGTTCTAGCTGTAAGAGTGCGGTGTTGAACGTTTTGGAGTCCGTTGGACGGCTAACATAAAAGCCAAGCCCACCGGACATTTCGCAAACAATATAGATCTATCGACATCATTATTTAAAATAAAGTCGAAAGTAAAAGAATCTTAATTATGATATAAACATACTTCTCTCATACATTCCCTAAGACAAACACATGCTTGCGGAAGGGGAATAGATTCGGGCACCGAAAGACTATAGGGTAGGCCAGGAACGCCTCCGTTAGACGACTCAGGCCAGCATGTGACGCACATTCGAGTCAGAGTATTATAACTGTTTAATTTGCAAAATTTACCTAGCATGTGTAGACGCTGGATTCCCTAAATTACAATCTGTTATCGAAACCTATATGGTTGTGCTTTCCGGGTGCCTTTTCCCCCTGATTTAGTTCGGGATGTTTAGCCGAGATTATGGTCTGGCAGCATCACCGTCAAGCACGTCTCTACAGTCTGCCATTCAGGCCCCAATGCACAAATCAATAGCCGTTGGCATATGCATTGAAATATCTTATATTTACCCGAGTTCAAACCCTTGACGGTAGTGGAGTCTGCACGACTGCTACGCACTTGATCTCCACGTCAGTGTAGCCGGGCAGGCTTTTAACGCCAACACATCTGCGCAAAACGGGTCAGTTGTCCGAGAGGAACTTGTGTCCACGAATGCGAGAGACTTACGTTCGGACCGGCTTGACGGAGCCCCAATACTGCTTGTAGACTGCGTTCACCCTGTCGAAATCGTCCATATCGGTGATGTACACATTGACTTCAATGACATCGTCAAGACTCGATCCAGCAGCTTCAAGGATTGCTTTAAGGTTCGCGACACACTGGTGCTGATTTGTGTAAGCTTTTCTATCTAGGGCTCCTGACATATAGACTGACCGTCCGCTGTTCGATAGGGCCTTTGACAAATTCCCCTGTATCGGGACTCTTTCCAACGGCGCCAGAGGTATAAACGAGCCCGTTGACGATCATGCCTTGGCTGCTGACGCCAGGGCGCGCGCCCGCCGCCTTGGGGGTCATCACAGGGGTTCTAGTGAACAACATCGCCGAATCGTAAAAGCAAGCGAAGGAAGATCGATAAAGTTTGAAATGATGTTAAGAGGATTAGATCTGTCGTTAGCATAGATCTTATAAAATCTGGGATGCCTTGATCGGCTTGTGGACCCCTCGAGGATTTTCTCGGGATGTCTTCCGAGCTGTTAGCGATTTCACATAAAACATGCCGAAATGAACATGTGCAAATCCGATTATAATGCGGCAACGGCGTATGGGGACCCAGGGCGAGGAAGAAGAGGAACTATAGAGGCCACGATTTGTAGATATTGGAGCGGGGACACAATTGGGGCGGTTTTATAGTTGAGATGCGCATATGCACATTGTGCTCTAATTGTCTGTATGGATCTGGATGTCTATTAGGGTGACTTAAGGACTGGACGCTTAGTGAATTGAATGAAGATATTAAGAAGAGCAATATCAAAGATGATAGAGTAAAGAAGCCAAAGGTCCCGTCTAATTACGAGGCGGTCATTGTTATCCAGGCTTAAGGCCGGTTTGTCTCAGCCTTTGGTTCAGGTTCTCGAGCTGCTCTTCCATATATAGAGCCGAGCGTAATTGCCCTTCAGCCTATATGTTAGGCCATGGAGTAAGAGATCTCAATACCTTGTACTAATTGAAGCATTAAGTGAAGCACGACCCTGAAAGGTAATGTGGCTCCATGGGACATCAACCTTGTGTTTCATGGACTTGATGCTCGAATAACTCGCCATAATACCAATCTGATGATTATTCCGCTCCCTTCCAAGCTCCGAAACTTCGTCATGTTCCCAAAAATACGCGTTCCATACTCGGGGTTATAGTTTACCCATGCTAATAGGCATAGAATAATGTCGACTCCGTGTTAGAAGCGCGAATGCGGCGGTTCTCAACAACCAAGATCCTTCTCATGACCCAAGCGAGAACAAGAGCCACAAAGGAGAATGCCGCACTTGAAGCCATGGGAATAACATAACGGGGAGCATTCCAATCAGGCCAAAGGTACTGCGTCCAGTCAGTGGTGCTCTTCTGAAGCGGAGGGACACATGAAGTAACTGACCGGACTGTAAATGGGGGATAGGTTGGCGATTGTGTTGGCCATGCCAATGGCTGCCGCCTTCTTTTCTTTGGTCTGACCGCAAGTAGCGGCGATCCAGCCGATGATGACCGAGTTGCAGGCATAGACACCTGTAGCAAAGCAGCACATGGCAAAGTAGCGGGCGCCGACGTTCAGGGTTCCGCACGCTAAGACGAACCCGAAGATGGCAACCAACTTTGACGCGGTAATATGCCACGTCCTCTCGTTGAAGCGGCCTATCACACGACTTAGCATTGCATAAATCATGGAACACTTTGTACGTACCGGAGCTCCATCCCCACGTGATGGTGATGATGCCACTCACAATGTAGGGAGGACAGGTGAGAGCTAGTGTGGTGTTTCGATCAAAGCCGAGTGTCTCGACAATTGTCGGGAAGAAGTTCTTGAAGTTGCTCGCAGCCATGTGGAAGTGGTACATGACGATGAGAATCCAGAGTCTGTAATCACTCGCGGCCTCCTTGAGACCGGCCATGGTAGCAGTGTTCGTCTTGATCTCGACAGTGTCGGCGGCAACGCGATCGTGGGCCAGTTGGCGCTCCTCAGGTGTAAGCCACCGGGTGTTGATGGGCTAATAATGATCGTCAGTGCCTGGGCAGAACATGTTGAGTCAGTGGCGCGAACCTCATCAGGGAGAATGAAAGCCGATGCCACAGAGACGACAAAGGTGACGATGCCGAGAAGGATGAAAAGCCATCGCCAGCCCTCGAGACCGGCTACTTGATCCATCTTGAAGACGCCAATGGCAATCAAGCCCTACTAAAGTCAGCTGTATGACCCCATTGTCTCTCGGACGATTCACTGACGGCAAAGGCCTATCGAATGTTAGTGAACTATCGTGTTTTGGTGATTTCTGCGCTTCTTACGGTCCCGCAAATATTAGCTGTGTAAAGGATCGAGATTCGGGTGGCAATCTCCTTCTTAGTGTAGAAGATGGATAGCAGGTACAGAGCGCCGGGATAAAAGGGTGCCTCGGCCACACCAAGGAAGAACCGGGTGATAACGAGGCCAGTGAAGTTCCTGGCAATTCCAGTGAGGCCACTGACAACGGCCCAGATGCACATCCAGACAGCCATAAAAAGTGAGGGCCTCACTCGGGTCATGATCATAGCTGGAACATTGTTTAACAATCATCAGAAACACAGAAGAAAAACGAACTCACTGGCAGGTAGCTGGCCGAGAATGTAACCAACGAAAAGAATGCTCACGGCCGTGAGGTACTGGTTTCCCTCAAGACCGAGGTCCTCTTCCATGCCGTCAAGTCGGGCGACTGTGATTGAGTTTCGGTCAAGGTAGTTCAAAAAGTACTGTTCCCAAAATTAGCGAGGCTTCAAGCAATGCCGGACGTGTTTGAGCCCACCATGACCCAAAGCATGGGCATCATGATCCAGTCAATCTTGCGGACAAGCTTAATTTCCTTGGGATCTGTCTTCTTTCGAGAACCAGAATAGTCAGCAGCTGCGACCTGCTGGCCTTCCTTATCCTTCTCTCCTATCTCTTCATGAGAAAAGGAATGCTTCTTCTCGTCCTCGATTGTCGAGGTGGCCTTGAGCTCCGTCATGTTGGCGAGGGTCTATAGTGTTCCTTGAAAAAGAACTAAGGGCCAGTCTGTTGGCACAAATGTCTGATGAGTGGAGAGGGCCAGAAGTCTGGGTTAAGGGATGCTTAAATACGTGAAGAGCTGCATTATTTTGTGTCACGCAAGATCCCCACGCCTTGGAGGTGATTGTGCTACCCCACAAACTTTGATCCCCAGAAAAGCAGCCCCGGATTCTTCCCCGCTCAACGAAGGTTATTTTCAGCCCGCCATGAAGCGTCAGAACATGGACGACTTGCAAGCTATGTGATTGTGAATATTCCAAATTCAGCTCTTGGCGCCTACGAGGGTGAGGCGCTCCCCCACTCAATAGCGTCCCATGAACATCGGCATTGTCCCGCGGTCACGTCGGCTACGACGCGACGGTTGTGACAGGTAAGTTCAGGATATTGGCGGGTTGGATCCTTCTGGTGAGCGGGTCGTACAGGCATTGAGTCCGAGTCTTAGCCTGCGCGGACCGGCCACCGATGGACTCAAATGTTGTATGACCTACATCCACTTGCTCACTGATCCGGACTGCGGCGCGTATAATGCAGATTAATAGCTAGCCTCGCATGTAAAGTAACTAGACGCTATTATTCACTTCGACCACTGATGTCCATTGGCGCCCGTGGTACGCCCCTCATACTCATACCGCTCTTCCAGCTCATAATACTCGTCAAATCCGACGCCATGGCACACCTCATCGTAGGTGAGGATCACAGGCGGCCGTCCGGTGCTCATGGACTTCTTGATGTTTTCCAGAGCGTCCCGGACGCTCTTGAGCTTGGCTGCCACCAGGGTCCAGGGATAGGCCACAACAGAGTAGCCCATCTTGGCCAGTTCCTGAGCCGAGAGTTCCTCAGTCTTGCCACCCTCAATGATGTTGGCAAAGACTGGGAACTGAAGATCTTGCCTCAGACGCTCCATGCTTGCCCGATCGGGAAGGGCCTCGACGAAAATGGCGTCGACGCCAATCTCAATTGCCTTGCGAGCGCGCGTCAAAGCCTCCTCATACCCATGAATCAGACTATCGGTGCGGGCCAGAATCCAGATGTCCTGGCCCTCATTGCGGGCGTCAACGGCGGCTTGCCAGCGAGCATAAGCCTCCGTACGGGAGACAACAGACTTGCCAGTAGTGTGGCCGCAGCCTATGGTTTGGTTAGCTTCGCGTGTGGCTGGTGATGTGTGATCAAGACGTACGCTTTGGCCAGGTTTGGTCCTCAATCATGATGCCGGCAGCCCCAGCAGCAGCGAAACTAGGCAAGTCAGCTAGCCGTACCATGTTCGCAGGAAGAAACAACTCACCCTTGAACTGTACGTCTCACGTTCATGGGACTGCCGTATCCCGTGTCTCCATCAACACAGATAGGGATGGTCACTTGTCGACTGACTTCCTGCACCTTGGCCACAACCTCCTGGAATGCAATGTACCCGGTGTCCGGGAGGCCGAAAGATGAAGCCATGGCATAGCCTGCCAAGAAAATCATTGGAAAGCCGGCTTCCTCACACAGACGCGAGCTGAGAGCGTCATAGCTGCATACCGTAGCCACAACATTGGAGGGGTCGCCGTGTGCCTCGTTGACAATGCCGCGGAGCCGAGAGGCCTGGATTGATGGGATGTTCCCGCGACAGTTCTTGAATTGAACTGTCACGCCGGCGTCCGACGGCTCAGTGACTACCGAGGTGGCGCTGGCCTTGTGCTGGAAGGGGTAGGGGTTGGGGTTGACGGTAGAGTTGGACATCTTGGGCTTTGGGATATCTCTGGATGTAGCTGGGTGGTACTTTTCCTGGGGACTTTGATTCGAAATCGTTTTAATGCTGCTGGCACTGCTCACGACGTTTGATAGCTTCAAGTCTCGTCAGATTTATACTAATGCTTCTGGCTTCGTGGTATCAAGCAACGCCGACTTCGGTCCCGAAAGCCAGCGTCTTCAGCCCTGGTAACAGCTTGATTGAGGGTTAGGCTTACTGAAGATGTGGGAACCCCAGGCTATGCGCATATTAACGCTGGACAAGCTTATTCTTTGGGACAGATTATCCGCCTGCACAGGCGTTTCCGATAACACGATGAGGTTCGATCCGGGAGCTCCGCCAGACGTGGTCTGGCCAGTGACCGGATACTTACGGACAGTACCGGTTACTAATGTTATAATCCTTAATCCCTGGAGGGCTGCGTGACCTTCCACCCCCGCATCATCCCTTGCTCCGCGCGTACATGATACATTAGCTCTGCGCTTGATTCCCCGCAAACCCCACAAGCGAAGCAAGTGGCAATTCTGAGCTTGACTTTTGTGTACTCGCTTAAGCTTTGCCAGCATCGATCAGGGATCAGGATTGCGTCTTTCATGGATCCTAGAATTTGCCGAGCAAATACGGCGTGCAATGCGAGCAAAGGTGTGTGTGCCAAAGCTGGTTGAACGTACTGTTTTGTACAAAAATGCCCATCCTGACACGGAATGAGAAGAAGCTTGAATGCTTCCCGTCTAGACCCTGGAGCGACTTGAAAGTGGCCAAGCATTGATTTGGGGTGCCAGCTGACTTGGCTGCTGAGTGCTGAATCCCGGGACCCGAACCTGCAAAATAATGTCGGCAAACACTCCGACGACGTTTCTCCTCATTTCCTGAGACTGACCTGTACATCTTCCGATTATCGCTTCGGTCTGGTCTACCTAGCCGTTCGGCCCATAGCTCACAGAGCTCCGGTTGCGGCAGGTCTAAGCCATGTGTAGCCTCGTTTAGGCTCGTTGTCGAATGTATCACCCAGAGACGCTCGGCTCAAGGCGTCCTTTGTCCGAAGTGTCTCAATTGCCGACGTTGAGAATCACCGAAGCTACGGGTCAACAATGGAATCGCCCAACAAGGATGGTAGACGACGCTTCAAGCGTGGCTACGTTGCCTGTCTATCCTGTCGAGCCCGCAAGGCAAAGTGCATCATTGTGGATGAGCAGCCGCCATGCGAAAAGTGCAAGCGGGAGCATCGCGAGTGTGAATTTGCACTCCGGGACAAGCAGCCGCGACAGCGCGAGGCTCCCAAGTGGACTAGACCACCGACGGCGAGGAGCAGCACAGCTTTGCGTGCAGCAACAGCCTCAACGTCTTCGACCGAGGAGGGTGGAAAGCAGAGTCGTCAATTGAACAGAGAGCGCCACAACGACACACCTCCCTCAACTATAGACTCGGATGATGAGCGGCGGACTGGCGACAGGATGGATCCTCTGCAAAACGCCGATCCATCCATGTACAACCGCATGGTGTCTGCGATTGTGACAGGCTCAAATGACGCCTTGGATGTCCTTTCGGATGCAGTCAGGCCATCAGACGTGAGGTCAACAACGGGCACCATCGACAGCCAGCAGCCAACAGCTTCCAGCATATTAGTCGTTCACAGTGGAAACAGCAGTCTCGGCTTTATCATCACACGCATGTCGCGCCCTGATGAAGAGACGCTGGACTTATGGGATAGGTCGAGATTTGTTCGCCAGGGCTGGTTTACGGCGCAGGAAGCTATCACGTACATTGATCTGTCAGTATTGAGCGCTGCCAACCCTTCCAAAAAACCTCCAGCTAAGACGTGGCGAAGCTTCTACAAATATCTGGCCCCGCTGTCTCCTATCATGCTAAACCAATTCAACGACCATGCGGCGCATCATCGACTAGTTGTCGAAGAAGCGTTCCTTTGCTGCACTATCCTTATGATCTCGTCACGGTATTTCACCTTACCAGGGTCCGGCGGTTCTTCGAGGAGCCACTTTGTTCATAATAGCTTATGGCATCATTGCGAGCACTTGTTGAAAAAGCTGGTTCTGGGCCTCGAGAAAAAATCGACATCGAGGATTCGTGTCGTGGGAACCGTTGAGGCCTTGATCTTGATATCAGACTGGCAACCGCGCGCGGTGCATTTTCCCCCTGATAGTGAGGGATGGGATGAGCTTCTCGTATCACCAGGGTATGACCGCAGAGACCGACAGTTGATGACCGAAAACGAAGAGCCGTTACTCAGGTGGCGTGAAGATGTCTTCGAGCCCGCCAAGAGGGCCAACAGGATGACTTGGATGATTCTGGGGACCGCTTGCAACCTAGCATACGAGATTGGAGTCCTGTCGCCCGAGAGGCCCCAGGCAGTTGATACCAGCGATCCCGATGAACAGAGACGGCGAAGGGCGCAGAAGGTGCTGTACGCATACGTTACACAAACCGCGACACGTCTTGGTCTCCCGGGGGTATTTCCCGAGAGTGTGAGCCTGGCAGTGGCGCGGCCCATGGTAGACAACCGAGATGGAACCGGCTCACCGTCGTGGAACTCTTTCCTTGATCTCACACTCGAACTCACGCAGCTTGCTCATACGGCCACGTCGCTCTTCTTCCGCTCCGACGCACATCTAACAAGTCAGATACAGGGTGACCATTATGCCGACCTACTCGATCACTACCTGGCCAGTCTCATCAGATGGCAAACCAAGTTTAACATGAAAGCGACAGGTACGTAGTGCCTAGCAGTTGGCCCACCCTTTGCTAATTCGTAAGAAATACATGAGCCGCTGCGAGATTCCCTACTGATCGAGTACCATCATCTCAAAGCATGCGTCAGCGCCGTATCTATCCAGGCCGTCGTAGCCAGAGCGTCCGAGGCCGGGCTCGATACAGCTGCGGGAGCTGCGGGAGAGAGCCTTGGTGCTTTCATCACCACCAGGGACGCACGGTTTTTGCAAGATGTGATCAACGATAGTAAGCGGGTTCTGCAAATTGCCACAGCGACAGAGTACAACAAGTACTTCCCCTATGCTCCGTCGAGGATTAAGATCAGCGTGATCTCGGCATCTGTGTTCCTGCTTAAAGCACTTAGTGTTGGTTCCACGACGACAGACGTTCAAGAAGGGTTGCATATACTAGACATGTGCACCTTCAAGCTGAAGCAGACCCCACCAGATGACATGGACTTTGCGTTGCGATATGCATCTCTGGTCGAGAAGCACACCGCACAGTTCAGGGATAACCTCACGCCTTCAAAGATGGCGCACGCAGATATCCGGATGGCAACTCAGACCCCACACTTTATCAATACCGAACCATCAATGCCCATGGACGGATCTATAGCATATGGAAATTCGGTCAACCTGGAATTGGGCGTGGATGAAACTTGGATGGGTCTCCCCTTTAACAGCGGCATCGCGCCGTTCAACTATGCGCATGACCAGTTGTCAATGGGACTGGATGTTGATTCTTTGAACTTTCTCTGGAGCTTGCCGGACATGTCTGGGTAGCTACTCTATATACGCGCGGCCCGTAGTGTAAATCACACAGAAAATTGGACTTCATCAAGAACAGAAAGCTGCCACTTTCAGGATACAATGATCTTGCAGATTACAATCAAAGAAATAAGCGAGAAGCGTGAGATCTTACCGGTGATCCATTCGAATACCCTGTGGGGCTGGCTCACGCAGTTCTTGATTATCCGCTGATTTTTGTCCAGCCACGTTCTCGACGAGCGGATATTCACGGCTGGCCACTACCCGACCGCTTCCATCCGGACAGTCTGCGCACGCTATCTAGATCGATCAAGGGTGGTTTCGAGGGCTGCCTGGTTCACTTTCCCTGGCAATTAATCCTGGCATACACCAACAAGCGCCGAGCCACATGATGCAGTAATCGTGATGACTGCCGGTTTCGGCGTCTCGCAGGACACGTCCAGTGTCTGGGATTCTAGGCCGCGCTTATGCGAGATCCTCGGTTGGCGATGGCCTTGTAATATTGATTGGAGACACACGCAAAAAGAAGCATCTATTACCTCGAACCTATTTGCTCATTTCAATAACACATTGCCCTGTCATCTGAATATTGGATATCCAGGTCTCAAAGCAGAGCGTCACGAAGATGCCGAAATCGACTCGGAAGAATGGCCATGAAGGCATGGTCCTCACTCTCGAGGACAAAGGGACGAAGCGAGGGCGTTCATCCATAGCGTGCCTGACTTGCCGGATGAGAAAAGTCCGATGCGACGTGATGAGCGGCGCACCTTGCTCGAATTGCAAACTAGATGTCATTAGTAAGACCAACTTGCCATATTCCAAGCATGTCGCTAAACTTGGCTATAGAATGCGTCGTCCGACGAGACCGAAGGAATCGGTAAGTTTGGCAGCGGGAGCTTTGGGCAGTCCACTCTAATTCTCTCCAGCAAGCACTTTGCCTCGTTGCTGCCGGTCCGTGTATCAGATATTCATCTACAGGACTATGATAGAGACTCTGAGAAGAGCGAGCGGCCGTGGCATCGCATCCTTGATACTGGCCCGGTCGTCGCATCGCCCAACACTATTATTGCCGACCCAGTCAGCAATCCATCCGCGTGTCAGCCGAATGGCAACAGCTCTCGATTGCTCCTGAACGCAGACGGCGATTTCACGGCTGCTCGTACACCACCACAAGCCCATGATGTTGCTAACCGACCCCAACGTGCGATTTGCGGGCGCATCGATATCGAGCAGCAGGAGAAGCGGTCATGGGAGCGTCTCCCACACTTCATCGAGCCAATTTCCGATACAACATTAAGTGCCGGTCATATCATCTTCCTAGAAACACAAGATGTGTTCAATTTGCCCAACTGGTCTGTGCAAACGGCATTGATTGAAGCATATGCCGAGTATGCCTATCCTTACATGCCCTTGATCCAAGTTCATGAGTTCTTGGGCGGTGTCGAAGACGCATCTATCGGCGGCTCGAAGAGGTACAGTCTCCTTCTCTACTTTGCCTTGCTCTTTGCGGGGGCCGCTTTCGTGGATCATAGCCGCCTGGACATGAACTCGACGGGCTTCTGCAGTAGAAAGGCAGCCAGGAGGGAGCTTTCCAGGAGAGCAACGGTATGCATTACTGGCGACGATACTTTACAATTGCTGACTGCCTGTTAGCTCCTGCATGATCTAGGCTTCGAGAAAAATTGCGTTGTCCTGACGCAGACCGCACTTCTCATGTCTTCGTGGTCCGACATTGCCCAGGATAACAAGGACAGCTGGTATTGGATGGGCCTCGCTATTTCGAATGCTTTCGCAAGTGGTCTCAACACCAGACAAGTCCATCAAAGCGTTACACAGACCGAGCGCAAACTACGAAAACGCATTTGGTGGTCATGCTACATGCGCGATCGGTTCCTCGCCATGGGCCTCCATCGCCCAGCTCGAATAAAGGATGAAAATGTCAGCATACCAGGGCTAGAAATCTCTGACTTTGAGCTCGCTACATTATGTCGCGATAACACAATCATCAAATCCCACAAGTCTGTGTTATACCGACTTGACAAGCAGGTTGAGCTTGCCGAGATATGTGTCCATAGATCGAGGCTCTCCTCGCTCATCGAAAGTATTCTCACCACGCAAGCCGCCTGCGATGATCTTGAGAGACTGGGTGGAGAGCCGGAGACGGTACCTTCGAGTCCCAGCATCGACGACGTGTTTGCTCACTCCGCCGCCTGTCTCGAGCTCTGGAGCGCCAGCATCCCGACATCGTGCGAGTACAGACCAGATAAAGACGACGACGTGACGCCAAGCTTGGTGCTGCACCAGAGCCATCTTCAGATGACCTTTCACACACTCATGTATACTTTACACAGGCCAAGGGCCTTGCCAGTAAGGCACAAGAAACTCCACGCATCACCCTCCTTGTTCAGCAACGGCTCTGGGCGTGAGCTTCTGTCGTCCGCGATCGCTGTCACATCTATCGTCACCGACCTGCGAAACCTCGAGCTGGACTCCTACCTGCCAGTTTCGGGTGTCACTATCATATTCCCCGCCATGGTGATCTGTCTCTTGGAGATGAGGAATGAAGATCCTGTTTCGCGGCAGGAGGCAAGCATCCGCTTTGCCACATGCATGAAGGTCATGGAAAGTTTGCAGGAGACATATGTCGCGGCTGATGTTGCGATCAAGTACTTCAACGCCGCGCTAGAGAAATCTGACTTGAAGCCACCGGTAATGCCGCTGCAAGAAAGTGTGGAATCTCCTAATTATCTATATCCGGACAACCTTTCTTCTGACGGTGTACGTGAGGATACAGCTACCTCGCAGATGAGAGTCGACTTGCTATGCAAGGCAAGCTTTGATTCTGCCGTAATGGGTACCGGCATTTGTGACGAAAATGGTCATGTTGTAACACAAGATGAGCTGGGCAACGTTAATTTCGAAGTGGATGCTCTCACCTGGTCGGATCTCACAATGGACTGCGAGGAGTGGACTGAACCATCTACAGTTGTTATGGCACAGGTAGAGGATACGTCAGTAACAGCTGACCAAGTTCCTGTGTGAGTATGATTACCATCAAAACAAATTCATGGGGGTTTAAACGAAGTTTACTCTCTCTGATCTGCGCACATCGCTATACAACCAGAGCAGCCCAGTGCTAGAGTGCACAATGTCCTGCCTCAAATCAGCGCAAAGCAATACCAGCAGCGGGATACAACCAGACCTCGACTTCCAAATAACCAGTAATCACTCGTCTAGGAGATCTATTTGTACTTGAATGGCCATAATGTGTTCCCCGTATGTGACATGTTCGGTGTTTCCGCTATCTGGCACCCGGAGGTTATGAGCCAATCAGGATCACCGACATGCCCTGATTGGGACATGATTCCACACGCCCACACCCCTCGACAACTTATTGACATGTGATATCAAGACAGACATGACTATTATCTGGATCCCGGATCTCACATCGGACGGTAACCCTAGTCAAACATTACTCTGTCAATATGAAAGAATATTCGCTATTCAGAAGGCGACATGCCCACATACAACCCCAACGCCAATGGCAACAACAACACCCCTTACCAATTAGCAAAACTATCGTAACAAAAAGACACAGCGAATTCAACTACTCCTCAATCACCCATTCCCGCGTCATCCAATACTCCATGCGCCACAGCCCTTTTTCGGCCCAGATCTGTTCCTGCTGCTTCCGCGCAGCGTCCGCGTCAAAACGGTATCTCGCGGCCAAGCACTTCGCCCCAGGAACGTACTGTCGGACTGCATGTAATCCGCGGGTCTCTTTGTCTCCCTTTTGGTCCGCTGCGTTGAGCTTTGCGTCTGCCTTGCCATGGTTTGTCACGACGTTCAGAAGTGGACGACACGCGCGCAGCCCATGGGCAGCTTGGGCACGCGCATCCGTTGCCCAGCCGTACATTGGCTCCGCGCTCTTCTGAGATTTGGTCTCACGATATGTTATCCACCCATCCAGCTTCTCCGACCAGACGTATTGCTCCCCCCTCCAGACGACAGTTTCATAGGGATGCGCATGGGCCGTCACAAGGGCGTCAATCTGCATGCCGATGTCGCTTTCGCATTTGACCACTGTCTCTAGATCCTCAATCATCGCAGAGATCTCCGTTGAAAGGTGATTCACCTGCCTCCGCCAGGGATTGAGGTCGACAGCGCCCTCCGCATTTTGGACAGCGTGGTAAAGGGGCGCCCCGGGGCGAAAGTATAAGACCGCCCGTTTAAATGTCTTCCAAAAGTCGAACCCGCTTTCTTTGTCCTTAATGTGCTTGAGATTTTCGATCGAGGCGTGGGCCAATAGATGCCGGAGCATGTCGAGTTGATCGCGCGTGACTTCCAGCTGAGCTAGCAAGCTTGTCTTCTGCATGCGCTGCTGCATGTGGACTCCAGGGTGGTCTGAGGAGACTTCTGTCTTTGTCTCTTTGACATCCTCCAATGCCTTCATAGGGGATAAATGGGCGTTTGGACTGTATGTCACACGTAGTGGATCATCGTCGGCACGGTAGTCGCGGCTGTCGTTTGAGCTGTCCAGATCAGCGGCATAGGAAAGCTCGTCCAAGCGATTCTGAATGTCAGAAAACCAATCCTGCGTGTGTCTGCTTTCCGAGGCTGCCACTCCCAGTTGATATATGGAAATTTGCAGGTTATGTCGTACAGAGCCGTGCAGGTGAACGAGGTCAATGAGCGTGGCCTCGCCACGGTTCTTTGGAACAACCAGGCTCTCAGGGTCAAGAACAATCGTATCTTTGTCGAATCCAGGGGATCTCGAGAACTCATACGTCTTGGTGTCCCAGAAATCACCAAGAGGTAAAACATTCTGGAAGATTGAGGTGATGTTATGCGTGGGATCCTGATTGCTCCAGGCATCGCCAGAGCCGAAAGCCCGGAAGCTCGAAAGCGAGATCAAACCACGGTGCATGGCGGACAAGTCGTCAAAGAGGGGCAAGGGCTCTGAGAAGAGGTCGGCCGGGGCGCTGTATGAGGCAGTGCCATCGAGAAAGGGTTCGTTGTAGTACGCTGGCTGGTGACGAACTGCGAACGGATCTCCGTATATGATACGGTACGGTAGCCAAGCCGAGCCAGCAGCCAACATCAGGAGTAGGATGGCGTATAAGGCAATGGCGAGGCAGTTCCACGCCAAGTTGGGATTCCATGGAAAGTTGCTAGGATCTTGGGGTCCCGGCACCATACCGCCGGCACCAGGTATCTCAGGTTGCTCAGACGACTCCCGGTCCTCACGTCTTCGAACTCCAGAATAGCTTCCCTCGCCTTTATGTTCTTTGTGTCCGGCACGCTCCCTACTGTTTGCCGAAGGACGCTCTTTTTGGACCGCTGGTTCGTCTTCTTCTGGAAACTCTTGGCGGTTTTGGCGCCTTCTTGACCTTTTTCCCCGGGGTGGTGTCTCGGGGTCACAAGGCCTATTATGTCCCTGCTTGTCGTCATCGCCATTGTGGCCCAGATTGATTGGCACGCTCATGGTCTCCTGTGTGCGGTTACTACCTCTAGCACTTTGGCACCTTGGGGGACTTAGACGAACCTCACGGCTATCACCTTCTGCGGCAGCGTCCACGTTGGCCAAAGGCACCCTTCCCCTCATTGCCGTTGATCTTTCTTGCTGCTGAACTTGTTCCTCTGATTTGTCCTGGGCATCGCAAGATCTCTCATTGAGCTCGCGGCACAGGTCATCCTGGGTTCTCTTCTGCATCTGACGAGATGGCTGCACCGAGTGCTTCGAGTTGAGGCGCTGCAAAGGCGAGGATGGAATGGATGATGGCGTCGAAGCAGAAGTTGCATTCATGCCCGTCCGTTCTTCTGGGGTACCAAGTCGCGGCGACTCGAATGCAGAGGTTGACGGAGGTGAGTACGTTAAAGGGTGAACAGTCTTTGCAGAATGACCTTGATACCCAAGTGCGGCCTGGTTTACTGCAGTAGACTTGGCCATTTCTTCCTTCATTGTTCGATGAGCTTTGCCAGTGGTGGCTTGACGTTTGCCACTACCAGCCCCCTTTTCTTGCTTTATCTGCGCTCGGCGCGCTTTATCGAACTCCTCAACTAAACTTCTGTTAGCCCGCGAACAATCAATCCTTGGAAGTACTCACGAGCGTTTGCGCTCAGTAGCGGGGATTCTGGCATCATCTTCCTCGTGCTCCGCGTTGCCCGTCGCGTTGCAGGAGACGGGAGCTGGGTGTGCTGGCCTGGTGTGCGGGGACCTATCTTGCTGAAGTTTTTGTTTGCAGGGGCACCTGCGGCAAAGTCACTCTGGTAAGCCATGACAGAAATTGTGCGTGTGTTAATGGTGAGTAAACCGTCGTGTGGATATCACTACGAGGTAGCAAGCTGCATGGGAATCGTTTGACGCTGTAACACGCTTGTGCGGCACAATGCGAATTGAGTTTGTGAGAGGAAAACACCCCTCGAAGTGAGTTTTGCTTCTCTATTTAATAAAATCATGTCGCTCTTTGTCGATGCGTGATTGAGGAACTAGTGTTGCCCGGAACGTCTGTGCGTTTGAATCAGAGGTGAGGAACAATGACGGATTCACGAGTGCATGTGCGACTTGAACTGGTCCGCGCAACGGCTAGCATTGAGTGACAAAGCCCGTCAGGGCGATGACATGGAAATCAGTTCCAAAAGTAGAATGTGACAAATAATTCTAATGCGCCATTGTTTTATTGGCGTACATGTGGCTCCTTGTCTAACGTTTGACAAACGCGCATACCGCGCTTTAGGGCAAACTCGATCGGGCTATTTCAACAAGCTTTCCATATGCCTTGGCTTTGATCTTCGAGGAACAGGAATTTTGGCCATGTGACAATGGTTGAGGGCTTTTGTTCTTTGTTAGCACCATGTCAACTGCTGTAGAACACCGTGGCGCCGACGCGGGCGCCACCGTATACTAGGATCCAACTGCCCAGGAGGGCCACCTGTCGCGCTGCAGATATGCGGAAAGGCTTTATCGCATCCAAAGGTCGTTACGCTAGCCATGGTAGCCCAGCTTGTGAAATCTGCGACGTTCGTCTGAATACCTCCAGGCAGATCATGTCGAGATGCAGCCTCCGGCCCTGGGGCACATCACCATCCCATCCATGCAATGTTCAGGCCACACTGCCGCTGCTAATTTCCTCGCCCCTTGACAACTGCAAGCCTGATAATAAAAGATTTTCCCGGAAAGTACACGTCCTGTAGTCAAGTTTCATAGAAAGACATTACCCTGCCGTAATTTAAAATCTCACATAATCTACACGTGGGAGCGTGACTAGAGAGTTCTCGGCGTTTCCTTCACTCCCACCCGTTGTCAACGGTCCAAGGCAAACCCTGACAGCCCTTTCTTCAACGGCCAATGACGATATATCTTCGGTGGCGGTCCCTGTAGGCTTTCATTGCGCATTTGAATCAGTCTCACCTGACTAACGTTTTCTTGGTGGCAGTGCTTCATACGGATAGGCAGCCAAGCAAGACTACGCGCGCTGGATGTGTCGCCCTCATCTACGGTTCACAGGGGAATTTTGGTCTGGTTAACTTGTCAAATTATGAAGCACCATCTTATTTTCAACTGCGTGGATCCTCGATCGGCAGACGACATTCCACCAAGGCCTTGTCTGCCCCGTCCTCCGGGTTCCTCCCGGTGTATCTTGTCCCCCATGACTGTCTTGATAAGGACGGGGCTGTGGTGTACATCCGCCTCTAGCCCTGCCATTCATCGATTACTCCATTGCCGCCTACTTGACTTCAAACTGACTACCAAGTCCTTCCAGACTGTCGGACGTGGTCTCCGAATAAGGATTGGAACCACGCTCGCTGGGTGCGGGAGAAGAAGGTCTTGTCTCGCCATCTCCTTCGGCTGCCATGCTGTCGAAGGAAGCAGCTGGATCAGACGCTGGTAGGCCTTGGCTTGTTGCGGCAGGTCCCTGATTCCCCTTGGGAGAAATGTTGGTTTGGTGTTGAGCGTCCTTTCCCTCGCATTGTTGGGTCTTGTGGGGAGTCATTGCTGCTTGAAAGGAGTATTTTCGAGGTGCGTTCGTTGCTGTAGCTCGGTCAGTGCCTCTTTTCCAAAAGCCTCGGTTTTGTTGTCAAGAACCTGGTGATCAGCAAGGGCTTAACAGATGTTCTCTGGAGGCTGCGCTGCTCTGGATGACCTGCAAGAAGGAGAGATCAATCCTCCAGACTTGACTACCGGCGCCGCATTTATACTTTTTGGGGGGCCTAGGAGGCAGTCCTACTCTAGCTACAGCTGGCATAAATTGCACTGGACGTTGCGAATAGTTTGGTCATCGCATGCATAGCCCAACCCTACCAGGACCACTTCGCCAAAGTTGATACTGATCGTCCGGGCAGTCGATCGCAGGCAGGCTCTGCTACGACACGTCTGACACCCGTGCCTTTGAAGTTGCATATTCGAGATTAAATAAGTGAATTACTGCATGGGTCAGGCCTTCGGGGGGTTTGATGTCCGTACCGCCCCTTGCACTTTCGGTATTGCTAACATGAACCTTGTCGATTTCAATCGCCCCACGTTCGCGCATGCCTGTTGCTCTCCATCTTGTCTCTTTTCCCGAACAACCCAAATCTTCGAATCAAAACCCTAGACTGCATGGGTCTCTCTATCTTCGGACTGAAGTTTGAGCCCGTACATGTCAAGTGCATGATCCTCCCCCTGTTCATCGTCGGTCAACCAATCACGGGGCCTCGCGGTCAGAGTGTATCTTTTGGTTAGTCCAAAGATTTAACCTCTTACTTTAATTCTTCCAGCCAGTCTTTGATATTCAGAAGGGATTCCGCCGCCACGCCTAGGCTGAACCGCCACAACGACCCCATGTCTGTCCAGTATGTTCAGATCAGACGTGGGTAACTCGTGCGCAGGTCAAAGCTCTCGGCGCACTGATTGTCGAGCGATCAGGCTTCGGACTTCCACCAATGTCACACTTCAGTACGCGCATCTGTTTCTTTACTGGATTCAATTGGCCTTTGGTTTGCCGGGCGCAGTCGTGAGACATGTTATCGGCTCCGCAAGGGGCACTGGCTCTGGCAGCCGATCTTTTTTGTTTATACTGCAGTATATGACTACCAACTGGCTGCATCATCACACATACATCAACCCAGGAGGAAAGATGTCGATAGGCTCATGGGCCTGCTGGCGTTCCCCGTAGTCGAGCGCGCAGGAATATCATGGGCTGTTACCGTTGTTGACTGGACCCAACTGGCTGATACCCGCATGGGCTTGCGCCATGTGTACGGATGTAAAGGCGATTTCCTCACTTACAAGGCAGACGACAAGGTGCTGCGGATAGAAATTAAGATCGTAAGGTGTGGTACAGGGGGTCAGCTAACCCTGTCCCTGCTAAACAAAGCGAACGGTATATTGGCATCTACGTCGCGCTCCTCAACTCGTTCCTAGCCTTGACATTTCTTTATTAAAGGAACTCTTTAGCTCTCTACCATTCAGAACTGCGATGGGTATTAGCATCGGACACCACGTTGGTGATCTACACGCAATATATGGTACATGCTTATAGTTAAAGCCCAGTTGCAAGGTGGTCTAGTCATAGACGCTATGTGGCAGTGCATGTCCCAACAAATGCGGCCGAATAGGGTTCCTTGACGTCTTCGCTTCTCTCGAGCCTGGTCGATGTAGCACCGCTTCCCACAACCGTTGCCGTGTAGTTCTTTCGCCACAGGGCCGATACTTTAGCGCACATGTGTCTACCTCCCCATAAATTCCAACGTCTTGACCTAGGAGTAATCGGCTTTCGGAACAGACGAAGGTGATATCCCTTTAGAAAACTGTGCACCGACGCCTTCTAGGTCGATCGTAGCGCTGTCCGATTCCGACGCAGATTCGAGAATGAATCGGCTCTCCGTACTTGACACAGTTGAAGTTTTGTCTCCACGGATCTTGATCGGCAGATTATTACTGTTCGAAATCTGCACGCTTAGACTGCCGGCACATGTCTCCCTGCTGGGTTTGGTTGTATCTTGCATCCTCGAAGGATAGGGCTATGCTCTTGATCGTTCCTTGTTGGCTCTTCGTTTTGCACGTGCTAATAAGCAGGACAATGGAACTTCTTGTGCTGTGGGGTGTCTTAGTAGGATTCAGTTTCGTGGGGTGCTTGCTCTGGAACTTCATACCTTGGTTGTATCTCGACCCAGACGCCGCCGATTTACCGGCGAAATGCTAGCTACGTGGCGATAAAGCTACTCTATATAGAAATCTCGAAATCGTTCGCCCTCTACAAACACCTATACTTATACAAATCCCTGCGAGTCCGCATGAGTACTTGCTTTCATAGGTAATTCACACAGGGGCGTGCTATGTATCGACACATGGCAAGTTCCGGTCGTACCTACACGCTGACACCGATGTAGCGTGCAGTTGCCTTAAAACATATTGTATACTTATAGAAAAAAGGCATCTCTGGTCAGACGGAACGGCGTTGCTTTGAGCTGTTATTGGATCTCAGCCCTGTCTTAGCCCCTGAATATTCTGCCTGCGCGCCAGCAAAGGACATGGGCGAACCAGATCACGCCCAAAAAGATTGCTTTACCGCCTTTCTTACTAGAAAGATCAGAATTGGGATTCCAAGATAGGCTGCAAATAATGCCATCCGCCAGGAAACAATTGTGACTGAGCTCAGTACTGGTTGCATCGACGGCTTGTTGGAGTTGCGGTGTGGAAGAAACCGCTATAGTTGCGAGGCTTATTTGTAACAAGCCATCTGAGCCACGAGAGTGGCAGGACAACATTTTGAATGGCGACACACGCTGGTAGGTCTCGAGCATTCGACCAGCTGCGATGAGAAGGTGCGCCGGATGTCAAGCGTCCAGTCCCTGGACGACCATCCGACCACAGCAGCATAGCTTCATGTTCTAAGGGTCGGGCACAAATTTTCGCGTTGATGTTGAGAAAATGAAAACAGATAGAGACTGATTCAACGGTTCTTGCCTATGGTGCTGAGCTTTTCGGCTGTAGATCGGGCTGTTCTTTGACCACGTCAAAAGTTGAGATGATAAAGCTGCAAGCATTGGGCCAGATCGATTTGCCGCACTGCGATTGGCTCCATTGCATTGAGCGGTGAAATTCCTTGCCCAGCCTCGAGTCCTCGACCACATCATCAAACGCGCTCGTTCTGAGCATCGCCCCAGGCCCAGCCGCCAGGCGTGGGTCCTTGCGACGTGACACTGACACACGTGGCCTCGAATACGCACGACGACGTGTCCCGGTGTTCGCAAACTATAAGCGGGATGCAAGCTGAGGAATTGCGAAATGGTTGCTAAACGCGGTGGCTTCATTGTTGGCAGCACCTTCTGACGCAAATATACTAATTATCCTGTGTTTCGCGCGAGTTGTACATGTATATTCCGGTTCTCGGCATGCCTGGAAACATGAAATGTCGACTTCCGATGGTGTGGGTCCTGGGGGTGAAACCTATCAGAGATTCAGACTCAGTCACCCTAGCAAATCCGTCCCGTGAGCCACGGGTCGCTCTAATTACTCTCATGCACCAGTGCTAGTATTACCCGCCCCTTTCCAAATCTGCAGAGGCAATGGCAGGGCTGAGACCGACTAGCTTCCCGTTCCTCCCGGAGAATGACCTTGTGATGCGTTGGGGAGACGGTATTCCCGATGCCCAGTCACTGTCTTACATGTTGCTCACGGCTCTCTGCGCGGTCAGCGCCCAAACGACCGCTCTAGATGCAGTCTTTGAGTCCGCGTTGCTCCATGGCCCTCCCGTACCTGACTGCGATAGATACTTCTCCGAAGCCGTTTCCAAAATACCGGAACGCATTATACAATCACAGGACCTCGACTACTTACGATCATTTGGCCTCTTGGCAGTGTACTCATTGCGACGCGGCAATCACGGCGATCTGCACCGATATCTTGGGCTATATCATGCCTCGGTGGCCCAGAATGGCTTCCATGACGAAAGTCGCTGGCCCGACGACATTTCAATATCTGAGGTGGACGATCGGCGGCGGCTCTTCTGGTGCGTCTATCGCCTGGAGATACACTCTGCCTGCGTACTTGGTCACGTCGTGCGCTTGCCAGAAGCGCAGGTCTCCGTCCTCTACCCCAGAATCACTCCGGCCATGGACCCAGAAACACACATCTGGACTGCCGGGTGGGACTACATCACCGACTTGTTCCGGCTTCTGGAGTATGCCATCTTCTGCCTGCACGGGTGCAAAAGCCGCAAGCTGCTGCTCGCCGTGCTCTGCGATCGACCCTCGCCTACTACGTTACTGGACAGCGTGACGCGGCTCAAAGCCAGCAAGTCGCGGATATTGCTTGGGTTGGGCGACGCCGACAACGACTTCCAGAGTAACCGGTGCAAATACATGGCGGTTCAAATCACATGTACAGAGGCGCTGGTGAGCATCATGGCCCTCCTGTACTGCCAGGCCCCTGCCCACGAGGTGATGGAACTCGCCGAGAGATTCTTGGAAGAAGTGACAAGGGCACCTCTCATCATATTCAAGGTCGCCAGCAGCCAAATTGTCCATCAACTGCTTGGTGTCGGCCACATGCTGTCCAACGCCTCGCGGTTCGACAATGGTCGGTACCGGTCCGAGGCCAAACGACTGATTGCCTTCCTAGGGGACCTGGTGAGGAACTTGGAGCATGACATTCCCTCTGCTTCCAAGGCCGGCGAGCGATTGCTCAAGCTGGCGGAAGCCACTTTGTAATCCATATTTCAGGGCTGAATGGAAGCGTTCAGGGTCGTGCACGGTCGCGCCGAGTCGCCTTACAACGCCGAGTACCTGACGGCCGCGTTCGCCTCGGGGTCGTCCAACGGCTCGGCGACGGCAACGGCGGCAAGTTTCGGCGTCTTTGGTACGGGCGAGGAAACCATCTCGTCCGGCCGTTCGCCCGCCTCGAACAATGGGTTGGTGGCTTATACGCCGTCCAGAGGCCTCATATCGATTAGGGGGAACTGGCCGCTTTTTCCAACCTGTGACACAGTCGTGCCACATGCGCGAACGCTGGAAGACATGTTCGCGCTGCTGGATGTCATTGTTGCCGAGGATGAGAAGAAAACGGGCGAGTTTTGGAGGGAGCAGCCCTTCGTCCAGCTTCCAGACGTCAATTCGATTCGTCCACAGTCGTATCATCAGCTCGCCGACACCAAAGCACTCGCAGGCAAGAGGATTGGCGTCCCCAAGATGTACATTGGAAAAGTCGATTCTGATCCGACGGCCAGAACGGTCAACACTCGACAGTCCGTCATTGACCTCTGGGCAAACGCCCGGAAAGTCTTGGAGTCGCTTGGTGCGACCGTAGAAGAGGTCGACTTTCCCGTTGTCACCAAGTTTGAGAGGCCGGATCCAGAAAGCAGCCCTGGCCAGGAGAGTATTGCGCCACCTCACAAGAACGACTTCGACATGTGCCAACTCATGGCATATGCCTGGGACGACTTCCTCGCGCAGAATGGCGACGCCAACGTGGCTTCCAATCTTGGGCAGGTGGACTCCGGCACCATATTCCCTCGCCCTTCAGGGTCTATCCCCGCTAAGTATGACTCCAACGATCCTCTTGTGCGCCATACGGACGTCGTCGCGCATATTACTTGTGGGCGCGTCCCTATATTTGAAGTCACCGGTCTCGGTCAAGCTCTGCAGAATCTCGAGGCGAAGCGCAAGTCCGACTACGAGGACTGGCTGGACGAACGCTGTCTGGACACTGTGGTGTGGCCTTGCAACGGAGACGTTGGAAAGGCTGATGCGGATGTGGATGAGGCGTCCGCGGCAGCGGCATGGCGCAATGGTGTGCTCTATTCAAATGGCAACTGCGCCATACGCCAGCTGGGCATCCCGACTGTCAGCGTGCCCATGGGAGTCATGGCCGACACGCGCATGCCCGTCAACTTGACCTTTGCATCCAAGGCGTATGATGACGGCAATTTGTTCAGGTATGCCTACGCCTTTGAGCAGGCCAGCCGACTGCGCCAGGCTCCCCCGAGAACAGGCGCGTTGGCGCCAGATGCCGTGACAATTTCGAGTGAGGTAACATTGGGAATGGAGCCGCCGCAGCTGACATTGGATGAAGCCACGAAGACTGGGAAGAAGCTTCACCTTGCAGGCAGCGTTGAAAAGGACGTATGCGCGTTGCGTGTCTTTGTCGACGGCGACGAAGTTGAAGTCTCGAAGAATGCACACGGAAACTGGGAGGCGGGCGTTGATATACGTGACGCCTGGAAGGGTCGGCCTGAAGAGAGAGGCGTGCCGGACCCTGACAAGGCCATGGTGATTGTGCTGGCCATGGGGAGAAATGGGAGGTCGGCGGGCAAACTGTTGTTTTTGTAAAAGGCACCTAACGTTTCCATCGCGACTTCAATCGTGCAGAAGCGAACCCTACCAGTGTATCTGGGCCAGTTGCTAAACGCCATACCCCCAAACGGAGCATAGTCAATGTCGTAGTGAAGCATGTTGTTAGTGAAACGAAAGGGTTCGAAGCTCTCCTGCGGGTACCAGATGGGTCTAATCGTTTCCTTGTTCGTCAAACCATAAAGCGCGCGATTCAGGTCTTCAACAGCCCTGTACCCATCAAGCTCATTGGAGAACATCTTCAAACAGAGCCAATTTGCGTAGGCAATTTGGAGATGTCTTGTGTACTGAGCGACTTGACTGTTCGAATGACCCCCTCGCCAACCGATCCTCAACGCCTGATTCACTGCCAAACACGGAATCCCACCGTGAGCAGTACATGCGACACCACTTATGGCTTGAGTACCTGTGCACCTACAGTGGTGTTGGTGCCGTTGGCGTGCTTGCCCGTCAACTCAGGAAGGACAGTCTCCCAGCCATATTTCCCGTCAAAGAGCTCAACCTCAACGGCACACTTGACCTCCTTCTCCTGTGGCAGTTCGCCATCGACAAAGTACGCCCGCACGGCCTTTGCCGCGCACAGACCAACCTGAACAAGCAGGCTGTGGCCATAGCTGTCTTGGTGAATCAGGTGGCTATCCTCTATGGTCCTGCTGAGATTCCTGGCCGACTCGAGGGGCGTCACCGGGTCGTGGGAGTTGCCCACCATGAGGATGGGGAAGTTGGGCTTGAACTGAAAGTCTCCTTCGTAGCGCTCGACGGCGGTCATGTGCCACTGCGCGCAACGGGCCGGTGTGTTGTGGGCCACATCCGCAAAGCGCGAGTTCTTCACGCGGCCCTCGAAAACAGGCAGCATCTCCTCAAAGGTGTTCTGCTGGAGAACGTCGGAGCACTTGATGCCCCAAAGTGCCTCTTGGTCGTGGGCCACCCGGGCTTCGTCGTCGGCTTCGGGCTCGTCCATACCTACTTGGGCTGCACCAGGGGCGACGCGCTTGACGAGGGCCCTGAGCTGGCTGTGGTCGTGCGCGTCGCTGGCATAGAGAGCATAGAGCTGCGCGGAAACCTGGGGGAAAAGAGGCGGGAAGTAGAAGCCACCCAAAATGATAGCCTCCACAAGACTGTAATCGTAGAAAATGCCGCCAAACGGCGACGTGGGGTCTGGGACGACAATGGGGTGTGACTTGAGTTGCTCTAGCCATGCGAAGATCTTGGTCTCGATCTCGTCAGCATCACCGAGAGCGGCGAGCGGACACGCGTCTGGGTTGGCCACGCAGCCATCCCGAAAACCCTGCCACGAGCCGTCCATTCCCAGAGGCAATTGTATTTCCCTGTTGGCGTAGTACTCCATTGGGTTGACCACGCCGTCGAGGACCATCTTGTCGATACGGTCAGGGAACATGACTGCAGCAGTCGAGCCCAGTAGGGTGCCGTAGGAGGTCCCGTAGTATCGCAGCATCCCATCCTCCTCGAGCTCGGCGACCACCTGGAAGAGGTCCCTAACAGTGGCAGCCGTGCCGATGTAGCGACCAGTCTCGTTCATGACCACTGCGCAGTTCTGCGCAAAAAGGTCTGCCTTGGCCCACAAGTACCCCAGAGCCACGTCGCTCGAGTTTCCGCTGATCGAATAGCCACCGTAGGCTCTCGCCGCCTCGGAACTGTAGCATGAGAATGGCAGCGTGCCGTTTGTGCCGCGGGGAATGACATTGACCAGGTCATACTGCTCGCCAGTCATGGCGGAGAGCTGGGGGTAAAACAGTCCCAGATCTTGGATACCCGGCGCGCCAGGGCCGCCAAAGTTGACAAAGACGCTGCCCTTGGACGGGCTCTTGGCAGCGGGCACGCGAATAATGTCGATCCTGATCTCGTCGGTAGAAGAGTTGTCCGTATAGTCGAGAGGCACATTCAAGCTAGCACACTCGAGTGGGGTGTCCTCGGTGAAGGGGTCAGTGCAAGCACCAAAGCTCAGTCCTTTGTCTTGACGTTTGTTGTTGCTGCTGCTGCTGCTGCTACTGCTGTCGGCGGTGGGCACTGCGGCGGCCAACGATGCCGCAGCCAGGATGTTGGAGAACCTCATCTTCATCTTTGACGCAGAGGCGCAATGAAGGGAAACAGAGCGATTGTGCTACGCGAGGACCGCGATAAGCACAAGCGAGGAGGCGCCTCGCGCATTAGAACGACATGAAGGATTCTCGACGCCTTCGATCATTGAGGTTCGAGGTCTACAACCGTGGTTGCATAATAACTGGTTCTCCTTTTCGGACCCGACTTGGTGCACTGACGGCCGATCCCCCCCTGCGACAACCTGCATCTTTGATCCTTTCGCTGTGGAGCGATCTCACACGCAGCGACTGGAGGCGGCGTGGGCACCGGTCGCTTGCCTCTGGTTGTGTGCCGCGCGTTTGCGCTTCCAGATGATCGCCATAATGGCAGTGGTGTGATGGCAGTGCTCGTGAAGATCGGTACAGGCGTCTGGTGAGTGCGACGCGCAATGCCCTGGCGCAGTGGGATGGATAGACTGGATTGGATGTATTAGGTTTCGCTTTTATGTCCGAGGGAATGGAATTGATGGACGCTGCCTGACAGTTTGTACGGATACCTGCATAATTATCGTTCCCTTCGCGCAAGGTACCCTGTCGCAAAGGCTTGATTACCTTGCCAAGTGTCGTCATCACCAGGGAGTCTCACAAGCTCAAGGCAGCGAGCCCGATCTTCATGTTCTCTTGGCCTTCTTCTATCAATGCTTGTTCGTGCTCGCACAAGCCTCATGTTGCTTGAGCTCCAGTCGACTGCCGTGCCACCTAGCGACCTGTGTGCACCGTGACAATTGATCACAGCAGGATGGCATAAGTAAGCTGCAATGGTGTTGAGAAGCGCAAAAATAGACACTCATCAACTTTCGGTAGATACCTTTGATTCAATGACGTCTTCTCCTCTGCAAGGCTCAGGGCCGACTAGGAAGTACTTGTACTCCCACGACATCCTCCACCATCTTCCAGCATCAATCGCCAGCGCCAAAACCCTGGTCTTGACCTGAGCATCTTGAAACGAATCATGCAGACTTCGATCAAATCCAATTCATGATCAATGTTGCTAACACCAGCATTCAAGAACTAGTTACAACGGCGCACATCTCACCGGGCGTAGAAGACAAGCCCTAAACCTACGTGTAACGGCCGGGCCGCACCCGAACGCCCAGCGGCCCGCCCGCGCGAATCTCAGAGACCGCGTCGTCGTGTGTACGCCGAGCTCGGTCCTATCTACTCCGCCAACATGCACATCTCAATTTCTGGACCAGCAGATCCAAGGCACCTTTACGTTCTTTAGCCCGAGCCCGACTGCGCGGGGGGATATTGGGGTTCTCCACGCGGGGAGCAAACAGCCCCGAGCCCGGATGACCTCGCCACCAATCTTCCTAGACCTAGTCTAAAGGTACGAAATCATCCTCGTCCTTCTGTGTTCGCATAATCATAGCTCATACGCTCATCATGTCTTACTCTGTGGCAGGCAAGACAGCCATCGTGACGGGCGCCGGCTCAGGCATCAACCTGTCCTTTGCCACTCTCCTCCTCTCCAAAGGCTGCAATGTCGTCTTTGCAGATCTCTCCCTACGTCCCGAGGCACAAGCGGTGGTTGACAAGTACTCATCATCGTCAAGCCCACGGGCCGTCTTTGTCCAAACCGACGTGACTTCGTGGCCTGACCTCGAGCGCATGTTCCAGGCCGCCCTGGTCGAGTTCGGCGATTACGACATTGTCTGCCCTGGTGCCGGCGTGTACGAGCCTCACTGGTCCAACTTTTGGATCCCTCCCGGTGCTGCGGCAAGTCGCGATCATCCAGCATCCGGGCGTTACGCGCTCCTCGACATCAACCTCTCCCACCCCATCAGGACGTCACAAATTGCCATCTCAAATTGGCTGTATCCTCGTCGCTTAGAGGCCACCAAGCTTGCTACTCCTGAGAAAGCGTCCCCGCAGAATCCAAAGAAGATCATCCACATTGCATCAGTGGCCTCGCAAATTCCCGTCTTCAGAGCACCGCTCTACGGGGCGTCCAAATTCGCCATTGCAGGCTTCGTCCGCTCCATCGCCCCTATCGAGACCTATGGCATCACCGTCAACGCAGTCGCGCCTGGCGTGGTCAAGACACCCCTCTGGACGGACAATCGGGAGAAGCTCGCCAATGTCGACGTGGCCAAGGACGCATGGGTCACGCCCGAGGAGGTCGCCGAGGCGATGCTGCGTTGTGTCGAGAGTGAGGCGGGCGGCGTGGTGCTCGAGGTTGGTGCGCAGCGGACCAGGCGGGTCGACGTGTTCAACGATCCCGGGCCGGACATGAGTCCCGAAGCCGGGATGTACACGAGCAATGGCGCGGTGGGCGATGCTGAAGTGCATTCATTCCTTGGGGATAAAACTGTATGGGGCTGGCGATCCAAGTTGTAAGCAGCGGTAGTACACTCACAGATTCATAGCCAGGGGCACAACATTGAGAGCGTGTTGGCCAACTCCAGGGCAGCAATGCTTTGACGGTTTAGATTAAATATTAAGTATCACTTACAAACACCGTTCAAACATGGCTCGACTTGTCCTGGTGTAGACGCGCCCTTGCTACACTATAGCAAGGTGAAAGCGACCACTCCAAAGCACGCACCCGCCAATGTCGCGAGGTGCGCCCGAGTCCCCGTCGCCAAGTCGCCCTCGTCGTTGGTCTGTTCCGGCCCAGCACTGTCAGTCGTGGACTCCGCCGCGCCGGTCGAGCTGGCAGTGTCTGCGGACGTGCTCTCGTCGCTCTTGGATGACGAGTTGGTGGCTACAGTAGACGTGGCTGCCGTGCTGGTAGTTTCCTCTTCCGCATCAGTCGAGGTCGAGGTCGATGTTTCCGTGGCCTTGGTCTTGGTCGCCGTCTTCGACGCAGTACTGCTTGCTTTCGTGGTCGTGGCATCCTCATCATCGCTACCTCCAGCCGCGGCCACCCTCTTCTGCACCCACGCGGCGGCATCGTCGCTGTAGACGTCAAAGTAGTTCAGATGCGTGGCGACAACGTCCCCTCCGGCGCAGATGGGATCTGTCACGACGCAGTAGTTGTGCAGCGCGTCGCCATACTTGGCCAGGTTGGCGAGCTGATCCTCGGGGCGTGGGAAGATACCCTCGCTGTCGGCCCCGGAGAGAACGTTGTACGGCTGGCCAGCAGTGTGACGGACATCACCAAAGATCATGGCCGCAACGACTTGCCCTGTCAGCGATTCATGTCACACCATCCCATCAGAAAGACAACTCACTCTTGTTGCCGGGCGCCTTGTCGGCATCGAGTCCCACATTGTCCTGCTGGACACAGTCCTCAAACAGCACTCCACCTCCACCGCCCAGCACATCCCCGGCGACCTGGCCACCCTGGCTGTACCCACTGACCACGAGCTTCGCGTCAGGGCATCGCTTGTTGTAGGCCGTGATCTGCTTGACACCGTTGGCGGCACCCTCGCTCACCGACTGGCAGTACGGCGCCGGGAGCGGGTTGTAGAACTCAATGTCCTCATAGTCGCAGTTGTCGAGGCCAGAGCAGATGGCCTGGACGAGCGCGCCCTGCCGACCAGGGTAGGGCTCGTTGTTGCCGCGGGCCAGGAAAATGTGGACATTGTCGCAAGGCTGGTTGGCGCTCGAGCGAGGGTCTTGCGCGGTGGCTGCGGAGACCAGCACGCTGGCGGATGCCAACGATTGAGCGAACCTCATTGTGGGCGAGCGTGAGGATGTAGAAGGAGGATAGGAAGAGGAATAGGACCAACAACTGCCAGATGAGCAAGAGTTCGTGTCGGCACGCTGAACTAGCGATCTCATCAAATCGTCAACACGTGAGTAATTTTCCCCTTTCACGATGGTCTCCACATGGCGTGCGCCTGGGGGTCCCTGGGTTGCCAATGCCGTCACGACCAGACTCACGAGTCACGATAAGCGCAAAGAATCCATCGGCAGGGGTGGGGATCAGCCTGATGGAGCCTCGCGAGCATCACAATACGAGTCGATCGCGGCGTAGTTGGGGCGGTGGGCTCTGCTAGCTCTTCGATACTCCAGTCTCAAGATGGCTGTGTTCTTGGTGCTTGGTCGATCAACAGCTGGAACTCTGACAATGGCGCCTCGAAAAAAGACTCGAGAGACCTCAGAGAAGGACGAGATGCTAATTATAATTAATAACCCGCACGGCTCTGCCCGTGCGCCGACAGGGGTCTCCAATTCAGACACCTAAAGGACGTGCGTGCGTCAGAGTCGAGTCCGATACCACTTCCTGACGCGGAATCCAAGCCACCATTTCGTTCAGCGACGGGTTGTGCCTCAGCCAGGACCTTTTGCCATGGCGTATCCATGTTCGTTGGGAGATGGATGTGCTCAAGTCCTCCGGGGGCGTCACAAATCGGTGCCCATACTTCTGAATTGAACTACCCTGCAAAGCACGATGTCGAGGTAAAACGAACATGTCTGTGTACATGAATGCATGAGAAAGAAGACAATGCAAATCCCAGACGCTCTCTTCTGCTCTGGACGTGATTGCCTTTTGACTCCTAAATGGTACTTATCATCTGACAAGACGGGTTGGTAGCTCCTTAGTTGAGATATGTCGAGCAATGTCAATCCTCATCAAGCGTCAATTCAGTGAACGTTCACACAACAACAAACGTGTCAGCGCATTCTCCACGACCTTATACTTTGCAAAAGTGCGAATCTAGCGTTGTAAGGCGACTTGCCATTGCGCTAAAAGAGAATGTGTGATCGGCCTAATCTTAGCCTCGTTAACCTCATGGCCGGTCTTTTGTTGGTACGGATTTCATACGTACATGTCTTCATCGCGAACCCGTGCAGCGTGCTACGTTGCAACGCAGCAACCCCAGCATCAATCAAAAGGATCCCCAGCAATAAACACCAGGTCCCTGAAATGAGATTCAGCCGTCGTCCCGTTCCGCGCGCCTCATTGGCCGCCATCATCCCCCGCAACCCTCCATTTTTGCACCAGTATAAGTACGTACATGCGGCGATGCTCAAATCACCAGGGGAAGTAGACAGTACAGCAACAATGGATCGTTGCACAAGGCCGACTGGCGGAGTTGGTTCATATGCACAGATATCTAGGTTAACGCGGTCTTAAATGTCAGCAGGTCTGTCTTACTCTATCTATATAAAGGGAGGGAGGGGGACCAATGCAACCCTCTCCTCACCGTCTCGACAATTCCCATAAACTCATCTCGCTCCTTTGACCATGCTGCGCACAATCGCCCTGGCCAGCTGCGCTGTTGGCGCGGTCTTTGCATCATCCAACTGCGCAAAGCCCACCCTCAAGGCCCCGGCGTGTCCCGACAAGGGCACCATCACGTACGAGTCCCGCGTGCCCACGCAGGCCAACGACTTCCCTCGCACCCAGGTCGACCTCTGCTACACGGAGAGCGCGCTGGTCTTCACCTTCACGGCCTACAACGAGACCACGTTCTACTTCGACCCCGAGCAGGGCACGAATGGCGATGTTTGGGAGTACAACGTGATGGAGGCCTTCATCTACAAGGGCACCGACGACCCGCAGACGTACTTTGAGTACGAGATCAACCCCAACAACGTCACGTACCAGGCCTTCATCTACAACCCGTCCGAGAACCGGGCCCCGGGCGCGCCTTTCGACCACATGTTCGTCTCGGACCCGGCCGCCGACGGCCTCAAGGCCCAGACCACGCTGAACAAGGACGAGGAGACGTGGATCAGTGAGGCCGAGATCCCACTGGCCTTTTTCAACGTCAAGAATGGCCAGGCCAAGGGCACACAGTGGCGGATGCAGTTCCTCCGCACCATCACCAGCGAGGCGACGTTCCCCGACCAGGAGCTCGGTGCTTGGAACCCGCCCGACGAGGCGAGCTTTCACATCTCAAAGTACTTTGGCCACGTAGAGCTCGTCTAGTCGTACACCGACGGCTTGGACCACTCGTACTTGGCGCGGATCCTCTTTCCATAGATATAGAAGACGAATGGAACCGGAATGAGCAACGCTGCAAAGCCACCCGTGATGGACGATCCTGGTCCGACGCCAATGTTGTGATACAAGGGGCCGACGACTAGCGGGAACGCACCGGCAAAGACAGACCGCAGGAACGTGTTGGCGGCGACCGCCGAGGCCGCGTATAGTGTGAATGTGTCGACGAGGTAGTTAAGGGAGGCCTGGAAGATGGTGAAGAACCCGCAGCCCAGAAGCACGAGGCCGATACATGGCACGATCCAGTGTATGTCGGTCCTTGGCCCCGTCCAGCCCACCAGGAACTGCGAGCCACTGAACAGGACAGAGCCGAGCATCATAGCCGGCAGACGCTGTTCGGGGACCGGGCGATTGCCAGCCGCGCGGAATGCCCTGTTGTACCTCTTCTGGTTCAAGACATTGATCAGGGACCCGAGAACAGCGCCTATAAGAATGCAAAGAAAGGGAAGTTCGGCGACCAGCGGGTTCCAGCCACGCTTTTCCCCAAAGATGATAGGGATGCCGCCTAGTTGCATGTACAGGATGCCGTAGCAAAAGCTCGCATACAGCGCCACGAGGAAGCAAATAGGCGTCATGAGCAGCTGTATCGGCCTGACGAGGAATTTGCGGGCCATTTCCTTGAGACTCACGTCCCATTCCTCAAACTTGGCGTGCAGGGCCCAGTTGCCAGTCTCATGGCGCAGGCGACGCGCCTTGTACACGAGCAGTTTGGGTGGGTAGCTCTCGTCGATAAGAATGATGGCAATGGTGAGAACGACGGCTTGGAGGATACCAGTCAGGTACTCTGTCCAGCGCCAGCCGAGGGACGGCTGCTCGACGACGGCGGCCGACACAATGGGACCCAGCACCGGCCCTGCCACGACGGCCATTGCGTAGCCTGCCATGGCGTAAACTCGCCTGTCTGCCGTGAACATGTCACCCAGCACGCCACCCGTGTTCGTAACGGGCGCCGACGCGAAAAAGGCCCCGAAGAATCTGGTGATCATGACGGTTTGCAGGTCCTTGGCCACGGCTGTGCCGAAGCTGAAGCAGATGGCCACGAACATGGGGATCATGACAGCCAGCCTCCGCCCGTATATCTCGCTGAGGGGCGCCCACAGAAGAGGGCCGAGTCCAAAGCCGAACAGGAAGAGCGTGGTGCCCAGCGTGGCTGTCTGGATGCCGACTCTGAATTCCTGGGCGACGGCGCGCGTGCCAGCCGAGTATGACGAGGAGGCCCAGGTTGCTGTCATAGTGACCATGCCATAGACGCCGGTTGTGATAATCTTCTTCTTCATGGGCCAGTTGAGCGGGTGATATGGGTCCTCGGGACCGTCAAAGTCGACCAGGTCGGCCTTTGACGTCTTGACGTGCGAGAGTGGGTGCGTGAACTTGTTGACGACCGGTCGAGATCGAATGGCCGACAGGATGGTGTCGCGCCTGGATATTGTCCGTTCGAGCCCGGTTGTCGCCGCGGTCGCCGTCGAATCGTGTCGTGTCCGCGTCCGCCTTCGGCTGGCGAGGCTATCATTCGTCCTGCTCCTCGACCGCGTCTCTCTGAGAGAGGGTCTGTGGCCATCATACTCCGAGGACTTTTGGCGCAGGTCAATGTCGTCGTCATCGTCCGAGGAGGTTTCGCTAGACGTAGAGATGTGGTCGAGCTGCTCATGTTCATGTTCAGCTGCGCCCTGTTGTCGCTCCGTGTGGAGAGGCAAGCGCCCTTGTTCTGCGTCCGGGTCGATCATTGTGAGGAGCGCGGGGCAAATGTTGACGACCAGCTGAGCCAACAGCTCAGACAGGATGCTCCTGGGATCTTATTCTCTACGAGAGAAGAAAAATTGTCTCGCCGTTCGGCATCGCGATGCCGGTGCGGTGCCGAACGACTCCCTCTGCATTTGAATTAACGAGTTGTGGCTAGCAGACATGGAGCCGTCGGTCGCGTGGATTGACGTCATTATTGGTGCTCTCTGCAAAGTGGACGATCAGCTCGTCCTTGCCGAGGCTGGTGTTGACTCGCAACGCCGTAGGTAGAGAACAGCGGAGGGGGAGCTTGAATCGAGAAGCGTTATACTTATATGTTTAGTGTATGATGAGGTGAGGTCAGAGGTAATACTACCACGGCACGTACGTAGTACTTCGCCTAGCCTTGCGTCACAGGTGCAGGTGATGAGAGGCTGGGAGCACAGCGACTGGACTCCGGGAGGGTGCCTGCGATGAGCTAAACTGAAAGTGAGGATTGTTTAATAAAAACAATAACCTGTGGCGTACTTTACTTATTATGTCCCTTGCTTCCTTCACCTTTGCGATAAGAGCTGGAAGTTCGCGCCTGGCGAGGTCGTTCACTGCCTGGGCCCTGGAGTCTGGACCCCTGTTTCCTAGCCATAAAAAGGTCCCTACATGCACGGATACACGACAAACCAACATTTGGCACTTTTGCAATGCCAATTCCCATTTGATTATGGGCATCCAGCGAATACACACTCGCTGCCTGCATGGTAAGGGCTCGCCGCGCAGGGACGATGCATCACACACTCATGTCGTCAGCGACATGGACGCAGCGTGCCGCCCACGCCTTGCTGCACCAGGGCCAATCCTTGGTGATTCCAGTCCAATACCTGGCACTCGACCGGACGGTTTCTTGCCTATGCCTCCGTCGCAATGCGTCGCAATGCTGCCAATAGTGCCCCCCTTTTGGCCGACCCGTGCCAGAAGGCCCGGTTCTCAAGGCAGAGGCTACATGTAGGTGATTCTGGGAGGACATTGACCTGGCGCTCGTAGCGACTGGGAGAGCTTGGGTGCCACTAGCTTGAAGTTTGGCACGTTGAACTTGGACCAGAGGCTCACGACAACGGGATGAACTCCTGACATTCTGATGCCAAGGCTACCTTGCCTCGAACTGTATACAGGAACCAATAGCTACCACAGCTACCTATCCGTAGAGCTTACCAGAGGTACTACTCCGTACATGTAATCGATTATTCACCCTACATGTATCTATAATTCAAGGGCCCCACGACCCCGCCAGCTCCAGGTATCCCCCGGCTGCCCGGCTGCTGACAGCGTGCATCCAGCGCCACACCAGCCAATCGCCCAATGGCGCCCTTCCTCGCTGTCCGGGCGGAGCCCCTCGGGGGATCGCTTTAGCGAGAGCGGCCAAATAGACGGGGGCTAGAGTGCTAGACTGGGACACTACGACGGATTAGTCCAAGTTGGACTACATCAATTTATCAGCTCAGCCTGCTCAGGGCGTTTGTCACATATTCGTCAACCTCACCAACTGCCCACCCTCAACTGCTGTACCCGTCATGTCGTAAGTAATTTGTCAGTGGCTTTGCAGTAAGCAGCGCAGCAGATATGCCGCGAGATACTCAGACGCCAGTAGCTGTGGCGCATGTCGTCGAGAGCTGCGACTCAGGAATATATATAGGCGTCGTCCAGCCGCCTTAAAGACGACATCTCATCATCAGCTCAACCTAGTCACAATTCGCCTTCACTCACAATAAGCATCCAAACCCATCTAACAAATCATACCAAAATCTCCACCACCATGTCCAAGATCATCACTGTCTTTGGTGCCACCGGCAACCAGGGTGGCTCCGTCATCAACTCCCTGCTCAAAGACTCCGCCATCACCAAGGAGTACCAGATCCGCGGTATCACGCGCGACACCTCCAAGCCCGCCTCGCAGGCCCTCGCCGCCCGGGGTGTCGAGATGGTCGCCGCCGACATGTCCAGCGTCGAGGCCGTCGCCCCCGCCGTCAAGAACGCCCACACCGTGTTCGTGGTGACCAACTACTGGGAAAAGGCCAGCGCCGAGGCCGAGATTGCCCAGGTCAAGGCCGTCACCGACGCCAGCAAGGCCGCCGGTGTCCAGCACATTATCCACTCCACCCTCATCCACGTCACAAAGGCCACCAACGGTCGTCTCTCCCACGTCCTTCACTTTGACGCCAAGGCCGATGGCACAGAGTACATCCGCCAGAGTGGCGTGCCCGTCACGGCCTTCCTCCCGGGCTACTTCCTCAGCAACTTCTTCAACAGCTTCCAGAAGCAGACCGACGGCACGTATGCCGTCATGATGCCTCTCCCCGCCGACAAGAAGATCATCCCCACCTTTGACGCCCAGAGCGACACGGGCAAGTACGTCAAGGCCGCCATCAAGACCTTCAACGGCGAGTCGGGTCGCCAGTTCTACGGCGCCAGCGAGTACATCAGCCACCAGAAGCTCGTCGACGACTGGTCCGAGGTGATGGGCAAAAAGGCCGTTTTCAAGCAGATCCCCGCCGAGCTCTTCCAGAGCTTCCTGCCGCCGCAGATTGGCAAGGAGTTGACGGAGAATATGCTCTTGCTCGGGGATGTTGGCTACTACGAGGGTGCCAGTCTCGACGAGACCAACGCCCTGCTTGAGGAGAAGCCGACGACCTGGAAGGAGTTTGTGGTGGCCAACAAGGACAAGTTTCAGTAGAGTAGCCTAGCGTTGTTTAATTTGAGATGATCCTTATCTATCAGTTCTTCTGTCTGATCAGTGAAGTATTTAGGCCGCATTGGCTACGACAAGACCGGGAAGGGATAACATCGCCTAGGGTGGACCATAAAAGGGGCCTGGTGAAGAATACTTGAGTTTCTCCTTGCATCATTCTGCGTCTCATTGCGCTATCATGAATACATGTACATGCCCTTTTCCTCCTGGCTTTGAGTTTTCCGAGTGCATGTCACTGCAGTCGCCAGAGCCCTATCACAGCTCCAACTCGTTGGGGCTCTCGTCATCTTCGACAAAGTCGCCAAGGCGCTCCATGAGGTCCTCGACGGTCAGCTCCTCGAAAATCTCCTCAAACAGACTCTCCTCGCCATGCTTGCGGGGAGGAATCAGGACCTTGTCCAGCACGTGAATGACACCATTCTTTCCTGGTGCATCACGTCGAACAACGTTCGCGAAACCATTGACCTTGATGACGGTGAAGCCGGCAAACGTGGCCTTGTCCACGCCAATGTGTGCGCCACCCAGAAGCGTCTTGAGGTCAAAGTGCTCACGAGACTGCTCCTTGGCCTTGTCGTCGGTCTTGTCGTACACGGCATCCGTGTACAGGGTCACATTGGCGACAATGTGGTACTTGAGCAGGGCCTTGAGGTACTTGAGGCCCGTCTCGGTGTTGAAGAGGAAGGCGTTGACGCGCGGGCCGAGGCTGCTAAAGGCGCGGTTGGAGGGCGCAAAGACGGTGCTGCCGACCATTTTGACGCCGTGGATGAATTTGACAAACTCCGTCTTCTCGTAGGCGAGGAGGAGGGTCGAGAACTCGCCGGGGAAGAGGGTGAGGATGCGCCCGATCATGGGAGGCGGCACCAGGATGCTGCGGACGCCGTGGATGACACCATTCTTGGCGCCCTGATGTCGTTAGCTACAGTGATACATAATAGATCTTCAGGCAAAAACTTACAATGTCGACGGCCACGACCCTGCTGTAAAAGTTGAGGTTGACGCCGCCCAGACCAAGGCCGACGCGAAGTCGCTGGGGCTCACCACCAAGCCACTCTTCATCGTAGGCTGTGGGAATGGTGTCCGTGCCGAGGATGCGCTTCGCGCGATACTCGCCAATGCCAACGTGGTACTGGAGGAGGGCCTCGACGAATTCCTTGCTGGGCTTCTCATGGTCGTCGGGGATGTGCTCAAAGGCCTCGTCAATGGGCACAAAGAGGGTCAGGTTGTGGGACGCGTGCGTCGAGTTAAGCAGCTTGACGACATCAGGGTGCTCGTCGACAATCTTGGCGAATTTCTTGGTGTAATTGCTCTTGCTGATGAGTTCGTAGATGGTGTGGTCCCTGGTGTCGTGCTTGGGGGGGTGGTGGTGGTGGTGGTCATCGACGGCCTGAACGGCGTCATTGAGCTGAGTCTGGAACTCCTCCTGTAGCTCGCCGACAGTCTCCTTGACCGTCTCGAAGCCGGAGGTGAGGAAGTCGACGGAATCGTCAATGGCCGACTCGATGGCATCAGCAGCCGGGGCGAGCTTGTCCCAGAAGGTCGATGCCTCACCATGGTCGAGGGAGATGGGCGCCTGGGGCTCGTTGGCCGAGGATCCCGGCACGATGAGCATGGCAGCAGCGCCCGAGGCGAGGAAAGGCGTGAACTTCATCTTCAACAGTGTCCCTGGGTCAGTCTTCTGGCAGCCTAGCGAGATAAGGTGCAAGATTCAGAAGAAAAAAAAAGGAAACTTGGCCGTGCTGGCCTGAGATGCTCTGTATACTTAAGTAAGAACCATTCATTAGCCAGCATCATCACTCGTCAGCCCACACACCCCTCGGAATCCGAGAGCATCGCGTACGTATCCGTACGTAACGTACGTACGTCCATTACCAGCACACTCCAGCGCGCAGCGCCTACGTAGCACGCAACCACCACCCTCAGATCGTGCCATTACTGGCTGCGCCCAGTCCAGTCTCCTCCCTCGGGTCTGGTCAGTGCTGGAACCGAGATGTATGCGAGATACGGTGATACCCTCGACGCCCCAAACCCCCGCAACAGGTCCCTGTACCTTCTCAAACACCCGCGCGGGAGTGAAAGTCTCCGGACCATGCACCCAGTCCAGTCCAGTCTCCAGAGGAAGCGATCGTCAGCTGACGTCAACACCACGTTCACTGCGATTGTCCACCTCCCAGTGATGCGGTGACGGGTTTTTGGGTGAGCAGACGCTGAGAGGTGCACAGCCCAGCACTATCGCCAGCTGGGGCCCCTCTAGTCTAGACTTTAAATTACATGTATCTTAGCATCCAGTCTCGCAGCCCCGCAGTCGGACTGGGCGCCACATCTTGTTTTCTCAGCGTGCCTGGCAGGACAAGCTTTCTAGCTTGCGACAAAGACTGTCGGTCGACCACGAAAGACGACAGAACCCTGACGACCGATTGCTGCCGAAATGCATTGAGACGGAGACGAAGCAAACCAATATACATATCCACCTATATCATAAAGCACACCGCCCGCCAGCATCATGCTTCGAAAAAAAGAAGCCTACACCGTCGTCACGCCTATCCCAGGCTTCATCCCTCGCCAGCTCGCCATTGACATTCTCCAATCGCACGAGGAGGTCATCACCCTCAACCCGCTCGTCATCAGCCACAAGCCGATTCCCGCCCCTCGCGATGCCGCCGCCGACGAGTTCTACAGCACATGGTACGAGATCACCGAGCGCGTCCAGTTCGTCCCCGGCGTGGGGCGCCTGGGCAGCTCCAAGGTGACCTTTCGGGGCGTCTTCCACGACATGCCCTGGGGCCTGCAGACACACATGTACGTGCCGTTTGGCATCGATCTGCGGATACGGTATCGCATCGCGGGCAACCAGCCCGGCACGGAGGCGCCAGAACAGAGGGAGCTGGGCCTCGAGGCGCTAGGCGCGCCTAAGGACGGGCTGTACCTGCGGGAAGATATCGAGATCAAAGGCAACATTAGTGTCGTGGGCATGGTCAAATCGCAATTGAAAGCCGCCAGCAAGGAGATGGTTGACCGCATCATTCGTAAAGCTGAGCTCGTCGACGCTGGCGTGCTGCAGGCCATGATGTCCGAGGACGGCAAGCTCAAGACGATCAATCCCAACGACCGGTCCAAGGGCAGCCCAACGACGCCCATACACGCGGATGGACGTCTCAGCCGGCCGCAGTCCTATCAGCAGGGCTATGGCGGCTCTTCGCCAGGCCAGGTCCCTTATGCGCGACCCGCCACGACGTCCTCCTACGGGTATCCTGCCTCGCCCCAGCCTCACCACGAATCTCCCTACGCGACGCCAATGTCGCCTCCCCCCATCCCGCCCAAGCAAGCCGAGTCCCCTCAACTCATGGAGCTGCCTGGCGACTTTCAGCACGCGCCGATCCAGCCCCCTCTGGGCTCACCAGGGCCTAGCCCCCATGTCTATGCGCCCCAGCATTACCCCCCGCAGTCGGTTGCCGCAGAGATACAACAGCAGCAAAATGAATTGGACAATCGCTCGTCCTTTATAGCAGAGCTGCCTGCTGAGCAAGGGAAGTGATTGTGCGACATGTGCGCACAGGGTGACGAACGTTGTGCCCTTTTCCAAGAAATTTCTGGCGTTCCATTTATGATATCAGGGTGCGTTTTAGGTTTCTTCCATCGCAAGCAATTATTATTGGTGTCATCCTTGGCGCGTTTTGTTAGCGAAGACGAGTTAATGACATGGCAATGATCGTTTCTCCATTCATCAACCTCCATCAATCTACATTATGCGAAAGTCAGTGCATTGCTAAGCAACAGAATCATGGCCGATTTGCTTGCAAGATGCCTACTCACAGGCGCAGAATGACTGTCGGAGATGGACTTGATTGCCCGATTAGGAAAAAGGAGTTCGCACACCATTACCAACCAAAGGCTCTCAACTTTTGAACTTTGCCCCGAATTAGTCAAGCAAGATAGAATTTACTCTCACAGAAACTGGGATCATGTTCAGAAGGATCATTTCGGCCAGGAAGCGACTGTGCTGCTCCCGCTGGCGCTGTATCACCGTGGCAGAGACGGATATAAATGTGCCCTGCACTACACAGCTATAAAAGGCCAGTGATCCTCTCTGATATTGCCCTTTATTGATCAACATTGATTCGATTATTGACTAGGTACCAGAAACATATCGCCATGGCCCTCACTCGTGTGGCCATCATTGGACTGAGCAGCAGCACCGCCAACTCTTGGTCCAGCTTCGCCCACCTTGCATACCTCCTCTCACCCCAGGGCCGCGCACGATACAGCATAGCTGCCCTTTGCAACTCGAGTGTCGATGCTGCCCAGAGTGCCATCAAAAAGTACAATCTCGACCCTGCCACCAAGGCCTATGGCAGTCCCGAGGATCTCGCCAGGGACAAGGACATTGACCTTGTTGTCTGCTGCACCAGGGTCGACAAGCACTACGAGACAATCCTGCCCAGTGTCAAGGCGGGCCAGAATGTCTTTGTAGAGTGGCCTCTCGCGAATGGCCTAACTAAGGTGGAAGACCTCGTCGAACAGGCGAAGAAGAGTGGCAGTCGCACCGTCATAGGACTGCAGTCCCGCTACGCTCCAATTATTCTCAAGGTGCGAGAGCTGGTGTCGCAGGGCAGGGTTGGGAAACTTGTGAGCAGCGAGGTGCTGAGCGATGGGGGCGAGACGTTCTATCGCAGCCACGTTGCCCCCCAGCGGCTCTATCTGACCGATCTGTCCTATGGAGGGAACTTTTTTCACATCGGCTTGGGTCATTGTATGTCGCGGCACATCAAATGCGAAACCTGGCTAATCAACCTAGTGCTTGACGAAGTCGAGTTCGTCCTCGGAGACATCCAAGACGTTTACTCGCGTCTGCATAAGCAGCACCCCGCGGTCGAGGTGCGCGATCGGCAGACAAAGGAAGTCCTCGACACGGTACAGACCAACGTGCCTGATCTGATTCTGCTGAACGGGACACTACCGCAATCAGACTATGTCAATCAAGGCGCCACTGTTCATATGCGTTTCCGTAGCGGGAACCCGTTTCCAGGCGAACCCAGTCTGACATGGCTCTTTACGGGTGAGAAGGGCGAGATTCTTGTTCGGGCGGAAAAAGACTCTACTCTTGGGCAATTTGCCTACGACGGCCCGGTCACGCTCCAGGTGCGGGACTTTGCGACGAACAAGGTCGAGAAGGTGGCATGGGAGTGGGAAGAATGGCAGAAAGAGTTGCCCATGCCCGCATGGAACGTGGGCGCTGGGTACGAGGCGTATGCAAAGGGCGAGGACGTCCCAAGCTTCGAGGTGGCGCTCAAGAGGCATCAGGAGCTAGACGCGATCTTGTCCAACTGGGAGGGAGGCAAGAACAGATCTTTATAGAGCTGTCACGGCGCTCGTGGACGACATACTTTGATCCATTTGCTGATCAATTAAATATATACAGTGAAAATCGCTCGGGCATCAACGGGGACCCTGCGGTTTCCCCCCAAAACCATAGAAGCCAGTCCTCCAGTTCACAGCCTCGGGCCCAATCTTGCCCACGTCAGGGACACCAATGTTGCCAGCGTCGTAGGCAATCTCCGTCTTCAACAGCTCAATGGCCTTCTCCACGCCCTCCTGGCCAAACACGTTGGCGTACAGGAACGGCCTGCCGAGACCGACGGCCTTGACGCCAAGAGCAAGCAGCTTGAGGACGTCGGCGCCATAGCGAACACCACCATCGGCGTAAACCTCTATCTGCTCAAAGACCTCGGGCGCATCGGCGTGGATCTCCAGAGCCGTCTCGAGCGAGGACTGGGCACCGTCGACCTGGCGTCCACCGTGGTTGGAGAGGATGATGGCGGGCACCTTGTGCTCCACGGCGAGCTTGGCATCCTCGACGGATCCGATGCCCTTGAGGATGATGGGCAGGTCGGTCATGTTCCTGATCTTGTCGAGATAGTCCCACGAGTAGGCCTCGTACGCGACCACTGCGCTACCCACGTCGAAGCGGGCGGCGCGCTGCCTGTTGCCGTTGGCGGCCGAGTCGATGGTGAAGACGATGGCATCGGCGCCCGCGGCCTCTGTGCGGTCAAAGAGCGCCTGGGTGACCTCGTCGTCGGCGGCGGAGTCGAGGTAGAGCTGCTGGAAGACGACCTGGCCCTCCTTCTTGGCCGCGGCAATCTCCTCAATGGTCTTGGTGGCGTAGAGGGCGGGCATGTACAGGATGTCCTGGGCACCAGCCGCCTTGACGAGGTTCAACTCGGCATCGGGATGGCCGTACCCAGCCCGTGCCGCGGGTGAGATGAAGAAGGGGGCGGAGAACTCGTGGCCGAGGATGGTTGTCTTGAGGGTCTGGTTGACCTTGGAGATGTCGATCATGGATCGAGGTCGAAAGTGAAACTGGTGGAAGATTTCCAGGTTGTTGCGGTAACTCCACTCACCACCCGCTCCGTTGCGGTAGTAGGTGTAGTTCTCGACGGGGAGGTAGTTGCGCGCCGCATAGTCAAAGTCTGGGAGGCCAACCATGGCATCGAGTGGCGGGAGCTCACCGACCGCCAGATCAGGGAGAGCAAGCTCGATGCCAGTGTCGGGCTCGTTGAGGAAGGGTCTAGCCGCCCAGGCACCAGTGGCCAAAGCAGCGGTAGCAAGGACTGACTTGATCATGATTGTGGGAGAGGGAGACTGATTCCAACCAGGGAGAGTGGAAAGACGTGTGCTGGTGTGATGCGAAAGTGCGTCCAAGCGGGTGGACAGCCTCTTATTATAACATTGAGTAGCCCTGGGCACTATACACTTCGAGCACATATGCGTGCCAAAGTTTCCACTCGAATCACATCCGCTTGCGGGACAGGTATTCCAAGCCTTGTCATAGTGCAACCTCCGTTCCCCATTCAGTATCACGTCCCTAGTCTGTTCGTATCGCGCACGGCATGGTGGATACAATCAGGATCCGCCTTGGGATCCAACGACGGCATCAGACACATCAGGCAACACATCTAACACGTGAAAGCTGCCCAGACTCGGGCAGTTAATAGTGGACAACGCGCTGACATCCTAAGAGTTTCTTGGCTAGCCCGCTAGCAGCAGGTCTCATGAAGCTTGGCTCTAGCAAGGGTGGTCTGCTTTGCTTGCTTGTTTATGTGCAGTGATTAGGCAATGCTCACAAACACGCCTCGATTCGGCTCGGGGAGTTATGTGATGTGCTTGATTCGTGCATCCATGTAACCATGAACCATGTATCCTGCAGGAACGGATCATGGTCGAGCCATTCATCTGTCGAGGAAAAGTTTAAAACAGAGTTTCTACAAGGGTCTTGAAATTGCGTCCCAGTGTCAAGTGAGGCACTCGGAGGTCGGGTCTGACACGATGCGTTTGATGTTTCTACCGACGGAAACGTCCCACGAAAGTCATACATACTCGCATCCAAGCCATTGTCCCACAGGAAGTATAGACATCATCGCACCGTGAGATGACCACAGATCACATTCCAGCCTGTTCGCCATGTATGGCCTCTTGACGCGAGTCATCGGTTGGGTTCGGCTCGAGGAGGAGCCGGCCAGCCAAAACGATACAATGGGGCTTTCTTATCAATCAGCCAATGTGCCGGCGTCTTCCGTCACACGGAAAGTATGCTTAATCGGACTGCCGCTCTGGTCCAACTTGCCAAGTTCCTGTGGGCCCAGGAGCGAATGCTGTGATATTCCTCCACCAGCCATGTCACAGGTTGAGGGTGTTTCGGAGTGGCTGTGGATCGTGAATTTTTTTTCCTTGGACACGTGCAAACGTAAGTAGTCAAGACGATCAAACTTCGCGCAAACTTCCATGCGCAATCGGTCCGGTCAAATGTTATTCAATCTCATTAACTTTGGCTACAATGCTAAGTTCCTATTGTCACAGACTCCCAGCGCCGGGTGCGAACTATCCTTTGCCATGCTCTTACAACGCGCATTATAGGCAGCGTTTTGGGGGGGGGGGGGGGGGTTATCCTCCACAATCTCGTCCTCCCCATGGTTGATTGATTCTTGTTGTTGCTCGTCGCATTGATCGTCGAACAGAGCACTTAAGCACCCTCCTCGTCACCGATGCGGATGCGACCCTCGGAGCCCAGGCCGTTGGACCAGTAGCCGCCAATCTCGACGTTGGTCTCGGGGATCTTCCTGTGCGAGAGCAGCAGCCAGGTGCCAAAGACAGGCTTGGCCAGGATGTCGAGGATGGCGTAGGCAATAATCTCCGTGTCGACAGAAGCACGACGAGCGCCATCTGCAACGCCCCAGACACTGTTGCGATTTTAGCCAAAGATTCTCGTGCTGATGATTGAGACAACTTACATGGGGTAGGCGGTCCAGAGAATCAAGGTGAAGGCGGCGAGGCCGCCAAAGAGCTTGGACACGCGGTCACCCTTGGCGCGGACCATCTTGGCGCCGTGGACGGCGACATGCCAGACGACGAAGAGGTAGGCAATGCAGGCAATGGCATACCATCCCCACTTCTGGGCCGTGTGCTCATGGCCGTAGGCAGCGAACAGACCACCGAGGACCATGATGAGATCGGCGACAATGGCCATGAGGGTGTGGGCGCCATCGATACCAGCAAGGAGACACAGGTCGAGCAGCAGGAGGGGCGTGGTGATGCTCCAGTCGACGTAGCGGGCCCAGTAGACCTGGCGGCAGACGTCGTGGTGGGTGTCGGGGACGTGCTTGTGGTGGTCCTTGACGGAGACGCAGTGGTAGCTGGTGGCCTGGCCGGTGGCCATGGCAAAGTACGAGATGGCGGCCGTCAGGGTGATGATGGTCGTGATGACATGGTAGAGGCGACGCGCCACAGGGACGTTCCACGAGCGGACGGTGAAGACAATGGACGCGATGAGCATGACGACAAAGACGACCCAGAGGGTCTTGAAGCCGCTGTCGCCGGCACTCTGGAACTCGGTCGGCGTCGCTGCGAGCATGGTCAGCTGCCAGTGCACAGAATTGGAAGAGGCTAGGATCAATGGTACGTACGGATGACCGTGGGAATGGGCTTGATGCCATGGTCGCCGTGCTTGCCGAGGGTGTCCTGAATATTGTCAAACATGGTTGTGATATTTCCTTTCTTCTTGCTAAAATGGTGGGTGAGAGAGAGGATAATTAGACCGGAAACCATTCTACGGCACCCAGCAGGGACGAGCTGCCCTTTAAGGGACTGGGTTGGAGCTGGAGCTGGCCATTCCAGGGTGAGATGATGGACGTCATCCATTCATGATAGTATGACGGCCACGAACCTTCTCAGCCCAGCGCGGCCGTCTTCCCCGCAGTTACTGATCATGCGCAGAACAGCCCAGATCTTGGAACAGGTCACACATCCCAGCGGGGATCGGCTCGCTTCATTGGCTCGCTCGAGGCGAGCGAGCAGGAGTTGGCAACGTCAGAGTGACTGGACTTGACTGGACTGGAGTTTGTCAAGTAGAGTTTCAGACTGGCCTCGACCGTATGTACGTACGTACTAGTACTGTACTAACACTGAACTGTCGACCATCGGGCGATTGATTCATCATTGGTACTATAGGCGGGATTGGCCGATAGCTCCGGCGTGTGCTTGCTCCCAGGCTTGCTGGTTGGTCTGTGATCGTGTCTTGTACGGGGGGCTGTGCCAAGCGCGTACACTAGAGATCGGGGAATCGGCTTGGCGAGTGGAAGCGTCGGCTGCAGGGTTGGGGTTCTTGTTCCTCGTGTTCATCTACATACAATTGTCTATTATATCTACGCAATGTACAACAAGTCGTCCACGTCCACCACCTGCCCCGTCGCTATCGACTTGTTGGCCGCAATGCCCGTCAAGATGGACGCTGCACCGTCAACGTGGCTCGCCTGCAGCGCTCTCGCATCGTCGCCTGTGACGGCGCCAAACAGGTCCCTCAGCAGGAGCTCGTCACCCCCGCCGTGCGCGCCCTCACCATCCTGAATCTCGACCTCGACGGGCTTCTCAAACAGCCTCCTCAAAGTGACCGTCCGGCTCTCGAGGCTCCCCTCCGCTGCCTGTGAGCCACCAGCCGACACGTAGCTGTTCTCGACAACCTCGACTTCGAGCCTTCCGCCCGTCCCGTTGATGCTCACCCTGAACCCTTCCCAGGGCGCGTAGGCAGTGAGTGAGTACGTCAACGACGCACCATTGCGGTATTTGACGAGGACGCTCATCGTGTCCTCAATGTTGATCCCGTCGCCAAACACACTTTGGTCGCGATAGTACCCATCCTCATGCTCGGCATCTAGATAGAGGGCCTTGAGCTGCTCATTGTCCTTGAGATGCAGCGCAAACGGATCGTCCTTGGCGCAGGCACTCCCGTGCGCCCGCGAGTAAAACTCCTTCTTCCCTCTGCTCTCCGCGTTCTCCTTGCCGTAGAACTTGAGGTCGCCCTGCGCAAACACCGTCTTGGGCCGGCTCTGCAGCCAAAAGTTCACCAGGTCAAAGTGATGCGTCGACTTGTGCACGAGCAGCCCCCCGCTGTTGCGCTTGTCGCGATGCCAGCGACGGAAGTAGTCCGCGCCGTGGCTCGTGTTCAGCATCCACTCAAAGTGCACGCTCGTCACCTTGCCAATCGCGCCCGACTGGAGGACCTGGTAGATCTTGGTGTTGTGCGGGGCATAGCGATAGTTGAAGCTCACGCGCACCTTGCCGTTGGTACGCTCGACGGCGCGGAGAATCTCGTTGCACTTGGGTACGTCGACCGTCATGGGCTTCTCACTCAACACCGTGCACCCCAGCTCCAGGGCGCGGACAATGTACTTGTGGTGTGTGCGGTCCACGGTTGTGACAATGATCTCGTCTGGCTTCGTCTCGGCAATCATCTTGTCATAGTCTGACGCGAGATACGTTGGCACCTCTGGGTAGCCAAGGGCCTTGATTCTTGAGTTGGCATAGTCGAGGCGGGTCTGGTTGGTATCGCAGAACGCCACGAGAGACGATGTGTCTTTGTATGTCGTGACGATGGCCGTGTAGAAGAAGATGGCTCGGCTGCCCGTCCCAATGAGGGCATACTTCTTGGGAGAGGGCGCCATCTCTGGTCTAGTCTGGTCTGGTGATACCGATGCTGTATTCGCCCGGCAATTGCAGCGAGCGTCTGGTCAACAGAAGGGACGTGTTAGAGCATAATTTATATGAAGACTCACGCTCGGTGCCTTTTCCCACGTTACCGAGAGGCTGGACCTTTCGCTCGTTCTTGCCTGCGTGGATGCGGAGAATGGGGCTCGCGGCGTGGGGTAGATAATTGAGGCCCGATCCAAGCAATTGGCCACGGGTGATTGAAGCGAGGATGGCCGTTTCGTTGTCGGCGACGCCAAAACCTATCTCTTCGGGTGTAATTTCCCTCCAATCATGCTGAGCAGAAGGTGGTGGCGATAGCTTCAAGAAGGCGTGACACCATCTAGGGTAGCCTCATCCTTTTGTGGTAAGGTCGAGCCATCCAAGTGGAATCGCATCGCCAAAATAAAGATGCCATTGCTCAGAAGCGTCCATGTCAAAAAAAATTAAAAGACCCGTAGGAGTGCAGAAGAAGACTCGCGAGATCATGAGAGCAAGCAAAAGCATGGAAGTAAATTCGCGAACAAAAAAAAGGAAAAAAAAACGACATTGGCCTGATTCGAACAGACGCTCCCGAAGGAACAAGATTTCTAGTCTTGCGCATTAGACCACTCTGCCACAATGCCTTATTGGATGAGAGATAACGAGTAGATTGCATTTATACCCCGCTGCGCCGGCTCTAGATGCAAGCACCCTCAACGGCGTCATCGCGCTGACTCGTGCGACAACGCGCTCGATTGTGGAATGGACAACATCATTTTCCATCTGACATAATCTCGCACTCATGGCAAGGCACGTCGCTACTCAACTGCAGCCGTCCACCGCCGCGAGCCGAGTCGTCTAGTCACATCTTGATTTCGTTAAGACATCATTTACCCGACACTGACTTGGTCAGCCGCTCCCAACAAAGCTCAGCATCGCGATTCACCCCCAGACTCGTGAGCGGAAGTGGTGGATCACGCGTGTCAGTTGACCCCACGCAACCACCACTTCCTGCACGGTCGAGATCCCATGCCGACCATGCCAAAGGACGATCGGGTTCTGCACGCCATGAAAGCCTGACGTCTTCTCATCAATACCGGTCGCCTGGCTTAGCTATGCTTTCCTCTTTATCTCTTCATCGAACCTCTTGAGCTTCTACCTTGAACCTAATAGCTACCAAAGTTAATTGAATCTCTGCCACACCGTGCCTCGGCTCAGCGCACGGATTCTGGCGACCCCACGTACGATCGGACTGGCTGGGCGCATGCACACCGACAGGTCTCTACACAGAGAACCATGGCACTGGCGTGAAGGCCACATCATCCAAACACGAACAATTAGAACCCGAGTAGCTAGTTACTCCTCTACACGAAGGCCGGGAAGCAGTCACGATGGCTGACTTGCTCGTCCCGGCGTCCTCGTCGCCTGCAGCACACTTCAAGACCCTGCTGCATTCGTCCACGCCTCAAAGTGGTGGCACGCAGACGAAATCGTTGCGGTCCTCCAAATCCACACCGATCCTCCGCGACGGTTATCAGGGAGCCATTCTTCGAACCGTCGAGGGCGTCAACAACCTGCTGCTGTCGTGGAAAGATGGCTTGTCTCCGAAAGAGCGGGAGGAACGACGGGTGCGCGAGCAAAGGCGCCAAATTCTGTGCGAGCGCATGAAAAACGCCGACACTCTGGAGCATTGGGACGCGGCCGCCAGGGAGCTGGACGAGCTGGAAGGCAACGATCTGTGGAAGCTGGCCGATGCGACCCCCAGCGAGAGCTACAACCCAGGGCTGATCGCCGACCGTTTAGCACAGCTGGAGGACGCTCGCACCAGCAGCGACATTCACCGGATGATGCATCTTGTGCGAACAGCGCTGTCTCGAGACCTCGGCGGCATGGACGACGTGGACCTCTATCGGCATTCGTACGTGGGTACTAAAAGACTTATTGAACGGTACGTCGAGTCGGCGTTGGCGACAATCGACACAATCGTCACGCAGAGCACCTACGACAAGTCATTGGAGCTTCGAGGCCTCCTCGAGGGTATGCTTTTCGCGAGGCAGAGCTTTGGACGCAGCGCGCTGCTGCTGTCGGGGGGCGGCACCTTTGGCATGGCCCACGTTGGCGTGCTCAAGTCACTCTTTGAAGCCAAATTACTGCCTCGAATCATATCAGGCGCCAGTGCCGGCAGCATCGTCTGCGCAGTTACCTGCACTCGTACTGACGAGGAGCTGCCTGACTTGATGCGCGAGTTTCCCTATGGCGACCTGGCAGTGTTTGAGGATCAGGACAACAGAGACGGCATCCTGGGCCACCTTCGCCGACTCTTGACCGAGGGCAGCTGGTCCGACATCAAGCATCTCACCCGAGTGATGCGAGAGTTGACGGGCGATATCACCTTTCAAGAAGCCTACAATCGCACACGTCGGATTCTCAACATTTGTGTCTCGACCACCTCCATCTACGAGCTGCCCCGGCTGCTCAACTACATCACTGCGCCAAACGTGATGATCTGGTCAGCCGTGGCGGCATCGTGCTCGGTACCACTCATGTTCAACGCATCACCACTCCTCGTCAAAGACCCCGCCACTGGCAAGCACTCCCCTTGGAACCCCTCGCCCCAACGGTGGATTGACGGTTCCGTCGACAATGACCTGCCCATGACGCGGTTGGCCGAGATGTTCAACGTGAATCATTTCATCGTCTCGCAGGTCAACCCTCACGTCGTACCGTTTCTCTCAAAGGACGACTACCTCTCGCCAGAGAGCCGCCACCGCTCCAAAGCCGGCGCGCGAGACGACATGGACTGGATGTACACCCTGACCACCCTCGCCAAGGAAGAGGCTCTGCATCGGTTGCAATTCCTCGCCGAGCTAGGCATCTGGCCGAACCTGGTCACCAAGTTCTGGGGCATCCTGAGCCAGCGATACTCAGGCGACATCACCATCCTGCCAGAGATGAGCCTGCAGGATCTCCCCAACCTGCTCACCAACCCCACGTCCGATTTCATGCTACGCTTGTGCCACGCTGGCGAGCGTGCGACGTGGCCCAAGCTAAGTCGCATCCGGGACCGCTGCTCGATCGAGATGGCTCTCGATCAGGCTGTACACCGTCTGCGGGCCCGTGTCGTGTTCTCCGAGGGCGGGCAGGATCTGCAATCGCAGCATCAGAGCTTTGGCAACCTCCTGCGTCGTCACAGCGGTAACAAGGCAAACACGCGGAGCCGTCGCCAGTCAGGCGGAAGTCTCCTGTCCGTGGCAAACCGTCGCGCCCTGCTGGAAGATGGTGCCCACGCGGACGAAGACAGCACGCGAGAGCCGTCCGCCGATTCGCATCACCCAACACTGAGACGTGCCAGTAAGAGCCACGTCCAAGTGAATCAGTACAAGCGGCCGAGCACAGCGGAGCGAACCCAATCATTCACGTCATCGGTCCATGCGCCCAAAGGTCCCCTCAAAGGAATGGGGGCATTGAATGGGACGTCCCCAAGGCCGGAGGCCAGTGTCGCGTTCCTCACCTCGACGGAGGATGTCGACACCAGTGAACCAGGGCCTTCAAGTGACCTGGACATTGGCGAACCCTCGACGGACGAAACCGATCTGGAGCATTGGCCGTCCACGGACCCGTATGGACATTTGACGATGAAATGTTGAATGAGCATGACGAATATAGAGTGCTAGCATTTGTACATATGGTTCCCCATTAAGCTCACACGTGCCCGTGATGTTACATCCTGTTGCCCATGTTCACATGCACCGCCTTGATCTGTGCGTATGCTTCCAACCCAGCCTCTCCTAGCTCGCGCCCTATCCCACTCTGCTTGACGCCGCCAAATGGGACGCGAGGATCGCAGTCCTGCGTGCTGTTCACCCAGACCATGCCGCTCTCCACCTGCTCCGCGACACGGTGCGCTCGCTCCAGGTTCTGCGTGAACACCGCAGCGCCCAAGCCGTATGCGGAATCATTGGCCAGCCTGATAGCCTCGGCCTCGTCATCAAATGGACACATGACGACCACAGGTCCGAATACCTCCTCGCGCCAGATCTTGGCTGTGGGCGGCACATCAACAAACACGGTGGGTTGGACAAAGTATCCCTTCCCCGAGCCGTTGACGTCCACCTTTCCACCACCTCCCGTTGCAACCTTGGCCTCCTTCTTGCCATGCTCAATGTACTCCAGAACCCGGTCCAATTGCTGCTTGGTGACCTGGGGACCCTGATATGTGGACTCGTCCCACTGAAGGCCAACTTTGCTGGTCTTTTCCACCTCCTCGACAAAGCGTTGCACGAATCTCTCGTAGACATCCCTCTGCACAAGGATACGGGACGTGGCTGTGCAAATCTGGCCCTGGTTGGACATGATCCCCATGTGCGACCACTTGACAGCCTGCTCGAAGTCGCAATCACTAAAAACGAGCAGCGGTGACTTGCCGCCTGTCTCGAGGGTGATGTTCTTGAGCGTCTGCGCTGCCATGCTCATAATCTGCGTGGCCGTCGCCGTGGACCCGGTAAAGGCGACCTTGTCCACGAGAGGGTGCTGCACAAGGGCCGGGCCAGCCTCCTTTCCGTGGCCGTTGATAAAGTTGACCACGCCAGGCGGGAAGCCCGCCTCCTTGAACAGCTCGCCTAGCACGAGGATGCTCAACGGGGTCTGCTCCGCCGCTTTGAGGACGACTGTGTTGCCGCACGCCAGCGCTGGGCCGAGCTTCCACGTCGCCATGGCCAGCGGGTAGTTCCAGGGGATGATCTGCGCGACCACGCCCACGGGCTGGCGGAGGGTGTATGCGAATTTGTTGGGTATGGAAATGGTCTGGCCATGCACCTTGTCCGCCCATCCGGCGTAGTACCGCATGACGCCAACGGCCTCGGTGAGATCACCGTCCAGTGCGTCGTGGTACGTCTTGCCGTTGTCCCAGGCGTCAATGGTGGCAAAGATGTGCTTCTTGGCCTCGATGAGGTTCGCCAGCTTGTTCATCAGGACCCCTCGATCGCTGCCGGACATTATCCTCCAAGGGCCGTTATGGAAGGCATCGTGCGCGGCTTGCACGGCGAGGTGGACTTCGCTTTGGCTCGCTGCTTGCACCGTTGTGATGACTTGCTCCGTACTGGCCTCGCGTGAGTTGGCGCTATCAGGCGCATACGGGACACGACTTACGCTGGGTCAACGGAAGGGATGGCTTGAGCTGTGCCATTGACGAATTCGTTGTTAATGAACAGGCCAGTAGGTTGCGCCCAAGATCGCCCATTGGGAGCTCTCAGCTCGACCGACGTCGCGCCATTCAGAAGCGCGGCGCGTCCGCCCGTGGAAGATCCGGAGAAGGCAGCGCGCAGTGACTGAATGGGGCGGTAGATTGAGTTTCGCATGAGAAAGGACGGCAGAAATGCGGGAATTGATGTTGCTGGACAAGGCGAAGTACCATGAGTTCTGCGAGGAAGCCGAAGCTCAGCGTGAGCATCGGTGGTCGCTCAGTGTGGGGTGAGTCGGGTGAGTAAGATGGGCGGCACTGAAATTGATGGGAAGTGAATGTAGGCATTCTTCGATCAAGTGACATCGGAAAAACCACTGACATTTCGTCAGGATTTAATGATTTTGGCGTATACAACAAATGTCTATCTCTAGATGTCCCTTTACCACTGTTTCTTACCTCGTCGCTGATCGCCTCCTACTGCTCAGATAGCGTGGTTATAAATACCCTCGTCTTTTGTCGCAAGACCAGGTTCCAGAGATGGCCAGCGCTGCGATGCCTCGTAAATGGAACATGGTTTGGCCTCTCAAGAGCAAAAGGCTCAGGCCCCTTCCCAAGGATGAATGACATGGACCTCCCCCAACGCCTTCTTCAGCACCAGTACCAGCGAGTCGATGCTAGACAAGAGCTTCAGGTAGGACGACAGTGCCACGCAGTACCTCCTATACTCTGCGTCCCGCACCAGGGTGGTATTCAGCATGGGCACACTATTCTTCAAGCGCCGCGACTCATAGAATCGCCTGACGAGCGGTGTGGGCAATCTCTCCGGCAGGGCGCATCCCGTCCTGAGCGCCTGCTCGATCAAACTGAGAACAGCCATGACATCGCCAATAGTTCGCTCCTCCTGGAATCCAGTGATCTGACTGAACCGTTCTTGGAGCTCATTTGGCATTGAAGTGGACAGATTGAGGAGCCGCCGCAGTGCCTGGTTGACATGCTCTAGCTCTGTCTGCGCGTCTCGAAGGACAACCCGATCGAATGGCGTGAGAGATATTTCATACTGCAAGTAGGCTATCGAGCCGCTCAGTGAGAGTAAAGTATCGGCGACCGTGATGGAGATTTCCTCTGCTACAGCGCCCAAAGGGCTTTGTAGATCGGCATGGCCCCAGTGTGACAGGAGCAGCGCGTAATGGTCCGCCAGTGTCCCCGTGGTGTTCGACAGAGTATCACACACGTGCCGCGTAGCAGACGGTGGTTTTGGGAAGATCTGGACGACGGTGGCTACTAAACAGCCGATCAACACACCTGTCAGTCGCTTCCAGAAAGCCTGGTAACCAACTCCAGGAAGGCCATAGAGTCGCAAGTGGTGCATGTCGTAGCTGAATCCGATAACGAGACAGAATGTGACACCGAAGAGGATCGTCGCCTTGACATAGACAGGGGGCAGAAAGATACGCAGCCAGAGAACGATGGGCAGGACGACCGCTGAAGTAGCAGCCAGTCCATAGGGATTGCCTGTTCCGTCCCCAGAGCCAATGTACCAGACCAGCATGCCAAGTACGCCCCCTGCGATGGTACCCACGACCCTAGTGAGGAGGGAGAAGGTGAAGTCGCTCATGTAGGTGAGAATGCATAGTTGTGCGGTAATGACCACCCAGATGCCCTTTTCGCGGTAGAAAAACCCGGAAGAATGCGGGATGACAGAAATAATCGCTGTGACCAAGGTCACCACGACCATCCGTAGAGCGAACATGCCCGACACGCCAAAGAGCCAGTCCCGGCTTTTAATGATGGCTCGCGTGACGGGACTTCTCCGGGCACTGGCACCCTTGTATCCCCTCACCAGTCGTAAGCGCCTGTATGCCTCCTGAGCGTGGTCCCCGATAGCACCATCGTCCGCGTCGGGGTCAGCACGCTTCGACGTCTGGGAATCATCAACCGCGTCAGACGAGTTCAGACTGGGGGCCGAGTGCTTCCCAAACAAAAGCCACGAAAGCGCATATTGAAGCTTCGAGGGCCACCAGAGTCGATGCTCGGTCCGCAGTTCCATCAAGCGCAGGATGAATTCGAGGAGCTGCTGCGTTCGTCTTGCTGTGTTCAGAATGCGTTCCTCGAGGATCATGCCCAGCACGATGCCCCTTAGATTCGGCATATGCATGTCATCCTGTTCTTTGAGCTCTCCACTTTCGTCAAACAAATCACTGTGCGCCTCTATTATGCCTTCCGTGACGTCCACCACGCATTTGTCTGTAGTACGCTTTATTGTAGCAATCATGTCGCCCAGCTCGCTTTGCAACTCGGTGAATGTCTCCTTCGAAGGCACTCTGAGCCATCGACAGGAGTTTACGGACCTGAGACACCGCACTGCCAAGGTGATGGATTGCGATGTGACTGAAAACACCTCGCTTGCTGGATTTCTTAGTAACTCAAAAGCCCGATGATGCCTTCCGTCCACTTCCGGATCTCTGAGTGCATACATGAGTTCAGCGGTTTCAGAAAGCTGTCTGTGTCCTGCTTTGTGATGATCGTGATGATCGTGGTCGTGATCCTGTCGGTACTTCTCGAATTCGACTTTTTGCTCTGCTGCGTGAGCCCAAGTGATATGGAGATCGAGGAGCGAGAGCCCCGCCACCATCGCCTCTCTGATATGACCATACAAAGCTCTCACATCGCCGGTGTTCCATCGTCCCCGGGACATGTCGAGAGGAAGGAAAGCGACAAGCGGCCCGATGGATTTGTACAGCGAGACCATTTTCAGACGCGTGGCTCGGAGTTCCTCCATGGGCAGCTCTTCATCTTGAAGACCTCTCCTTGTCAGCTCGATAGGCTTCTGCATGAGACCGACGAGTTTTCCGAGAGAGTCGAGTACCGCGTATGAAGTTGATTGTGGGAAGAATAGCAGGCAGCAAGTCGTGCCCAAGGCAGTACCGATTGCGCCAGGCTTCACCAGAGTGACTGCCAAGTCAGCCTTGTATGATGGCAGGCCCGGACCAAACAGAATGAAGAGGTCCATAGCGATAGTCCCAAACATTTGGAAGAAGAAGAGCTTCGGGTTGGCGCATCGCAGGCGTGCCAGGACATAGATGAAAAGGAGTCCCATCACAAAGAAGACGGCAGTGACCTTTGCGTTCAGAAAGTGCCCGTCGTGGACAAGTATCTGCGCTTCCCATGCCGGATCCTGGCCCGACCTCCGAGCGGCTTCCGCAGCTTTTGTCTGCAAACTCGCCAGCAGAGCCTGCATTTCAGACTCGGACCGCACAGAGAGGCCACACTTCATGACAAGAAGACCCCATGCCCAGGCAGCACACATCCCCAACAGCAGGGAGAATGCTTGGAGGATATACACAAAGAGTATGTTCGCCGGTGGGATGACCAACAACACAAGCGTACTGAAAAAAGTCGCTTGGCCAATGTTGGTCAAGGCCGGCTGGATGAAGATCAAAAGAATGGCCACCCAAGCGGCCACCCAGCAGCGAAACAGTATCTTCATGTCATGAATGTTGAAATGATCCAGCCATGCCGGCAGCGCCCGCTTTCGCGATGCGGAGGCTGCGGACGACACAGGCTTGACGCCCTCGGGGCTCGAGTCATGGCGAGACATTGATCACTTGAGCATGTCGCGAGTGAGTGAGCTCTTGGATACACGTGTTGGCCAGTATGGAGATGTCAATGTCGCGTCGCGCGCTTCGACAGTACAGTATGAGGTCATAATGGCAGCGCGAAATAAGGTTTGACGGAGGGTCGGACACAGCAACTAGGAGCGATTGAGTCCTCGTGGGCGCACAAACACAGCCTGCGTTCTTTGCGAAATGTAGCAGAGTGTTCAAGCATAGACGATCGGCGGATGGGGTACGGGCACTTGTGGTAGTGCTTTTGAATGTCGGGACCTCCCTCACCTCGCCGTAAGATGGATGCAAATTGATACACTCCGTGAAAACAACGCGTCAAAGACTTAGGAAAATGTGTAGGCTATATAATTGACAATAACAACACAACTTTCATCAAATTGGCCGCATGGCCTAATGGTTAAGGCGCTAGATTTCGGCTCCGATTCGTCATCTCTAGAGATTCCAGGTTCGACTCCTGGTGTGGTCGTTTCTTTTTGCTTTTGTTTCCGTTACATAGAAGATCAATTTTCCTTGCCTCACTTTTTGTGAACATCCGTTCTATTTCATTCGGTCTTTTCGTGTTGCTCTTTTTTCTCTATTAGGCTATTAGACGTTAATAAGACATGCCTTATGTGAGTAGTCCGCTTTGCGGGTTTAGTATTCACGACCTGTGATGTTATTATTAAAAGGTTAACTCGTGGGTGCTTTTCCAGTTCCAGCAATAACATGGGAAAGGGGAATAGATTTTTGCATATACACGAAGATTCAAGTCACTCGCTGATCTCTTGTTACTCGAACCGTTACAATGAAGCATAGAAATTCAACAATGCCACCTGCCTTAAAGTGAGAACCAGTGAGTACAGGGTGGTTCGCTGAAAGCACCGTCAAGGCTTCGGCCACGTGGGAGGCTGGAGCGAGACAGATCGACAAAGCCCACGCCTTCACCTCCAGCCCAGTCCTTCTTCATTGGTAAGCCATTTCCTGGCGTCTGCTGTCTTCAGGCACTCTGAGTAGGCCGGGTCGGGAGCTCTCGATACAAGCACGACAGGCCGAAAGCCGGCCCATCGGCACATCTTAAGGTGCGCTCCACCCTAGCTCGACGCGAACCTAAGGCAAACCATCCACCTTTGTTAGACCAGGAACCCATGTCTTGAAGACAGAAAGGACGGCGGCTATCGGACGACCCAATATTGCGTCAAGACATCGAATGATGGCTTCACTACTCGGCCCGCATCAAGCGCAGGCCAATAGGTGCCGCGGGGCAGCACGCAATCCCGCCAGCTAGACCCCTTCCTGAGAGTTGATGGCAACCGCCGGAAGCTGGTGAGGGGCAAAATGGAAGAAGCTCGAATCGCGGGGTCCAGTGGCCCGCCCCCAAGACGCGTTCCATGGTGAGATGATGTGATCGACCTTGGCTGCGCTCATTGTCGTCCCCTTGGAAGGTATAAAGAGCTCGCACACACAATCCGCCTCTCCAGTGTCCTTCCTTTCCTCCACCAGTCTCTCTGTCCTCCCCAAGAAAGTCATCACCAGATTCATCAACATGTCTCAGCCCGCCCCTCTCCGCCTCGGCAGCGTCGCGCCCAACTTCCAGGCCAAGACCACGGCCGGCGACATTGACTTTCACGAGTTCATTGGCAACAACTGGGTCATCCTCTTCTCGCACCCCGAGGACTACACCCCCGTGTGCACCACCGAGTTGGGCGCCTTTGCCAAGCTCCAGCCCGAGTTCGAGAAGCGCGGCGTCAAGCTGATCGGTCTCTCTGCCAACACCATCGAGTCGCACGAGGGCTGGATCAAGGACATTGATGAGGTGACCGGCGGCAAGGTCACCTTCCCCATCATTGGCGACAAGGAGCGCAAGGTCGCCCTGGCCTACGACATGTGAGTAGTAATGCCGGTTGCGGCACGGGTGTCATTGCTAACGCGAGGCTAGGATCGACCACCAGGACGCTACCAACGTCGACGAGAAGGGCATTGCCTTCACCATCCGCTCCGTCTTCTTCATTGACCCCAACAAGAAGATCCGGACCATCCTCTCCTACCCCGCCTCTACCGGCCGTAACGCCGCCGAGGTCCTCCGCATCATCGACTCTCTCCAGACCGGTGACAAGTACAAGATCACCACCCCTATCAACTGGGTTCCCGGTGACGATGTGATCGTCGCGCCGTCGGTCAAGAACGAGGAGGCCAAGGAGCTGTTCCCCAACTTCCGCATCGTGAAGCCCTACCTGCGCTTCACTCCCCTTCCCAAGGCGTAAGAACGGAAAACGGAAAAAGAAAAGCGAAGACGGAGTTTGCGGAGGAATGACACCTGAGGCGTGGCCTACCATACTACATCTATGTCGTTACGATAATAATGAGCACCATTGAGAAAGCCACTCTTGACACGAAGCCTCGGCTTGCATGCCTCACGGCTGATTTGACGAGCACCGGCGGTAATTACTTGCGGTCGTAATCAGAAGCACGGATATCAAGGTGCGTTCGCAGGCATGAAGCGTGGCCGTACGTAGTACGTACACCGCTCTCGACGATCCACGTGGCGGGTCTGAGAAGAGGGACTCCAACATGGAACCGGCGTTAACGGCTTGGTCCGTACGTAAAGTACCAGAAAGATTCCAGAATCCACAGTCAATGGCCTCGTTCCTATAATCACGGGTGATGTAGGACTAGGACTAGATCACTGCGTCATATTCACGTTCTCATCTCCGGCATGTTTCAAGTAGAAAGGGGCTCACGGGTATACGCGGAAACCAAACACGATCTCACAATACCGAATTCGCACCTGTACCACCAGCGTGGTTCTAATTGCACGTCCGAAGCCGAAACTTGAAAGAACCAATTCTATGTAACGGGCGCGGGAGATACTATGCCACACCCCTGGTCAGATATTGACAAGCTTGGCACCTATGGGAGGCTCACCTCCACGTTTTTCGTCCACGTCTTCCATGTCACACGATAATCGCAATTAAAAAGCTCGGCTTACTGGGGTCTGCCTGTTTCATTTCATTCTTCAAGTTTCCTGCTCAAAGCCTCAAACGGACAGGCATCTTCTCACACAGTCGCCAGTAGGAAAACGTCCCCCAATCCCCGCTAGCCTATTTCGGTCTATTTTGTGGCTTGTTACCAGAACGCCTTTTCTGTGGGCAATTGTGGTGCTGAAACGTGGCACCTCACTAACAGTGCTCCATCAATCCATCTCCACTGGCAGTCTCCTGGACAGCCTGACCCACCCTTCACCGCGCTGAGGAGCTGGCCCTGAATTGGACCACCGCAATCATTCGGCGCTCAAGCCTCATGCGGTTCTCTTTGCAGTGATTGATTATCCCGACGCAGAACAAGGCGTAAACGGTGAGCGACCACGGTGCCCGAAATACGCCCTCATTCTTGCCAGCCAGGGTTGGCTTTGATCGTCAGGCCCGACCGACCGCTCCCCAGCCAGCGACTATCTACCGAACAATCCAGAGGATCACCACGTAGTTGCGATCAGCGCCTGCGAAAGAACAAGGCCCCATTGTGCTCGATACCCCGAGAACAGTCTGCCCGCAGATTGACCTGGCTTTCCGCGTACATCGAGCCTACATCAGCCCGCAATCGAGACGGTACGTACAGCCCGTCTTATGTTCACTGTACATTGTTGGGCTTTGGGACGTGCCAGCGCACGAGACAAGAACGACAAGAATGAATCCATACGGCAGAGATCTTACAGACTTCTCTCTATAAGAACTTAAGAAGCAAGGACTGGCCTGGCGGCCCTGCACCGGCCTGCGGTCCCCGGGCCCCAGCTTTGACCCTGGTGAAAAGTGACACTTGACAGCCTGACAGGCCCAGTGGTCAAGTGGCGGGCCCCGGACCCTCCCTCTGGGACGTATGCTGGGACTGGTTTCTGGGAACCTGGAATTCAAAGTCCAGTCCCGGGAAACGGACTGAGCCTGTCAGTGCAGCAACTTGGCGTGGCTGAAGTGCAGCCATCAAAAGTTCAAAACCTTCGTGGGCTGCGGATTAGGTACAGGTCGTACTATACCGTACCGTCCTGACTACCGCCGCCTACCTGCGTGCCTGCCTGCCACCGCCGCATTCTGCTGGCCAAGTCACCGGTCGCCTCTGGTCTCGTTGCCCACTTGCTTGTCAGGAGGAGAATTAAGAATGGTGGCATGCATGAGCCCATGCTCTGCTTCCTGCCTCTTCTAGCTCTCCCTCTCTTTTTTCCCAGTTTCGCATTTCCATTTGCGTACGCGGCGGACCAAACATGTCGCAGCTAACCAACCAGCAGCAGCAGCAGCAGCAGCAGCACTCTGCGTATGCGGCACATCCGACGACCGACCTCTCCCACTTCTCCGACTCGGAGCACGAACAGGACAGCGACGACATACCTTCTCTCTCCTCGGGGCGATACACGCCTGACATCTTCTCGGGCGTTTATCGCAGTTTCAAGAAGTTCCCCACGGGGAAACTCGGTCGGAAAACGTCGCGCCTCAATCTCAAGAGCAGCAACGACGGCGGTAGATCGGATTCGCCTGCTGACGGCGATCCCCGCGACACATCTCCGCAGCATTCGCAGCTACAGCATGCGAGACATTTGAACCAACAGCGCCAAAAACCCCTTCCCGAGCCGCCTCGAGCGTCCAGCCCCGTCGCAAACGAACTCCCCAGCCATTTCGAACGCTTACCCGAATCGAGGCTCGATTATCGACCATTCAATCGCGCCATGGGGGACCACCAACCGTCTCACCAGCAGCAGGTGGACATGAGCAGCAGTGTGAGCAGTCTGGCGAGCCTGAGCAGTTCACGGACAGATGGAGGTTCTGGAGAGGAAGAGACACAACAGCAGCTTGGTGCCTCGAGGAGCAATGCAGGCACGCCTGGTCCCTCGCCACAGGGCGCCCAGAGGTCACAGCAGCCCTCGAGCGGCGCCAACAATCCAGGGTCAGCGCACCTTTCTGGGCTGATGTGCAATGTGCATCGGACCACTGGTCGCGAACCTCGTCCCTTGGTGGGCGCCACGACAACTGTCCTGGGCGATAAGCTGTACGTCTTTGGTGGCAGAATCCTGTCCAGGAGCCGGCCTGCTCCCTTGACCTCGGACTTGTACGAGCTCGATCTTATCCGCCGACACTGGACGAAGCTCGAGACATCGGGTGATGTGCCACCTCCCCGATACTTCCACTCCATGTGCGCTTTGGGTGATACCAAGATGGTGTGCTATGGTGGCATGTCGCCTGTGCCGAACCAGCCGCCAATCACCGATGCTTCACAGCAAGCCGAAGTCACAATCATGTCGGACATTTATGTGTACGACGTGAACACGCGAAAATGGACCTTTATACCGACCCAGGACCCCCCTCAAGGCCGCTACGCCCACTGCGCTTGCATCCTGCCGTCGTCTGCCACCTTCTCTTCGCACCGCGCCCCTTTTTCGGCACTGCAGAACAACCCTTCTTCCAACAATCCCAATGAGGGCCGCATTGGCGTGAACATTGATGGATCAGGCGGCTCAGAGATGATTGTGGTGGGTGGCCAAGACGGATCGAACCATTACATTGAACAGATCAGCGTCTTCAATCTTCGGAGTCTTAAATGGACATCAACACAGCCTCTTGGGAAGAGCTGCGGCGCCTATAGGAGTGTCGCCACACCTCTGCCGGCCGCTGTCACTGCCAAAATCGGCAAAGCATACCAAAACGGAACACAGCGGGAGGCGGCCAGCCAAGAGGCTCGGGACGCCAGCTCCTCCATGCTGATCTATTCCAACTACAACTTCCTGGACGTCAAGTTGGAGCTGCAGATCAGAACGGCCGACGGGGCTTTGCACGAGAGGCCCATGTCGGGCACTTATTCCCCTCCTGGCCTCCGGTTCCCGAATGGAGGCATCATTGACACGCACTTTGTCGTCAGCGGGACATATTTGACTTCCTCGAAACAGGAGTACGCGCTGTGGGCACTGGATCTGCGGACGTTGACATGGAGCCGGATCGATGCGGGTGGCAGCGTGTTCAGCCAAGGCAGCTGGAACCGTGGCGTCTTGTGGAACAGAAGAAACACGTTCGTTATCCTGGGGAACCGGAAGAGGAGTCTAGTGGACGACTACAACCACCGGCGCATCAACTTCTCGAATGTCTGCATGGTGGAGCTGGAAGCCTTTGGATTCTACGATAACCCGAGAAAGTCAGCTCCCATGTCCGGGTTCATCTCCGCAAGCAGCCCCTATTCCGGACCAGGTTTGAGCCTTACACGCAAAGCCGGCTACACGGCCGGAGGCAGGGCACACTCCCGGGCAAGTGAGGAACTGGGGGAGAAGGCTCTGGGACTACGCGAGATATCAGACATGGACATCCTCTGCTTTGGCGGCGAGCGTATTCCCATCAACTCCAGGGTTGTCGCCCGTCGATGGGGGCCTTACTTTGTGCAACTGTTGCGCGAGGGGACTGCAACGCAAGACGGCAGTGATTCCGTCACGCTGCGCTCGGGACTGTCGAGCAACCCTCTCCGGGCCTCAGCCATCACCATCACCCCAAGCACGCGCTTGCCTGGCGAGACTGTTGGTTCAACGATTCAGTCGTCGGGGGCGTCGACATCCACAGCTGGCACCGGTATTTCCGGCGCTACCACGGCTGCTGCATCGCAAGATGATCTCAACCCAGCAGCCATCAACAGCGCTCCCACTCCGCGTTCTTTGGCGCCAAACTCCCGGCCACGATGCCTCTACATGCCGCACTCCTACCTCACCATCCAAGCCCTCCTTCACTTCCTCTATACATCCTCGTTGCCCGCACAGTCGTCACCGCTATGCACCCCTCAGATTCTGTGCTCACTCCTCCAGCTTGCCCGGCCGTACCGCATCGACGGCCTTCTAGAAGCCGTTGTCGAGCGTCTGCACTCGCTTCTCGACTCGCGCAACGCCGCTGCAGTCTTCAATGCCACGGCCATGGCAGCAGGAGGCGGTCGCGGCATCGACGGGTCGCTCAACCCCAACTTCTTCGTCGACCACCTCGACCCCATGAACGATGGCATGTCTACATCCGACTTCAGCCTAAACCCCACCACCAACGGCTCCGATCTGGCTGCCCTGTCGATCAACACAGATGTCCGACCGGCCAGTGACGAGATGAGCAGCGCGACGTCAGCTTCGGGCTCAGAGTGGAGTGCCGGCGAGCTCAACGATCGGTCAAACCCTCCTCCCGTATGGGAGGGAGAGCTCAGCAGTGTCATCGGCTTGCAGAAGCGTGGACTGCGGGGCTTGATGGAGGGCAGGAGGATGAGA